TCAGCGACGTGATTGTCGCAGCGACATTGCGGTCATTATTTTCCCGACAGACTGATATTTTTTAATATTTCTTCCCTCAAAACAACCGAAATTCCAATATCCGGCGGACGTTGATGGCATCAACCATTCATCGAACGGCCTTTTCATCAAATCGTATCTTCTCCCTCGAATATCCGTCATTTCCTTCCATCTACAATTTGGAGTGTGAGGTCGTGATTAGGGGCCCTCGTTTGCAATTGTAGGCATGAAAGATTATAATGAAGCGATAATTGTAGGTCAAACCGCGCTCTGCCTTGTGATAGGGCGTTGACAATAATAAAAGCGCGGAGGGCTTGGCTTTGGAATTTTTTGGGGGATAAGGTGGTTGACTGGGGCTGGGCGTACAGGGTTGGGTGAGAGCTGAGGGAAATTTTGAGCATAGTTTTTTAACGATATATCACTGGATTTTTAGCCGATTTTTTTGACCCTTTGTCAAGACGTATACGAAGACCGAGGAGGGCCCCTAGTGCTCGTCTACCATTCATTTCGTTTGTTCTTTTTACTTAGTAAATTGTATTGAGGAGAATAGGTATACGCTACGTGGTATGTGTTACACAATCAAGATGAGGAGAAGAGAAGATGCGTTGGTGTACACTTGGGCGATCAGATTTTTGCGAAGACCATGGGAGCATTCCAAACTTAGGGCTTTTCATGCGGAAGCGCTACGTTTGCTACATGAATAGTAAATCCTACTAACCCCTAACAAATATAACCCTAGCTAAAAGCTGATGACACAAATACCAGACTCACGCGTATTATTCCAGTTGGGAGAAAACGACCGGACGGGGTAGAGCTTCAACACAAACTGCAAATTACGTTTATTTCACGGAAAAGGAAAAAGTGACCGAAAAGCGAGCGGTCCATTATTTTTATATCGAGCTCGGTCGGTTTATGCTAATTTTTGGGAACTTCTCACGGAATCATGACAACGTTTTGATGGTTTTCTTTTGAAGTTTTATGTCAATTTTTCAGGTTGATGACTATATTAGCGTGCAATTTTTTTGAAAGAAATATTCGATTTTTTCCGCACAGACGCAAAAAAGTGATGACAAAAACCGGTTTCTTTGTCTGACCGACTCTCCTCATTTCGCATGCTCTCTCGCAAAAAGGATCCATAAATATAACATCCTTGCTGCGACAGAGAGATCCCCTTTTGCATGTAACATGACTCTGCATTCATTATGTCTTTATATATTTTTAAATGGCATCTTCTTCTTAAAAGTCTTAGCGTCGACTTGACAACGGCTAATCCCGTACCCAACGCTCATTGTCCTTTCGCCTTTAATTTCATTTTTAGATGAATCTGTTTCCTTTCTCGGTAAGATTGACTGGATTTACAGAGGGCGTACGGTGGGTCAAGAAGTCAGAGGGGCTTCCTATTTTTGTGTTTTGTCTGGTACTCGTCTTTTGCAAAGTCGCTGTGATTTCAGCGATGTGCACTTTGCAGGAAACAGAAGTTTTCTTTGCACTGTGCAATCGCTTGCTTTTTGCACTGTGCAATAGGATTTTTTGGGCTGTCGCTTGCACCCTGACTTTTTCGCACAGGGAAAACGCCAAAACTCAGTCCAGCGACTTTACGGACGGGCTAGTAGAAGGGTTTGAAGTGAATGACCAAACGTAGATAGGTAGAGGATAGACACAAGAGAATGGGTTTTATTGACACCGCACACAAAGAAAAGAGAAATGAAATTGTTCTAATAATTGGTGACGAGATGTTGCTTTTATATGAGTTGGTTTATGCTAATTTCTGTGGGAATTGTGTAGACCTTTGAGACTCCACAACAGGCTTTCGCTATACGGCGACTTATTTTGGCTGCAAATTGGCTCTCGAGAGCTCGGAAATTGTTCGTTATAGGTAGGGTTTGTTGTATAGAATTTTATTGGACAGAATTTGTAATGCTCTTAAAATGACGTAAAATGCAGTACCTCAAGTGCGACACCCGATTGAGCCCGAACTCTCCCTTTTCTGAACTCTCCCCCTTTTCGAACACTCCCCCTTGAACGAACACTCCCTTTTTTGAACACTCCCCCTCATTTTGAAAATTGAAAAAACGAGGTGTGACATGTTATACGATGCAAACTTTTTTTTTAATTGAGAAAAATTGGGTGTGACATGTTATACGATGGAAATATTTTTTAAATTGAGAAAGAAAAATTTTTGCACGCACTTTGGGCGAAGGCCACGCAACAAGCAAAATGCAGCGACAAAAATTCTGCGAGCTGTTCAAAAAAGCGTAATTAGTTTTTCCATAAAGTGCGTAGACTTTTTTTCATCAGCGCACAGTGCATTTTTCCTCTTTTTTATATACACAGTGCAAAAAAGTTTTGCGGCAAAAAGTCTACTTACTTTATGAAACGACTAGTATTACTCCCGTCTAGGCCAACTGATTTCCCTCTACTCCCCTTTTACATCCCGCATGTGCGTTATAAAGCGTCTTTGTCTTCGGACATCTGGTTCCCCGGTAATGTCAGGGGATATGGATTATATCCCCTCAGGCGGTGTCTAAGTGGCCAAAGACGAGTATTTGGGGTGGCGGAGGTCGTAATATCGAATATAAAGGATAAATCGGATATTTCGAGATCATAATTTGAGTGATTTGGGAGGAAATGACGTTTTGAAGTGCGTCTGAAGTTGGGGTTTATTAATGACCATGAATTTAGAGGTCTGATTTTAGTGGTATATAATGTGAGGGTCTTTGGTAGAACTGGATCTAATTTTTTTTATTTTTATGGAGTTCAGGGGAGCTTTTGTTAAAATTGAAGTTTTCTGAGAAAGCCGCGCTGAGATTTTGGTGAAATTTGGCAACTATTACGAGTAGATTCTCCAAAAAAGTCCGAAATTTTCAGCATTCGCATGGAAGTATCGATACTTTTAGGTCAGAAGACGGTTGCAATTCGTCATTACTTAGATTGCAACTAATAAAAAATTCGTCTTTTTGTTTTCTTTTTTTCCTCCTATGCCGTATTTGGAAACATACACGGTCATAGTAAGTATACTGGTCGACAAAATTTTCTTTCCTCCTGGATCTATGCTGGGCCTAGAACTTTGAAATCGGGCGTAGAAACACTGTAGGACAATCCAGCACCATACCCAAAAAATCGTATCATTTGGTGCACTTTCCATGCACTTTTTTTGCAAAAGGCAAAATACGGGATGACAAAATTTTCTTTCCACCTGGATCTCGGGAAATGCTGGGCCTAGAACCTTAAAATCGGACGTAGAAACACTGTAGGACAATCCAGCACCATACCCAAAAAATCGCATCATTTGATGCATTTTCCATGCACTTTTTTTTGCAAAAGGCAAAATACGGGATGACAAAATTTTCTATTTCTACATTGGAAAAACGTTTGTAACTCATAAGCCAGAGGGCGCTAAGACATGATTGCGGTATTGTTGTGATTGCGAAGAACTCCTCTCTCGATTCTCATAGGAAAAATTTAGGGGCCCAAAAACAGCATAGACCATTTTTAGGCCAAAAGTTGGCAAAATATGGCATATTTTTTTGCGAATTTTGGCATGAAATATCTCATAGCTGTTATTTCTACTGCAGAGGGTAATTTTTCGAAAAATATCAATTTTTTTTTGAAACTGGCAAAGATATGGCCAAAAAAGCCTTTTCTGTGGCTCTCCGCCTTTCATGTGCTCTCTCGGCCGCAAAGATCGCTGAATATCTCGGCTGCACCTGCAAAGCGCGAGCTAAAACTTTCAAAAATGTATATTATGATCTAATCCGGTCGTATTTTACCTAACCCTTCGAATTTTTACAATCATCCAAAAAATTTATAAAATTTTTTAAAATTTCCCCCCACTAGAACATCCCCATTGTCGCCAGAGTGCAAGCACGTAACCGGCTCAAAGATCGCGCCTTTTGTTTGTGTATAATTACACTGATCCGCGCCGCTTCCCCGAAAATAGAAGTTGAAGCGTATAATTTGCCATTAATTACAATGTCAGCTGCCTTTTCCCGGTAGTACAAACTCCGCGGCCTCGCGAGTAGTGCCCTCAAAAGTGTTGGGCAACATGTTTATCTCGTTGTAGGGCGTATAAAAAGCCCTCGAAAACAATAGCTCCGTCATATTGTATGCGAGGCATGAAGTGCCAAATTTCTCGCTGTTTTCGTGGTGAGACCGGGAATTTTGTAATTTTTTGAAATTTTTGGGAAATTTTATTTATTTTACCGTTAGGCGACTTTCTGGAAGGACTAATATAGATTTCCTATGTATTTTTTTCGCCATTTTCCATACTATGGAAGATAGCGAAAAAAATTAAATTTTTGAAATTTTTTGAAATTTTCGATTTTTTTCAATTTTTTTTATTTTGAAATGTTCGAAATATGATCCCAAAATTTTACTGAAAATTCGTGACTTTACGGGATATCCTTTTTTCACCCTTTTTACCCAAAGAAACGACAAATTTCTTTCAACAAAAGAGAATACCCGAAACGCCGATGGTGGAAAATAACTTTTTTGGCAGTATCTTTGCACACAAAAAATTGATTTTTTGTAAAAACATTACTCTATGCGAGAAAAGCCAGTACGGGAACTTCAAAGACAAAAAAAATAAAAAAAAAAAAAAAAAAAAAAAAAATTTGCAAAAAAGTATCACATTTTTTCCAAAAGTTCGACTTAAAGATCTTGTGTGTCGCACTTGGATAATTTCTCCTGCAAATTAAAAAAAAAAATTATTTTTTAAAAATTTTTTTAATTTTTTGCCCCAAAAATTTTTTTTTATCCCACAATTTTTTTCTTTATTAATTTTTGACCATTTTATGTTTATTTTCCGCGATAAACTGTTTTTCTGACATTTAAATTCCCCTCTAATCCCTGACGCAGCCATAATAATTTTTTATTTATTTGATTTTCGTAAATATGTTTGCCAATTCGATTAATTGCATTAACCCTGTAATTAATTAGTTTCCTGCGGCTTAACTCATTTCGTGTTTGTTTCAGTGTGTGGGATGGAGGATTCGTTGTACAAGGACTACGTGCAAAACGAATACAGTGTGCCGCTCAGGGTAAGTTGAGATGGGAAAAGAAAGGGCGATTTGGGGAAGTTTTAGTAATTTTAAGATTAAAAACGTTCAAGGCGAGATTTTTAAAATTTTCGGCATTAAAATTATTGCTGTTTTTTTTTAAATAAAAAATTTTTTTAAGGAAATTTGAAATTTTTATTTTTGAAAAGAGACCAAAAATCCTGTTATTTGATATTAAAAATCCCAAAGAAATTCCTCGTTTTTGGAAATCATAAAATTAAATTTTTTATCCAAAAAATTCCAAAAAATAAAAAAAAAATTTTTTAGGAAATTTTGAGATTTTATTTTTCTAGACAAAAATCGTATAATTTTTACTTCCAGAAAATTTTTAAACCCTAAAACAAAAATTTTTAGTCTTAAAAAATCCAAGAAATAAAAAAAATAGGAAAAAAAATTTCCTTTGGTTTATCAAAAAATATTTTTTTTACGATTTTTCTGCTCCATAAATACCCTAAAATTGAAAAAAATATTATTTTTTATTTTCAAAATAAAAAAAAAACATTTAAAAAATAAAAAATTTTTTTTTGGAAATTTGGCATTTTATTTCTTTTAGATCAAAAATCGTATAATTAAACGCTAAAACAAAAATTTTTAGTCTTAAAAATTCCAAAAATAAAAAAAATTTAGGCAAAAATTTTCTTTTGGTTTTTCCAAAAAATAATTTTTTACAAATTTCTTACTCCATAAATACCCTAAAATTGAAAAAAAAATTATTATTATTTATTTTAAAAATAAAAAAAATTAAAAAATCAGTTTTATAAAGCTCACAAAAATCTGATGACTAAAAATTTCCAAAAATTCATTTTTTTTTGGAGTAATGAATTTTCACACCACAATTTTTCAGGGTCACCGCCAATACATTGCCTACATTTACATACTCTGTAATTCCATCGGGTTTCTTGTTAATGGTTACGTATTATATGTTGTTGGGCCATTGTTATTTGTTCAGACCGTCAAAGTGCCTAAATCCATCTTATTTTATATCTTGACGCTGTGTGTTTCCGATTTGATGACTATGATTGGTAAGTGAAAAAAATAGATTTTCAAAAAAAAATAAAAAAATAAAATTTTTTTTTTACTTTTTAAATTTACCTCTCGTATTTTACAGGTATGCTATTGCTAGTCACAGAAATAGTGCTGAACACGTGGAAGTTCAGCGCGTTTGCTTGCACCACTTATTTATTATTCGACAGTATGAACAAATTTATGGCGCCAATAATCGTCGTCCTGATTAGTCGGACGTGTTACGCGACGATATGCCTGGACAAGAGGAAACAGGAGCATGCTGCGAGTTTGAGGGTGAGTAAAAGCAGAAATCCTCAAAACACGAGGGCCAGGCCCTAACTAGCCGATTTCCTGGCTGGGCATTATCAGTCTATCGGGAAGCTGCGGCAGCAATTGCAGTGGCGGACATGGTCCATTGGCAAAAAACGTACCATTTTTTGGATCTGGAAAGTATCAAAAATGTAGCAAAATACCTCACTCTCCAAGTGAAAAAACTCGGATTTCAAAATAGCAATTTTTGTAAGGGAAAGGGCGCGCATTCCAAAACGGGGGTTTTTTTATTGTAGTGGGAGGTATTTTGCCACATTTTGATACTTGTGCGACGCTCAGATTTTCTTTAAATTTTGCACACACGTGGGGTATGGACTAAATATCAATTCCTGAAAGTTTTAGCTCGCGCTTTGCCGACGCCGCCGAGATATCGAACGATTTTGGCCGCCGATAGAGCACGCTAAACTTGGAGAGCGGTCAGAGAGAAAAGCGCTTTTTGGCCATAGCTTTGGCAGTTTCGTGCGGAAAATTTTGATTTTTTGTAGAAATATTGCCCTTTACGGTAGAAATAAGCACTAAACTTTTCGTGCCGAAATTCGGCAAAAAGTCCTAAATTTTGGCCGACTTTCGATCTAAAAATCTCGGTTGTTTCCGCAAAGCGCGAGCCAGGATTCTCGCATATATCTTAGAAAAAATTATTCTAAATTTATGCCAAGTTTCATCAAGATCTCAGCGTCGCACTTGGAGTACTGGAAAAGGAGGCCTTTTACAGGGAACGTAGAAAACTTACACAACCAAATTTGAATAAATGAAGCTAGTTTCAAAGACCGCTATTTTACCTCCTCTTAACTCTCCGCATTTTCAGTGCGCAATTCCCCAAATCATCGCTTCGATCTCCGTGATTTTAATGCTCCTTTGGCCGGTGTTCGCCTACAGCAAGGTTTCCATCGTCCCGGCGACAGTGAACCACTCCTCCAAGGAGCTGACATATCTCAAGAAATGCGGGTTTCTGCCTCCACCGGAGATCGAGATCGGCTTCTCCGTGGTGGCGTGCATGTTGTCTTATGCCATTCCGTTGTTCGGCATCATCTTTTGGTACATGTCGGTGCCGCTGTTCCTTCGGAAACGGGCCGAGAATACGATGGCCAAAGGTGGAGCAAACGGAACGGCCGATGTGGCCGTGCGGAAGGTGATCACGACTGTTTTGGTGCTAACGATTGTGTACGTTGTGTGCTGGACACCGTATTGGATTAGCCTGTTCTTGCATCGAATCTTCCCGGATTTGCTGGCCTTCAGCAACAAGAATAGTAAGTGAATTGACGGTAGCTTGAAAGAGAGAGTTCTTTTGGGAGCGAGGAGCAAATTTTGATTAAAATTAACGCCAATTAATACTGACAGACATGTCAGTCTGCCGGGAAAATAATGAGCTCAATGTCGCTGCGAATATCTCGTCGCTAAAGTGAAAATGAATTTTTTTACCACAATTCATTGTCTCGGTTGCGATGCGATTTTCCATGCGCCAGAGTGCTCATTATTTCCCCGACAGACTGATAATTTAGCAGGGTTTACATGACAGTTTTCCTGTACACTTTACAGGAGAAGTATCCCAAGTGCGACGCTCAGATTTTCTTTAAAATTTGCACACCCTTCCGGCATAGGTCACACTTCTATTCCTGAAAAAATTTAGCTCGCGCTTTGCAACCAAGATATTCAACAATCTTTGCGCCCGAGAGAGTACACAAAACACGGAGAGCGGTCAGAGAAAAAACAACTTTTTTGGTCGTATCTTTGCCAGTTTCGCACGGAAAAAAAATGATTTTTTGTGGAAATATTACCCTCTAGAGTAAAAATAGCTATGAAACTTTTCAAGCCAAAACTCAAAAATAGTCGATTTTTTTTCAAGTTTTATATAAAAATCTCGGTCGTTCCTGGAAAGGGCAAGATAATAGTCTCGCATATGTCTTCATATGTCTTTGAGAAAATTATTCTAAGTTTGTGCCAAGTTTCATCAAAATCTGAGTGTTGCACTTGGAGCAATTTCCCTGTACGCCCAAACCCAACCTGCATTCAACGACATCGTTCGACAGAAAGTTGATTTTTGGGCTCTATGTCATCAAAATCTGGGCGGCGAACTTGGAGTATTTCCCTTGCCATTTGCAAAATTTAAAATTTGAATATAAAAAATTTCTCCTAATATTTCAAAACCCGAATTTCTCCTCTTAAAAATCCCTTTTTTCAGTTGTCTTCATCTTCTACATGGTGCACATGCTCCCCTACATTTCCTGCTGCGCCTATCCTCTAATCTTCACCGTGATGAATCGCGCCATCCAGAAGGCGCATGCAGAAGTGATGAACTCGCAACGTCGTCGCTTCAAGTCCATCACCGAAGACGTAACTCGTCATATTCGCGACGCCTTAAGGTGAGATTACTCTCACTTAATTGCTGACTAATTCATGTTCAGTTTCAGGATCTGGAATCGCGATAATCATCTGTTTCCACGGAGTTCCATCAGTGTGGCGACGTGCACAACAGCACAAAGAATTGGGCTTGTATCGCCAACGATTTCGGCCAGATCCAACCTGCGGCCTCAGGGCAGCTCGTTGAATTTGCTGGCATCGGCGAACTCGGTTTCGTTCTCCAATTTGCACATGGTCTCGGAAACAACCCCTTTGAATCCAAGCCCGCCCACCTCGCCGATTGTGAGGATACCGGTGGACGAGGGCGATGAAAGGAGCGAAACATGTCTGTAGCGACCGTAAAGGCTCCGAAAAAAATTAAATTTTGGTTTTGTCTACGAGAAAAGAGTCTCAAACTACAGTGGTGGACCTGATCCAATGGCAAAAAACATACCATTACGCATCCCGGAAGTATCAAAAATGTGGCAAAATACCTCCATTTCCAAGTGATGGACCCCGATTTAAAAAGCGCTCCTGTTCTTTTTGTGAGAAAAAAGGAGTTTTTTTCACTTGGAGAGGGAGGTATTTTGCCGCATTTTCGATACTTCCCGGATGCGAAATGGTACGTTTTTTGCCACTGGCTCCGGTCTTCTATTGTACGCTCAGATATTTTTTTGATTTGCCAAGTTTCTTCAAAATTTGAGCGTCGCACTTGAGCCTTTTCCTTGTTAGTTTTTTTCTACTAGTTACTCTCCAATCCAGGGTCGAACTGCAATGTTGTGTAATCAACAATGAAAACTTTGTCACATATCTCCGCGTCTTCATCCGCGTCTCATTTTCACACTGCTTTTATTCGTCTTCATCTCACTGTAAATATGCGTAAATGATCTCCTTGAATTTGAATAAAGATTAAGACATTTTGGGTTTGAGTTGTTGAAAGCACAAGAGAATGTGGTAAGTACGAAGCGATGAGTCTACTAGTCGTTCCAGAAAGTGCGTGAAGTTTTCGTCACGGGCCGCACCATGCAGAAAACCCTTTTTGCGGCATGCATTTGATCTGTTGCACCGAGCCCGATATCGCTGCGGCGCAAGCTTTTCTCAATGGATTCGAGGCGAATTTTGGGCGGGTGAAAAGAAGTTTCACGCAAAATGTTTCGAAAAGAATCGCGTCGCGCAATGCACTTTAGGAAGAAGAAGGCCTACATACTTTCTGCAACAACTATACTGGCTGACAAAATTTTCTTTCCACCTATATCTCGGGAACCGTTGGGCCTAGAACCTCCAAATTCGGCATAGAAACATTATGGGGCAATGTATTATAACATCACACCCAAAAAATCATATCAGTTGATGCACTTTCAGTGCACTTTTTATGCAAACGGCAAAAACGTGATGACAAAATTTTCTTTCCACCGCTTGTAAATCATAAGCCAGAGGGCGCTATGGCATGATTGTGGTGTCGTTGTGATCGCGAAGAAGTCCTCTTTCGATCCGTGGCACAATTTTACAGGACCTTTCGTTTGTTCGCCCTTGGGCGTCTGCCCATCGTTGCCTTGTCCGTTTTCTGCCAAATTCGTGGCTGAGAAGCTCGCAGAAGGCCCAAGGAGATGAAACTGCCGTTAAAAAATCTGCTATTTATGTTTGCAACATTGTTTACACCGGCAGTAAAATTAGATTCAATTTAAGTGTAAAATGTGCACTTCTAGGGTTCGCGAAACCAGAAAATCGCTTATGTACAGAATGGAAAAGTCCAAATAATATGCGTTTACTGGACATATGGCGCATTTTAGGTATTATACGACAGTCTGTGTTGAAATCTACTACCTTATCTTACCCCCCTCTGCTCTACGTCGTCTTTAGTAACGCAGGTTGTTGCATTATATGACGGGGAGGAATTGGCATTACTTAAGCTTGACATATTGGAACTTTTGACTACCAGACTACCTTAATACAGTGACTTTGTCCTGCTTTTAACGTTTTTGGCACGACAAGTTGCTTGCGCGGGAAGCTTAGGGTTGCAAATTTTGCACATGGGGCATGCGGAATCTTTCTTCTGCTCAAACCTAAACGCGACATCAGAGACTAAAATCGTCACTATTTTTTAAGGCTGTAGTATCATAGAAAACATATCAGCAAAAAAAGTTACTTGAATTGTCTGCAGTTTTCCCATAATAACGTAATTTTCTGGAGACGAGAACCCTGGAAGTGCACATTTTCCTATGCAACACGCTTAAATTAAATCTAATTCTACTGCCGGAGTAAACAATGTTGCAACCATAAATACCAGATTTAATAAGGGCAGTTTTATCTCCTTGGGCCTTCTGCGAGCTTTTCTGGCCAAGAGTTTAGCTGAAAACGGACAAGGCGACAATGAACAGACGCCCAAGGGCGAACAAACGAAAACTATTGTAAAATTGTGACACGGATCAAGAGAGGACTCCTTTGCGAACACAACGATACCACAATCATGCCTTAGCGCCCTCTGGCTTATGATTTACAAACGTTTTTCCAAAGTGGAAAGAAAATTTTGTCATCCCGTTTTTTGCCTTTTGGATAAAAAGTGCACTGAAAGTGCATCAAATGATATGATTTTTTGGGTGTGATGTTAGATTGCCCCATAATGTTTCTATGCCGAATTTGGAGGTTCTATGCTCAGCGGTTCCCGAGATACGAAGTGGAAAGAAATTTTTGTCAGCCAGTATACTTGTCTGCGACCCCTAACTGAAAGGTACCCCCATGTCACCCCTCCCCAGCTACGGCTCTGTAATCTTGGACCATTTTGCACTGTGCAAAGAAATTAGCGGTGAATGAAACGGGCTTGCGCGCGGCGGTATTTTGATTAAAGGTGGTAATCGGGCCGGCCCAGGGCTTTTTCAAATCCGCTCAGGCCCGGCCCGGCCTAATCACCGGGCCCGGCCGGGCCGGCCCAGCGCGATTGCCACCTCTAATTTTGATGCACGGTGCGGAATATGAAATGCACCATGCAAAAAACGTCGAGGCAAAAAGTCTACACACTTATTGGAAAGATTATCAGTCTGTAAAATAATGAGCACCTGTCGCATCGAAAATTGCATTGAGGAAATGTGTCGAAAGGCCCAACAACCCAGCAACGAGACAAGACGAGGGCCCAAGAGTAAAGTGATTTATTCAGTGGAAAGGAAGCCTTTTATAGGGAAGCCCCATGTAGGAAAGTACAATCAAATTTGAATAATCGCGAATCGTTCCTCGTGCGAAAATCCTCGAAGCTCGGTCGTTCCGCCTCACAAAATGAATTGTGTCGCGGCAAATTCAAATTGCTTTTAACTTCAGCACACTATCCGCTGTCACGACTTTGCGTGCGAATTTGCATATTCCCACGGAATGACCGAAAAATTGGTATAAAACGAAGAGAAATCGCCAATTATTGGTATTATTTTGTGTCTGTTTTTCCCGGTTGGTTGTGTCCAATAAAGTCTACTGTATTCCTATTTATCTACAGGGTGCGGCAATTTTTCGGCCGGATTTAAATTGGCCATAACTTTTTTAGTTTTTGGGCAAATGTTAAAATTCTTTTTTTCCCTGAATCCATAGACAGCCCCATTTTGTTTAATACTAAATATGTTATACCCGTTTATTAGACTACAGTAAAAGTTAAAGACAAAGAAAAAACTCTAATTTTCATAGATGACAATGGAATTACCCCTAATGCGACTCTCAGATTTTCTTTAAATTTTGCACATGGGCCGGACATAGGCCACACATCAATTCCTAAAAGTTTCAGCCCGCACCTTTCAGGGACGACCAAGATATTCAACGATTCTTTGCGGTCAGGAGGGCACATGAGTGGTCACACAGAAAAACTTTTTAGCTATATTCTCGCTAGTTTTGTGCGGAGCTAGCTGATTTTTTGTGGAGACGGTATTCTCCGTGGCATGAACAGGCATAAAACTTTTTACGACAAAATTCGTAAAAAAAGTCATTTTTTCTGGCGATTTTCACACACGCCGAAAAAGCATTAGGGGTAATTCCATTGTCATCTATGAAAATTAGAGTTTTTTCTTTGTCTTGAATTTTTACTGTAGTCTAATAAACGGGTATAACATATTTGGTATTAAACAAAATGGGGCTGTCTATGGATTCAGGGAAAAAAATAATTTTAACATTTGCCCAAAAACTAAAAAAGTTATAGCCAATTCAAATCCGGCCGAAAAATTGCCGCACCCTGTATTGTTGTTGTATGGTGGTCACCTCGTCTGGAGTCAATATCGTGAGTTCACAGTTTGATTGCCGGAGTCCTCTAGTTTGCGTCTCCGGGTTAGGTAGTGAATACTAGTAGTAGCGGGCGAGTTAAGGGCCATCTTACACCACGACTCATAGCTAAGTCGTGACACCGCGCAGCGACAGAGCCTCGTTCTTTTCCCGTCAGGCTAATAATCATACATTTACATAAAATGTTCAATTCATTGTCAAGACTGGGATAGTCGAGGTCTAATGAGGCCTCTAACTTGCCCTCTACTCCTGGTATTAACTGCCCCTAATAACCTGGAGACCACAACTAGAGAATTCTAGCTGAAAAACTGCGACCTCACGCAAATTGAATCCAATGAGCTTGGATCACCACCGGACTGTATCAAGAGGACTTCCAACAATTACAAATAGAGGTTTATTTCCCAAACGAATGACCGAAAAGCGATCGGTCAATTACATTTATATCAAAATATTCGTCGGTTTATGCTAATTTCTGGGAATTCTTCACGGAATCGTTGTTGTATCCTTCACTGTATGTGTGTGAAGGATGTTGGTGTCAGCCCAAATGTACGATGGATAACAAATATAGATTTATTATCAGATAGAAAATACAGAGATAAAACACGGAGATAGCACTCACTGAATAATATAAATAACAACTGAAGTCCTATTTCTCTTCCGAGGTTCTAGAATCTTCGAATGAAACGGAATGCCAATACAGTAATCTTTGTTTGCGTCTCGGGACTCGACAATCGTGACATCATTTTTCAAATTCAACAATTTTTCTTTTTGCTTGTAACCTCAGTTTTCGGGGCCGGCCCGCGGCCCGAAGATTCGGCACATTTTCAATTTTTTTTCAACCCGCACGTCTACTCCGCAACCTCCAAAAACAAACACCTTCTTTTAGGTCTTTTTTGGACGGCGGGGGATACCCTTGGAGTTGACCTTCAGACGGACACGCAGAGCGGCGGAATATGAAGAGCCACCGACCTTTTCGATGCCCTCGATTTCGGATCGCGGAGGGAACGAAAATTAATTTTATTCGAAGGAAAAAAGTTTTTTCTTTCAGTTAATAATACCTTCCAATTTTTTAAGGGTTTTTTGGTTGAATCGTCGAGGGATTTGTTGGTGTTCCCTTACAAGTGGAAGGTGAAAAGAGTGGTTTTAGATGGATTTTTGGGTTTCTGAGGAAAAGTTGATTTTTCATTGAGAGTTTGGAAAGAAAAATTGAAGTAAAAGTTATCGATTTTTGGGGTTAAGATTTTAAAATTTTTTTGAGTATTTTTATGTACTGAAAATGTTTAAAAAATAAAAAATATTTTTTATTCGAAAAAAATTCGGTTTTATAAAGTTCTTTTTATGTATTTTTCAAATTTTTTTAATTAATAAAATTAATTTTTTTGTTGAAAAATTAATAAAATTTATTTTTTATTTGTTTTTAAAATTATTTAAAATATTTTTTTTATTTTAAAAAATAATAAAATAATTTTTCTTATTTTTTAAGGCTATTAAAAATGACTTTTTCTATTTTTAAAATTAATAAAAATTTTTTTGAAATAAAAAAATAATTTTTTAAATTAATAAAAATACTATTTTTCAAATTAATAAAAATATTTTTTTTTATTTTTAAAAATCGCTCAATTAAAATTCAAAATTTTTCAAAACTTGTTACCTCCCCTAAAACCACCTCTACACATATTCAGAAGCAGTTTTTTCGATTGTTTTCCCCACAGCTTCCGAGAGTAGACTCATTACTTTTTTTATCAATTTATCTACTTTTTCCGGTTTCTCTGCGCTCTCTTCGCTTCTCGTTTTCTCTAAAGTCCCATGAAAAAGCGGTTGTTTTGATCGAAAAATAACGGGAGAAGTGTTTTATCAACTCTTCATTGTCATATTTATCAATCGTTTGAGTCGAAAAATGTAAAAAAGTTGGGCGAATTGTAAATATTTTGTGTCTAACTAGCTTTATTTTTTATATCTACCTTTTTTCATCTAATTTTTATTGTGTTTTGTTAATGGCAACTGAACCCCTGAACTCGACATAATACTGCTTTATTTTGAGGCTGTAAATCCGTCGTAAGCCGTAAATTTGTATCTCAAAAAACGCTGCAAATGCTGCGCTAAGATTCTATTCGAACTTACTGGAGAAGTCGAATTGCGACTGTCAGATTTTGATGAAACTTGGGACAAATTTTTGATAAAAATATTTTTTGTCGAAAAACTGAAAAAAAATCGAATTTTTTTTTTGAGAATTTTGGCGTAAAAAGTTTCATACTCTTATTTCTACGGTAAAAAGTAATGTTTTTCTCAAAAAAAAAAAAAAAAAAAAATCAATTTTTTCCATGCATAACTTGTAAATTTATGGCTGAAAAGTTCTTTTCTTTTTTTTAGACCGCTCTCCGCGTTTCGCATACTCTCTCGGCGGCAAAGATTGCTAAAGCCTATCAAAATTTGCGTCAAGTTTCATCAAAATCTGACCGTCACACTTTGAGCACTTTCCCTCTATACTTCCCCTCTCTATATCCGTCTGTCGGGAAAATAATGAGCACTCTGTCGCCTCGAAAATCGCATCGCCACCAAAAAAAAATGAATTGTGTCGCGGCAAAATCAAATTTCCTTTCACTTCAGTCGGCACAACGACACTATGCTCATTATTTTCCCGACAAACTAATAACCACATTTTTTTCGGATAATTAATACCCCAAACAATTTTTCCAGATCCCCATTTTATCAATCGGCGCGCGAAAGAAAAGTGAAAGTGATCCGGGAAAATGCGGGGATGAAGAATCCGTTTCGATCGCCATTCCCCTCTCCTCCAACGCGCCGCGCCAACGAGAAATGTCGGCGTTTCGCTTCTCGACACGACGCAAGCTCGGCCCCCGCAACCTGGCCCTGTTGTCGGCCGTCGCGTTTGCCTTCTTCCTCCTTTGGTTCTTGCTGACGGTGCTGATCATCTACGCCGAGGACTGGCTGTTGGGCCCCACGGAGAATGTGGTCCGCCAGAAAATGAAGGAGAATGGCGGCGGAGTTAAGCTGGTGGTCGGGCATTACAATGGGAATCTGCCGAAGGAAAGGCTGGCCAATCTGACGCAGGGTGAGTTGGAGTTCGAAATGGAGAATAATGTCAGTCTTTCGGGAAAATAATGAGTCTCTGTCATCAAAAATTGCATCGCCGCGCAGAGAAAAGGAATTGTATTGCAGTAAATCAAATTGCGTTTTTCACTTCAACGACGGATTGGCGCATCGAGATTGCACTCATTATTTTCCCGGCAGAAAAATTCTTTTTGGCGGCGCTTTACCTTGACCCCCCTTCACCATTTGTTCCTTTGTCCCTAACTAGGGAAGTGTACAAACGAACCCTCGCCAAATGGCAAGTATTATACACCATTGGAAAGCCATTGAAAAATGGTGCAAGACACCATTTTCATTTTTTGCATAATGCCTCAGGGCAAAAAATTATAAACGGTTGATTTGTCCCTACATTACAGTATGTCGTCGCGGAAAGTCATTCTGCAAAAAATGAAAATGGTGTCTTCTACCATTTTTCAAAGGCCATTCAGTGACGTATGTCACTTATCATTTGGTGAGGGTTCGTATGTACACTTCCCTAGTAAGGGGTGTCCCCGTGCACGGCAACCCGAAATAGAAGAAAAATATTTCCCGCCCACTTTTGAGTTTCCTCCAAACGAAGGGTCAAAATTCAGAAAGGAAATAAAATAATTCCGAGAAAAATATTTTTCGGTCCGAAAATCCCACGAAAAATTCTTTTGTGACATTTTGTTTGATTTCAACAGCTACAAAATGGGCGAAGTGTCGAAAAGAGCCAGGAAACACTTCGGGTTGCCGTGCTGTGTCCCTTCCCGCTACCTATGCTCCTGCCATTTTGAACTAGAGGTGGCAATCGGGCCGGGCCGGGCAGATTTTTGCGGCCCGGCCCGCGGGCCGAATTGACCAGGCCGGCCCAGGGCTTTTTCAAATTTGCTCAGGCCCGGCCCGGCCCGGCCCGGTGAAAGCCCAGGCCGGCCCGGCCCGGTTTGGCCCGCTAATACAGAAAAGTTGGATAAAAGTCTTTGCACTTTCTACGAAAATTATGGACGTTATAAGGAAAATGGTTAACCAAAAACTGGTTAAACACTTTTATTTACATAGAGGATTCAAAATTACAGTGAAATTTTTAAATTTATCATAAAAAAATTCGAAGACTTTTGCCCGACCCTTACATATTTGGGTGGGATTTTACATATACATAATAAGTTACACATACATAATTTTAAAGGGTAGTAAAACAGCGTATAAGTCAAAAAAGGTTTAATCTAATTTCCATCCATTCTACAAAGCATTTGTACTTTATTTTGCCGGTTTAGCGTTAAAAATTTTTACTTATCTACCTTCCGGGCCGGGCCGGGCCGAAAGTGTCGGCCCGGCCCGCGGGCCGAAGCGATCAGGCCGGCCCAGGGCTTTTTCAAATCTGCTCAGGCCCGGCCCGGCCCGGCCCAATCACCGGGCCGGGCCGGGCCGGGCCGGCCCAGCCCGATTGCCACCTCTATTTTGAACCCTTTTGAATTGTGCCAAGCGCAAAAACGCTTGCGATCTTTCGATGCGCGTGCGGAATGTGAAATGCAAAAACGAAGCGCGTTGCGACGAAAAGTCTACGCACTAGGCGGGAAAAATAATTGTGTCGCGGCAAAATCGAACTGCCTTTAACTTCAGCGGCGCAATCTTGGATGCGACATTGTGCTCAGTTCCCGACAAACTTATCGGTCTGTCGGGAAAATAACGGCGGATCGTCGCAGCAAAATGTCTCGCCTTGCCGTTATCGCGCACCAAATCCCAAGCCGCGGCTTACAGTCGCAAAGCGATGATGGGCGATTCCGAGGCGCGACGATCCGCCGTTATTTTCCTGACGTAGTAAAAAATTTTTTGACTCACAACAGCATGGTTGCTGGCCGGACGGTTCGCTGCGCTGAATTGAAAAGCAATTTGATTTTGCCGCGACACAATTCATTTTTCTTTTAAAATACGGAAAAGATATCTTGGTTGTTTTCTTACCAATAATTTATTCCATTATGTCTAATTTGAGCATCAAATTTCTATTTCTTTTCTCACCTGTCCCGTCGTGTTTTTTTGCATTTTTAATTTTTAAATTTCAGCCGAGCTAAATGCCAACAATTACCATCCAATCGAAGGGTATGGTGAGAATGGACGAGCTGTGCAATTGCCCATAAAAGAGGACTTGGAATCCGAGAAAACTTTCGGGATCAATCAGGTACTAGTCGGGACAAAAAGTCCTGATAATTTTGCATCGTGCGGATTTGAACGTTTTGGGTTGCCGCTGCAAAAATCGCGAAAAAAAGTGTTTTGCACGGTGCATTTGACCCGAAAAGTGCATTTGCACAGTGCATTTTGTTTGTTTTTGCCTTATTGTCGCGCGCGATTCCCAATTTTCGAAGCGACAAATCGTTTTTTCAGAGTGCGACAAAAACCGCGCAAAATCCGCACGGTGCAAAATTATCAGGACTTTTTGTCCCGACTACTAGTAAAATAGAAAATTAAATTGGCCCAAAAAAAATTTTTTTTGCTTTCGTTTTATTTTTTTTTTTGTAAAATACGACATGCTTTTTGTTAATTTTCTATCAGTCTGTCGGAAAAATAGCGGCGGATCGTCGCGCCTCGGAATCGCCCATCATCGCTTTGCGACTGCAAGCAGCACCTTGGGATTTGGCGCGCGATAGCGGCGAGGCGAGACATTTTGCTGCGACAATCCGCCGTTATTTTCCCGACAGACTGATATGTTAGCATTTTTCATAAAGTGCATGGATACTTTTTCGCTTTCGCACAGTGCATTTCGAACCTTTCCCATGCTTGTCGCCAACGCACAGTGCATTTTTCTCTTTTCGCACAGTGCGAACCTCAAAAAAGCCGTTTGCACTGTGCAAAAAATTCCCGAAACTCCTGGCGCCGCCGCTGCGACAAGGCCGAAACTTGCTTCTGTCGTAGCGACATTTCAAATGCACAGTGCAAACATCAGAAAAATCGCGGAGGTTTTTTTCAGCTTTTGTCGCAGCGCACAGTGCGTTTTTCTTTTTTCGCACAGTGCAAGCCTCAAAAAAGCCGTTTGCACTGTGCAAATGCTCTGCGCGGTGCAAAATCCACGCATTTGAAAGTTGATTGTGTCGCAGCGATATTTCAAATGCACAGTGCGAAAACCAAAAAAAAAAGGTGAAATGCACGGTGCAAAGTCGGAATGCTTTTTGTGCACAGTGCGCGGTATAAAAAATGTCCATGCACTTTATGAAAATAATAAACCAGTCTGTCGGGAAAATAATGAGCACAATGTCGCTGCGCCAATCGTGTCGCTGAAGTAAAAAGCAATTCGAATTTTCCGCGACAAAATTCGCTTTTTCAGCGGATCCGATTTTCGATGCGACATTGTGCTCATTATTTTCCCGACAGACTGATAACACTAAACTTTCAGTTCAATCTCTACATCAGTGACCGAATTTCGGTCAATCGATCATTGCCGGATGTCCGAAAATCGGAATGCCGAAAGAAGAACTACCCTAGTCCCAGTGACTTGCCAACAACTTCAGTGATTATTGTCTTTCACAATGAGGCTTTTTCAACGTTGTTAAGAACAGTTACTTCTGTTATAACCAGATCGCCAAAGGAGGTTTTGGAGGAGATCATTTTGGTAGACGACTTTTCTAGTCGAAGTAAGTTATTTTTTTAAACTTTGTAAGTTAGTGAACAAGATTACTTAAGGCTGTTGCAAATACATACTAATGGTCAAAAAAGTCTTAAAAATTTGCCGTTGCGATAAAAATCGCAAAAAAATTTGACCCAAAAAACAGTGTATTTTTTCTTTTCTGCTGCCAATTTGAATAATGTCTGTCGGGAAAATTATGTAGGACAGTCGCTTCTTGAATCTCCCATATCCGCTATGAAGATGCATAACAGCGCGGGGCACTTTACTGCGACGAATCCACATTATTTTCCCGACAGACTGATACAGAAAAATTCCAGCCTATAGTATATCAGTCTGTCGGGAAAATAATGAGCAACAAATCACATCGAAATGTGAAATTTGAAAAAAAAAATTTCATCGTATAACATGTCACACCTAATTTTTCTCAATTTGAAAAAAAAATTTCCATCGTATAACATGTCAACCTCATTTTTCTCGATTTGAAAAGAAATTTCATCGTATAACATGTCACACTTCGTTTTTTCAATTTTCACAATATCAGCGACGCGATTGGCGCAGCGACATTGTGCTCATTATTTTCCCGACAGACTGATTTTTATGATCGAATTTATGTTTTCAGAATTTCTAAACAAAGATCTTCAAGATGCCTTGCGGTCTACGGGCGTGAAAGTCAAGTTGATCCGAGCGCAAGAGCGGGTCGGCTTGATCCGTGCCCGTCTTATGGGTGCTGCCGAAGCCGAAGGCAACGTTTTGACCTTCCTCGACAGCCATTGCGAATGCACGAAAGGATGGCTGGAGCCGTTGCTCAGTCGAATCAAAGAGAATAGGTATGTTTTTCTGTACCGAAAATCATCGCAACCAATTTTAAAAATACGCTGAAATCCCATTTATTTTCCAGACGAGCCGTGGTTTGCCCGGTGATCGACGTCATCAACGATAGGACGTTCCAATATCAAAAGGGAATTGAGCTGTTCCGAGGCGGATTCAATTGGAATCTGCAGTTTCGTTGGTACACCGTCCCACCAAAAGTGGCTCGAGAGAGAAGCAAGGACCCGACAGCTCCAATATTGTAAGTTTACAGCCAAAAGTGTGTGCAAAATTTAAGGAAAATCTAAGCGTCGCGCTTTATTCAAAGGTTTTTTTACATACAAAAAACATACCATTTTGCTTCTGGGAAGTATCAAATTAGGTTGATGCATAATTATCCGGCGTTTATACTTTTGTTAATGAAAATTGCCGTTTTGTTAATTTTTTTATAAAAATAATCTTCTCTGCTTAGCCAGTGGCAAAAAACGTATAATTTTTCAACCGGGAAATATCATTTTTGACCAAGTTTTTACCAAATCAAAAGCTTTCTTTTGAGCTAAAGTAAACTCTGGTATCTTTAAAAACCTTAAAATATCAAATTTAATTTATACTGCACCTTAATTAGTAGTTCCAGTGTAAAAAAGGCACATTTTCATGGTGTTGCGAGAAAAGTTCTGAGGGTTTTTTCAGTCTTACAAAAAAATTAAGCAGCTAATTCTTGCATATTCTGAATCAGAAAAATTTTGCGAATTTTTTGATATATGACTCGACCTGTAACTCCATACCCCATAGAAGTACTTTCCTTGTGAAATCAAAGTTTTTTCATTCACTTGGAAACGGAGGTATTTTGCTCATTTTTAATACTTCCCGGAAGCAAAATGGCAGGTCTTTTGCCACTGGATCAGATACCCCTATTGTAATTCCTCCAAAATTTTCAGGAGTCCAACAATGGCCGGCGGGCTTTTTAGCATCGACAGGAAGTACTTTGAAGAGCTTGGAACTTATGACAGCGGAATGGACATCTGGGGAGGAGAGAATATCGAGATGTCGTTTAGGGTAAGTTCCCATTTTTTTGCAAGATTTTATATGTACCAGAGGAAGATTTCTACTCCAAGTGCGACCCTCAGATTTTGATGAAACTTGGCAGAAATTTAGGCTGACTTTTTCTAAAATTCACGCGTGAATCCTACCTCGCGCTTTGCGGAAACAACCGAGATTTTTAGGTCGAAAATCGGCGAAAATTTGAGAATTTTAAAATATTTTTTTTAAGTATATTAAAACTTCTTTTATAAAAACTTTATAATTTTATCGAATTTCGGCATGAAAAGTTTCATGCCTATTTCTTCCATACAGCCTAATGTTTCCACAAAAAAGCATTTTTTTTTCCACTATCCAACTTATGGCGAAAAAATGCTTGTCACTCTGGCCGCTCTCCGCGTTTCGCGTACTCTCTCGGCGGCAAAGATTGTTCAATATCTTATCGGCGTCCATTTCATAGATTTTTTTTTGATTTCTTCACTGCAATTATGTTTCGAAATTTCCAGATTTGGCAATGCGGAGGGTCGGTTGAAATTTTGCCTTGCTCTCATGTTGGCCACATTTTCCGCAAAGCCTCTCCGCACGACTTCCCGAAGGGCTCCAATTCCGGGAAAGTTTTGAACGCCAATTTGATCCGAGTGGCGGACGTCTGGATGGATCAATGGAAGCATTTATTCTACAAAACCTCACCGCGTAAGCTTTTATTGTTTTCTGGGAAATTTTTAAAATACGCTTCAATGTTCTTTTTTTTCAAAAAGTATCAAAAAAAAAATCGTTTTTTTCAGAAGCCCTGAAGATGCGGGATCAGATCGATTCGAGCGATCGAATTGAGCTCCGCAAAAGATTGAACTGCAAATCGTTCAAATGGTACTTGGACAACGTTTGGCCAGAGCACTTTTTGCCGGTTCCGAATGAAAAACCGTTGGTTAGAGTGGGTTTTCTTGGATTTTTTAAAAACTGCGAAAATTTTTTTTATGAATTTTTTCGTTTTTTCGGTTTAAAAAATATCCTTTTTCGAACAAATTTGTGAAATTTTTGATTTTTTATTTTTTTTTCTGAGTGTGTCCCCTTTTTTTGCACCCCTAAAACTTTCTTTTTTTCAGTTTTTCCACCCAAAATCCGCCGCCCAAACCTGGCCCAGCTGCCTGCATTGGGGACACACTCAGAACACGGTGGTCAAAACCGCGACACTGCAGCCGTGTCGCGACGATCATTTCGATCGAACGTTGGTGAGTAATTTGGTCGTATTTTAGGTCGCGAACAGCGGGACCGACCGGTGTCTGAACAACAAGCCGGGGCTGGGCGCGGGCACCAAGCGAACGTTGAGTTTGAGTCAATGCTCCCTCGGATTTGATGTCTGGCAGGTAGTTGAAGGGGCTAAGGATGATGAAAGAGTTTTTGAATTGGATGACAATAGGATTGCTTTGGGGGGTTTGGTTTTTAAAAGGTTTTTAGACACCATTTGGGAAACTGTTTGCTTTTGAGACATCTCGAAATAACAGGGGAATACTCCAAGTGCGATGCTCAGATTTTGATCAAGCTTGGCGCAAATTTACAATAGTATTTTTTTTTTCAAAATATGCTGGACTCCTAGTTCGCGCTTTGCAGAAAACACCGAGATTTTCTTTGATCGAAAATGGAAAAAATGCAACACTTTTTTGCAAATTTTGGCACAAAATGAAGCATAACTGTTTCTGTAATGCAAAAGGTAGTGTTCGGACAAAAAATCGAAATCAATTTTTTCCTCTCGATACTGGAAATGGTCAAAAATAGTCAAAAGTATTTTTTTCTTTTCAGTCTCCGCGTTTCACGTACTCTCTCGGCAGCAAAGATGGCTCAATGTCTCGGCTGCTTCTGCAAATCTATTTTTTTTCACGTCGGCGACGCGATCGGCGTAGCGACATTGCTTATTATTTTCCCGACAGACTAATAAATCAACAAAATTTTTCTGTTCCTTGAGACCTCTTGTGCACAAGTTTGAATGTTGTTTGCTTGCCTACACTTCCGAAATTTACAAACCTCAAAATCACCCGTCCCCCTGCGCAAATCTGCTGGTATTATCCGCAGCAATTACCACCTACAAAGTTCAAGGGAGAGAGAGAGAGAGCGACGAAACAAACGATATTTTTATAAACTCGCCGTTTTCGAATTCCTTTTTTTTGCGGAGCCGAGAGACGCGCGGGTAACCTTTTATATTTATATTCCACCCCACAGAAACCTGCGCACCCATTCTTCGATCGAAACTTTTCATAACCCCCGCCACTCGCCCCTCTAAATTGTATGTGTTTCAGTTATGGATCTATGACAGACGGACGGGGCAGATCAAGTCCGACGAACATGTCTGTCTGACGGCTTCGCTGATCGTGAATACGCAACAGTGGACGGTGCAGTTGAAGGAGTGCGGAGAGCATGAGAACGAGGCCTGGGATTACAATGAATATGTGAGTTTTGGGCTGCGGAATTTTGGGGTTTACTGCTGAGAATTTATGCGAATACTAGCCCGTTCGCAAAGCGGCTGAAAAAACAGAACAAGAATGTCTCCCGCCAACTTTTGAGTTTTGTCCAAACTAGACATGGCTGGGGGGCCGGGCCGGGCCGAAAATCGCGGCCCGGCCCGGGGGCCGGAAGAGGTCGGCCCGGCCCCGGCCCCCTTCAAATTTTCTCGGCCCGGCCCGGCCCGGCCCCTGGGGGCCGGGCCGGGCCGGGGGCCGACCGGGGGCCGAAGTGAAAAGATAAATACTGCATTCATTACGGGATATAACACATTTTTTTGGGGCTTTGGTAGTTCAGCCCCCCACGAAAGGTAGTTCAAACCCCCCACTGTTTTGTCCATTTCACACCCCCCATAATTAAAAAATTAGAATAATACAAAAAATGGAAATTAGAGTAAAATGACCCCCGGCATTTTAGCTCAAACCCCCAGTTACCGTCCAAATTCGTTCTTGTGGTTCAGGCAACGATGGTCGCAGCCGAGAGAACCCAAAAATGTAGGCGCTTCAGATTGGATGAAGGGGTTTATACTGGGTCAAGGGGGCTGAACTGGACTGGGGGGGTTGTACTACTTTAGCCCCCATTTTTTTATTATAACAATCGAAAAAAAAATTTTTGAAACAAAAAATTACCAACCATTGCCATACTTCAAAAGACCCAATCTTGGTTCTGCGTTTTATTTTTATTGGCAATCCTAATTTTCGCTTTGAGACTGTGAATTTTAGTCATTGGGGGCCGATTGGGGGCCTGGCGGGGGCCCCCGGTCGGCCCGGCCCGGGGGCCGAAAGAGGTCGGCCCGGCCCCGGGGCCTTTAAAACTCGTTCGGCCCGGCCCAGCCCGGCCCCCCGGGGGGCTGGGCCGGGCCGGGCCGGGCCGGCCCGGCCCACTAGCCATGTCTAGTCCAAACGAAGTGTCACAATTGACAAAAAAATAAAATAATTCCGAAAAAAGTATTTTTCAGTCGGAAAACCCCATGAAAAATTCTTTTTGACATTTCGTTTGGATTCAACCGATACAAGGTGGGCAAAGCGCCAAAAGGGGCAGGAGACTCCCTGGGTTGCCGTGCACCGTGCATGTTGCGCGACGCAATCCTTTTTGAAACGTTTTGCACTGTGCAATTTCATTTCCCACAAAATTCGCGCCGCCTCCGTTGAGAAAAGCTTGAGTCGCTGCGATATTGCATTTGCACGGTGCAGAAATTCAAATGCACGCCGCAAAAAGGGGTTTGTGCACGGTGCGGCCCACGAAAAAAGTCAACGCACTTTTAAAAAATCGTAATATCAGTCTGTCGGAAAAATAACGGCGGATTGTCGCAGCGAAATGTCTCGCCTCGCCGCTGTCGCGCACCAAATCCCAAGCCGCGGCTTGCAGTCGCATAGCGATGATTGGCGATTTCGAGGCGCGACAATCCGCCGTTATTTTCCCGACAGACTGATAATAGTAGTCCGTTTGCAAAGTCGCTGGAATGATTTTTGCGACATGCGCTGTGCAGAAAAAGTCAAGGTGCGAGCGACAGCCCAAATTCTCGAAGCTTCTGAATGACGTTTCGTTGCGCGGAGACTAATTTCAACCTAAAGTTGACTCTCAAAACCTCCGAAATTGTTCGTCACCCATAGGTTATCAGTCTGTCGGGAAAATAACGTGGACTTGTCGCAGCAAAAATCTCTCTCATTGTCGCAGTCGCCCACCACGGAGAGCCGTCGCAAAGCGATGACGGGCGATTCCAAGGCGCGACCAATCCACATTATTTTCCCGACAGACTGAAATAAACACGGCCATGTAAGACCAAAGAAAAGCGGTCGCAAATCGTCCCGTTGACCTTCTAGTTTGTAAGACTTCCGACCAAATAAATCACAGCCAAATTGTAATAAACACATGGGGGAACTTGATCAAAACGATCATTTTCGAGCGCCTTATGCGGTGTAATCTTCTGATGATTTTTCTTTCTTATACAAGCATTCCATGAACAGGAGATTTGAGGTTTTTTCGGAGGCACTTTTAGGCTTACAGTCCCGCGGATTAGGTGTCAAAAAAAAATGCGTGTAAGGGTATCCTGAATACAATATCAGGGCATTCTGGATACAGTATCAGGCTATTCACGATGCAAAAAGGCTTCGCGATGAAAAGTCTATGCATTTTATGAAAATGCTGATATAAGTTGCATCGGGCTGACGGGAAAAGGAAAAAGTTCCTTTTTCTGGCCACAACAAAGGTACCCTGCGAACTGCGCCCAAGCTTGGGAACTAAAGTTAGGAAAAAAGGCTTCGACCTGGCTGGCACTGAATTACTATGATACCTCTTTAGTTTTAAAGGTACCTACGAAGGCGATGACGACTCATTTAGATCTATACGGAGACAATAAGTTTAGTTCCGGACATGTTTCATCGTATAAAGTGTGAAATCGCAGGCTGCAGCCGTTTTTGAAGGATAAGGTTGTACGTAAAAAAGAAGGTAATACATCACTAACTAAAGCTACTGTCAGCGCATTGACAACGATGAATTGAGCCTAAATTTGGGCTAATTCTGACCAGTTTCCGCAAAGTTATTAGGGTGTCCCATAAGTCTTGCAAATTTTTGGGTCGTTGCTTTGTCCGGACTCTTGTATGCTTTGAAACGCGTTACGGAGTATGCTGGGTATACGGGTTTGAAGCTCAGATAAAGCGCTTCTAAACCATATATGACAAGGCCACATAAGGTCCACCTGCTACCCACACTGTCCCGATATTGTACTAGACATTAAGAGAATTTTTTTTGTCTTTTGCTTGCTGATTTTGGAATGGATATATGCTTTGTAAAAAAAGATCTGTTGGCCCACTAAACGTGAAAATAGGACACATGAGAGCTTTGGATCTTATTCTAGTCCGCGCTACGTTGTGGCCAGAATAAGGAACTTTTACCCGGGAAAATAATGAGCACTCTGTTGCGACGAAAATCACATCGCCGCCGGGAAAATGAACTGTGTCGCGGCAAAATCAAATTGCTTTTCACTTTATTCTCATTTTTTCCCCGACAAACTGATATCTTCAAAATCAAAATCTATGCCGTATTTTACCTCCTCTCCTCCTTCTAAATCCCTCTTTTTCAGCGCAAATCCTTCGCGCATCGGCAATCGGGCTACTGTCTGGACGAGCCGTTGGAGAAGTTCGATGATCCCGACAAAGTTCGAGTCCCCACAGTAAGACGATGCAGTCGTTATTCGGAGAGCCAAAAATGGGAACTCCGGACGGTGGAATGGCTGCCCTCGAATCATACAATAGTCTAGACGATTTTTGAATTCAACCTTGCTAGTATTGCACAGCACTTGCCAATACTGCGAATGGGTTTTCACGGAAACTACGGGACCTCACGGACAACATGGTATTTCGAATATTTCGAGATTTTTGATGACTTTACAGCACTTTTTGTCTATAATAATAGTGAATTTTGTCGCGTATATTACATTTTTTTCTTCTTACAATAGGTTTTAGGTCTTTTCTCATAATTTTTCATCAATTTTTACCATCTTGCCTGAGGCAATTCCCCACCAAGTTTTTGCTGTATGAAAATCCAATCGATTGTTTCAGTTGCCATTAGAAACAAACACTTAAAAAATGGAAAACTTTACCCTCTTGGACCAGTTTTACAGCCGTTTTATAGCCTTTATGTCGTGATTTATGGCCTCTTTATTTCAGATTACAATAACTTTTTTTTGTGTACGTCGGAAAATTAACCGGTTTTGGGATCACTATTACGGTGCATTTGGCTCTCATAATTTATGTTTTTTAGGCAGTAGAACTGATCTTTTGTGTGATGAAAAAAGATTTTTTGAAAAAGTTTTTTGCACAGTGCAAAAAAATTTTGAAAATTTTTCTGCACCGTGCAGATTTTGAAGTGCTAAAAAAATGCCCTTAGGGCAAACTGTAATAATCGAAATTTTCAGCAAAATTAACACGATATTTGACGTATATTTTTCACTTTCAAAATCTACATTTACTCTACTGCATAACCAATTTTTGACCTTTTCAATTTTCGCACGGTGCAGTCCAAAATCCACAAAAATTAATGCACAGTGCAAAAAAATTTTTGAAAATTTTTCTGCACCGTGCAGATTTTGAAGTGCTAAAAAAATGCCCTTAGGACAAGTTTTAAAAATCGAAATTTCCAGCAACATTAACACGATATTTGACGTATATTTTTCACTTTCAAAATCTACATTTACTCTACTGCATAACCAATTTTTGACCTTTCCAATTTTCGCACGGTGCAGTCCAAAATCCACAAAAATTTTTGCACTGTGCAAAACAAAAAATTTCAAAAAATTTCTCCACACAAAAATCAGTATTACCACTTGTTATTAATCATCTAATTCGTTTGTTTTCAAATTTTGAAACTTTCCCGTCATATTGAATGTGATTGGTCCATCTATCTTCTTTCGCTTTGATTAATTCCCGTTTCTTACTAACTTTCCGGAGATAACTTGAAATCTTCTGTGTCTGCGCTTCTTTCCGGTTTCCCTTGTGGCAATTTGGGGGTGATTTTTTAAACAATTTCACTGGGTTAATTATTTTTTTTATTTAAAATTTTTTATTTTTTTTTTTATTTTAATTTTTTTAATCTTTTTTTAAATTTTAAAATTGTAAAACCACTTCGAAAAAAGCCGCATTCGCAGTAAGTTGCCTTGGCTTTACTGTTCTCCTGAAGATTGTAGTCATGACCGTATTTTATGCTTTTACTCAACAACAATATGCCTTATATCCAACTGTATGCCTTTACTCTTTTAGTTGTTAGTCTTTATTGTATTGTAATTTTATAAATATGGTATTTATATTTCGAATAAATTTTAATTTTTTTTTTGAATTTTTGGGAATTTATAATCAATTTTCTCGGCGGCGATGCAATTTTTGATGCTACTGACAATGTGAGTGCTCACTGTTTTCCCGACAAACTGTTAAACAGGGCAAATTTTGAGTAATTAGGCCAAGTTTTATCAAAATCTGAGCGTCGCACTAGGGGTACTTCCCTTGGGAATGGAGACCTGTCACTGATTTTATGCCGAGACGATCGGGGCCTTGAGCTGAAAAGTTTTTTTCAATTGAGCTAAGAAAACGCAAAGCGTAGCCTGCACGATCAGCATCAATTTTTGTGCGATCAGAGACAGTTTGCGCGGACAGCCTTTGCGTGCGGCAACTAGGGAATGCACATCAAACCGGTGACATGTCTAAATGTCAAGGGGCTTGGAGCTTTAGCTGAGCTGAATATCAGTCTGTCGGGAAAATAATGAGCAATACCTCGCATCGAAAATCGCATCATCGCCGAGAAAATGAACTGTGTCGCGGCAAAATCAAATTGCTTTTCAGTTCAGCGACACGATTGGGCGAAATTGTGCCCATTATTTTCCGCACAGACTAATAGCTCATCGGCGTTCGTTTCATAGATTTTTTTTTATTTTTTCACTGTAATCGAATTTTGAAATTTTAGATTTGCTTTTCACTTCAGCGATGATATCTCGTGAAAGCGGCGTTTTGTGCAGTAACAGGGCTTCAGCTAGTTGTGTAACTATATATACATATTCATCAACTTGTTCTCCAACTGTTGTCCTCGCTTTGGTTTGTTGTGCCTACCAATTACTTGCAAACTGGAGCCAATAAAAAATCCCAAAAAATAAAAAACCTTTATTTGATTATATTCTTAAAATAACACGGAGATGTAGTGTTTGTAACTACTCAGCCCCTCTGTATTTGCCCAATGATTCACGGGAAAATAAGGCGGAAGCGGATGGTGAGTAAAGGTGAGACAGCGCCTTTTATGCGATTAGAGCGTCATTGGGGACTTGAGGAAGGAGCATTAATCTTTTCATGGGTTTCACGGCACCGACGTCATTCCCAGAACTGTGTTTGTCATGTTTTTTGGAGAAATAAGTGGCTGTTCAAAGCTGCCTCTCCATTCATAACTCAGCGTCGTACCATAGCAGTGATGATGAGCACAATGTCACTGCGACGATCGCTGACGTGAAAATTTTCGCGGGGATGCGATTTTCGATGCGGCAGGGTCCTCATTATTTTCCCGATAGAATGATAAATGCATATGTATTTCTTCATAAAGTGCATGGACACTTTATTGCGCCCCGCACCGCGGAATTTCATCCTTTTTTTGCTTTCAACACTGTGTATCGGAAATATCGACGCGACAAAAGCAAGTTTCAGCTACGTCGCTGGGTCGGTGCACGATACCACGCCTTTTCAAAAGTGCGTACACTTTTTTTGCGGCGCAACTTGCATTTTTCCACTTTCTGCACTGTGCAATGCCAGAATTCGCGGCGACGCAGAAAAAACCTCCCGACGCGGCGATTCTTGAATTGCACAGTGCAAAAGGTCTAATGCACGGTGCGGTAAAATTGCGACAAAAAACTGTGCGTTGGCGAAAAGCGTGGGAAAAAGTTCAAAATGCGCTGTGCGAAAAAGAAAAAAATGTCCATTCACTTTATGAAAATACTAAAACAGACTCACTTTCCGTATTTTCCCATTTGAAAAAATATGTGTATAAAAAGCATGGCCAAAAAAACATCCTGAAATTCAAAACTGAAGCTGTTTTTAGTTGTTTTGGCCTCCGTTGTGGCCGAAATACGTCAGCCTTTATTACGTTTTATTTTCCTCTTCCGTTTGCGTCGTTGTTTCATTAAGATTGTTATGCAGGCCAAATGAAATTATGCAAATAATGGGAATTGAGTGGTTTTGGTATTTCTAATGAGGATTCAGCTGACAGGGGAAGTACTCTAAGTGCGATGCTCAGATTTTGATGAAACTTGGCACGAATTTAGAATAATTTTTTCTAAGATATATGCGAGAATTCTAGCTCGCACTTTGCAACAACAACCGAGATTTTTAGATCGACGGTCGGCCAAAATTTAGGACTGTTTGCCGAATTTCGGCACGAAAAGTTTCTTGCCTATTTCTACCGAACGGATAATCTTTCTACAAAAAATCAAATTTTTCCTTACGAAACTGCCAAAGTTATGGCCAAAACGCGCTTTTCTCTCTGACCGCTCTCCACGTTTAGCGTGCTCTCTCGGCGGCAAAAATCGTTCGATATCTCGGCGGCGCCCGCAAAGTTGTGCCAAGTTTCATCAAAATCTGAGCGTCGCACTTGGGGTACTTGCCTTGTCAGCGCTGAACTTCTTCGGGATTTCCTACATTTTGTGCGCCGCACACAAAATTCTCGTACTATTTTCCTTCCTGAGCCGCATCTGCTTCCAATTTCCCCCCAATTTGATCAACAACCCTCTCTGTTTACTTCCTTCCATTCGTTTGCAACTCTTTGCTCCCAAAAAAAGAGAGCAATCGTGACCCCCGAACCCCTCTCCCGATTCCCCCTTTTTTCCCGCTTTTTCTCTTCCCAAAAGCCATTCCCCCCGCCGCATTCATTTTCGCTCTTAACTTGCGTTTTTAAACCCCAAAAACAACACCGAAGAGTCGGCAGGGCTCATGGAAAAGTTTGTGCGGCAGTTTTTCGAAACACCCGCAGGGCATGTTTCTTGACGCCGGCGCTTCGTAATGCGGAGCCGAAAAAGCCGCGGCCCCACCAACTCTTTTTCCCGTCCCATTCGTTTTTCTGCGGCGGCTCTCGGATCCCCAACTGCATTATACGCGAGGAGAGAAAGGGGGTTTCGTGTGGGGGGATATTCGGGTTTAATAATAATCGCACACATTGTTCTAGGGGGGGTTTTTGGAGGCTACAGGGGGGGAAATGGCGAAAATGAGGGGAAGATTGAGGATTTGATGGGGCTGATTGGGATTTTTTATATTTTCAAGGGCTTTTTTGAATGTAAAATTGACTTTTACGGCGAAAAATTGAGTGTAAACCCTATCATTTTAAAATTAATCCCGATCTTCAGCGATTTTTTGAAATGTTTTGGCATTTTCCTGGTAAATTTTTGATTTTCTACATTTTTAAGAACTTTTTTGGATGTAAAATTAAAATTAAAAGTCTCTGTAGGCGGCTAGCTCGTATTTTAGGTCCAGAAATTGAACATATACCCTCAAAAATTAATGTTAATCCGATTTTTTTGCGATTTTTTGGTCTTTTTCGTAGCAATTTTTTGATTTTCAATATTTTCAATCACTCTTTTGGATGTAAAATGGAAATTAAATAAGTATCGGGTAATTTAGTTTCTATCTACAGCTTAAAATTGGGTTTAAACTCTACAACTTTCAATTTAATCCAAAAGATTTTGCACTCTTTTGATTTGTTTGACATTTTTTTGGGAAATTTCACCTTTAAAGCTCTCTAGACATCCCCAAATTTTCTGACAGTACAGCTCAGTCAATTCCTTTGCACTCACAAATCCTGCGCTTGTCAAAAAAGCCCGTTTTTCCAAATTTTCCAACAAAAAAAGGATCATTTTTTGCTAGAAAACGGCAAAAAAGTTCTGTTCCACATTTTGGAATAGACTTGCCGCAAATTTTCAAAACTAATTTCTCCGTTCAATAAAGACAGTTACTCGTCAAAATAGGAACAAATTGTTTTTTTCCGACACTCTTCAAATTATACCCATTGTATGGCGTCTGCACGGTGCGGTCTTTTAATTGAGGGTTTTTTTGACTTTTCTCTCTCTCATAGTCAAATTACCTCGCGAAAAATTTGGAACACACAAAAAATTCAGTTTTTTTCTAATTTTTAGTGTGAAATTTCAAAAAATTTTAAAAAATCAAAAAAAAAATTTTTGAAATTTTTCAATTTTTTTTTGATGATTTTTCGATTTTTTAATATTTTCATATTGTAAAAATTGTTTTTACAGTGCCCGGAAACCCAGCCTTATATATTAAAAATTGAAAAAATGCAAAAAAAAAATAAAAATTTTGAAATTTTGCAAAAATTTTTTTTGATGATTTTTCGATTTTTTCAAATTTTTTATAGTGTAAAATTCGTTTTTACAGCGCCCGGAAACCCTTTCCAAACGAGAGAAAAACTCTTTTTCCCATTGACGTCGGTCAATTTCCGTGGTTATTTTGGGCCGCCCCCCTACGTTAATCTCTTTACATCCAAAAATACACTTAATACTTTGTGGCGAAAACAGATTTTGTGGAAGAATGGGGAGTTTGCAAGAAAAATTGGGCTAATATTTTGTCTGCTATTGGGGGATTTTTGGTAAATTTTTATATTAACTTCAATTTTGGCTGTAATTTTACAAAAATTGCTATAACTGCTGAATGGATAATGGTAAAGCCATAAAATTTTGTGCTTATGATCTCACTATAAGAGCAATCAACTGCTGAAAAATTCAGCTTTTGCGTTGCAGCGAGAGCCGAGATATTCAACGATCTTTGCGGTCGAGAGAGTACGCGAAACACGGAGAGCGGTCAGAGAAGAAACTTCTTTTTTTTACTGTTTTCGCGTTTTCTCCGGGAAAACATCCGGTTTGGGGTTGTAACGATCTTATACTCTACACTTTGAAAAGATAAAAATCTTGTTTTCTTTTGAAAAAAAATTTTTGTTTGGCTTGGTAAAGTCTGCTTGCGTGATTCCGACGGCACTGTGGGAAAACAAAAGTGCATCTTCCATTGCGACAATTTCTTGTTTTTTGCAAAGTGCAAGAAGGGCTTCGCTGTCTTGTTCTTTAAATTTCGCATAAACTTTGGGCATATGCCACGTACTAGTCCGCTCGTAAATTTACTGGAATATTTTAGACGACTTGCAGAAAAATTCAGGGTGCGGGCGGCAGCCCAAAAACGCCTATTGCACGGCGAAAAAACTTTTTTCGAACAATGCATGTCGCCGATTTCCGTCCGGCGATTTTCCGGAAGAACTATGAGTATCAACTCCTAAAAGTTTCAGCTCGCGCTTTGCAGTTGTTTCTGTCAAATACAAGCTATTTTAGAAACCTCGCATATGTCTTAATCTGAGCGTCGCACTTTGGATACTCCTCTGTAGAAAAATTAAAGAGATTAAAAAAAAGGTTCAATTGTATGTACATATTATTAGGTTGTTCAATATGAAATGTCGGATTTTAACCTTTAACTTTAAAACACCATAACTTTTTTATAATAAACTTTGTTAATCGAAATAGAAACCATTAGAATCAACACACTTTTGCCAACGAGAAACAAGTTTATTTATGCCGGTAGCGTAAAAATCCGGGGTTCTGGAGGCGATAAAGTCGGCGAAGGCGGTTTTGGCGTCGTCTTGGTTTTTGAAGCATTTCTCCTGCAGGAGGTTGTCCAGATGCTTGAAAAAGTGGTAGTCGGTGGGCGAGAGGTCCGGCGAGTATGGTGGATGAGGCAGAGTTTCGTAGCCCAATTCGTTCAGCTTTTGCAGGGTCGGTCGTGCATAGACATGGCTAGTGGGCCGGGCCGAACGAGTTTTAAAGGCCCCGGGGCCGGGCCGACCTCTTCCGGCCCCCGGGCCGGGCCGACCGGGGGCCCCCGCCAGGCCCCCAATCGGCCCCCAATGACTAAAAGCCAAAGCGAAAATTAGGGTTGCCAACAAAAATATTAGAAAGGCAGAGCCAAGAACCGATTGGGTTTTTTGTACTATAGGCAATGGTTGGTAATTTTTTTTTTCAAAAATTTATTGTCGATTGTTATAACAAAAAAATGGGGGCTAAGGTAGTACAACCCGCCAGTCCAGTTCAGCCCCCCTGGACCCAGCATAAACCTCCTCATCCAATCTGAAGCTCCTACTCTGGATTAGGTTCTCTCAGCTACGGTCAGCGTTGCCTGAACTACGAGAACGAATTTGGACGGTAACTGGGGGTTTGAGCTAAAACGCCGGGGGTCGTTTTACCCTAATTTGCATTTTCTGCATTATTCTAAATTTTTCATTATGGGGGTGTAAAATGGACAAAACAGTGGGGGTTTGAACTACCTTTCCTGGGGGGCTGAACTACCAAAGCCCCAAAAAAATGTGTTATATCTCGTAATGAATGCATTGTTCATATTTACAGTTCGGCCCCCGGTCGGCCCCCGGCCCGGCCCGGCCCCCAGGGGGCCGGGCCGAGAAAATTTGAAGGGGGCCGGGGCCGGGCCGACCTCTTCCGGCCCCCGGGCCGGGCCGCTATTTTCGGCCCGGCCCGGCCCCCCAGCCATGTCTAGTCGTGCAACGTGCGGCCGAGCTATTACCAGTAGTCGTTCCAGAAAGTGCGTGGACTTTTTCCGGCGTTTTTTTTTTGCATCGCACGGTGCATGTTGTGACACGAAACTTTTCGAAACATTTTGCCAAATTCACGCCGCAAAAAGGGGTTTTGTGCACGGTGCGGTGCACGATGAAAAGTCTACGCATTTTATGAAAATTATAATAGTCCACATTTTCCGCGCTCTCCTAACTTTTTTCCTTTCTTCGAACGTTCGCTGTGCCTTCGAATTTTCAATTTCCACCTGTTACATTCATTTTCCCTTTCCAGTCGCATCCACAATGTTAATACCCTCGTGAATTTTGCCGTCATGTGAGATGAACAACCACGACAGCTTGTTCAACAACAACAACCAGTCGACAACGGTGCTGGTGGACGAGGATTCGCCGGATTCGTTCGAGTTCCAAAACTGGCAGAGTCGGCATGTCTTGAATTGGCTGAAAGGTGGGCTTTTTTGGGGTTTGATTATTCAAATTTTAGCCTGGAATACGATGATTTACAATGTAAAAGGGGCAATCTGGGCAATCTCACCAATTTTTTTCCAGCTTAAGCTAATTTTCGAAATGAATAGTCAAATTTTAGGGTTGTTTAGGCGAAATTTTTAATTGATTATTCAAATTTTCAGACCGAAATATGCTAATTTTTGCTCTGAATATTCAAAAGTTAGGTCATAAGTATTAATTTTTAGTTGATTTTTTTCAAATTTAGGCGTGAGTGGCAACTGCTCGTTACAAAAAATTGAAATTCTAACCTTGTTTATGCTGTTTTTGATCTAAATATTAAAATTTTTATCGGTTTATAGTAATTTTGGGGATAAATATTGAATTTTTAGATCTTCTAAGACCCATTTTTTGGTTGATTGTTCAATTTTTATATAAAACAAGCTATTTTTAGACATAAATATTCAAATTTTTTCTTCGGTCTAGGCTAATTTTTCGCTTGAATATTCAAATTCCGCTGAATGTAAGCTGGTTTTTGATCTGAATATTAAGTTTTACCCCCTTTTTTACTGATTTCGACCTATATATTCAAATTTTAGATCATTCTATGTTAATTTTCTCCTTAATTATTCAAATTTAAAACAAATTTATGCTAATTTATCCCTTAATTATTCAAGTTTAGACCAATTTAGGTCAATTCTACCCTTAATTATTCAAAAAATTAGTCCATTTCATGTCAATTCTCCTCTCAATTATTCAAATTTCAGGCCTAGACGACGCGATCGGCCCATTCATCCGCCTGTTCGCCCAAAAGCACATAGACGGCTGGGAATTGTCCGGCCTGGACAACGACCGCCTACGGCGCTTGGGAGTGAACAAGGAGAAGTTGCGGTGCAAGATTGTCAGCTCCATCGACCTACTGTATTATTACGTGAGGGCCTGTTTTCGGGATGACCCAAGCTTTTCAGCAAGAGGACATCGACGCGGAGAATGCGCAAAAGCTGGCGCTCAAGGTCACCGTCTGCGTGCAGAATCTGCTGAACGCGGTGCAGATCGCGACGCCCGTCATCCTGAGTCCGAACCAGTCCAGCAAGAGTTTGGTGGTCCTGAACTCGGTCCTGCTGTATGTGGCGGATCTGCACGAGGACGTGGCCAAGCTGATCTTTTGGTTGGATCGGTAGGTTGATCAGCTAGTGACAGTAAAACCTCTGTATAACGAACCGAAAAAAACCGGTCGTTACAGAGAGGATTTGTTCTATAAAAGTTGATCTTTACTTAAAATTACTTTTGGGGCCTCAGAAAGCGTTTTTCTTCTAACATTATCATTTTTTCGCATTCCAGACATCCATTCAATGAGAAGAAATGGTTCACCGAAATCAGAGACCGCTTGGCTCTGTTGATCAACGAAATTGTCGATTGCATCAATGATCCCAACAATCCAAAATTCTTCTCCGTTCCACAGCTGCTGGTGGAGGTAAGGGCCTTATAAACATTCGCCAAATGCTTCGAAACTTTCACAATTAATAACGCTCAAGGAAAATCATACAATACGATAAGACTTGGAAGAGGTCCACGTCAAAGAAAAAGTGAAAAAACAAGGAACCTCGGATCATTGATTTTTGACGAAATGTCGCTGAATTATTGAGTCACAAAAGAAAACTTTCCCAGAGAATTTCGAGAAAAACGTTTTTTCGAAGAGCAAAATAATTTTTCAAGCTCGATAATTCTGTGGCACTTCGCAAAAAAACCAATGATCCGAGATTCCTTGTTTTTTCAATTTTCTGAAAGAATTGTTTTGACGTGAGGTCCCTAATATATCAGTCCGTGGGGAAAATACAGGGTGCGGCAAAAAAATGGAAACTTTTTTCATTGGGTCCTGACGCAAAAATTTTTAAGTGCAGCAAAATTATTTTCATACCATTAAATTCTACGTAGCTTTCTCTCCTAGACCTTATAATTTCACGTCCATATCGGTTTATTAACATTCTTTTTTTGAATGACAAAAAGAGGGACCTCGATTTCGGACCTGTTTTTTACCTGTGCGAACTGTTAATTTGCCCGGCATAGAAAGCACGTTGTGTCCAAAGTAATCACACAATGCAGGGAGCTTTTTGACAATTTTAAGCGTCCAGTAAACGAAAGAAAACGCACCGCCAACACTTCTGCTAGCCGCGGAGACATCAATAGCGAAATCCGTCGGTTTCGAGAAAAAATTGCCCGTGAGACCGGCATCAGCAACCGACCAGTCGGCCAAATAGCTAAAAATCAACTCAAGGTCTCCCCACGCAAGGTCTGAAATGCCCAACTCCTAATCGGCAAGATCAAGCCGGTACGCCTGAAAAAATGGCGCAAATTCCGACGTCTGGCCGCAGGTCCGCGATGGGAGCGCATTCCCTTCGCGGTGCAATCTTTGGCGGGTGCACAACCAACAGAACGTCATAGTCCCATCGGATGAGGCCCCCTGCACGTCGGCTAACGACGAACACCGTCAAAATAAGGGCCGTCATCGCCTAAGGCGGAATTTGTGCCAGCGGCAAGAATTCCGAGATTTTCGTGGATCAAGCGGGCAAAATTCTAGCGCCGCGTTAACTTCGATTTCCTCATGCTTCTGTTGGCTCAGTAGAACCTTGACAGCGCAAATTTGACGTTCCAACTAGACTCAGCGCCGACTCACAGGGCAACAACCAGTCAAGACCGATTTTTAGACCGATTTTCCCGATTTCACCCCGTCTGCGAAAAGAGCGCCTGCTCGCCGGGTATAGATCCAATGGACTGTAATTTTTTTTCAATTGGAGGCCAGCATCTGTACTACACGCCACAAAAGTTTGGAGTCGCAAAGTAATCGCTGCGTCAAGAACGGGACCGATTTCCCCGAAAAAAGCTGCGGCCAAAAGGCCAAAATTTTAAGTCACGTTTGGAGCTCTATATCGCCACCAAAAGCAGCCACGGTAAAACGGGTTGAATATGTTATAAACAATGCTCTATGTTATTGAAGATGACCGTTACTTTTGCGGAATTTGGATTACTAGGAAAAATATAGCTATAAAGATAAGTTTCCATTTTTTTGCCGCACCCTGTAATGGGCACTCTGTCGCACCGAAAATCGCATCGCCGCCGAGAAAATGAATTGTGTCGCGGCAAAATCAAATTGCTTTTCACTTCAGCGACACTATTGGCGCAGCGACATTGTGCTAATCATTTTCCCGACAGTCTGATAATATCTAGTAAATCTGGGCATGTCAATCGCAGATTGTTTTGATTTTTCCTTCACCAAGGTTTCCGCGTCGTATCTCAAGCATGATCAGTACTGGCGATGAAAGTTCTAGAGACTCCTTTACCATTCTGTCGGGAAAATAGTGGCCGGCCTTCGCTAGCCATCGCAAAACAATGATGGGAGATTCCAATGCGCGATGACCCGCACTATTTTCCCGACAGACTGATAAAGGAGTCTCTAGAACTTCCATCGCCAATACCAAACATGCTTGATTGTGAGATACGAATACAGTCCACCGTCACGATCATACATTCTTTTTTCCAGAAAGGCAAACGAATCCAAAGTCTTGCCAACGAAATTATCCATTCCAATGACCCCACCATTCTGTACACCGCCTACATTCAACGGGTTGTATTGATGAAAAATACTGATGTAGATTGGGTACGTTCCTCTAGTATCTTAACCCTCTAACGTGATTTTCAAACAACGCGGGTATTTTTTTCAGGGAGTTGAATTCAAATCGACCGCAAATGGGATTCATTTGGTGACCAAAGTGCGCACTGGAAATGGCAATAATTTGGCGGCCAAAATTCACGTTGGCGATGAGATTGTGGAAGTAAGTAGAGGATAAATCAAGTTTCAAGATATAGAAAAAATGATTTTCAAAAATCCCGCCGAATTTAGCGACATTTTTAATTCAAATTTTTTAAGTCATCAAAAAAATTTTTGCCAAAATTTTCAAATTTTTTTCAATTTTTTGGCCTAGTTTTAGTGTCTATTCCATTTCCTAATATTTGATTTAGCGCTGGCCACAAGCACGTGGCCAGAAATTCCGGAATTTGTAATCAAATTTCACTTTGCGCTTAATTATGAATGTAAATTGAGAAAGCGCGAAAAATACAAGTTTTTACCGCCCAAAAAGCTGGAAAATTAATCTTATTCTAGACATCAGAGACTATTCCCTTGCCTAAAATTATATTTACCACCAAAGAAGGGTCGAAAAAACCGCAAAAAATCCCGATTTCAGATCAACCGACAGTCGGTTGTGGGCTGGAAAACCAAAAACATCCGACGCAAGTGGGACTCCTCGGTGAAAGCGACGCCCCAGGGCGGGTTCGAGATCGAGATAACGCTGGCCAAGCGGCCCCGCGAAAGCTGGATCCCGATCACGCTGCAAAAGGGGAGTCGGAGCAACGTGGCGCCGGAGCCGGACCAGGCCGGAACCGAGACGGAGCGCAGCATCCGCGACTTCAAGCGCAAGATCCAGCCGGATTTGTTTGTGCGACACGAGGTGGGGCTCAGTTTTCATTCTTTTGCGGGCGCTTTTTTTTTGGGCTGGAGACGGAATTATGGCCGTTGGATGGGGGTTTTGGAGGGGAAATTAGGATAAAATGGGAGTATAATCGACAATTTTATGGAGTATTTTTTTCACATTTTTCATCCAAGAGGCAATATAAATCATTTACAATACCTATATTTTTACTCTAATTAAAACATTTAACTTTTTGAAAAGTTTTCCAAAAATTTGGCTAATGAATTTTGAATTGAAATTTCTCAAAATTCGACCGGTCGATTTTCCTAAAATTTTGCACATATTTTCTGCAGAGATCATATTTTAATCGCTGAAAATTTGGGCTTTTTCTTTGCATGCATAGTCGAGATATACAACGATTTTTACGGAGCAAAAGACATTTTTTTTTGATATTTTTCGACCAAATAATCTCGAATATTTTCGCATACAGCAAGCTTAAAATCCAGTAGGTGTCTCAGAAAAATCCTAGATTAAATTTTCCTCAAATTTGAGCTGAATTCAAGACATGCCCTTAGGCATTTTGGCCTAAAAAATTCATTAAAAATCTTCGAAATAACCTTGGTTCACATTTTTTCCCCGAAATTTCTAAAAATCTCGTATTAAATCCCATCAATTACGTCTAATTGCCCTTTTATTTACATTCTACGCCATGCTTCGGAGATCAGAATGACATAATTTTTGAGAATGATTTCATTTGCTCCGGGTTTAATGACGACAATGAGAGCTGACCTGTTTTCTCACGGCTATTGCGTAAAAAAGTTTTTTTTTTGCATTTGGTTGGGGTTCATTATTCAGTCTACGAATTGAAAATTGCCTAAGGGGTTGTAATTTGTTTCGTTGGGAAAAAGTTTCGAAAAAAAATTTTTTCGAAATTTTATTTTTGAATATACAAATTTTCTATCTTGAATCTTCAAATTTTTACCTTGAATATTCAAATTTTTACCTTGAATATTCAAATTTTTAAAATTTAAATGCGACACTCACAAGTTAAAAGTTCAAAGTTAAAATTTTCAGGAAGCCGGCAAGCCCCGCCGGATTCGCTCTGCGTCTTTTTGCTCCGTCACTGACCACCAATTCATCTTCACCTACCCCGAAGAAGACGAGCTCTATCGCTCGCCCTCTCCATCTGGCCCCACCAAATCTCCGACGGCCTTGATTTTGACGGAAAAACGGCCAATCTTCCGACGCGCCTCTGTTTGGACCGAAAGCCCTCCGGCGGTTCTGCGGAGTCCGTTCGATCGGCTTCGGTACACGGAGGAGTCGAATGCATGGCTGCTGTTGTTGGCGTCGTGGGCCGAGACGATCCCTAAGAAAGGAGTGAGAGCGCCGTATCGAAGCCTGATCATCAACGGCGAGACGATCGAGGAGGAGGACGAGGAAGTGGAGGAACCTTTTGGTAAGAAATCTCGTAATCTCGTACGAAATGTAAAGGCAGTGGAAGCGCCGTACATGGCGTTATTATTATATCTTTCTAATCTTTGAAGGATATTGTCAGTCTGCCGGGAAAATAATGAGCGCTCTATCGCATAGAAAATCGCATCGCCGCCGAGAAAATGAACTGTGTCGGGGCTAAATCAAATTTCTTTTCAATTCAGCGACGCAATCAGGCAGCGACATTGTGCTCATTATTTTCCCGACAGACTGATATTATAGTATCCATCAAAGACCCGAAAAAAAGATTTGACAATAACGCCTATTGCACGACGCTCCAACTTCTTTACATTTGTCATATTTACAAGTCCTTTGAATAACGGATATTCATAATAAAAATATTAAAAATTCTATTACGATTCTACATACTATGATTTGAAAATCTTTGTAGTGACCTATTCACAATAATACTTTGTAAAGTTGTCAATTGTTACGTGGCCTTACAAGGGAATTGTACAAACCATCCAGAGCCAAATGACATAACACATGCTACTTGGCCATGGATAGTCTGTACACTTCCCTTATAAGGCCACACATCAATTCTTGACAACTTTACAAAGTATTACGGTGAGGTCACCACAAAGATTTTCAAATCGTAGTAGAATCGTAATAGAATTTTATATGAACATCCGGTTGGACAGGTGCTTTATCGTACGGTAATCTAGTAGTTTGTAGTTAGACATTTCTTGCTAATAGCGCCGGGTTTTGAAACTCCATGCATAACCGAGCAAATTGCCAACGGGGCATTCCAGTAGTCGCTGCATAAGTCTTAGTTCATAGAGAGGTTCTCTGCATCACAAGACATGTCTAGTTTTACTCTAGGAATTCGAGTGGAGCAGCGAAATTATGATTATTATTTTCCCGACAGACAGATGTCTTACTACTAGCATTTTCATAAAGTGCGTAGATTTTTGGACCGTTCATAAAATGCATTGTGAAAATGATATTTTTGCGCACAGTGTAGCACACGGCGAAAAGTCTACGCACTTTATGAAAATCCTAGTATCATTCTGTCGGGAAAATAATGTGGATATGTCTCGCAGCAGTCGCGAACTAACTTCCCAGTCGCGGCTAGCCGTCGCAAAGTAACGACTGGCAATTCCTAGGCGCGACGGATCCACATTATTTTCCCGACAGACTAATTGCCCCTCCTGAAAGTCGCTGGAATGATTTTTGGCCTTTGCACAGTGCAAAAGACGCCAGGGTGCGAGCGACAGCCCGAAAAAAGCGATTTGCACAGTGCAAAAAGCAAAAAACTGCACCGTGCAGGCTGAACTTTTGTTTTCTCACAGTGTGTGTCGCCGATTTCATTCTGGCGACATGCACTGTGCAAAAGCAAAATTTCACTTTGCACTGTGCAATTTCCCGCTTTTTGCACCGTGCAATCGGCTAGTTTGGGATGTCGCTCGCACCCTGAGTTTTTTCGCACTGTGCAAAGGGCAAAAATCATTCCAGCGACTTTCTGGAGGGACCATTAGTCTGTCGGGAAAATAATATGGACTCGTAGCGCCTTGGAATCGCTCGCCGTCTCTTTGCGACGGCTAGCCGCGGCTGGGAAGTTAGTCCGCGACTGCTGCGAGACAAAAAATTTGACAGCGGTAGATTCACATTATTTTCCCGACAGACTGATAGTATTATAAGTACATAGGTAATATGCCTTTGTCTATTTCCCCTCCTGGTTCGAGGAAACAGCTTGTCACGGCGAATCTACGCAACATTGTGAAGAGTTGTGACTTTCCCCGAATTTTTTCGCTTTCCCCGATTGCGATCTCCGTTCGGCCCGCTTCAAACGCGTCATTTCGCATTGCTAAATTTCAAACATTGGATTCATTAAGAATCGCAAATTTCCTCCCTCACTACCAAAACCGAAATGTATATCAAGCTGACGATCATTCCAGAAGAGCTGAAGATCGACCTGAACAACCTGGAGACACTCTCCGACGCCGAGGTCGAGTCGCTGAACCCCAAGCCGAGCCCGGTGGAGCCGACCGAGTGGAATGCGCCGGTCACGGAGGATATTACCGGCTACAAGTTCCAGAAACGGGTGCATCTGGAGAGCTCGTCCAGCCAGACCAATTCGGTGGAAAGTCCGTTGGCGTAAGTTGGATTTTAGTTTTGAATATTGAATTTTTTAAATTTTAAAACTATGCAAATTTTGATTTGCGCTTTTTCATGTTAAAATATGCGGAGAGATGATTCTTGGAAAAATTATGCAAATTTTTAAAATATGCAAATTTTTTGAAATATTCAAATTTATGAATTAATTTAAAAATTATGCATATTTAAATTCCACTTTGTAAGCCATAGCAAGTGAAACGGCGAATGTTAGAAAAAATATGCTAATTTTTTAGAACTCAAAAATTTTGAATTTTTTTTTGTGAAATTATGCAAATCATATTTTTTAATGGTGACTACAATATGCGTCGAAACTCATAAAAGTTCCAACAAACCTCAAAAAAATTATGATTTTTGTCAGATTCAAATTTTATGCAAATTTTTAAACTTTCAAAAACTGTTAAAATTCCAAATTTAACCATTCCGATTAAAACTTCTACAAAATGACGTAATTTTTCCCCAAAAAACCTATATATAAATTTTGGACCTAATTTATGCAAATTTTAATTTTTCATCTCCGAGCTTCTCAAAAACCAATAAAAATTCGCCGCTATCCTGCTCTCCAAAACAATGCCATCAAAATTTGAACTCCAACTTTCCTCTACTCACATTGTACATACACACATACACTTCAAAAATTTCCGCAAAAATCCTCCAATTTCGCACCTAATATTTCGTCAATGTATTCCCGTAAATTTAAAATTGTAATTACATTGCCCACTTTTCCCATCATCACTTCCGTTTTTTTCCCTCCCAAAATTTGGAGGGTGTAATTACAGCGCCGACCTAATCCCCTTGACGAAATAACCGTTGTAATTATCGAAGGGGGGCCCCCGAGAGGTGCGATTATTTTGTATTTCCCGATTACATTGTAATTCGTGAAGAGGCATGCCGCTACAGTTACACGGTTAGAGAGCGAAAATTGTAGTGGTGGGGGGATTGTGGGAGCGGTATTAATAGGATTTTTGTAAGCCGAAATTTCCGTGAAACGAACGGAAATGGGGGATTTTGACATAAAATATGAGATTTAATCGGTTCATCGCGGAGCGATCCCCGGATTTTGATGAAATTTGGCGAATATGATCTATTCTATTTATTTACAAGGGAAGTGCTTCAAGTGCGACGCTCAGATTTTCTTTAAATTTTGCACACACGTCGGGAATAGACTAAATATCAATTCCTGAAAATTTTAGCTCTCGCTTTCCAGGCATCGCCGGGATATTCGACGATCTTTGCGGCCAAGAGAGTATGCTAAATGCTGAGAGCGAAAGAGAAAAACACTTTTTGGCCATAACTTTGCTAAGTTCGCGAGGAAAAAATTGATTTTTTTGAGGAAACATTATTCTCTACAGTAGAAATAGCTATGAAACTTTTCATGCCAAAATTTGCAAAAAAGTGTCAAATTTTTGCCGACTTTCGCACGAAAGGTTTCCTGCCTATTTCTACCGTAAAGGGTAATGTTTCCACAGAAAATCTATTTTTTCCGCACGAAACTTGCAAAGATATAGCCAAAAAGTGTTTTCTTTAACCGATCTCGGCACTTCGCGTGCTCTCTCGGCGACAAAGATTGTTGAATATCTCGGTGGCGCCTGCAAAGCGCGAGCTAAAACTTTCAGGAATTGATAATTGGTCTACGCTAGACGTGTGTGCAAAATTTGAAGAAAATCTGAGGCACTTGGGGTACTTCCCTTGTTAATACATTTGCTCTACAGTGACGGACCCGATCCAGTGGCAAAACACGTACCATTTTGCATCCTGGAAGCATCAAAAATGTGGAAAAATGCTTCCCTCTCCAAGTGAAAAAACTCGCTTTTGAAATGGGAGTTTTCTCACTTGGAAAGGGAAGCATTTTGCCACATTTTTGATACTTCCCGATGCAAAATGGTACATTTTTTGCCACTGGATCAGGTCCCCCACTGTATAAACAAGTCTGCTGTACCTAGATATCGGATATTTTTTCATTTTTTTAAATGCAAAAATATGTATTATGTATTAAAATACATTCTCCTTGTCATCCCTCTCTCAACATTTCGGTTGCAAAGTAATCCTCCGGAAGTTTTGCTCGCCAAATTTAATCACCTCAAGACCCTAATCCGCGTATCGATTATGAAAACAAGGTTCGCCTTATTTACCATTAGTTCCTCTCTTCGTTATCGCTGAAGGTATTAACGAAGCCCGGGCCGTGGAATTTGGAATAGAAATTGGAGTTGTTTTCAAAGTGTTTTGGCGAATTTTCAACGCCTAGAGCGAGTTTAAGCCCTTAGGGCTCGAAATAATATAAATAACATATTTTTTCAGGAACTTCCAACAAAAAATCACCCGATTCTTCCACGGGGCGGATTCGCTGACAGAAGGCGGTGCGTCTTCCGACGAAATCCCTCAAACCCCCTCGGCCAAGGTGTTTGCCTCGATTTTCGCGTCAACTCCCAAGATTTTGAAGGATCCCAGCTTTGGCCAACTGCCAACGCCGCCAGTTGAGGAGCCAAGCTCGAGAAGTCAGTCGCCGACCACACTCACCATTCACACCACGCCTTCGATCAACAGTCTGCCGGCCAACTCGAAAATCGTGAATGTGGTGTCGAGGAAGAGCAGATTGGCGGTGAGTTTTGGGTTTCTGTGGGCCACAGAGTTTTTTTAGTCTGTCGGGAAAATAATGAGCACAATGCCGCTGCACCTTTCGTATCGATAAAGTGAAAAGCAATTTGATTTTGTCGCGATACAAGTCAGAATTTTTCTCGGCGGCGATGCAATTTTCGTTGCGACAGAGCGGTCATTATTTTCCCGACAGATTGATAGAACTTCTTCCAAGTGCCACGCTCAGATTTTCGTCAAATTTGGCCAAGGTATTTGGGCTATGCCACGTATAATTTTCTCGAAATTCTAGCTCTGTTCCGGCGCGGCCAAGAGGTTAAAAGAGAGTTCTTTACAACTCGAAGGATGGCCCGGACATTTCGAAAAAAACGACCAGCTCAGAATCTTTTGATATTTTACATAGCTGTTGTACTATGTTAGCTGAACTTCAGTACAAATTTATAGTTTCGGAAATTACCTAAAACCTCTCTTTTAACAAGGAAAGTACTTCTATGGGGTGTGGAGCTACAGGTCGAGATATATATCAAAAAATTCGCAAAAATTTTCTGATTCAGAATGTATAAAAATTAGCTGCCTAATTTTGGTCTGATGACATGTTTTTGTCCTCAGAAGTTTTCTCGCGACACCATGCAAGTGTCTTTTTGGCCGCGTTTTTACCAATAAAAAAATTTTATTTTGTGCTAAAATAAATTCTGAAGCCTTGACAAGCCTTAAAATATCAAATTTGATTACAACTACACTTAAAACTAGTTCCAATGTAAAAAATGGGTTCTCGTGTGGCAAAAGGAATCGAACCCGTTCCCCTCGGATTTCCAATCTGGCGCTCTAACCACTCGGCCACACCGCTCTCTTCCGAAGGAAGAGACCGAGCGCGCTTTTGTTGCCGCAGATTTTTTTCCTCGAGAAATACATTTATTGATAAAACTCGTAGGTAGACCAAAATTAGGCAGCTAATTTTTATATATTCCGAATCAGAAAATTTTTGCGAATTTTTTGATATATATCTCGACCTGTAACTCCACACCCCATAGAAGTACTTTCCTTGTAAAACTTTTTCCCTGCCGCGTGAGTACGCGAAATGCGGAAAGCGGTCAAAGAGAAAACACTTTTTTCCCATACCTCTCACAATTTCAACCATCGACTTCTTTTTGTGGAAACGTTTCTTTAGAAATCGTTAGAAATACGGCTCAATTTTCGGCCTAAAAATCACTGTGCTTTCTGTAAAGCGCAAGCCCGAAATCTCGCCTATGCCTTACAAAAATACAATCTAATTCGAGCACTTCCTCTTGGCAACAATATAAAATTTTAATTTCAGCCTCTGGCCGAGCCGGATGAAATCAGCGATCTGGACGAAGAGCGGCTAGAAAACGCCGCAAAGAAGTCCGCTTCGATGAGTGCAATCCAAAAATCGTTGTCCAGTGTAAGTTGCTTTCTTTTCTGATCATATCCCTAGAAATCACCTGCAGAATGTTTTATCAGTCTGTCGGGAAAATAATGAGCGCTCTGTCGCATCGAAAATCGCATCGCCGCCGAGAAAATGAATGGTGTCGCGGCAAAATCAAATATTAGGTTGTCCAAAAATTAGTGTCGTTTTCGAGAGGGGTAGTTTCCAAAGTCTATTATAAATTTCATCAGCTCCAGAAGCCGGGGTTTCAAAGCCACTGGCAAAAAAATGATTTCAACGCGTTGCAATAAGCGTGTAATAACACATGGTGATTATTTTGATAAAAAATATCTTCGTTATTACGGTAAATTTCTTTGTACAAAAAATCTTTTGAAGAACGACACTAATTGTTGGACAACCTTATACTTTTCACTTCAGCGACGCGACAGCGATATTGCGCTCACTATTTTCCCATCAGACTGATAAATGTCATCAAAAAACATATTTTCAGGACAATGTCGCCATTATTCATCACCCCTCGCTCGAGTCGCTGGCCAAAACGCCAATTGACCGTGTTCTGGGTAACCTGGCCGAAGGCTGGACCCGCCGAAAGGTGGTTGGGATCGAAAGCAAATCGACCGATAAATGGATCAAGTGCTGGGTGATGATGACACAAACACATTTGTTTGTCTATTCCGACCAAAAGGCCAAAATTGCTGATATTGTTTTTGACTTGAAAGCGTGCTCGTTGAGTCTGATTCCAAAGTTGAAAACGTCCAAAAAGCACGTGTTTTCAATCCGATGGCCTCAGGGCGAAGTCGTCTTTGCGCCATTCAGTCAGTCCGATTTTACATTGTAAGTGAATTTTTGGGTGGAATTTGACATTAGCTGACTTCGCTAGTTTTTTTGCGCTGCAAGACGGTTTAAAAATTAGAATAGCAACTGGTTTATTTTCAGCTGGATTCAAGGCCTCTCCACGAAGACCCAATGCGAAGAGCTCGGCCAAACAACATTGCCGAGAAGGGAGAAAGGTAAGCGGGTCTTTACTTCGCTTTTCACACTAGAGCACCATGTTACAGTGATAGATCTGATCCAATGGCAAAAAACGTATCGTTTTGCATCCGGGAGGTATCAAAAACGTAGCAAAATACTTCCCTTTCCAAGTGAAAAAAACTCCGATTTTAAAGGCGCGCCTCTTTTTGCGAGGGAAAGGGCGCGCCTTCAAAACGGATTTTTAGTTGGAGAGGAGGCATTTTGCTACATTTTTGGATACTTCCTGGAGGCAAAATGATGCGTTTTTTCTACTGGATCAGGTCCGTCACTGTGGCTATTGCAAAATCATGAGAACTCGGCAGTAGCAAGCAAGACTCAATATAATGTTTTTGCTGAAGCCTATGGAGAGCGAGGAGAGTTAGTCAGGAGAAAACTAGAGGTTTTCTAACTTACAATGCGGGACAACCGCTGGATCATATCCTGCACTGAATAATTTTATGTTTTTTGCATTTTTCAATTTTTTTTGAAACTAAAATTTGTAAAATACGCTATGGTTTCCATCGCCATTATTTTACGGTTACGAACCCTTGATCCTTTCGTTTGGCTCTCCTCCTTAAAAGTGCTCCCTCGCAAAGACTTTTGAATATCTTTGCTGCGACTAGAAAGTGGGCGCTACAACGCTCGGCGAATTATTTGTAGTTTATTAAAAACGCATCTGCAAAATTTTAGACAAAGCAAAATTAACTTGAATATAATCTTCCCCAAAAATTCAATTCCCTCGTACGAAATCAAAACCTTTTCTTTCAGACGCCGTCTACATCCGTGATCAACAAGCCGACGCTGATTCAGCGGATGAGCTTGACTCCAACGCCTCAAATCAAGGGAGTCCGGCATCAAAAGTCTCTCTTCTCTTCCCTTCAAGACTGTTCTCTCGGCTCAGCCGACGCGGACGGCTGTCCTATCGAACGCCGGCGAATTCCGCGGCCGCCGGCTTGACTTCGGACTAACACTTTTATTTGTTGCATTTAAACCTTCATCGTTATCTATTGATATATTATATTTTCCGAAAAATTTGTTGTGTTGTCATTGTTTGTCTTTCATTTGTAAAATCCCTTTTATATCCCTCATTTTCTATAAAGATTCCATGTTAAAAGCCATTTCTTGGCGTCGTAAAGTGGCGTACTTGATCCAGTGGCAAAAAACGTATCATTTTGCATCCGGGAAGTATCAAAAATGTAGCACAATACCTCCCTCTCCAAGTGAAAAAACTCCGATTTCAAAAGCGCGCCCTTCAAAACGAGGGTTTTCAGTTGGAGAGGGAAGGATTCCGCTACATTTTTTGATACTTCCCGAATGCAAAATGGTACGTTTTTTGCCACTGGACGAGGTCCGTCAATGTATGTAACCGATTTTCGTTCGAACGATTCCAAAGAATCGGTGCAAGTGCACAGCTCTGATTTTCTTCAAATTTGGCCAGAATTCTCTTCATATGCCATATACCAATTTCTGAAAATTTTAGCGCACGCTTTTCAGCCGCAGCTGAGATATTCAACGATCATTGGAGACGAAAGAGTATGGAAAATGAGGAGCTTCGTTCATTATAGACGACTCTCCTCATTTTCCATATACTCTCGTCCGAAAAGATCGTTGAATATCTCCGCTGCCGCTGGAAAGCGTGAGCTAAGATTTTCAGAAATTGGTATGTGGTCCATGTAGAGCATTCTGGACAAATTTGAAAAAAATCTGAGCATTGTTCTTTTAGCAATTTCCTTTTTAGGCAAAATTAACTCTTTTTTCCAATCGCAGTCTTGGAATTAAAAAAATCGTTAACTATAATAGAAATCTATCTCTATTAAAAATTACTATTACCTAGACCTATTTTCATGACATTTCTAGTCGTTTCCCCACACTATATTCCGGTTGTACTCTCGAACATTCTACCTTCATATTCCCCCATTTATATCTTGTCAGCCCATTAAAAAAGTCGTTGTAAATGCATGTAAATCGAACGGGTTTTCGTCTCAGTAGAACTTACACTAGCCCTGCACTCTTATTTCAACTTGGTGATACTGGAAATTTTTTCAAAATTTGAATAAATATTTTTTTTCATTTTTAGAATTTTTCCCCCAAAAATTGGTCGATTTTCCCAAATTTAACTATTTTTTTGCTTGAAAATACTATGAATTACACTACGCTTTATAGGGTAATGAATCTAATTTTGGTCTCATCACTCATATTGAGTGTTATTTATGTAAATTTGGCGGAGAATTTGGACAAAAAGCCGAAAAAATTCATCATTTTCGGTGTGAATTATGGAGAAGGTCTGAATTTACGGAGAGATGTGTATGGGAGAATTGCGAATACGATAAGACAGTTGCGGAAGAAAGGTAGGTTGGTAATAGCAACGATAAAGCGGGTGTAAGTTATTTCTTTCACAAGAAACAAAGAGGCGAAAAAAGTTCCTTTTTCTGGCCACAAGAAAGGCACTCGAACTGCGCCGAAGCTTGGGAACTACAGTTAGAAAAAAGGCTTCGACCTAGCTGGGGCTAAATTACTAATACCTCGCTAGTTTTAAAGGTACCTACGAAGGCTATGACAACTCATTTAGTTCCATACGGAGGCATTAAGTTTAGTTCCGGACAGGTTTCATCGTATAAAGTGTAAAATCGCAGGCTGTAGCCGTTTTTGAAGGGTAAGGTGGTACGTAAAAACGAAGCTACCTCACTAACTAAATCCATTGTCCGGGCATTGACAACGATGAATTGGGTCTGCAAGCCAAATTTTGGCTAATTCTGATCAGTTTCCGCAAAGTTATAAATTGCGGCCAGAATAAGGAACTTTTACCCAAAGAGGCTTCTAATTTGCCCAAAAAAGTGATGAATTTTTGAGCAAAATAAAGACACGTTTAAACATTTTTACCTCGAAACAGACCTAAAAAAAGCTTAAATTTCAAGAGAACGCTTAAAACCCGGTTAAAAGACAAATTCAAAAATTAAAGCTCGGGCGCAGCTCTGAAAAAATATTTTTTGTAAAAGCTGCAGGAGGAACTATAGGAAACCAGGAGACATGCAGAGAAACTTTTTACTTGATGTACGAAATAAAAAGCCTTTTTTTCGAACGATTTTTTTTATTTTGTCATCGAATAAAAGTTCAATTTTACAGGTCCATTCTGGCCTAAAGATGGCTCGTGAGACCTCTGAAATTCTTCGTTATAAAAAGGTTTTGTAATTTCGGAGTTTCCTAAACCTCTGTAAAGCCTCTTTTAAGCCTAAAAGAACCATTTTTCACTGCATTTTTTAACGAGCAAAATTCAAAAAAATCTTTTTCTAGGCCACAACTACCACCTTGTTCTCCCTCCATTCCAAGGCCTTCCGCATTGGCGAGCGCACCGCGCAGTTTTCCACAAATGGTCTGATCTCTTCGATTTTGAATCTTTGAATGAATTTATCCCTGTAATCGAGCTGGAGGATTACATAAAAGGTGAGAATTCGACTAGAATTTTTATTAAATTGTAATGTTCTATGCAGAAAATGGAATCGAAGTGAACTCGTCGCTGTATTTACAACACTATGAAGAAGGCTGGGGAGAAAACTTTGAGATGAAATACGATATTCGAGACTGCATCGACGCCAATATTTATTACACGGATCTGCCGAACGGGATGTTGTAAGTGCTTCTGAGGATCTGTGTAACAAATCTCTGTACAACAAACCCGCCTATAACGGATAGTTTTGAAGGTCCCTTCGATGGACTGTCAAAATTGTTTAGCTATGATAAATCTTCGTAAAACAAAACCCTTCTATAACAAATAATTTTTGGTTCTTTGCATTTTATCGCCCAAAGGTTTCACAGTAATTCAAGACTCATGTCGCAAAAAGATCGTATTTTACAATTATTTGACCAAAATAACAAAAAAACCTCATTTATTCAAAAATTTTTTCCTAAAAAAGTTCTTTTATCGTCAGTAAACCCTATTGCTTTCAGGAGATCCTATGTGACCAGTTTCCTCGGCCTGAACTTCCAACAACTCCGTTGTCTATCATTCCAAGGGCAAAGTTCAACTTTAGTCGATGCCATTTTGGAATTGGAGCCCGAAACGTAAGCTTACCCGTTACTTCTGTGCTTTTCAGAACTCTAGAAATCAAGAAACGCGCTTTTCCCGCATTCAAGGCGAGTTTTCAACAAATTAATTTTTCCGAGCTGCGCCCGATCTTAAAATGAAATCTTGTGCCTTACCTCTGGATCTTCCCTGACGTGATCAAACAGCTTCATAAAACTGGAATATATTGTTTTAAAACCTGAAATCTCGCATAAGATCATAGTTTTGCTATGTTTTATTTCACGTTAGACATCAAAATTATTTTTTTTTTATTTTCAACCTGCAACCTGTGAAAAAATTAACAAATTATTTTTTGAGCGTACCAGAACGTAAAAATCCTTCCTTGGAAATGTTTATTCTTTAATTTTTCAGAACAAGTCTTTTAATTGAGCGTTGCGAAACCGTTCTTCACGACCATTTTGGCGACAAGTTTTATTGGGACGCAAGGAGATCAATGAGATATGCCAAGAATCTAGTGGAGATTGGAGATCAGTTCAGGTAAAAAGAATAATCTAAACTATTTTTTTATCTCAATTCGAAAGTAAAACCTCCATACAACGAACTGCAAGGGACCAAAAAAATAATAAATTTGTTATATAAGGGTTTCATTGTATGGAGGTTCACTTTGGCCTGAAATTCATTCGTGGGACCTATGAAAGTTCGTTATAGAGAGGTTTCGTTGTATGGGAATCTTTTAGACAGAAGTTCCAGTGTATAAAACTTTTGTACAAAAAAACTCCCGTACAACGAAACCTGCCTATAACGAACAATTTCAATGGTCCCACGAATGAATTTCCTAAAATGAACCTTCGTACTACAAACCTCTTCTACAGGGTGGGCCATTAAAACCTTCCGTCCTCTTTTTTTAGATTTCTCCGCGGAGACTCCGCCGATTTTCATGAAATTTAGATTTTTCTGGAGCTGAGATGCGCCATTTTCAACCGGTTGAATTTGAAAAAAAAAATATCCTGAATTGACCTTTCTATGCCTTTCCAAAGTTTTTGAAAATTATTTTCGAGCCGAAACCGCTAAAACTTTGAAAATTTTTGGAATGATTTTGAAAACGTGGTCATTTTTTCGGGTTTTTGGGCGAAATCTTACTCTTTTTGCCTCATATATTTGCAGAATACTGTTGTAAAAACTAATTTATTTAAAAATTTGATTATTAATATTTCTATCTGTGCTCGACGTGTCCACCTCCTCTTATTCTGGATTTCATGAAACCCCACAAAAAGAAATTGCAGAAAGTTAAGTTGAAATTTTAGAACAGCTCGAATTGCGGTTCGTGAACATGGTGTAAATTCAATCGAGCCTGGCTCCAAGCCTCAATACGCCAAGCCCTGGCTTGTAGCCCTAACGCGGACTTTTTCACTCTTGCCAAAAAAAAAATTTTTTTTCGACGTTCATCCCCTAACGGTAATGCAGACAACACTCTTTTTGCTTTCATCCTCATTTAAACAAGTTTAGAGAAAGCGTACGGGACGTTTTACTCCACGATTTTACCAAAAAAAGGCCGGAAATTTTCCAAGTCCGAGAAAGGCAACTGAAAATCATTCCAAAAATTTTCAAAGTTTTAGCGGTTTCGGCTCGAAAATAATTTTCAAAAACTTAGGGAAGGCATAGAAAGGTCCATTCAGGATATTTTTTTTTCAAATTCAACCCGTTGGAAGTGGCGCATCTCAGCTCCAGAAAAATCTAAATTTCATGAAAATCGGCGGAGTCTCCGCGGAGAAATCTAAAAAAAGAGGACGGAAGGTTTTAGTGGCCCACCCTGTATAACAAATTTATTTCTTTGTCCTCCACACTTGTAAACCACCCTATTTTCAGACAGCAAAATCTCGACTCAACAGACGTTTCCGATAAAACTTTGCTATATCCGCATTGGAAAGAGCACAAGCCAAAGGCGGGCCAAGCCTTGGGAGGCCCTTATATGGCGGTTCATTGGAGACGCCGCGATTTTTTGCACTCCCATAAGGCAGAGGTCCCAACAATTGATGGCACTGTAAAACAAGTCGTCAAAAAGTTGAAGCAATTAAAACTAAATACTCTTTTCGTGTGTACTGATGCTGAGAAAGAGGAATTCGAAGAGTTGAAGGGGAAATTGAGCCAAGATGGAGTAAAAGTTGTGAGGTTTGAAAATGAAGCGCTCACTGATGGTCAAGTGTCAATTGTGGATCAGGTCAGCGATTTTTTCGATTAAAATTTAGTTCAAATTACAGTTAGAGTTTCGTAAGCAAAAATTACAGTCGCAAGAGACGGAAAAAAATTGTTCGTTATAGAGAGATTTCATTTCATAGAATTCTCTTTGGCGACCTCTGAAAGTGTTTGTTATAGAGAGGTTTTGTCATATCATGTTTTATTGCTTATTTTGTCATCAAATTTAAAACAAAATTTTTAAAATCTCAAGCACATCTTTTATCTGCCTCTGCAAAGTTGCTGACGACCTCATTATTCACTGTTTCCGTTTGCGTCATCACTTAAAATTTCGAAATTTTAAAGTAGCTTTCTGGAGCTGTAGATAACGACTATTCCAACATCAGACAAAAACGGCTTCGTTTGCTCAAACAAACCTTAAAGTATAGCTTTTATCACTTTTGTGAGTTTTATAAAAGGTCAAAATTTCGTACCGGAAGCTCGAAAAAGCTCAAAAATTAGGAATTTGCCTAAAAATAACGTCAATTTTAGTTGACCTATGTATTCGATAAGCCGGGTTTTTATGACTTGTGAGGGTGGTAAACAAAAGGACAAAAAGTTATCAGTCGGTCTAAAGGAATTGAGCGCTTATCTATGGCGTTCGGATGACTAATTAAGGTCTGGAAGTTTGATCTGTGGCTATAATAATAAGAGAAGTTCAAGTATTATAGTAATGGTATACAGTCAAGTCTCTGTACAACCAATCGTAAGGGACCAAGAAATAAATTTGTTATAGAGGGGTTTTGTTGTACAAAGGTTCATCTTGTCCTTAATTGACATGTGGGACCTCTGGAATTGCTCATTGTAGACAGGGTCGTTGTATGGGAGTTCGTTGTACAGAGTTTTACATAATGAAGCCTCTGTACAACAAATTTCTTTACAGCATAACCTGTCTACAATGAACAATTTCAGAGGTCTCAAATGTCAATTAAAGCCAAAGCAAACCTTCGTACAACCAAAACCTTCTATAAAAAATTTATTTTTTGGTCCCATGCCCATTCCTTGTACAAAATCTTGACTGTATACCATTACGACTTGAACTTCTCTTATTATTATGGCCACAGATCAAACTTTCAGACTCTAATTACTCATCCGCACGCCATAGATAAGCACTCAATATAAAACACGACTTTAATAATCGTAAATTGCAGTGGATCGCGGCCCATGCCCGTTACTTCATCGGCACTCATGTTTCCACATTTTCCTACCGAATCCACGAAGATCGTGAGATTCTAGGGTTCGATCCGGCGACCACATTCAACGATCTCTGTCCGGACGACAAAATTGAGAGCGGATGTGAACAACCAGCCAAATGGACGATAAAATACGACCTTGATCCGTATTACCATCGAGACGAGTTTTGAATTATTTAATAAGTACTTGTTAAACTATTTTTGGCGTTTACTTCATGAATACGAGTTCAATTCCCTTATCGAGCAAGATTTCCTATAATTTAATATTGTAACTCATTTGAATCTGCATTTATTTGGTCTCCAATGTGCCTTAAAATTATTTTCTTGCCTTTATTTGAATAAACAGAGTGTCAGCAAAATATGAAAGTTCACGGTTTCATAGATCGACAACTGAATTCTCTAAGCAAACAAGAAAAAGTCCTTAGAATCGAAATGCCCTACGACAGGTCAGACATCGAACACCATGGATTACCCTAGACGATAAATAAGCAAAGGAAATGCCCTTGCCCTTCTCCATACGTATCTAAAATGTGACAGTAGGGACGAAAGAAAGATAAAGCTCCTATGTGGCGAGATGACATTCTTCTAAATTAAGTAGCAGCTATCTTGGAGTACCCGTAAATCATTTTCGAAAGTGATGAAATTTCGCTTATTCTTACTTCTACACTATCTGCATAAAAAACTCATTGAATATCTCGACCGCCGCTACAACGCGTTGTCTCAAACTTTAAGTGTTTTTAGTGTTAAAACAGCCATAATATGCATACAAAACTCAAAAGATTCTGATCCTCTCACGTCAAGCGTTACTCTTCTAAAGTTGACTTCAAGCTAATCTAGGTTACCCCCAAAATTCCCTACTCCTATTATTTCAACGGTAACCCCTCCCTCGCCAACACTTTTATATTATTTATTTATTGAATGTAATTGATTTGAATAGTTCACGTGAACCAAAAAATATTTACAACTACACTTATCTACATTTGTATGGGAATTTTTTTATCAGCATGGTAATATCAGCACAATTTAGGTCGCATGTCTGACAATTCGGTCGGACTATGGACAGGCAAAACAAAGACTACAACGTCAGCGGTTCTTGGCCTCAAAATTATACTTTGTTTCCCGAAAAATCAGCCCAAAAGAATTATGAATTCTCTTTGTTCTAAATGGAAAAAACACCGACTGTTTTTCGAATTTCAGCTTATAAATCAAATTTTTGTGCTAAAATAAGATCCATCCACAAATCATTTAGTAATTTTCAACCCTACGCGATACCAAACATCACCCAGCAGCCGAATTTCACATAAAACCCTGAGGGTGTCTTCGACAAAAGCCACCAAAACGACGAGTTCACCTGTCCTTATCAGCACTCGGAGACAGGCGGCGATTCCCAGCGCGTTGACAGCAGCTGGAAAGTTCATGAAATTTGGGGGAAGCATGTGAAAAGTGTTGGTCTGAGTCCTCAAACCGTGATTTATGTCCGTATAATGTGCTGTACAACGTGATAAGAGAACAAAGCACAATTTGAAAAAGTGGGGCGAACTGGGGCGATTGAAACTACTCCTTTTGAGGTTCTTTGAGTACAAAGTAGCCTTCGTAGAGCACAACTTAAAGGAGAGTACAATAATAGTCTTATAGCGACTAATTTTACGCCAAACCAGGAATCGTAGAGCGATGCAAGGGATATAAAATTCCATTTTCGTTCGATCGGGCATATCTATCTAGATGTTACCAATCTCTAACAAGTCTCTGTAAGTAAATCCTGCCGTGGTCGCCATGTCAAGACTTATCTATAAGGCGAGATATATGCGCTCCTAGTTTGCCTACTAGACTAATACTTGACTCCCCCCAATAACCGACAAGCCACAACTAGAAAATTCCAGCTGAAAAACGGCGACACTGACAATAGACTCACGATAATTGATTTCAATGACCGCACTGGATCAAAAGGAACTTCGACAAAATCACAAGAATTGGTTTATACTTTTCCTCAAACGGGTGACCGAAAAGCGATCAGTGCATTACATTTATATCAATATTCTTCGGTTTATGCTAATTTCTGGGAATTCTTCACGGAATCGTGACATGTCTCAACCAGCCGGCAAACACGAAATTTGACCCTTTTCAACAAGCTTCTGTAGCTAAGAACAAGCATTTAATGATTTCTTCCGTGTCAGGCCTGTTTTAATCGACAAAAAGTTCAAAAACACACCCTAACGGCTTCAACGTCAAGGTTGATTGACGTTATCAGTGAGGGCGGTGGTGGTAAACGGAAAAGAACCGAACTATAGAAATTTCTGGGGAGTTGAAAACAACAGTTCTATGAACGTTATAGTTTGTTAGAGGCTGTTCGAAAATAGTGTTGAAATTTGACCGTAGGCCTTTGAAGTTCTCTTATGACAGTTTTAGAAACCGCTCCAGTTGACATAAACACATAAACATGAAAAAATAGCTCTAGCAGACTCGTTGTTTGAAATCAAAAGGTAGCACGGAGATCGAGAAAAGACTGCCATTTATAAGTTTCTCTTCAAAAGCAACAGTCTCTTCTCTATCTCCGCACTACCTTTTGATTTCAAACTACGAGTCTGCTTGACTCAAAAAATTTTTCAGTAATTATGTCAACTGGAACAGCTTCTAAAACTGCCATAAGAGAACCTTCGAAGGACTACGGTTAAATTTCAAAACCATTTCCGGCCGTTTTGAACAGCCTCCAACAAACTATAACGTACATAGAACCGTTATTTTCAACATAGTTGTCCCAGAAATTTCCTCAATTCGGTTCTTTTTCGTTTACCACCGCCGCCCTCACTGATAAGGTCGATCAAAAAACGGTTCCTTCTAAAATTTGTCTTTGAAATTTCCTGGGAAGGCGTTCCCAACAAATTTCATAAACAATTTACGCTACGTATAAAAGCGAACAAGAGGTCTGGGTTCGTCGGTTTTGGAAGACGTCGGCTTGCCTAGCCCTGTCGACGGGGCTAGTCAAGAGGTGAGCTAAACCGTGATTGCGACATTGCTTGAACTTTAACTCAAGTTTGAGGACTCTATCTACTTCTATCATCCATTTGACTGTCATAACTGTTTCTATTGTCTATTAAATTAGTCAATAAGCCATGTTCTTCAACCTGTTTGTGCTATCTGCCTCCATCGGCCTCATCGAAGCCAATCTCCAGCTGGTTTCTGTGCAATCCATCTTTCGACATGGCGACCGCGCCCCCTCCAAACCCTACCCGAACAATCCTCATGGCCCCGAACATTGGCCGAACGGTTGGTCCCAACTTACAAAAGTTGGAGCGGCACAAACTCAAGATCTCGGCCGTTACTACCGCCTTCGCTATGTCGACCAACTCTCTCTGTTGAACTCAACAAATCTCCTGACCGAAGTTCGAATGCGCTCGACCAGCAAGAAACGCGCGATCGAGAGTGCTGACAACGTGATGCTGGGCTTGATGGGGACGCAAATCGAGCAGACCAACATGGACATCCATCATGACTACAAACAAGACCTACTTTTGAAGCCGAACAGCGTGGATTGCCCTAGGTACGATCAAATTTTGGACGCAGATAACAACAAACTCTTCGCGCTCTACAATTCTACCTTCGCAACAACCTTCGAACAGCTCTCCAAGTGGACCGGGATGCCTGTGGATATGAGCAATATCGACAAAGTCTTCGATTCACTTTTCCGCGAAGCTGTACATGGTCTGGATCTTCCGGTTTGGGCCATGGAGACCGTGTATGACCCAATAAATCGACGATTTATTACGATTTACGAGCTTGTTTTGGAGCTGAAGCGAGTTCAACGACTTGGAGAGTTCAATTCGGCCGAAAAATCGAAGCTGCGTAGTGGATTCTTGCTGGGGCAGATCATGGAGTTCATGAAGAACAACACAAACGGAAAAGCGAACCCGAAATTGATGTTGTATTCTTCGGTAAGCATTTTGAAACTTTTGAGAGGAGTTTTTAGTCATCATTCGTTATTTTTACGAGGAAAAACATATTTTACGGCTATCGCCGACCTATTTTACGACACAACAGATATTTTCCAGCAATCGCCAAACCTTTTTCTTGTCAAAACCGACATTTTCCGCCCTTTTTGGACCGTATTTTAGCCAAAATTTAAATTTTTGGCCTTTTCATATCAAATCCGACGCAAAAAATACTATGTATCACCGTATTTTACTCAACAAAAACCCTTCAAAATCAATTCCAACCACATTTTCACTCTAAAAAATCTCTTTACATTCCTCTATTTACTCGTTTATAACGAACCAACATGCAACAATAAAAAAGGTTGGAAAATGAAAAATCTGACAAAACACCCGTTAAAGACCGAGACTGTACAAGTTTAAATTTCAGCATGATGCCACGTTGACTTCGCTTTTGTACAGTATCAACGCGTCCGATGAGCAGTTGACACCGTATGCCGCGGCGATTACTTTTGAGTTGTGGAAAGACCCGGAAGGCCCGCATCAACCGACATACTACGTTAAGGTAGGTAAATGGGGGGTCTACAAAATTTCTATAAAGTTAGGAGGAGGTACATACGGAAGAGTGGGATAAGAGGGGACCAGAAAAAAAATTTTTTGAAATGCCATGGAGAAGAGACGAAATTTTGGCAAGAAATAGGCAAAATTCGAATATTAGAGACTTAGAGTGGCGGACTGGACCCAGTGGCAAAAAAACGTACCATTTTGCATCCGGGAAGTATCAAAAAAATATGGGAAAATAGCTCCCTCTCCAAGTGAAAAACTCCGATTTCAAAAGCGAGTTTTTTAGTTGGAGAGGGAGGCATTTTGCCACATTTTTGATACTTCCCGGATGCAAAATGGTACGTTTTTCGCCGCTGGATCAGGTCAGTCACTTTAAAAGGAGGGTATGGCAAAACGTGGCCAAAAACACATTGAAATTAAAAAAAATTTCGAAAAAATAGTGATATGGCAAATTTTTTTGACAAAAAGACCGCAATTTGTAAAATAGGTCTCATTTTTTTGAAAACCCCAATTTTTTAGTTTAAAAACTCAAAATTTCTAATTGGTCGCCCCTTACCATACCCATCTAAAAAACTTCTCCTAACCTCCTCCCACAAATTCCACTAACTTTTCTACCTCAAAAAAGACATTTTTCCCTGTTTAGACCAAAAACAATGTAAAATTTTCAAATTTTCTCAAAATTCAGACCAAAACACAATGATTAAAACTCAATTTCATATGTAATATTCTATTTATTCCAACTTTCAGGTCCTGTATCGCAACCAGTCGTACGTGGAGGACGCTGTGGTCTTGGATATACCCGGCTGTACGGCGCAGATTTGCGAATTCAATCAATTTTTCGGAGCGCTGGAAAAGAATGTGGTCAATTCGTTCCAGGAGCATCGGGAGTTGTGTAAATTGTAATTTTCAAACTTGTAATCTCATTTTTTACATAGAGAAATTTTTGTATGACATTTTTTTTTGATCGAAAAAAACATTTTCGACCAAAAAATTTTTTTTCGACCAAAAAAATTTTTTTCGACCAAAAAATTTTTTCGACTACAAAATGGTATTTTTGGTCGAGAATTTCATTTTTACATCAAAAATTTGTTATACAAAAAATTTTCTTTGCTGTAAATAGAAAAATCTCATATTGTAATTGCAATAATGTATATAATTTTTCGATTTTCCACTTTGATCTCATTGAAAAAAAATAAAAAATAAAAAAAAAAATAAAAAAATCTTTGTAAAATACGTCATCTATTTCAAAACAAAGTGAAAATTCAAACCCACCTTCCCAAAATTTCACATATGTAGATGTAGATTTGGATGATGTAATATCGTGGGTTGTTGTGGTTGCGGTGAATGGGGAAGAATTAGTGCTGGCGGGGTGGGTTTGATCGTGTCCAAGTCAATTCCGGCCAGTTCGTCCATCCTTTTCTTTTCGATGAATCTGGTTTGTAAAAAATTTGTCAACCTTTCGTCATTGTTCGCGCAGAAAAACCGGAAGTCCTTGAGGAGGAAGTCCAAAAATTGTTCGGTGCACCAGCTGGAAAATCGGGATTTTTAATCCATTTTGAAAAAAAAAATAAAAAAAAAGTTTAAATAAAAATTTTTTTGAGAAAAAATTCAAATTTCTCAAAATTTGAAGGTCAGATTTGGCTAGACAGGTTATTCATTTTGCATGAATAACCTGTCTAGACCATAAAATAATTCTTGAAAATTTCAGCTCGATCTGTAGAAGGGCAGCTGAGATATTCAGCAATTTTTTGAAGGCGAGAGACAATGAAAAATTAGGAGACGGTCAGAGAAAATTTTTTTTTGATGTTTGATTTTACGGGGAAAAAAATCTAATTTTTCTTGGAAATATGGCACTCTGCAGCTCGGGAACAACATAAAATTTTACCTCCAAAAAATCTCAAAAAAAAAAAAAAAAAAAAAAAAAAAAACAAAAAATAAATATTCAAAAATTTTCAAAAAAAAACCAGTACAATATCGACAAAAAACCCGTGCTAAAAATTTTGCTTGTCTCTTAAAAATTCAAATTCATCTTTGAGCCAATTTTCTCCCAAACGACTTCAAAAAAACCAAAAATTCCAACTTTTCAAAAAAAAAAAAAAAAAAAATTCAAATATTTTGGAAATTTTCCAAAAAAAGTCGGTGTAAGATCACCGAAATGTCTCCCAGAAAATACAAACCCAATTTTCCGCCAATTTTTCTCCGAAACAAAGTAAAAAAAATCAAATTTAAAAAAAAAAAAAAAAAAAAACATCAAAAAAAAAAATCTTACGAAGCTCTGTATCGATGACTGAGCATGTGATTCCACGCCCACATAAACTTTCTCGTCTGCGGATCAAATTTCACAAACATTCCTCCACTCAAATGTACATACTGCACGGTCGGCTCTATCTCATTTCCATGGATGTTCTTCAATCTTTCCCGATCTTTGTGGACTTGACAATTCATCAGCGTAAACCCGAATGCCACCAAGATTTCGCGGATAACCTCGTGGAAAATATTCTCGGGGATTAGGTCTGTTCGGAGCTCCACAAAAATCGGGCATCTCAGCGGGGAGGACAAAAAGTTGGTCGGTTCGGCGAAGGCGTCTTCCGGGACGGGGAAAATGTGGAATTGGAGGCGTTGGGCGTGCCGAAGCCATTGTTTTCGGATCAAATCCGAGACTTTTTGGGAGTTGGCCATGAACCATTTCACCCAGATCTCGTAGGCCTTGTAAGGGGTGAAGGAACGCTCGTAGAAGGTCTGGAATTTATTGATTAAAACTTGGGGTGCATTTTTCGGGACAAAAAAATAAATTTGAAACTTACTTTGAAAAAAACATTTTTTGAAAATTTCAAAAAATTGATAAGGGGGGACCAAGGTGAAAAAATAAAAAAAATTTTTTTGGTCTCCCCTTACTCTACTTTTTGCGACCATCAATTTTCTAGCCTATCACACACCAAGAACCTATATTAAAACCAATTTAAAATTTGTTCTGCACCAAACAAAAGCAATTTGAAAATAAAACTTCAAAAAAAAATTTCCCTTGGTCCCCCCTTACCCAATTTCAAAAATTTTTTTCAGCAGCCCTTCCCAAATCCCTCAAAAATTAGCCTATACGCCTATAACAGCCATAACAACACTTTTCTACTTCCAAGAAAACATTAATTCACCTCATTTTCACCTAAATCAATGTAAACTTAGTCACCAAATTTCAAAAAAAAAATCCCTCAGCTCCTCCGAATTCCCTCAAAAATCTGCCTGTCCCCCAAGAAAACCCCCAATGAGTTCTTTACTTTCAAAAATAATTAATTCACTTCATTTACACCGAAATCAGAATGCCTGACTGAACCCCCCAAGACCGAAAAATCCACAAAAACACTTTTCCCCTTCCAAAAAATAATAAATTCACATCATTTCCCCCAAATCAATGTAATCTTACCCTTCCAAAATCGACAAACTGGCTTTCCGGATGCCGGACGCTGTACGTTGCCAAGTGGGACTGATGCGAGAAAAGCGAATCAATTTCCACCGGGATGCTCTTCGATACGAACTTGCATGGCTCTTTTTCCGTGCAATTTTTGCACACCTCCACGAAGAATCGGGTCTGATTTTCGGCGTCGCGGAGATCGCGATTAATCGTCTCGGTGACAATCAAATAAAAGTAAAATCCGAACATAAATTTCGGTTCATTCTGGTCCACCGATCCTTTCAGAGCGTCGATTTCTTCTCGGTCGTTGTGGAAGCAGTGGACCAGGCGGATTTTATTGGTTTTGACCATTTTTTGAGCGAATTTTAGGGCAATTTCTCGGGATTCGAGGCCTTCCACTGTCTCTGTGAGCCATTGGACAAAGTCGAAGGAGATAAAAAGGGTGTTTGGGAGGGAGGGAGTGCCTGAAAAATTGATTTTAGACCAAAAATTCAAAAAAATTTTTTTTTTCAAAAAAATTCAAATTCAAATTTTTTTCCAAAATTCAAAAAAAATCTTTTTTAAATACTTTTTTAAGATTAGAAAATTATTTTTTACACAAAAAAATCAACAAAAACAAAAAAAAAATTTTTTTGATAAAATTTCAAATTCGATTTTTTTTTCAAAAAGCAAAGAAAAAATATTTTAAATCCTTTTTTAAGACCAGAAAATTATTTTTACACAAAAAATTCCCCTAAAACAACAAAAAAATTTACAAAAAATCATCAAAATTGCCCCAAAATCACCTAAATCAATATAAAACCTCCCAAAACTCCCATTTCCCACCTTTTCTTCCCATACTACTCAGCACTGGGCTCGTGTCGCACCGTTTTCTCCATTCCCTCATCACATTATCCTCTTCCAATGGCATTTTAGGGGTGATTTCTGTGTCGGGCATAGCGGATATGGACTTGCTGCTGCCGGTGCTGGTTTTTTTGGTCGGCGGTTCTGCTCTGGGGCCGAATTCGAAGCTCTTGGAGGTTGGATGGGGTGTTGGGGTGTATGAGGTTTTGTATGCGGGATTTTGGATCTGGCTTCGGATGAGGTTGACGGCTTCGAGGAAGCGGATAAAATTCTTTTCCAGCTCGATTGAATCGAATTGCTCGTAAATGTCGGCATGACCGACGATTGCGATTCGCTCCGAGAAAATGGAGGATTCGGGGACAACGAGGAATCTGGAAAAAAATTTGATGAAAAAAAATTTTTTGGTAAAAAATTTTTCGCAATTTTTTGAATTTTTTTTAGGTGGATTTTTTTGTGTAAAAATAATTTTCAGCTGCAAAAAAAAGATTAAAAATAATTTTCTTTCAATTTTGAAAAAAAAAAATCAATTCGAAATTTTTTGAAAAAAAAAATTTTTTTAATTTTGTTATAACAAGGAAAGTACTTTTATGGGGGCTCCTACTTTTTGACGGGACATATCTCAAAAAATCAGAAAAAATGTGCGGATCAAGGATATATAAATCTTAGCTGCCCATTTTAGGTTTTTAGGGGTGAAAACTCAGTCGGAAGTTGATTTAAAGTCCTATATGAACCCCCTTTCGCTTAATTTTTTACAGGTTTACAATTTTTATTTTGGCTTAAAATGATTTTTACTGAGTTTCTAAGGCGTAATAAATCAGTCTTGGCACAAAAATTTATTTTTCCGACCTTCAACTTCAAAAAAAGTTGATTCGGCCCAAAAGGGAAATCGAACCCGTGCGGCGTTCCCCCTCTTGATTCCCAGACTACGGCGCTAGCCACTCGGCCACACCGCTCTCTTCCGAAGGAAGAGACCGACTGCGCTTTTTATTGTTTCGAATGTCTGCGCCTTTTGTAGGGAAATTAAGCCAGTTTTTGGGGATTTTCACCCCTAAAAACCTAAAATGGGCAGCTAAGATTTATACATCCTTGATCAGCACATTTTTTCTGATTTTTTGAAATATGTCCCGTCAAAAAGTAGGAGCCCCCATAAAAGTACTTTCCTTGTAAAATCAATTTTTCAGGTCCTCTATTCCTCTCAAACACCCATTTTTATCTCTTTTACCTTCCTCCAATGGCTCACAGAGACCGTAAAAGGCGTCGAATCTAGACATGGCTGGGGGGCCGGGCCGGGCCGAAAATCGCGGCCCGGCCCGGGGGCCGGAAGAGGTCGGCCGGCCCCGGCCCCCTTAAAATTTTCTCGGCCCGGCCCGGCCCCCCGGGGGCCGGGCCGGGCCGGGGGCCGACCGGTGGCCGAACTGTAAATATGAACAATACATTCATTACGAGATATAACACATTTTTTGGGGCTTTGGTAGTTCAGCCCCCCAGGAAAGATAGTTCAAACCCCACTGTTTTGTCCATTTTACACCCCCATAATGAAAAATTTAGAATAATACAAAATTTGCGAATTAGGGTAAAACGACCCCCGGCGTTTTGGCTCAAACCCCCAGTTACCGTCCAAATTCGTTCTCGTAGTTCAGGCAACGCTGACCGTAGCTGAGAGAACCTGATCCAGAGTAGGAGCTTCAGATTGGATGAAGGGGTTTATGCTGGGTCCAGGGGGGCTGAACTGGACTGGGGGGGTTGTACTACCTGAGCCCCCATTTTTTTGTTATAACAATCGACAATAAATTTTTGAAAAAAAATTACCAACCATTGCCTATAGTACAAAAAACCCAATCGGTTCTTGGCTCTGCCTTTCTATTTTTGTTGGCAACCCTAATTTTCGCTTTGAGACTGGGGCTTTTAGTCATTGGGGGCTGATTGGGGGCCTGGCGGGGGCCCCCGGTCGGCCCGGCCCGGGGGCCGGAAGAGGTCGGCCCGGCCCCGGGGCCTTTCAAACTCGTTCGGCCCGGCCCACTAGCCATGTCTAGTCGAATCTCAAGAATTCGCCCAAAAATTCAATAGTCAAACATTAAAATCCGGCTTTTTCATCGCTTCCGGAGCGTCGCAGAAGAAAAATTGATGGTTTCAAAAGATCAGAAGACCAGAAAAAACCCAAATTTTTTATATTCCAACAAAAATTTGTGGAACTACAAAAAATTTTTGTTTAATTTTGAAAAAAATCGTATTTTAGAATGTTTCCTGCAAAATTTTTTAATCTTTAAAAAATTTTTAGTCAAAAAAATCGAAGAAAAATCGAAATTTTCAAAAAAAAAAATTATTTTTTCAAAAAAAAATTTTTTTCAAACAAAAAATTTCTTAAATTTGAAAAAAAAATCGTATTTTAGAATGTTTCCCGCAAAATTTTTTTATTTTAAAAAAAATGTGGATATTCAAAAAAAAAAAACAAAAAAAAAATCAAATTTTTCAATTTTTTTTTTCAAATTCCCCTACCTAGACGAGAAGCATTTCATGTCATCTCTATACAATCCGGCGTTGGTTCTTCCTTGCAACTCTGCGTCCAAATAACTCCAATTTAGCTTGTCCAAGTTGTGATGTTTGAATGCAGTTTGACTGGCCGTGTAATTCACATCATCCGGCACTTGGAAATAATAATTGTAGCGGGAGACTCGGCCCAATTTTTGCGATACTTCATCAGCCATGGTGGATTTGGGGACAAATTGTTGGATGAGAAAATAATGGGGATCATCTGCGATGAGGGAAATTCGATGGTAAATTTGGTTGAAACTCAGGGAGCATTCTCGGAGGACGGTCTGATGGGGGCGTTCTGGGAGGACTTTTCTGGAAATTTTTAATTAAAAAAGTTAAAAAATGAAAAAAAAAAATTTTTAAAAAAACAGAACTAAACTTTTTAAATCAAAAAAATTACGAATTTAAAAAATAATCAAAAAATAAAAAAAAAAATTTATTATTCTTTTTCAAAATCATAAAAAATTTTTATCCCAAAATTTTTTTTGTAATTCTTTTTTTGAAAATTTTCAGAAAATTTCCCGATTTTTTCGAAAATCAAGAAAAATTTGAATTTTTCAAAAACAAATTTTAAAATCAAAAAAAATTACGAATTAAAAAAATAATCAAAAAAAAATTAATTATTCTTTTTCAAAATTATAAAAAATTTTTATCCCAAAATTTTTTTTCGTAATTTTTTTTGGAAATTTTCAAAAAAAATTACGAATTAAAAAAAGGGAAAATGTTTTTTGCATAGAAATAAAAATGCTTTTTCTTAGAAAACTTATTTTTAGAAAAAATGATTTTTTTCATAGAAAAAATGTTTTTTTCTTTTCTAAGAAAAAGCATTTTTATTTCTATGCGAAAAACATAGACCCTTAAAAAAATAATCAAAAAATAAAAAAAAAATTAATAATTCTTTTTCAAAATTATAAAAAATTTTTATCCCAAAAATTTCTTTTCGCAATTCTTTTTTTTGAAAATTTTCAAAAAATTCCCCGATTTTTTCGAAAAAAATTTTTTCACTCAAAACTTACTGAATGGCAGTATGGATCATTTCTTTCGGTAACAACACAATTTGATAGCCTCTTTGTAGCCTTTGCCTGATCAATTGTTCAAAAAGTAAATTTTCGAGATGGGCTTCTGTTACTGGTCTGCCCACTTCGGGAGGTACCCATTTTCGCAAATCTTCGTAGTCAATTAGTACTGGATGCTCCTAAAAATTAATTTTTGTGAAAAAAAATAAAAAAAATTTCGAATTTTTGAAAAAAATCCAAAAAATAAAAAAAAAATTGAATTTTTTCGGCAAAAGTTTTTAAAAAATCAAAAAAAAAATAAAAAAAATCGAATTTTAAAAAAAAGTCCCAAAAAAATTTAAAAAATCGAATTTTTTCGGCAAAAATTATTAAAAAATAAAAAAAAATTAAAAAAAAAAATAAAAAAAAAATCGAATTTTTAAAAAAAGTCCCAAAAAAATTTTTTAAAATTGAATTTTTTTGGCAAAAAATTTTCAAAAATAAAAAAAAAACTAAAAAAAAATAAAAAAAAAATTGATTTTTTAAAAAATTACATTTTTTTAATTTGAGTTTTTCGACAAAAAAATCCAAGCTCACCAACTTACCGTCAAATGATAGTCATTCAATGACCTAGCATCCGGGAAAAAATCCGTCGTAATGGGCAGCAACCCCGACCTCACCAAACTCTTCCAGTCCATTCCAATCTCCATATCCGGGTTCCATTTCTCCTCTCCGGTGGATCCCCAAGCCCAGACCGTCGTTTTTCCTTTTGCTCCTAGACCAGTCACTTTATTCTCATTATAACCGCCTTCCTGGGGTTGGCCTTGTGGAGAGGGGGGTCTTCTGGCGGGGGAGTTGTTGACGATCGCTGTGGATTGGGTTTGCTGGGCGGAGGGCTCCTAAAATGAGAAAAATAATTTTTGGAAAAAGTGAAAAATTTGGAAATTTAGAGATTTTTTCTAAAATTTTTTATCGATCAAAAAATTATAATGCAAAAATTTTTTATTTTATTTATTTTTTTTTTTTTTTTTGGAATTTATAAGCCTCAAAAATCGGCAAAATCTCGAAAAATCAAAAAAATAGTCATAAAAAGTTACCAAAAATTTTTGATCGACCAAAAAACTACAATGCAAAAAAAATTTTTTTTTTTTTGATTTAAAAACCTCAAAACTGCAAAAATCTCAAAAAATCAAGAAAAAAAATCAAAAAATAATAAAAAATTTTTTATCGACCAAAAAATAATAATCCAATTTTTTTATTTTTTTGATTTAAAAAACCCCCAAAAATCACCAAAAAATTAAAAAATTCAAAAAATAGTCATAAAAATAACAAAAAAAATTTTTATCGGCCAAACAAATAAAAATTTTAAAAAATCTCAAATATCGCCAAAAATTTCAAAAAAAATTCTCACCGGTTCCACCGTCTGCAGCACATGAACAGTTGATTTGCCGACCACATAATGATGAGCCAGCTTGGCTCTTCCCAGCCTGTCCACCGGGAAAACATGGATCCATCGTCTTCTATTCGCGGTGATCCGGACGATAAATTCTTCTGGTCGGAAGGGGTTAATCAAGGCTCTGGATTCCGAACTGAGGGGTTTTCGACCGAAAAAAAAGAGAAAAAAGTAAAATTTTTTTGGCAAATTCATTGATAAATTTTAATTTTAATCGGTTGAAAAATAAAATTTATTCCGCTAAACCCCACAAAAACTGATTTTCGGGCAGTTAAAACAACAAAAATCTTGAATTTTCCCCTTTTTCACAAAAAATCCCCATTTTTCCCCAAAAAATCTCAATTTCTCAGGCCATTCTCAAAATATCCTAACAAAAATTTCGGACGTTCCTAACCACATCATCACACATCTACCGCCAAAATTTCAATCAATTTCCGCTTCTTCTTATACCTAAAATTTCCAAAAAATTCATCAAAAACCCACTATTTGCCGCCGGCTCCAGCGATTTCACGTACTCTGCGACATGATCGGGCGGTGATGGGACTCCATTCGCGTCCTTAACTAAATCTTCAGACCTTTTTTCGGGACTTACAACGATCGCTGGGGACTCTTTTGGCAATTGGACGCCCAATTGTTTGCAAAACTCCGACAATTTTGAATTTGACGCATTTTCGTCCATCGAAAAATGTCTCATCGCATACATATCATATAATTCGCATTCTGATTCGGGGATTGTGACATCCAGGGTCATGGAAAGGCCACTGGGACGGTTCTGAAATGGAATTTTTTGAAAAATATCAAAAAAAATGGATTCAAGTGGCTAAATCAAGGTGTTTAGTATAAAAAAACAAGATGATTTAGATCAAATGCGATCTAAAAATCGTACTTCCATTCGCAGAAATCAAAAAATTTTCCAACTTTATCTTTTCCGGCAGTGGGATTCGAACTCGCGACCTTTCAACTATTAGCCAAAATTACTACCACTACACCACAGACGTACACCTCGTATTTTAGCGCGAAATTTGAAATTTTAGCTTTCAAAAATTGCAAAAGCACCAAAAAAGGATAAAAAAGTCTCCGCCACTATAAAAACATACACTCAAAAGTGCTATGGGAAAATTGATCCTCGTTTTGAACTTGACCATGATGCTTGTCTTATGGGGCATTCGAAAATACGAGTAGTTCATCCAATGCGGGATAAAATAGTCTTCTACCAGCGGGTTCAACTTGGACTTGAAAACGAAAAGAGGCACGGCATGCAAGGGTTGTTCACCCAGACAGACAATATCCAGTGAAATTCCCATGTCAATGATTCTTTGTTTGGTCAGATTCACCATCTCTCGGTCGACGTTGAAGACACCGCCACCTGGGGTGACAAATAGGATCTGAAATTGAGGTCATAGTAGGGTATTTTCATTAAAAATCAGGGCAAATGACCAAGTATAATATAATTTTTGATATTACACATGATATAACTGAATTATATAGTATTCTAACGCCGCAAAAAGGATGACAAGTCTCTAAAATTTATTTCACATCAAAAAACAGCTATTAAAAATCCAAAAACATAAGTTTTCCGGCAATTTTCATTAAAAAACTTGATTTTTCCCCAAAAAATCTCAAAATCCCCGTGATACTTCAAAATCTAAAAACCAAAATTCCAGAAATCACTTATCAGCCCATAACCCCTCTTCCAAGAAAATTTCAGCCGATTTTCCGACAAATTTCATTCATCATTATATTACACTGGACATTCATACCTAAATTTCCGAAAAAAAATTCAAAATCCTTACCTGCTGTCCGGTGGTTTCAAACCGTCGATCCGAGTGATAAACAAAGAAGCTATTCATCGACATGTTCAGCACTTCCAGGAAGTTTCCATCCCTTGCCGTTGAGAGTTCGCAAAAGTCGGCTCGGTCGGCCAGCTCGGGTAATAATTGTCGATGATACTCTTTTATGGTGTTTTGGTAGTTCGTAAAGCATTTGCGGAGGTTGGCGAGGACATGCGTCCAGTCTGTGTAGTGTTCATTTTGGACTAGGAGACGGTAAAAATCCTGAAAATTTAAAAAACATTTTTTTTTTCAAAATTATGACCGTTCCAAAAACGGGGAGCGACTATAGGGGGAAAAGGAAGAAACTGAATTTTCCTCTAATAAACAGCGAAGGGAGTCCTTCACAGTGAAGGGCCTGATCCAGTGGCAAAAAACTTACCATTTCGCATCCGGGAAGTATCAAAAATGTGGCAAAATGCCTCCCTCTCCAAGTAAAAAAACTCCGATTTCAAAAGCTCTTTTTGTGAGCGGAGTCTTTTTAGTTGGAGAGGGAAGCATTTTGCCACATTTCTGATATCTCCCGAATTCAAAAACGTACGTTTTTTGCCACTAGATCAGGTCCCCCGCTGTACTTTCGCATTAAAAAAATGTCATTTTTATAAGCGAAGCTTCGGGAAACAGAAAATTGAGGAAATTGAAAAGTATCATTTTTCTTCGCTGTAACTGTCGAAATTAGGATAATCGATGGTGTTGATTTTGAAAATGACATTCATTTTTTTTTGATCGTTACTATTTTGCTTAAGTAGTACTGTAAAGTAGTAATTTTTTGAACTTTTCTCACAAATACTCGATTTAGGGGTTTTCGATGGTGCTGATTTCGAAAATTTTACTCATTTTTTCTGATTCTTACAGAGAAAAAAAGTAATAATCAGAAGAAATGGATGCAATTTTCGAAATCAGCACCATTGAAAACCGCTAAATCGAGTATTTGTGAAAAAAATCAAAAAATTACTACTTTATAGTACTACTTAAAAAAAATAGTAACAATCAAAAAAACGAATATCATTTTCATAATCAGCGCCATCGACTATCCTAATTTCGACGCTTACATCGAAGAAAAATAATACTTTTCAGTTTCCCCAATCGTCCCTTTTTTGAACAGTGCAATCCCAAAAAATTTCAAAATTTTCGCACTGTGCAGAAATATGACAACCTTTATGATACCTATTCTACGTCTTAGATCATTCTAAATCATATTATTTTTACTTCGATCCAAAATTTCAACCGCACAGTGCAATAATGCAAAAAATTTTCTTTCGCACAGTGCAAAATCAAAAAATTCTCAAAAATCGCTATTTTTTGCTGTATCAAAAATCAAAAATATAAAACTATCATCTAATGGACAAACCGAGGGCGTCAGCCTTTCATTTCTCACCTCAAAAAACCAAAAATAATTTCAAAAATTTGAAAATATAAAAAATTTTCCTTCCCTTCCTTGGGAAAACTTTAAATTCAGGTGTCAAAAAAGACGATTTCCCATTCCATTTGATTAGAAAATCCTCTGCACGCTCTATTCTTTCACTATCAATCAAAAAAATCACCAAACTCTTCAAAAAATTTACACTTTTTTACCTTATCCTTCCTCAATCCCTCCAAAAAACAGAAATATTTTAAAAAAATTTCCCAATCGCCTTTTTCCCCAACTGAATTCCTGCAAAAAAGTCGAAAAAATCCCTACTTGATAATATCTATCTCTATGGTCCTTATTCGCCTTGATTTTTTCCAACTGCTCTTCATTCAACACCGCCGAATTGTAATACCACCTCGAAAAAACGATAATCGAGACATGATGAGCGCACGACTGCAGACTCCACCGTTTGAATAGCTCGGGTAGGAAGCCTTTATAGCATTTCTCGAAATACAAATCCCCTTGAGGATCAATATCCCACATTTCGCTGCTCAATTGCAAATAAATCAGGACTTGGGATGAAGAAGATCGGAAGACGATTCTCGTCTCTTCCGACACATATCCCGACCAAGCCGGCTCTCCGGCGGACCATATATCGGATACAGTGCAATGGACGCCGAGCCAGTTTTCGAACTTCCCAACATAAACACAAGAGTCGATCAGACAGCTGCGGAAGTGGAACATGTCCGCTCGGGAGATGTAATATTCCTTGAAGGTGAGCTCCACGGAGTCGAGGGCGATCTGAAAGACGGATTCTAGGATTAAAGTGATCTTATTTTGGAGAAATTTATCAAAAAAATGGGGGAATTTATATTATTCTAGGCAAAAAAGTGAAAAAGTTAGATATCTACAGGGTCTTTCAAGAAACGTGAAGGAAAGTAGGAGGCTATAACTTTCGGCGGAGGCGGCGCAGAGAGCTCGTTTTTGGAATATGTATTTTTAAGCAACATTATTTTTTGCCTACGAAATAACAAGCTTTTAGAGTGCAAACTGAGGTCGCTACGACCTTCTGAAGTAGAGGCATCTCTACCCCAAAAACCAGGTTTTTTCGGTTGAAAATGATCGTGAAATTTCGGTCTTTTTCGGTTGAAAATCACCAAGAAATTTCGGATTTTTTCGGGGGTTTCGATAGAGTTGACGTTGAAAAAAAGGGAAGGATGTTGCCAACACGTTGGAAATTAAGCAAATATTCGGCTACTCTTTATTCTGACACTTTGGCTAGCCAGTTTTTGCTAGCTAAAATTTGGTTGTCATTCCTGCCCTTTGACGCCCATTACACCCTTTGACTAGTTTTTATAGGACTTCACAGCCATTCTGGTGCCTTGGCTAGCCGATTCCAGGTTCCTCAAATCCCTAAATGATGTCACGCTTCTTCGCGGAAGATACTGAAAAATAAACTCGAAATCTGCCCCAAGTTGAGGCTAGCCGAATATTTGCTTAATTTCCAACGTGTTGGCAACATCCTTCCCTTTTTTCAACGTCAACTCTATCGAAACCCCCGAAAAAATCCGACATTTCTTGGTGATTTTCAACCGAAAAAGTCCGAAATTTCTCGATCATTTTCAACCGAAAAAACCTGGTTTTCGGGGTAGAGATGCCTCTACTTCAGAAGGTCGTAGCGACCTCAGTTTGCACTCTAAAAACTTGTTATTTCATAGGCAAAAAATAATGTTGCTTAAAAATACATATTCCAAAAACGAGCTCTCTGCGCCGCCTCCGCCGAAAGTTATAGCCTCCTACTTTCCTTCACGTTTCTTGAAAGACCCTGTACTTTAAATATAACCATAAAAAACTCAGAAACCACTTTGAAATACGTTTGTTTTCAAATCAACCTTGTAAATATATCACTTATAGTCTTAAACTCCAATTTCACACAACATTTTTCAAAAATTCTTAATTTGTTACCTAAAATTCGGTTTTTTCGACCTACATCAACATAACTGAAGAAAATCTAGGCGAAAATCACATCAAACCGTCTACATGCCATCTTCTCTCTATACAAACCTTGACACCCCCCTAATTTTCCCAAAAACATCCATCTCATCAAGTGTAATATAATCAACACCTAAAATTTCAAAAAAAACTTTAAAATCTCACCTTCTCCTTATCCACTCTTCTGACCAACACAAAACTCCTCGATGGGAAGAAATCCTTCCTAGTGTCAAAAACTTTATCACAAATCTGAATGGCATCTCTGGTCGTGGCTTTATTCGTCTCTTTCTTGAATTGAACATAAACATAATGCGGTGAATTGGTCGATTTCACCTCCAAAATATCGTCATCTTGCAATCCGGGGATGGAATGGGCATTCTAAACATGGAACAAAAAAGTTTTTGAAGGCTTACCACACTTATCCCTTCTTCAACTCGATGGTGAAGTTTGAGTCGAATTGCGGCAGGTCCGTCGATGGCACGCTGGTTGCGCGAGCGTGCCTCGCTGTCTTTTTGGTCCATCAAGCTGAAAATAAACAATAACTCTATGAATTTTGCAATTTTTATCGAGTTTTACATTATTTACCTTGTCCATGGCGTCTAATGTAAAATTTTTTGCCAATTTCAAGTGTATTACGTTATTTGGGTTAATAAATTTTGCAAAATATAGTATTTGCAACCATTACAGACTATTATTTAAAGATTCAAAGTTCTCTCCATATCGGAAGTAACTGTCTTATCTTATCCGTAGATCAAGCTGAACAAACAATAATTTATCGGAAATGAAAGTGCATGCAGACCAAATTCGGACCTAATTAATAATAAACCATCTATTCCTAACTTTGCAAAGTGTTTTAATCCAAATTTCAGAGCCACTTCAAGCTTTTTTATATTATCCATGACATCTACAGTAACCATCAAAATCATCATCGATATCAAAACTTTTTTCTCGATAAACAACTCAAATAGAAAGAATAGAGTCTGATAATCATTTCCATGACAATAGACTTTCCTTTTTCGACTATGTTCTACCAGTTTCAGGCCTTACCGTATGCGCTCCTCCATCTTGGAGCGCATCATTGGAAAAGCGGCGCGCCCGTGGCGCTGATATCGGCGTGAGTGGTTGGGAGTCCGTTTGCCCCGCTGCGTCCCCTCCAATCTCTTCTTCACTTATTCTTTGAAGGAAATTTTTGGAAAACCCCCGAGAGCAGCAACTTTTTTTCCGCAGCCCCGTCCTCTCCCCGCCCCGCCTCTGGATCTGACGGTACAGTGCAAAAACTCGGAGGTGAAGGAGTGTGTGTGTGGGAGAACGGAACAGCGTGCTCTCGCTTAATGTGTTCGCCATAAAAGCGGCGGGGATCAAAAAATTTCCCTGCCTCCAAAACCTCAAAACCCGAAAAACAAACAAAAAAACATGAACACTTACAATATCGGGCTGAAACGGCGGCTAACGCAGCATTGTTGATACAGTAGGGCGTTGCAAATACGTCAAACCGGTGGACGAAGCCCGATTTTCCACATTTTATTTGTTTTTTCGCTCGCATTTTATTTTTTTCGTTCGGCGAGCTGCGCCCGTGCTGCGGCGGTTCGCGCGTCGCACCTCTTCCGAAGCGAGGAGGGGAAATTCTCTTTTCGCAAGTGAAATCACAAGAGAGGAGGAAGAGAGACCCGACTGGAAATGGATTTTTTCGCGAAGTTTGTTTCAAATGTTTTTAATAAGACGGGCCAAATGTGTTTATCGTTTATAACCAATCGTTTCGAGGGTTTCTCGTGTTTTCGAATACCACATATGACAGAGTGGAGAGTGTTTACGCTAAAGGGTCATTTGCATCGTCTCGCGGGCTAGAATGAGCTTATTTTATCCCTTTTCCATTTTTCGAACTATGTTTTAGGCTAAATTTTCGAATTTTGAATATTAGTCGACATTGTACTTGATAAAATTAGTCGACAAATGACCTTGAAGTGAGCAGAAGTGGAGGGAAACTGGTTATTTCGCATTTAGAGGCCGAGTTTCGACTTTTGGACAAGATTTATTCCTCCGAAACGTTAATCACTTCATTCACCTTGACATTGATGTATTGGCGCATTCAGCTATTTTTTCTAATTCATTTTGAACTCTGTTCGAAATTCAGACCCACTCCAACATTATTGACGTCTTTTCCTTGGAGAAATTTGATTTTGTCTTGCAAAATTTGCGAATTTTTGTTCTATGATGCCTAAAATAATATAATGATTCCATAATCATGAGAAAACGGGTGTTTTCTGCATCGGAAATCTATTCTGACGTCGCTAAAGAGACGCGAAAAGGTCTCCTGTCTTTTTCGTGACGCAGTTTTGAGAATAAACTTTCGCATGAACTGATTAGCCTTCTAGTCTTCTCCGTTTGTTGTTACATACAGATCTGGCGAATTTCCCTGCTAATTTCTCTTTCCATGAACGTGCAACCGAGCCCATGACTCAGTACGAGTATCAAGCCGATTAAATTTGTTGATTTCAGCGTTTTCCCATCATGGCTGGCCGTGTCGCCAGCACGATTGGGGATTACGAAAATCTCTCAGGTAAGTGTAATTTTGTTTTTGTGATTGGCGTTTAGATATTGCTCGAGCGGCCGATCGCAATGCCAGGCTGGGTTCGAACTCGGATGAGGAGAGGAATATGAGCTTGCAAACTCCATCGAGTTCGTCGTCTTTTCCTGGCGTCGTCATGAGAAGACCGACCGCTGGCAGTGAGACGGATGACTTTGATGATCATCTGGAGGTGTTTCCGCAAGTCGGCACCACTTTTTATGATTATCAGGCCATGGAGAATGATGAGTTGTCGTTTCAAAGGGGCTCGGTGGTCGAGATTATTGAAAAAGACAGGTAAAAGTTTGAAAGATTGACTTAGAGGCATCAAATATTTGGAAAAAAACTTTTTGAAAGGATTTTCAAAGTTTCGAATCGGATGCCATGTAAAATATTATTGCAGAGAAAGAGGCTGGGTCTACGGTAAAATCGATGACAAAACGGGTATGGTTCCGGAGAATTATGTCCGTCTAATTGGCCGTCAACCCAAGGAGATCAAAGCTTCTGAGTTTGTAAAATTGGACGAAAAAGTTGGCGATGGCGCGTTTTGCAACGTCTTCAAAGGCATCTACAGAGGCCGAAAAGTGGCGCTAAAGATCCCAAAACAAAGCAGAAGCTTGGACAACAAAAGTTTTGAGAGTTTGAAACGCGAGGCGTTGGTGTTTGCGCGGCTAAGTCACAAAAATATCGTCGCGTTCTACGGCATCTGCACCGAGTCTCCGTGCATTCTGATGGAACTTTGTGAAGGCGGGACGTTGTTTCGGTTGTATCGACAACTCTCGTTCTCTGTCTATTCGACGGTCATTGCGTGGGCGTTGCAAATCGCCCAAGGAATGGACCATCTGCATAACAGAGATGACGCCCTGCTTCATGCTGATTTGAAGGCTGATAATAGTGAGTCAAATGCGATTTATTGGGCCATACTTTTTTTCAAAACGGCGGAAGATTACAGTGGCGGACTTTGGTAAAAAACGTGCCATTTTGCATCCGGGAAGTATCAAAAAATGTGGCAAAATACCTCCCTCTCTAAGTGAAAAAAACCCGATTTCAAAAGCGCACCGCTCTTTTTGAGAGGGAAGGGGCGCGCTCTCCAAAAAAAAAGTTTTTAGTTGGAGAGGGAGGTATTTTGCCACATTTTTTGACACTTCCAGGATGCAAAAGGGTACGTTTTTTGCCACTGGATCAGGTCCGTCTTTGTATTCTGCGTGGCATTTTTTTTTTTGAGCCGATTGAATTTAGGCTTGTAATCTAATTTTTGAATTGTCAAAATGACCAGCCGAAGGGTTGGATTGACCGAAAAATCTCATAAATGACTTCTAAGGAGTTGAATTGGTAACCAAACCATCTAAATGGCTAGACAAAGAGTTGGACGTGCATAAAAATCTCCTACAGTGGGGGACCTGGTCCAGTGGGAAAAAACGGACCGTTTTGCATCCGGGAAGTATCAAAAATGTGGCAAAATGCGTCTCTCTCCAAGTGAAAAAAACTTCATTTTGAAGGGCGCGCCCTTTCCCTCACAAAAAAGAGCATGCGCGCTTTTGAAATCGGAGTTTTCACTTACAGAGGGAAGCATTTTGCCACATTTTTGATACTTCCCAGACGCAAAATGGTACGTTTTTTGCCACTGGATCAGGTTCCTCACTGTAGCTATGATTTTTAGACTAATCCAGCTCTTTGGCTAGTCGTTTAGATGATTTAGCTACCAGTCCTCCTCCCTAGCGAGCCGTTTATAAGATTTTGGTCAGTCCAACCCTTTGGCTGGTCATTTTGACAATTGAAAAAGTCGATTACAAGCCATAATTCGATCTACCCGAAATGAAATTCGCCTGTAGTGAATAACGGCCGCTTTTCTTGACCCTATGGACTCATTTTCGACGCATTTTTTTAGTTTTGATCAAAGAAATTCCCTGTATTTGCGAGCATGACGAGCAAACTTCCCGATTCGGGCCTCCCAAATATCACAACAACATTTGCACGCGCTGCAATGGCACGCGTCTCGACAAATTGACCCTCAAAATCACCGACTTTGGCCTATCGAGAGACGTCAAATCCACCCGCGACAGTTTGTCCGGCTCGGTCTCGTGGATGTCGCCAGAAGTCATCGAAAAGAAGGAGTACTCGAAAAGCTCGGATGTTTGGAGTTTCGGGATTTTGTTCTGGGAAATCCTCACGAATCAGTTGCCCTTCCCCGACCCCGATTACAGCGTTCTCGTCTTGATGGTGGCCATAGGCGAGCGAAAGAAAACTCCCGACATCCCGGAGAATTGCCCGCCGGAAATTCGCAATCTAATGAAAAAATGTTGGGAGATTCGACCCGAAAATCGACCATCATTCAGCGAAATCATTGAAATGTTGAACGACGCCAATGCTTCCATCGACAAAACGCATGTGTTGTATAGTTTCGAAAGTGTGAAAAAATCGAGAGCAAGAATGGATGTGACTTTCAATGAGATCGCAGAGGAGTTCAGAAAAAGACGAATTGAGTAGGTTGAGGAGGGTTTTGCAGCGGAAGAATAAGTTTACAAGAGATCTCCTTGACGTGGGGCCTTCAGATTTTCGTAAAATTTTTCACACTGGTTCTGAACCACAGTGGCGGACCTGATTTATTGGCAAAAAACGTACCATTTTGCATCCGGGAAGTATCAAAAAATGTGGCAAAATGCCTCCCTCTCCAAGTGAAAAAACTCCGATTTCAAAAGCGCACCCACTCTTTTTGTGAGGGCTTCAAAGTATCCCCTGAAAGTCGTAGCCAGTGCTTTATAACGGCAGCGGAGATATTCAACGGCCTTTCTGTGAGAGAGTACGCGAAATGAGGAGGGTATGCCAGACGGAAACTTTTTTGTCTGACCGACCCTGCTCATTTCACGCGCTATCTTACAAAACGACCGTTGATTAGCTCGGTTGCCGTTGGAAAGCGCTGGCTAAAACTTTGAGGGAACGATTTCTGGCTAGCTCAGAACCAGTGTGAAAAATTTTTAAATTTTTGTTAAATCTGAGGGCCTTATGTCAATGAGATCTTGTAAACTTATTAAAAGTTATTTTCATGACTAATGTGCTACATAAAACCTCTGATTTTGTAGCACTTCAATCTACTCTAACCTCGAATTCAAACCCAAGGCCCCAAAGCCGGCTGCGCGAACAATCCGACGAAAACCGCGACCAGTGTTGCCTAAAGGCAAGGTTTCAAAGGAAAACATTGGCGGTCCTCAAGACTTCCAACATACATTCCATATATCTTCGGCTGCATCTTCCACCTCGCCAGATTCGCAGCGATTTCATATTGTCGAAAGTGAGTGTTTCGCTTACGAAAATTGGGATTTTTGAACACTTTTTGATGAGTTCTGAATTTTTGCTTATCGTATTGTATGTTGTAAAAGTTTTAGTAGTCGCGGTTGCGAGTTATTTTTTTATTTTCTTTTCTTATTTTGTCTTGTAAATGTGTTGTAAGCATCGCGCTGATGATTGTAGATCCGGACAAAGGAGTCTCACCCCTTTCTCCTCGTCATAATCATGCAGCCACGCTGGAAAGAAAAGACTTGGTTGACGCGCAGACCCTCCCGCGAAGCTACAAACACGCTGTGAAGCAAACTGAATCCCCAAAAATTCGGCAATGCTCGGGAAACGAGCATCTCACTCCAATGGAGTTCAATCGAAACGCCTCCAGAAGTAACCCGGAATTATGCGCATTGTCGGTGAACAACACACCGAGAAGATCGAATGCTTACCGGCACAAGGACTTTGAGAGGATCAAGAAGAAGGTTCGGCCCACCAATTCTTCGGATTCATCCGAAGAAAACGTGGTCATCCCGGCTGAGGACATGGGTAAGTGGTGGTTGTAATATCATTTTAATAGTAGTGGATGACTTTTAAATGTCGTAAGCGGTAATGATAGTCGATGGTCGTGTTATATTTTACCGTGGTTTCGATATTTTTTGTTTTGGTCATTTCGAATTCAAGATTTTGTAATCTGCTTATCCAATCGTCCAAATGACCAACCAAAAAGGTTAGATTGGTCTAAAAATCTCATAAACGGCTAGCCAGCGGGCTGGATTGGCAGCTTAATCATCTACAGTGGGGGACCTGGTCCAGTGGCAAAAAACGTACCGTTTTGCATCCGGGAAGTAACAAAAATATGGCAAAATGCTTCCCTCTCCAAGTAAAAAAACTCCGATTTCAAAGGCGCTCTCACAAAAAAGAGCGGATGCGCTTTTGAAATCGGATTTTTTCACTTGGAGAGTGAAGCATTTTGCCACATTTTTGAGACTTCCTGGATGCAAAATGGTACGTTTTTTGCCACTGAATTAGGTCCCCCACTGTAAATGGTTTGACAAAGGGTTGGATTGGCCTAAAAATTGTATTGCTACGATTTTTAGACCAATTCGACTATTGGACAAGCCATTTTGATGATTTTGCTGTCAATCCGGCTCTCTGACTAGCGATCGATGAGGTTTTTAGACCAACCCAACGTTTTTGGTTGATCATTTGAACGGCTGGATAAGCAGATTATGGGCGATCAATGCAATCTTCCACAAAAAAAATAGCAGCCCGATTCGCAGCCTAAAACATCTCTTGCAGATATCCCGATAGTCCGTCATTCCGACTATCCGGACCACCACGACAGCCGCAAGAGCAACGCCATCTTCTACGACTCGGATTCCTCGGTGTCGGCGGTGTCGGACCCGCGACAAAAGCGCGGACGTCTGAACAAATTTTTCAACCTCTTAAAGAAGCGCTCATCCCCAACCCGGCAAGACCAGATTGTGGACCGTCCCCTCCTGCCGCAATGCGTTCATCCCCATCATTCGGCGGACGCGTTGCGCAACTTCAACCATCAATGCGGCTTGAATGACGTGGACGTGGTGGACCAGGTGTTGAGCTTGGAGCCGGAGCTGCATTTGCTCGCGAAATTCCAGAGACTGCAATACGAACACGCGTTGAATGGAGGCCGACCGTTCCGAAAACGCAGCGACGATCCGCAAAAGCGCCGGAGAACTCCGCAACCACCAACCCCATCGCAGCCAAGTGCAAGTCGCTCGGCGATCTCGTCGAAGGTCCGGAAAGCCAGACAAAACACGTCGGTGTCCGAGACGGACGGCTCCTTTGATCAGGGCTTCGAAGACGATGACATTAGCTCCAACTTTAACTCATCCCTCAACTCCAACTATCAAACTCCCCTCTCCAGCAAGCCGAGTCCGATCGCAAGCCATCGTAGTCGACAGCCGAGCAACCAACGAGCTTATGAAACCCCCTTAAAAGCCGAGCTGATCAATAGTCTGGATCTGGACCTGGAGAAAATCCAAAACGCCGCGATTATGCCCTTTACCAACCAAACATACCAACCGATGAAAGACAGTATATATAGGGTGGAGAAGCTGCAACGACCCAAAACCCTGGCCGTGGGATCACAGCCATCCTCTTCACTGGGCTCCCCGAAAACTGAAGATGATTGCCCGGTGATTGAGATTGCCGAATGCCCACCGAGAAGAAGCCCACGACACATGGACATGTCGCCGGATTTGATGCCAAAACCAAGGTCGCTAAGTGAACATCATCCGGAAAGCATATCGCCGAGATTACCCCCAAGACCGACGCATTTGTCGCCGAGTATCCCAAATCTCCCAATCTCGCCGAGTCGCAGCAGAAATTCGTCGAATACCAGCTTGGGGTCGGAGCTGAAGAAGCATAGACAAAGACATGTAAGATCATGACAAAAAAAACTTTATCTTCTGCAAAGAACCAAAAAAAATTTTGTTATAGGAGGATTTCGTTGTAGAGAGGTTCATTTTAGCCTGAAATTGGCTCCTCAGACCTCTGAAATTGTTTATTATAGACAGGTTGCGTTGCATAGGAGGCCACTGTACAGAGATTTCACTGTACAGGGGCGGACCTGTTCCAGTGGAAAAAACGTACCGTTTTGTATCCATGAAGGATCAAAAACGCAGCAAAATACCTCCCTCTCCAACTAAAAAGACTTCGCTTGAAGAGCGCACCTTTCACAAAGTCTTTTTAGTTGGAGAGGGAGGTATTTTGCTACGTTTTTGATACTTCCTGAGTCCAAAATGGTACGTTTTTTGCCACTGGAACAGGTCCGCCTGTTCCTAAAATGAACCTCTCTGCAACGAAATCCTTCTATAACAAAAAACATTTTTTTTGTCTTTGACGGAGGATTTACTGCATGACAAATTTCAGTCGGTCCTCGACCAGTTCATCGAAGTCCCGGATGGCAGAAAACAGTCGCCAACCACACATATCCCCTTCATCGAGTCGCCAAAGACTGCGGAGGACCTGAAAGAGCCTGAAAGGTATACGGTCTCACATGAAATAATATATGAAATCAATTTTCAGTTACTTTGTTCTCCAATCCCTCTCCGGCAGAGACTCTCCACCTGCGGAACGCGCTCCACCCCCACCGCCGTTCGCACCGCCAAACCGAGTGCCAAAAATTCCAATCCGTTTGAACAAACCCCTCCCGAAAACCCCACCTACCTTCATGTAATTCAAAAAAAAACTTTACCAAAACGCCGCCTCTCTGCTGTTGTGCTCTAAAAACACCCTCAAAATAGATATTTTTGTCCTCCGGTATTAACGTATAACCGTTGTGAGTCTGTCGGGAAAATAATGAGCACTCTGTCGCATCGAAAATCGCATCGCCGCCGAGACAATAAATTGTGTCGCGGCAAAATCAAATCGCTTTTCACTTCAGCGACGCGTCAGCTCCATTATGCTCATTATTTTCCCGACAGACTGATAAGTCTTTTTAAAAAAAGGAAATCTTCGCTATCACCCTCCAATATTTGTTCATATTTTCATGAACATCTGTAGATATCATTAGTCTTTCATCAAATCTAGCTGTACGGTTTTAGAACAAAACAGAAATTTTAACAGTGAAATTTTGACCAAAAATTTTCAAAATCAAAAAACATGACACTTTGACCGCCTATTTATTTTCCCCCACTTGTTGTTCCTGTCGTCTCGTGTGTTACAAAACAATTTCAGTGTGTTTTTATTTTATGAATTTTTGTGGAAAAAAGAGAAAATGCAAATAAAATGTTTTATTATTGTTCCTCCCATTTTGAAAATCAGAAGGAAATTTTTCATCGTATAACGTGTCACTTCGCATTTTGAAAATCGCAAAAAAAAGGTCACCGTATAACATGTCACCTCCCATTTTGAAAATCAAAGGAAAAATTTTCATTGTATAAAATGTCACCCTCCATTTTTAAAACCAGAGGAAATTTTTTATCGTATAACATGTCACCTCCCATTTTGAAAATCGGAAAAAAAATTTCATCGTATAACATGTCACCTTCCATTTTGAAAATAAGAAGAAAAATTTTCATCGTATAACATGTCACCTCCCATTTTGAAAATCAGAAAAAAAATTTCATCGTATAACATGTCGCATCAGATTTTTTCAATTACTGTAAAATCAACTAATGTAAATTACGGTAGGTTAACGGGAGAATTGGGCAAAAATGTTTCATAATATGCTACCAGGATGCCTCCATCCATATTTCAAAACAAAAACGCAGCCTTTTTTCCAGGAATATACAAGTAAATTTGTTGAAATTTGCGGAACAAACGATTCCTTTCCACCACAACAATATATTGATGAATTTAGCAAAGAGGTTGGGTTAACAGACGCGAAAAAGTCTCTCGGCTTTTTCCTGACGTAGTTTCGAAGACAGGGCAGCCGTGTGAACTGATTAGACCTTTACAGTTTGTTGTTAAATACGGATCTGGCGAATTAGTTTGCTGGTTTACCGTTCCATGGCTTTACAACAAAACGCTTAAGTATAAAAGCTGATTGAATTTTTAGTTGCAGTATTCTTCGAAGATGTCTTTTACGGCTAGCACTGGTACTGGGAATTTTGGAAGACTTGCTGGTAGGTTTTGTATTTCAGTTGGCGAGGGTCTATGCTATGCAACAAGAGTTGTCTATATCAAAAAATTTAAGAGGTTTCAAGAGTCCCTTATAGGCTTGTCTCTTCCCAGCTTCCGTCCCACAATATGGTACGACCTGGACGAGGACGAAGAGCTGAACTTCCCGACTCCATCTTGTTCGTCCGCTGCTCCTGGAGTTGTAATGAGAAGAAGGCTGGCTGAAGTTGAGAGCGACGATTCTGGCGAGTTTCAAGAGCTGGTGCCACAAGTCGGCGCTGCTAGTTATGATTATGTGGCCATGGAGGAGGATGAACTTTCGTTTCAAAGGGGATCTGTGGTCGAGATTATTGAAACAGACAGGTAATTTGATACTAATGAGTTTGAAAACATTGCTAAATATTAACGAAAAGCTAAAGCGCCAAAATCATTAGTTTGTCGGGAAAATAAAGAGCACTCTGTTGCTTAAAAAATGACATCGCTGATAAACTAACTTCATATACTTCTCTGTTTTAGCGAGGACGAAGGATGGGTGTACGGCAAAATCGAAGACAGAGAAGGTTTGGTGTCCAAAGACTACGTCAGTTTGATTGGCCGCCAACCCAAAGAAATCAAGGCTTCGGAATTCGAAAAGCAAGAACGCATTGGCAGTGGCGGCTCTTGCGACATCTTCGCCGCCATCTACCGAGGCCAAAAAGTGGCCTTGAAAATCCCAAGACAACGAAGGCCTTTAGACAACAAAAGTTTAGAGGATTTGAAGCGAGAGGCGCTGGTGCTGGCCCGATTAAGCGGCCACAAGAATATCGTTGGGTTCTACGGAATCTGCACTGAATCATCATGTATTCTGCTCGAGCTTTGCGAAGGAAGGTCGCTGTTTCAGCTGTACCGACGCTTGAAGTTCGCAGTATACTCCACGGTCATTGCGTGGGCGTCGCAAGTCGCCGAAGGTATGAATCATTTGCACAACCGGGATGCCGCGCTGATTCATGCTGATTTAAAGGCTGACAATAGTAAGTGATGGCTTGATAGTCGATAGTTTTTTTTGTTTTCAGTCTTGATCAAAGAAATACCCTGTATTTGCGAGCACAGCGAGGAGATCTCCCAATTGCGGCCGCCGGTATACGACAACAATGATTGCACTCGTTGCGGTGGCACTCATCTCGACAAATTGACGCTGAAAATCACCGACTTTGGGATTTCGCGCGACGTCAAGTCGAGCCGCCACAGTTTGGTCGGCTCGCTGCCGTGGATGTCGCCGGAAGTCATCGAAACACAAGAGTATTCCAAGAGCTCGGACGTCTGGAGCTTCGGCATGTTCCTGGTGGAGATCCTCACCAATCGTCTCCCATTCTCCGGCTATGATGGGCCGCCAATGTTCATCGGCGATCGCAAAGAAACGCCCGACATTCCGGAGGATTGTCCGCCGCAAATCCTGCGACTTATGGAGCAATGTTGGGAAATTGAGCCTGCGAATCGCCCGTCGTTCGGCGAGATCGTTGAAATGCTGAATGAAGCCGGAATGGAAGATAGTGACATGTCCGATGGACTAGACAATTCGGAGTATGTCAAATCGACAGCAAGAATGGATGTGACTTTCAAGAAGATCGCTGAGGAGCTTTGGAGGCTAATCAAGTAGGTTTTATCCACCCTGAAACTTCTGCATCAGTGTGTCGGGGAAATAATGAGCACTCTGTCGCATCGAAAATCGCATCGCCGCCGAGAAAATGAATCCAGTTTTCAGTGTCACGAATTGGGTTAGAACACGTAGATTGAGGGGCCCCTATTCTAGGTTCTATCTGTGATCCTAACCCAAATACTATACCAAACAATGACAAACAATACATAGGGCTAAGGTAGTACAGCCCCCCCCCAGTCCAGTTTAGCCCCCCATAACCCAGTACAACTTCCCTCGTCCATTCTGAACCCCAAAATTCATTTCAAAGAATTAATCCAAGTTGTATGGTCCAGCACAAGCCCCCTACGTTTTAGACCAAGTCCCTTACGTTTTAGATCAAGCCCCCTCCGTTTTAGAAAAAGCCCCCTACGTTTTAGATCAAACCCCCAACGTAGTAGATCAAACCCCCACTTACATTTTTTGTATTATTCTAATTTGTTCATTATGTGGGGTGTGAAACGGGCAAAACAGTGGGGGTTTGAACTACCTTTCGTGGGGGGCTTAACTACCGAAACCCCGCCCTATAATTCCTTTTATACCAATTTGTCGCTCCTTCCGTGGGAGTATGCAAATTCGCACGCGAACTCGTGATAAAATATAGACAAGATAACTTGTTCGTTGAATAAAAACTTTTGTTTTTCAGCCTCTCATCGCACTCCAAACGCGAATTCAAACCCAAAGCACCAAAGCCTGCACAGCGAAAGGCAAAGTCAAAAGCAGCGTTGCCTAAAGGCAAGATTACGAAAGAACGTAGGTACTTTTGATTTCTTTGCCTTGCATTTGTAACACTCTGTCTGTTAGAGCTATAAAAGTCAAACTAAAATTTTAGATCCGGACCCTAAAGTTCACTTCAGACCAATTGGTTTGACTCGACAGACCTCAAAAAGCGAGGCGGACCTCAGCACGTTGGGGAAAAGTCATCGTCAATTCGCGAAGAGGTCCAACAACGACAGCAACAAGGACTTGAAGAGGTTGAAAAAGAAGGCGCGCCGTGCAAATTCGTCGGACTCATTGAATGTGGCAACACCTCAGGACATGCGTAAGTCTCCACTGCAAAAAGAATTTTTTGAATCTCTTGACTGGGCGCCGAGAAATCGACGAAAACTTTCCGCGAAATTTCTCTGGACACTTTGTACCTCGTATTTTACAGACACCCAAACTTTCCGTCGTTCCGACCCAGCCCGAAAGAGCAACACAGTGTTCTATGACCTGGAAGACCCTGACTTCTCACGTTCTGCGTTTTCGGACTCGCAGCGAAAACAACGAGGTCTTAGCAAGCTCTTCAAGATCCTCAGAAGGAGTCCTTCTTCCACTGGTCTTGACGAATTTCTCGACCTCTCGCCAGCGCAGGAAATCAAAGAGGATGACTTTAACGCCTCTGGCCATGTTGACTCACCCATGAGTTCTGGCTGTCAAACTCCGCTGGCCCAAACATCATATAACAGCCCGTTGAAGATCGACATAGCCAATGCGTTTGACTTTGACTTTTCACAAATCGAAAAGGCCGCTTCTTTACCGTTCACCAACAAGATTTACCAGACAATGACGGAGAGTGATATTCGAAAATATGAGACGCTCAAACCACCTGAAATTTTGGCTGAGGGATTACGTCCATCTTCGTTAACGACAGCCCCTGATGGAAAGCCAACAGAGTTAAAGCAAAAGCCAAGATCGTCAAGTGCGGACCCTCCAAGGGCTGTGCCAAAACTGCCCCCAAGACCTCCGCATTTGCCGCCCAGTATCCAGAAACCATCAGCTTCAGAAAGCCGAAGCAGAGACGAGCCAGCTTCAGAAAGCCGAAGCAGAAATTCGTCAACAAGCTGCACGCCGGAGTTCGAACAACCAGTGCAAAGACGGGTAAGGCTTGAACAAACACTCTCCTTTTTGTCTTTATATTAGAGGCTAAATATGGCGAATATGAGTATGGTTTTCGACACGCTTTTTATTAGCTAAGTAGAGAAGATTATTTCCATGAAAAAAAGTTAACAAAACGCGAATTTTAACTAACAAAAAAACCGCCAATAAAAACGCCGGATAGTTATGCATCAGCCTAATAAGAACATGCTAGATATAAAATCTAATATGTAATATTTTAGAAAGCCCTAGGGCAGTTTATCCAAGCCCCAGACGGAGTGAATCGACCGCCAACGACTTATATCCCGTCGCTTCGAGTGCCAAAGGCCGGAGAGGCGCTGAAACGATCAGGAAGGCGAGTATATTGGTTCTAGAATGAATAATCGGTCCGGTTTTAGTCCCTGTATTCTTCCATCCCTCTCTGGTCGAGACTCCCCACCCACCGAACAAGCTCCACCGCCTCCGGCAGTCACACAGCCATACCTTGTGCCAAAGATTGTAATCCGCTCGAGGACCCCACCAACCTACATGTAATTCAAAAAAACTGCGCAAAAACACCTTTTTTTAAAAAAGTTAAAACTTGTTGTTAAAATTTTCATTGAAACGTTATAGAATTGTTATTCTCATGATATGTTGTACATATATTATATCCGTGTCTTTGACTCTCAAAACTTGCAATATGGTTTTCAAATCGAAAAAAAGTTCCCAATAAAGAACATGACATCTTTTTTGTGATTGTTTTTACTGTCGTATCGTGTGTTACAAGGTAAGTTTGATCAGTCTAACAGTAGAAAAATACGATAAAAACGCCCTGTAATCGATCAATTCCCTGTGGAAAAAACATTTTTTGCCACCCTACCAAAATCAACCGAATCATACTGTAAGCCTTAGGGTGGGTCTAGTCTACGAACAACAAGGGAAAGAAAACAAGAAAAGGGATAAACTTGGGTCCATCCGCAGCGGGTACTTATGATTGCGAAATGGAGTGTAATCTGACCAGTCTCCGCCAATTCTTGTTACATAGGACCTAGCGAATCACCAATTAACAGAAGAATGACTAAGTGCTCAAAAATATTATAAAAGGCAATCCATTTGTCAACTCCAACGCTATCCACACACAACCAATTGCATTCCCAGTTTGTTGCGGTCGAATAACCATTATCACAGGTAAGTTTGGCATGATTGTTTTGTGATTGATGACGAAATACTATGGGAATTTTCATATCAGACTGTCGGGAAAATAATGTGGATTTGTCGCAGCACAATGTCTTGAATTTGCCGCCGCCGTACACCCAATTTTGAGTCGCGGCTAGCCGTTGCAAACGGATAATGACCAATTCCAAGGTGCTATAAATCCACATTATTTTCCCGACATATATAATTGTAACAGTATTCCTCCTGACTATTGCTAAACAGGAATGTACAAACTAATTAATTTCCAGGCGCTTTCATCGACTCTAACCTTGGAATCATGCCCAAAACTCCAAAGCTGACCGAACCAAAAGTCCAGCCATTGTCAAAAGACGACATTGGAAACCCGCAGGACTTCCGTCATATCGTCCATATGCGTTCATCCTCCATCTCACACAATATGCAACGGCTACATGTTTTTGACAGTAAGTTATCCCAGCATTATAAAGTTTTTGCAATATTTAGACGTAGAGGAAGGAGAGCGCATGACTTCAACGGATCAAACTCAAAGGTCTTCCAAGAGCAACGCGGACTTGTGTAGGCTCCTGGTAAGGCCTGATTGTCCTGTACGAGGATCCCAGTACCATAAAGACTTGCGAAGAATAAAAAAGAGGGCTCGGCGTGCAAGTTCTGTTGATTTGCAAAAGTCAACAAAAGACACAAGTAGGTTCTTCGACTCTACGTAAAAATTTTCTCCGGCCTGGGGCAGCTATAAGTTTGTCCGAAAAGTCGCCGGCGGTGAACTCTGATTTTTTCTAAACATGACATTTTCAGCTCCCCTCCGCGATGGCGGCAAGTACAAACATAAGCATGATTCAGTCTTCTACGACCTTGAAAACTCCAAATTCTCCGACTTGGACGTTGGAAAAGGACGGTCTCGTCTTTCAAGGAACATGTAAGACTTGCTACAATTAGAGCTGTAATACACTTTAATTATACATTTGCAATGGTACACAAAGAAGATCTAAAAAGTTTTCTAACAATAAGACCTTGTAGAACTTCCTTGCGGACCGTTTGCAAATACATATATTATTATTGGTAATTAAAATGCATTATATGGTAATTGAAATGCAATGAAAATCCAACCTTTCCAGGTCAGGAATGGTCGGTAAATTGATGCATGTTCTCAAAAAGGAGCCCATTTTAATTTGCCCAAATCAAAATGATGACAATTCACTGCGGTGCCGAAACAATTGCGATGTCTCACCGGAGTTACCGCCTAAGCTTGTGTCATTATATAAAGATTTCCCAAGAGGCTTGTCGCAAATACCTCCAAAAGCACCACATCTACTGCTGAACAATGAAGAATTCCCCGTATCCTCAATCCAAGACGAAGATATGGGCGTGAAACCGGTGCCCAAAAAGCGCATTGAATCGGCAAAGGCGGAGGAGGATCAAGAAGGGCCGGCAATCAGGATTTATCGGATTTAATCCTCTTCAAGGCTAGTACACGTCAAACTGAGATAAGCTAAAGCTGTCTGGTGAATAGATTGGCAATTCGCCAAAAAACGCGAAAAAACTTTTGGTCGGGGAAGAAATGGGGAGTTTTTGGGGCGAGAGAGAACGTTTTTGCGCGTCTTTTCTCTGACTTCTCTGCGAAATCAAGACGAAGTGAATAAAACCAATAGCGAAGGGTCTATACCGGTCACCGGACTCCTCAGTTTGACGTGTAGTACTCCATTTCCACAAAACTTAAATTTAAAAAATAAAGTATGCACATATTGTTCCAGGGATCGAATGATCGCTGGTTATAGACAGATGTCGTTTTTCGGGAATTCGCTAATATCGGGTTCACTGCATTGATTTTTTTGTTGTTTTTGCAATTTTTGCCCAAAGCGGTACCTCTAAAATTCCTTTATGATAATTTTCAATACATGATTATGTTATAGCTCATGTGTGGTTGTTTATTGGCTACCAATAGCGCAAATGTTGCTCTTGACCAAAGCATAATTTTTTATCAGTCTGTCGGGAAAATAATGTGGATTTGTAGCAGGTAAATGTCTTGCCTTGTCGCAGTCGCGCAACAAATCCCCAGCCGCTGCCGTCGCAAATATAAAAACGCCGGATAATTATGCATCAACCAAATGCCGCGTCGCGGTTGGCTCTTGCACACCGATACTGGCCAATTCCAAGGCGCGACAAATGCACATTATTTTCCCGACAGTCTGATAACAGTATGCCCACTGCAGTAGCTAATGTACAAGTCCGTTCGCAAAGTCGTTGGAATAAAGGGAATAATGCGACCAGTCCACATTATTTTCCCGACAGACTGGTATGTCTATTTATCGCTTCTTTTTGTTGCCGCAAAAGAAAATAAAACGCATTATTCACCAAAATCTCAACATTTCAGCGGAATTACACTAAAATATTTGGCAATTAGCCATCATCACACAAACATCTTTGTCAATTTCCCAGTACAGCTGTAATTTTCTGCAAATTAATTAAAACAAAAAACTATCTTCAACAGATCTTTATAACGAGTAGCGTCACATCTTCGTCAAACACTCTGCTTTTCGCCCTTCCTCAAAACACCGGAGCAACAGCGAAAAGGTTACCCTGTGTTTTTCAGATAACCTTGGGCTTGCTCTCTTGACGCGCTTCCTTTTTTTATTTCTTCGAATTTCCATCTCTTCCGGACGAAATTTTAAGCATGCAAAATGCGACGGAAGCCGAGGTACACGCCGCTTGCTCAGAGTACTATATAACGCCGTGGGCCACAATTGTGTCGCTGTTCTTGTTGTACACTTTTTTGTTGCTTTGGTTTTGCCGACATGGGAAGAAGACGTGCCTTCCATTGCCGGATTCGATTTATCCCTTCACACCGAGGCTGGATTATTTGAAAAAAGGTGCGGAGTTGTAAAATACGGTTAAGCGAGTTATAGTTTCCTTTAAATTTTGCAGATAAATCGACCATTAACTCAATATGAATTCCCTAAAATTTTGGTCACAAAATCGGGAGAGCGGTCAGAGAAAAAATTCAGCTTTTAGACATATCTAATAAGGGAACTACCCCAAGTGCGACGCTCAGATTTTCTTTAAACTTTGCACACATGTTGGGCATAGACTAACTATCAATTACTGAAAGTTTTAGCTTGCGCTTAGCAGGGGCCGCTGAGATTTTCAACGACATTTGCGGCCGAGAGAGCACACGAAACGCGGAGAGCGGTAAAAGGAAAAACACTGTTTTTTGGTGATATCTTTGCCCCTTTCGCCCATAAAAAAAATGATTTTGTGTGGAAAGAATACATACTATCTGCAGTAGAAATAAGCACAAAACTTTTTATCCGAAAACTCAGAAAACACTGTCATCTAGATTTATGGTCGATTTTTGTCGGTCGAAGACCAATAACAGTACCTTACAGTTATCCTATCAAGTTCATATTGGGATTTTTTGAAGTTAACGTTCTCTAAAACCTAGCCACACTCGATTTTGTAAAATTTGCTATTCCGGAACGGCCACAGCGGGCTTCGGAAGGCTACTAACGGAAGCAAGAACTAAAAAGTTTTTGAATATCCGCGGCAGAATAAAGCTCTTATCAATCTGTCGGGAAAATAATGTGGATTTGTCGCAGAAAAATTTCTGGCCTCATCGAAGCCGCGCAACACATCTCCAACCGCGGCCAGCCGTTGCAAACCGACAACAGGCGATTCCAAGGCTCGACGAATCCACATTATTTTCCCGACAGACTGATAAAAGAGCTATGATGATTTTATTCACTCTAAATACGTATATATTTGTAGTTCTCGAAAACCTCCTCGTCGATGACATGTTCATCGAGCTCACCGACAACAAACTTGGTCAAGGAGCCGTTGGCTTTGTCTTCAAGGGCTACGTCTATCCCAAAACTCAGACCAGATTCAAGCAGAAAACATTTGCTGCAGTAAAGGTAAGGGACTTTTATATTATTCTATTCGTATTTTAGACCTCTATTTGAACGTTAAAACTGTCTAAAACGACGGCTTTCAGATGTCATATCCGATGCCGCAGAAGTCGTTGGGCTTGTTGGAGGAAGCCGCTCGAATGGCGAGACTGAATCATCCCAATATTGTCAAAATCATCGCCGTGAGCAAGTTGTCGTTCAGTGCGTTCAGACCCATGTTTGCCATGGAATGGCTGCCGGGTGGAAGCTTGGCAGAATATTTCAGAGATCAAGTTCGCCGGAGGGATGAGAAAGAACGGGAACAGGTAGGGAGATGCTTACTATTAGTATTATATTTTCATAAATTGCATAGACTTTTGTTCTCTTTTGTACAGTCCATTTTGAAGTTTTTACCACGTTTGCTTTATGACACTATCGCACTGCCAAAAATGTGGCTTTTGGCTGTTCAAAATTTGGCATAAAAATCCTATTATGTAGCGATAACAACTTCTGTACTCGTAAAACGTATCGCAAAGGACCAAAAAATTAATTTGTTATAGAAGGGTTTCGTTGTTCAGAGGTTAGTTTTTCCTAAAACCTATTCTTGTAGCCTTTCGAATAATCCGTAATAGATAGATTTTGCTGTACGGGTGTTCGTTGTGGGGAAGTTCCGCTCCAATCAAAAACACATACGATTTTTTTGCTCGAAAGAACGAGTAATTTATGGAAGATATTATACATATATTGAGGTCTAAAGGCACATGAGAGCCAATCTGTAAAAGTTCAAATATCAGTATGTCGGGAAAATAATGAACATGGCGCTACTCCGATCAAGTCGCTGAAATGAAAAGCAATTTGATCTTGTCGCGACGCAATTCATTTTTTCGGTGGCGAGGCAATTTTGGATACCATAGAGTATGCCACAGAGCTCATTATTTTCCCGACAGACTGTTATTTCAGCATTCCAACAAGTTTAAATTTCTCATAGAAAAATTTGACAACTATTATATATATTTTCAGGTCTACATCCGCGACGTTCTCCACGTGCTTCGTCAAGTCTCGGGAGCCCTCAAATACCTCCACGAATCTCGCGACCAGCAAGGAAAAGAGTTCACGCATGGTGATGTGGCCGCTCGCAACGTCCTCCTCAACCATCGAAATTTAGCGACTTGCGTCGCGAAGCTCGGAGATTTCGGGCTTCCGATTGATTTCGGGCCCCGTCTGCCAATTCCTTGGCTTCCGCCAGAGATTGTTTGCTCATTGGACAGATCGAATCCAGTCCACCGCTCCGAATCAGACGTGTGGATGTTCGGAGTGATGGCGTGGGAGTGCGCCACACTCGGCGCGGAGCCACATTATCAACGGACCTATGATGAGATTACAAAATGTTTTGAGCTGCCCGACAAAGGGTTGGCATATCCGCCGGCTTGTCCGAGAGAGTAGTAAGTAAATCACAAGTTATTAGCTGCGGAAATTTTTTACTTGGGCGTGTCGCTGAAAAATCAAACTACTTTTTTTTGCGATTGGCGCAGCGACATTGCGCTCATTATTTTCCGACAGACTGATACGACAAAATTAACCGCCGTATAACCCTCCTATGACAAGTCATTTTTTCAAAGGTCCTCTGAAATCATCCCGGCTATTTCACGGTTCTTACAGCGCTGTGTCGAGACCGCAGAGGGAAGATTTTCAGGACTTTTTTCGCTGAGTATCAGTCTGTCGGGAAGATAGTGAGCACAACGCCGCTGCGTCAATCGCGTTGCTGAAGTGAAAAGAAATTTGATTTTTTTTGCGACACAATTCATTTTCTCGGCGGCAATGAGATTTTCGATGCGACAGAATGCTCAATATTTTTCTAACAGACTTCTAGTAATCTCCATTTTAACTAGACGAAGCGGCTGCTTTTGACCTTATGACTATTGTAAAATACGACTTGTGCTATTTTTTATCATTTTTTATTCAATAGGTTACCGCTTTTAGGGTCTAAATTTTGCAGAACATGGTGATAATTGTCGCCCTCGTTCTAACATGCTCTTCTTTTTAGCTGGTCCCTCATAATGGACTGTCTCTCCGAGCAGCATCGACGACCGAGATTCGCGGGGCCAACGGAGAGTCCGAACTCAATCATAAATCGGATTGAAATCTTGGAAGGGCAGTTCCATCACTCTCCGCTGACCTTCCAGATGGTCCTCAACGTCTCGAATTGCACTTGCTCTCAGCATCGATGCAATGTGCCGTTGCCGCCATTTACGGTTCGATAAAATTAGTATTAATATTATAAATAGGACTTTATAACACTACGAATGACATGTATATATAAAATAAAATAAACTAATTTACAATAGGAAAATAGATTTATTGTGGTATACACAATGGTATATCAATCTGTCGAAGTGGTAAATTTAACTTTTTTCAATAGAATATTTCGTTGGCATGTAGGTATTCCCCGCGTCCAACGCCCGATGAATAATATAGTAGTAGATGGCGACACAACTTGCTATGATCACCCCGAAAACATTGGTCCAAGTGGGATTCAGATCGTAGAACAAAAAGATTGATAGCCCGTAAGCGACAAAGAGCTGAATTCCATTGGCGATTATGTTCATCATGCTCGAATGCAATGCTCCGCAAAGCGAGAGACAGTAGAACATGGCGATTTGGAAGCCCACTCCGATGGCAAGCATGATGGTCAGGATGATGACAAATAGGAAGGTGGTGCTGGTCACGAGGTACATGAAGGAGTCGCGGATCTCGTCCTGAAAGAGGGCTTAGAATGATAAGTTTATTGTACAGTCAACGCTCTGTACAACACATAAAAATGGAAATGAAAGTTTGTGAATGTTGGGGCAAAATATTACTCTGTCGGGAAAATAATAAGCATAATGTAGCTACGCCAATCCCGTCGCTAAAGTGATACGCAATTTGATTTTGCCGCGACACAATTCATTTTCTCGCCACTGGGGCATCGGCATTGTGTTCATTATTTTCCCGACAGTCTGACAATGATTTCCCCTCTTTCTATGTCATGATTTCAAAATTAAATCGGGCTCTCTTCCTTTCTCGTTCTATTTTCGCCGAGCGATGAGAGGAAGAGGCGCATGCACAAAGGCAAAGAGAGCGGTCAGAGAAAGAATAAAAAAAAATTGGAGTTACTTTTCGTTTTTAAATTTCCATTTTTCTCTGTTTTCATTCTGACGCGCGCCAAATAATCAAAAATCAAAAAAATACTCGTTATAAAAACGTTTTGTTATATAGAGGTTTTGACCGTAGACCGACTTCTCAGACCTTAGAAATTGTTCGTTGTAGACAGCTTTCGTTCTACGTCAGTTTATTTCAAAAGACGCTTTTCCGCTTTTTCCATCAGTCTGTCGGGAAAATAATGAGCGCTCTGTCGCATGGAAAATCGCATCGCCGTCGAGAAAATGAATTGTGTCACGGCGAAATCAAATTTCTTTCCACTTCAGCGACGCGATCGGCGCGGAGACATTGTGCTCCTTATTTTCCCGACAGCTGAGAAAAGGAGATTACTCTTGTTTTCAAAACGTTCTTTTTTCACTGTAGAAACTGTAAACCTCACCTGAATCAAATCCGCCACCAACAGAACGCACAGACAGTTGAAGGAGTGCATGTACAAGATCTCCAACCACGAATTATATTGATCTTTGAGCTTTTCCATCAAGAACAGAGAGTAGGATTCCATGCAAACAGCGACAACGCCATAGATGATCGACCAAAGGTCGAAAGACCAGTCGTAGACAGCTGAAAAGGAGTTCTTAGAATACTAGCAGTATTAGCATCTTCATAAAGCTTTAGGCAGGACTACAGTGGCGGACCTGATCCAGTGCCAAAAATGTGCCATTATCCACCCAGGAAGTGTCAAAAAATGTGGCAAAATACCTCCCTCTCCAAGTGAAAAAACTCCCTTAAAAAAAGGAGTTTTTATAGTTGTAGAGGGAGGCATTTTGCCACATTTTTCGATACTCACCGGATGCAAATGGTACGTTTTTTGCCACTAGATCAACTCAATAGTGTTCAAAACTTGCGGCAAAAAGCCTACTTCTTTTGAAAAAGCGTAGAAATAAACTTACAAGCCGCAGCCGTGGAGACGCAAATGACTCCAATGCAAGTAAGATCGAACTTAGAAGGCCTAGCCCTCCGGTTGAAGTGCCGATTCAACTCAATGATCAAGATGGGCGTAAATCTCTGTAAAAATGGGAACAGTGGCATTGTTGTGCCGTCAAGGCAGTTCAAATTCAAAAAATGCGCCATAATGTAGAGTAAAGACGCTGGGAACACATCCTTGCCCCGTTGAAAGGTGTAGGCGTGGAGTTTGATGGAGGAAGTGACGCGGAGCGCTTCGATTCCAAACAGGAGAAGTGCCATTTGCATAATGAGCAGAACAATGGGATAGTCGAAGAAAAATTTGGTCATAATGACGCGGTTGAATGTGGCGTAGGAGACAGAGAGTGTGCCGTATATTAGCATACTAAAATTTTTTTTAAAAATGAATAAAAAAATGTTTTACTATGCCCGCTGTTATGCTATGTGAACTGTATAACAGTGGACAAATCATTCGTTGTAAGAGGCCTTTGTTATACCAAGGTTTGACGTAAAATTTCTCTTAAATTGTCTGCTATAGATACGTTTTGCCGCGTGGGTTCGTTATCGGCAGGTTTTCTTTGTAACTTTTCAATCTTTTCAAAGAACGTATAAAAAAGAACCGTAAAAAAGATTAGTAAAAAAACTCTAGGATACGAAACATGTATTATATACTTATAACAAGCAATATAAGAGATCTTCCAAAAAAAAATGTTCTGCTTTTACTTACCTTCTGATCGGCGGGTAAACGAAAAAATCGAGTACTTTGTCCATCCTGATTTATTGTCCAAACCCGGCGAGATGTCTAAAACGATGAATTTTTGTTGAATTTTATAGATACATAGTAGGAACTTCTCAAACCAGTTTAGTTCGGAGAATGATAAAAACACGCCCAAAAATGAAACGTATGAGATATTAATCTTTGCAGGCTCTAAAGAGCCTGTTGTTGTGCTCTAAAGCACCCTCAAGATATGTATATAGTTTATGTCTTCCGGTAGAGAGAAGCAGTCCGAGAAACACAATTTAAAATCAAACATTTTCTAACGGAAGTTTCGCCGATTTCGGGCTTCAAAAGGTGGAATGAAAATGTCAAAGCTCAGTACAAGTGCCTCCATGAACTTAGACGGGTAACATTTGGTAGACAAAAAATGGGGTGTCTCAGGTTTAATTTGACACAAATTTTATGGAAATTGGTGCGTTATTAGCGGAGAAATACCTGAAAAGAGGTTCGGGGTTTCAAATGGCCCACCCTGTAATTTTTCCTGACATGCCGTGGCGCGAAGGACATACTGCACCGCGACGATTAACATTTGTGGTACCGACCACGCATAAAACTGCATATTGCGTTTTGTATTTGCACTATGCTGATTGCTTGTCGCGCAAAGACACTTCGCGACGCCGACCGCCCCTGCAAAAATATGTGAAGGCTTTTTTAGCCCGCCTAGTCCTAAAATCCCAATGTAAAATAGTGATTACAAAACTGTTATACCCCAAGAAGTAAAACATCAAAATCCAACGCTCCCGTTGAAATCGAAGCGAGAGTGAAGGCTAAATTTGATTACGATCTCTTTTGACCCATTAAATCACTGTGATTCCCTCATTTTTTTCGAAGTTTCCTCCCACGGCGCCGGCTTCCTTTTGCTTTTAAGACTTCCTCGATGTAGCGTAAAATGGAGAAATAATTTATTACCATGCAAAAACATGTCAATTGCAATGCAAAATTGGCGTTAATCCTCAAAATATTTGAAACAAAATATTTCTGACTCACTGAATCAGCCGTGTGCAAGGCCGGGACATAGGAAAATTTATTGTAAATAGAGCTTGGTTAACGGGAGAATTAGTGCAAACTGCTTCAGGAACACACTTGTATGATGGATGCGGTCATATCTAGCTGTAAATCTCAAAATCGAAAATTTCCTATGTTCACGGCTAATTGACCGAGTCAGAAATCGCGTTTTATGTGGAGCCTCTGTTCAGCAAACCTTCGTACAAATTTTATCAGTCTGTCGGGAAAATAATGAGCACAATGCCGCTGAGCCGATCTTGTCGCTGAAGTGAAAAGCAAGTTGATTTTCCCGCGACACAATTCATTTTCTCGGCAGGGTTGCGATTTTCGATGCGACAGAATGCTTATTATTTTCCCGACAGACTGATAACCTCTCTATAACAAACAATTTTGGACAATTTCGGAGGTTTCCAGTGTAAATTTTAGGCCAAAATAAACACTTCCATGCAACGAAAACCTTTTATAACGAACAAATTTTTTGGTCCCTTGCTGAAGCGGATGATCAAACTTACAGGGGAAGTACTCCAAGTGCGCCGCTCAGATTTTGATGAAACTTGGCACAAATTTAGAATAATTTTTTCTAAGATATTATATGCGAGAATCTTAGCTCGCGCTTTGCAGAAACAACCGAGATTTTTAGATCGAAAGTCGGCGAAAAAATTTTTCCGCACGAAGCTGCCAAAGTTATGGCCTAAAAGCGCTTTTCTCTCTGACCGCTCTCCACGTTTAGCGTGCTCTCTCGGCGGCAAAAATCGTTCGATATCTCGGCGGCGCCCGCAAAGCGCGAGCTAAAACTTTTAGGAATTGGTATTTAGTCCATACCCGACGTGTGTGCAAAATTTAAAGAAAATCTGAGCGTCGCAGTTGGAGTACTTCCCCTGTTGGATAGGTATTGAGAAGAGACACAGGTTTAAGATCGGATTTATTGAGACCGCACACAGGGAAAAGAAAAAATGAGATTATGTTCTAATAGTTGGTGACGAGACGTTGCTTTTATATGAGTTGGTTTATGCTAATTACTGTGGGAATTGGGAAGACCTTTGAGGCTTGGGGCCTTTAAAATCGAGACCGTTGAGGCTCCACAACACTTGCGATTCGTTGTACAGAGATTTGATAGTGATTACATTTTGATCATCGACCTGGCTTTGTCCATAATGTCCCGTTTGACTTTCGGATACTCCGGAACTAGCCTCAGAACCGCGTGGCAAACATCAATACAGTCAAACAGCCTCCGGCATTTCAAATAATTATAAGCCAGCTTGTAGCCGACTGCTGGATTTCGTTGTCGACACAATCTCCAGGCAAGTTCGTAGTTCGCGGCGGCGTCCGCGTATTTCTGCTCTTTTTCCCGCAAAAACCCCATGTATTCGTAGGCCTTGGTGGCACTGGCGTTGTACTGAAGCACAGTCCGTAATACGGCGGTGGCTTGGTCGGTTTTACCTTGATTTATGTAGATGTCAGCGAGAAGGAGCCAGCCTAAAAAAGCACCCTAATTTTAAGGGCTATCTCTTACATTGCTGAAGATAATCGGAGTCCTCCAAATTCCACGGGTAAGAATGGACTCGCTTCAGATATTGCTTGGCTTTTTGTGTCTGCTTCAATAGCATGTAGGCTCTAGCGGCCCCTAGAACAGCTCCAACGTTGACCACTTCCTAGAAAAAGAAAATTTGATTGAGATCGTCTTCAAAAAAAAAGAAATCTCTGCAATTATGACCCATAGGTACATTATAAAAAAAAACAACACTCTGACTTTCCATTTTGATGACATTGCTTACTACAGTGGTGGACCTGACCCATTGGCAAAAAACGTACCGTTTTGCATCCGGGAAGTATCAAAAATGCAGTAAAATACCTCCCTCTCCAAGCGAAAAAACTGCGATTTCAAAAGCGCTCCCGCTCTTGTTGTGAAGGAACCTTTAAAATAGAGCTTTTTTAGTTGAAGAGGGAGGCATTTTGCCACATTTTTGATACGTCCCGGATGCAAAATGGCGCGGTTTTTGCCACTGGATTAGGTCCGACACTGTAGTTTTTTTCATTTTTTGCCTAGTATCCATCCAACTCTGAACAGCAACTGCTTGTCGCAAAGGGTCAAAATAATTTTTTTGGGACATAACCGCAGTGAAGTTATGATCAAAATTACATACCGGTCCATTGGGATTTGTGAAATCGGCGCCAAGAATTTCCAAGAAGCTGTCCAACGAGGCTTGGATATTCATTTTGTTTCCGCTTGCCAGCTGAATAAAATTTGAGAGCAGTTCGTGCTTGCTGTTGTTCAGCCGCTTGTTTTTTAGCTCCTAAAATTGTTTCGGCTTTAAATTAATACAAAGCTTGTATCGCAAAAGAAACCTTTGTATAGCGACTTGCAGAAAAGCAAAAGAGAAGTTTGCTATGTCACTCTGTCGTGGAAATAATGAGCACAATGTCGCTGCGTCGATCGTATCGCTGAGGTGAAAAGAAATTTTATTTTGTTGCGTCACAATTCACTTTCTCGGCGGCGATGCGATTTTCGATGCGACAGCGTGCTCAGTATTTTCCCGACAGACTGACAATAGAAGGCTTCGCTGAACAAAGGCGTACTTTGGCCAAAAAATTCACTTTTGGAACCGCTAAAATTGTTTTTTATAGACAGGATTCGTTGTTCGGAGGTTTGTCGTTCTTTTCTCAGTCAGTCGGGAAAATAATGAGCACTCTGTCGCATCGAAAATCGCCGCCGAGAAAATTAATTGTGTCGCGGCAAAATCAAATTTCTTTTCGATTCAGCAACTCGATCAGCGCAGCGATATTGTGAAAATTATTTTTACGACAGACCTATACAGGGTGCGCCAATAAAATCTGGACAAAGCTAAATTCCATATAGCCTTTTTCGGATGGCCTGAGAACAGAAACTTTTAGCACTTTTAGAAAGGGTAACAACAGTGCTATACAGCAACGGTAATAACCAGGTCGATGCCTATTGCAAGACTGAAAAAATAATCAAAACTTTTTGGAGGTGCAGAAATTTTTTTTCTAGATGATGACTGGGGTATTAATTCTTCCATTATTTCTAATAATAGTCACTGACGTTCTTCAAATTTATTGTATATAAAGTACGTGGTGTTGTCTTTGTAACGGCCTACGGAACCAGGGTTGGTGGCCGATCTGGCGGCGCTGGTGGCGGAAACAAAAAAATACCCAAACATTTGGATTTTTGTGTTTTTAAGGATCTCAACGCCCGATTATAGCTCGTGTTGCTCCAAAATTCCGTGATTACAGAGCGTATACATAGCCAATTGTTATAGTGTAAAAGAAAACCCGCACATACAAGGGGACCGTTTTTTCATTAATAAAAGTTCATGGGGGGAATTCAAGGCACGGTCATTCGGAACTTGAAACGTTTTGGCAGTTTGCAACAAGTATGAAAGGCCTTGAGCGTAAAAATCAACATAGAGTTGTATACTGGATACATGCTGATGTAGCTAAAACACTTTTAGAAAAATCTAGTCCAAGATCACTCGAATAGCGAGCATACAGTAAATTATGCCACTACGGTCACTATTTCATCCCCAGAGGCAGCAGATAGAAAAATCCTTTTTGAAAGGCGGCTAGGCTGACTCTGGTTATCCTTGCAAAAGTAGTTCTGGTGCTTAACATGTTTGGAATCACACAAGGAAACTTCTACATAAAAATCTTTGAATTAACGGAAGTTCTCGGGAAAAAGGGCCCGTTTTTAAGCCAACTTTGGCAAGCTGTAAAAAGCCTAATTGTCATAATAAGGCAAAATCAATTTCAGTGCATAAAAACCAACCGGAGCTCTATCAGAAAAAGTAAATTTCAGTCCATACCATAAAACGGTAAAGATAGCGCAACCATTTTTTGACCAATTTGGGGTCCGTGTTTCAGGCGCCTTAGTTGTAAGCACTTATAATGGCAAAACAAGTGTCGTAGACGATTATTTTGTCTGAAACTTTAAAGATAGCTTCTTGGACGTATTACACGTATCCACAATCGCCCACTTTGTTCTTGTACTGTCACAGCCCGCAGGGCAAGCAAAAACATTAGTCCAGATTTTATTGGCGCACCCTGTAGAAGAAGGCTTCGAAAAAAAGCGTCTTTTCGTCTAAAATTGTCTCTTGGGCCCTCAAAAATCGTTTGTTATAGACAGGTCTCGTTGTATGGAGGTTTGCCGTAGCAAGCTTCCTTTCTACTCACCTTCAAGAACCTATCCGCGGTCTTCACCGCAATTTCTTTCGACTCTCCTCTAGCTGCGGCGTCATCATGTTCAAATGTCTCTCCGCCAATCAACTCGTTGTCGGGATTCATGCAAATCTCGATCATGTTCACCAACGACCTCTCTCCCCACTCCAAGTCTCGTCTCGCTCGATTAAATGCCTGTAACGCGCTGTTCGGCTCTCCCGAATACCACTCTATAAGGCCTTTGCAATAGTTGAAGCCAGCGTCCGTTGTGGCGCGAGGATTGTGCTCTAAAGCGTTCTTGACGTACTTCTCCACCTGCTCTAGATCCCCTTTCCGCCAGCCCAGCTCAATGTAGCGCGCTAGGGCGTGATAATGCGTTGGGTTTCGGTCGAGCAGTTGGGAAAAGTGCTTCAACGCCGTCTCTCCTTCATTTCGTTGATACATAAGGTCGGCGAGCATCTGAAAATTAAATTTTTGAGCTGAAAGTGATATTAGAACCTATGAATAGCATTTCAGCGCCTTGAAAAGCTCATGAAAAGCTGCTTAAGACCCGTTAAAATGCCTACCAAAGTAGCTTCATTATTATTTCGATCCAAGTTCAAAATCGCATGACATTGTTGATGACACTGCTGCAGTTTCCCCATTGTCATGTAAATCCTCGCTAGCTTTATCATGATCTGCAAGTGGAAGTGCTCCAAGCTGTCCGGCTCGGGATTCGGGATCATCCGAAGTTCGCGTTCGTTGATGAAAATGGCTTCTTTATACAAATCAACGGCTTTGGCATGCTCACGGCGCCGGGCGTAGAGTTCGGCGAGTTTTGCGGAGGTTCTGAAATGTAAAATGCGGTGGAAGCTCTGTATAATGAAGGTGGCAACAAAAGCTGCCTATAGTGAGCAATTTCATGGCCACAAAATGCAAGTAATGAAGTGAGTTCATGCAAAACTTGTGCACAACAAAGCTCTTCTATGACAAATTTTTTTTGGAATTCGGTGCACAGAATTTCCACGGTTTTATGACGTCAGTGGGAGACCTGATCCAGTGGCAAAAAACGTACCATTTTGCAATAAAGAAAGTATCAAAAAATGTGGCAAAATGCCTCCCTCTTCAAGTGAAAAAACTCAGATTTCAAAACCGCGGCCGCACTTTTTGTATAGAAAAAGGGCGCGCCCTTCAAAACGAAGTTTTTTCACTTGGAGAGGGAAGCATTTTGCCACATTTTCGTAACATCCCAGATATAAAATGGTACGTTTTTTGCCACTGGATCAGGTCCCTCACTGTAACAGAACATTTAAACTAGGAATAGCACTGAACCAAAAATTTTATTTGTTATACAGAAAGCTGTTGTTATCCGGAGGCTTATATTTTTTCTAATCTTGCCTCATGGAGCCGCCGAAATCGTTCGCTACAGGCAGATCCTCAGTATTGAAGATAGTTGAAGACGCTATAGATTTACAAAAAAATGTCTGTCGGGAAAATAATGGGCATTCTGTCGCTGCGCTGATCGCGTCGCTAAAATGAAAAAGCCATTTTATTTTTGCTTCATTTTCTCGGCGGTGATGCGATTTTCGATCCGACATTGCGCCGATTATTTTCCCGACAGCCTGATATCTTAATATCTTACTCAGCCGCCGCTCTTCGCTCCGCTTGGATGTTGGGGATGTCTTTCAACGCAAGGATTTTGTTTTGCAAAGTTCTTGCTTTTTCCTGCGCAGTGATGGCCAAGCCGACATTGTTCGATTCGGAATGCATTCTGGATAAGAGAGCCCAGAAGCCGACGTGATCGTGGAGTTCTTGGAAGGCTGAAAAATCGATCAGTTGATAAAAAATTGAGCTCAATTTTAGCTGCGGCTAGATATCATATTTTATGTTGATCACTGTAAATAAGAGGCGAAACTTACAATCCGGCTCCAAACTCTCGTCAATCACATCCCTCAGCACTCTCTCGCACTTTTCCATATTCCCCAGTCGCAAGAGCTGCTCAGCGAATCGCAATCGCAGAAGCGGCTGCTTGCTCTTCTTCATGGCCGCCTCGTAAAAGTTGATGGCTTTGTTGTACAAATGACATTTCACATAAGCGTCGCCAATCTTCACTGCCAGCTCATAGTCATTCGGACTTCTCCGCATGGCCGTTTCGTAAGCATCAATCGCATTGGTGGGCTGAAAACAGAGACAACTTAAACGTAGCTACTTTAAAAAAGATTAGAGAAGTTATTTGTATTTTTTGTAATATAAATATGGAAGTTTCTAGCTACAATGAAGCCTCTGTACAATGAACGACACCAAAAAAAATTATCTGTATTTGAATGTATTTGTTGTACAGAGGTTCATTTCCGTCTGCAATTGGCTCTTGAGACCCATCAAAATTTACGTTTTAGGCAGGTGTCGTTGTACACAGGCTTCACTGTAGAATTTTTATGGTTTCAAACTACCGTTCCCATTCGATTTGAGACCTTATTGGGTCTCGCCAACTCAGTTCAAAGTTTTGTTCCCTTGGCTCAAGTCTTCACTCCAGAATCATGAGTGAGGCCACGACCGCCGCAACAACATTCAACCCGTCGCTGCGTCCTGCCACGAAACCCGAAAGTCGGCCACGAAAAAAAATTCGAAAAAATCGATGTCCGATTCATTTCAAAAAAAAGTACAGAACGCTGTGAGTCGCAGCCTGAGCGAGCGGTTGGCCTTCAGAGCGTGTGGACAATTGGAATAGATCGCGTGTATTGGCCAGCTTGTGTATTGGGTTTGGAAGAATAAAGAGGTCATTGGAAATTGTTGGAGTGTCGGGAGAGTTTGTCTAGGACAGCGTATTAGGAGACCCGGTGCCTGATCGTGTTGACGAGGAACCGAGGATCTCTTTCATGTTTCTTCTCCTACTGGGTCAAAGACTGGGCCCTCCATGGTCCCACTTTGGCTTTTTTAAGCCAAGATTATGTCCGTTTTCTATGTACTGTAATATTTTGAATTTTAACTACAAATCTCATCTTCGTCTTACCTCCTGAATACTCATATACGCATCGCCAAGCAGCACATACGTCTGCGGCGACGGATTTTTATCCAAAATCGACTTGTAGCATTGTGCGAAACGAATACGATCTTGTTTGTTCTCCAGATAGATTTGCGCCATCTTCATTCGAGCCGCGTTGTAATTCGGGTCGTCTGAAAAATGGCCTCGAATCAGTAAAGGCGCCCTTTGATTTACCAGGTTTTATGGTGTCCAAGACCTTGATCGCCCCGTCAACATCTCCTCGCTGAAGGCGGAGCTGAGCATTCATTAGGACGAGTTGATGTTCTTCAGCCTTCCCGTGGTATCGTTGGACGGCTTGCTGCATTACTTGATCTGCTTCTCTCTGAAAGCGTAAAAGGAAAGTATTGGTTTTTACTTCGGGTCAAGGCTCTGTTTAGCTATTGTAGGCTCCTAGAAAGCGTCTTCTTACTGTCTGTCCAACTTGTTGCAGAAGATCGATGAGTTCTAAGATTATTTGGATCCTGTCTGATTCGGTGACTTCCAGACGATCCAGAGAAGCATCGTTATCTAAAAAACGGAAAGTATGGCTTCCCCTTTCAAATTGGTGACTACTGCAACAGTTAGAGTGTTTTTTAAGATTTATGCGAGACTCCGGTACAGAACCACCGATTTCAATCGAAAATCGGAGAAAATGTCTAAAACCTGCAAAAATGTGACGCTTTTTTGGCGAATTTTGTCATGAAAAGTTTGATAGAGTAATTCTATTGTAGACACTAATATTTCCACAGAAAATTAATTTTTTTCATGCGAAACTGCGAAGGATACGGCCAAAGGGTGTTTTTCTCTCTAACCGCTCTCCTCGTCGGCCGCAAAGATCGTTGAATACCTCGGCTGCGCCTGCAAAGCGCGAACTAAAACTTTTGGACATTCAGCTGTGGCTTTCCAGAGCGTATAAGTAAAAAAATGGTGGATTTTTTTGACGACAGGTTTCTTACTCTCCCTTAACCAACCCCCCCCCCTCGCTTTTTTTTATTTATTTTTTCCCACCCTCCATGTCAATCCAAAATAGAAGAAAAAAATTTCCCGCCCCTTTTTGGTGATTCGTTCAAAACGAAATGTCACTACCCGAAAACGCATTTTCTTACCTTTCTTCTTCCTTTTCTTGAAAAAGCAATTATTCGGGGCGAGAAAAAGTGCCGATAATTTCGCGGCATTTCGTTTCTCTTTTAAATCAATGAAAACGATACGAAGTTTCGAAACGGTTCAGGAAATGCGCTGGATTGACGTGCCCTCCCTCTTGGGGAATCCCCCAATGACTTTTACAAATTTTGAAGACCCCCAACTCACCTTGAAATGCCTGCAGATCAAAGGCCGATTTCATCATCATGATGGCCTCCTCCAACTTCTTTTCCTTCCTCAAAAATCTGCTCTTGATCAAGTAGAACAACGGGTGATCCCGGACCTTGAAATTGAACCCTAATCCAATGTCCAGACATTTCGAGGCTTCCTCCAAATTATTCTTTTGCAGATGGATCTAAACAACACGTACAAGTATAGTTACAGAAAAAGAAATCCAAAAAATGAAGGCCGTGTTTTACCTGCGCCATCAGCAAATGCGCTTCAGCGATGTTATTGTTCCGATCGATCGCATTCTTCAAGTACGCCTGGGCTCCGTCGTTGTCCAAGTGAAGATATTTGACTTTGGCCAAAAGATACGACAACTTAGCGACGGCCGGGAAATTGTCATGCAGCACGAGGAGATTGCGCTCAATCTCTTTGAGGACCGGGTCCGGAATGTTGGACGGGCTGAGTGGCACGTATTCGAAGAGCTTTTGGACAATCTCCATTATGAAGGTGGCGTTCAGAGCTTTCAGATATTCTAGGCCGTAGGGGAGACCCTGAAAAAAATATATGTTTTTGTGAGACTCCTAGCTTGCGCTTTGTGGAAACGACCGAGATTTTTTAGATTCTTCGATCAAACGTTTACAAAAATTCAACGACTTTTTTGCCAAACTTTGGCGTAAAAAGTTTCATATTGTATTTCTGCTATAGAGAATAACGTCTCCACAAAAAAATGACTTTTTTTCCTATTTTTTTTTTTGTTATTTTTTTTTGTCGGACCGAAAGTGTTTGTTCCGCGTCATAGACCGCCCTTGGTACATAGGAAATGATGGCTAAACTTACATGCACATTTCCCATGTGATGGTCGATGACATTTCGGACGGCGCCAAGAAACCCCTCCTTGTTTGGACTTTTCTCATTTTCCACTAGAGCATTCAAATACATGTACATCTGAAAGCAAAAAGAAGGTATGTTACATGCATATTATCAACAGTGACAATAGCTTTTTAAAATACGAAAAAACAAAAAAGTACTTACAGTATTCTTTTCAATCTCCGAGAAAGAAACTTTGACAAATTCCAGTTGTGTTTTGGCGTCTTTCATTTTGTTATCTGCCATGTAGCAACGGATCAAAGCTAAAAGTTATCATAATTATTGTAATCGAAGTTCAAGTAAAATCCTTGCGCTTTGAAATCGTTGCTTACAGAACAATGGATCCGGAATGGCCAAGTTGTGACTTTCCACGGCACCGATTGCCGTTTTGATGGCTTCTTTTGTGTTGCCGGTTTCCAAAAGCAGCTCCGATTTCAGGGCGATGGCCTCTTCGGTTTCCCGGATTTGCAACGCTTTGTCAGCGAATCTCCTAGAAAAGGAAAACACTGACCTTGGTCTAAAGGCTAAATTCTTGGCAAAGCCCCAAAACAATTAAAAGACGATTTTTGGCTCGCTGTGTCAGCCAATACGAGGGGCCGGACATTCAAAAAAATTTTTTTGAGTTTTTTGGCCTAAAATGTTGGTATGGGTCACTAAAACACATTCCCAAAATTTTTTGCCCAGTGATGCCCGGAAGGTAGAAATTTGCATATGGTTATAACCGTTCTTCTGAGCTCTGCTGTTGCCGTCGCAATAAAGACGACTTGACGAAACCAACGCCATATAGGTTTTGGTGGATGGCGAATTCAAAAATCGCAATTTCAAGTTAGTAGGGTTACTGTAACATAAAGTTTTTGACCTTCGGTCGATAAAAATCGACCGTATCTCCTTCAAATCAAAAATCCCACAAGATTTTATTGCAGATTTGGAATCAGCGTAAAATTCTGGTCTAGGAACATGTAATTTGCATCCTTGATTCCGTGGCAGATAAATCATGGCGCAGTGGGTTTTGACGAAAACTAGTAATCTGACGACCCTGGTTCGATCCCCGCTGGGGACAAGTATTGTAAAAAATGTGGAAATGACATTTAATGGAATTATGAGGGTTATATAAGCAACGCTAAGTATTTTTAGACATCAACGGAACATGGATTTGAGGTTAGAACAGGGTTTATATTATTTTAGTCTCGGAATCCGTGAAAAATAAAACTGCTTCAAACGGGCTGAAATTGATAAAACCTATTCTAGGCATAATTCTAAGAAACTTTTACGTTAACTTTTTTTTGTTAGATTACTGTATCGTGGATTACGGTAACATAAAACCCAATTTTGTTTTTTCATACCATAAGGCGCAGAGCCATCGGAATATCACGAAGATTGTAGGAATGGTTAAGAACGAGTGGGTTTGCGCATTAGTAGTTCGTTTATGGCCGTATGTTTTGAAATACCTGAATTATCTAACACAATATCACCAATGGATGATGAGATTAATTCAGACTGAAAATGAGTTCGAATTGCATTTTAAATATGAGGCATGCCGGCTTTCTGCCGTTTGAATAATATAGCCAAAAAAAATTTTAATTTTATGCGGAAATTTTGAAGAAATCGCCTTTAAGGAGGCCGAGCTTTTTGTTACCGTAATCCACGATACAGTAATCCAACAAAAAAAAGTTAACGTAAAAGTTTCTTAGAATTAGGCCTAGAATAGGTTTTATCAATTTCAGCCCGTTTGAAGCAGTTTTATTTTTCACGGATTCCGAGACTAAAACAATATAAACCCTGTTCTAACCTCAAATCCATATTCCGTTGATGTCTAAAAATACTTAGCGTTGCTTATATAACCCTCATAATTCCATTAAATGTCATTTCCACATTTTTTACAATACTTGTCTCCAGCGGGGATCGAACCAGGGTCGTCAGATTACTAGTTTTCGTCAAAACCCACTGCGCCATGATTTATCTGCCACGGAATCAAGGATGCAAATTACATGTTCCTAGACCAGAATTTTACGCTGATTCCAAATCTGCAATAAAATCTTGTGGGATTTTTGATTTGAAGGAGATACGGTCGATTTTTATCGACCGAAGGTCAAAAACTTTATGTTACAGTAACCCTACTAACTTGAAATTGCGATTTTTGAATTCGCCATCCACCAAAACCTATATGGCGTTGGTTTCGTCAAGTCGTCTTTATTGCGACGGCAACAGCAGAGCTCAGAAGAACGGTTATAACCATATGCAAATTTCTACCTTCCGGGCATCACTGGGCAAAAAAATTTTGGGAATGTGTTTTAGTGACCCATACCAACATTTTAGGCCAAAAAACTCAAAAAAATTTTTTTTGAATGTCTCCGGCTGACGCAGCGAGCCAAAAATCGTCTTTTAACCGCTATAGAAAGGATTTGGTGTACAGAGGTTTATTTCAGCCTACATTGCCTTTTCGGACCTGTGAAATTGTTCGTTATTTCACAGTTCCGTGTAAGGCCGTTTCGATGTAAGGGAGTTTGTTATACCATACGTTTTGGTTTTAGCCAATTTTAGTCGAAGAAAAATCGTCCGCCGAAGTTAAAAATGTCTACTTTGTGAAAAAAACATTCCGCCGAATTCAAGGAGGATTAACGAAGTCTCCGCCGATCAAAGAAAAAATTTTTTTTTGATTCTAAAAACTCAAAGGTTTTCCTGTAAAATGCAAAAAAATTTTTCGGATTGGACCACCGAGCACAAAGTTATTAATGAATAGTTTTTTCCATAATTCTAGGAACACCCTTACAGAAGATCTACTTACATACCTCCCGAAAAGTCGCACTGTAATCGATAATTTTTTATCACTTTTTTGACTTTTTTGCCATCATTCCGACAGTTAAATCCTTACCTTGCAAACTGTTTCACACTCTCATTATCCAGTGAAATAGCCGCCAGAAACTGCGAAATAAACAGGCACAGCTCATAATTCGTCGACTCAAATTTGTTGACAGCGTCGTTCATCTCGGATAGGAACGTCTCGGTTTGTTCAAAGTGTCCAGAATGAACAATTCCCTCAAGGCATTCGAAGAGTTGCACAGGAATGCACTGACTCTAAAAAAAATTGTCGCAATATGAAATTTGGAGGTGTTATTAAGTACCTGAATCAACGAGGCCTGCTGAGAAATATCAGTGATCTCGTCCCAACTTCGATTCATTATCAGCACTTTGATCAGCTCAATGTAGCCGGCAAGCAAGGCGGGATGTTGTCCGACCAAAACCGAGCAAGTTTCTTTCACTTCAACGAGATTGTTTCTGAAAAAAGTTGGATATTTTAATGAATTTTATGCTGATTTTCTTCAATGTTTGAAAGATCTAACTTTGTGTCAAGACAAGAATTTTTTTGTTATAGAGGTAACGGGCCCTAAAGGACCTAAAAAGCGTTACGGTAGAACTCTGAGGTGCGACATGTTATACGATGGAAAATTCTTTCAAATTGAGAAAATTTAGGTGTGACATGTTATACGATGATTTTTTTTCAAATTGAAAAGAATAAGGTGTGACATGTTATACGATGAAAAATTTTTTCAAATTGAAAAGAATAAGGTGCGACATGTTATACGATGGAAATTTTTTTCAAATTGAAAAAATTAGGCGTGACATGTTATACGATGGAATTTTTTTTTTAATTTGAAAAAGACTCTCCTCATTTTTCGTGCTCTCTTGCAATTTCATGTCTTGTCAATAGTTTCCTTACCTCGTTTGCAGCAACTTGATCTTCCCCAAATATCCGTCCGGATTGTTATCGGTCTCAATTGCGGCCTCAAACTTTTTCGTCGCCAAATTGAGATCTCTTCCCCATAACACTTCCAGCCAGCCTTTCTGCGCGAGACACTGAAAAAACCACGTCAATCTATCACTAGTGTGCCGAGCCAGTCATAAGGGGCCTAATTTTGTCATATATCAATCTGTCGGGAAAATAATGAGCACTCTGCCGCATCGAAAATCGCATCGCTGCCGAGGAAATGAATTGTGTCGCGGCAAAATCAAATTTTTTTTTGCTTCAACGATGCGATCGAGTCAGCGAGATTGTGCTCACTATTTTCCCGACAGGCTGATACGCTAGCGAGGATATCTTTTCCGAACCGCAAAAAATGGATCCGGCTCGGCTCCAGAGCCATGTCTTTTCAATCGAAACTTATTTCAAGTGCTTCTCCGCTATTCTTCACCAGTTTCCATAAAATTTACAAAAAAAATTGACAGGGGAAGTACTCCAAGTGCGACGCTCAGATTTTGATGAAACTTGGCACAAATTTAGAAAATTTTTTTCTATGATATATGCGAGGATCCTAGCTCGCTCTTTGCAGAAACAACCGAGATTTTTAGATCGAAAGTCGGCGAAAATTTAGGACTTTTTGCCGAATTTCGGCACGAAAAGTTTCATGCCTATTTTAATCGTAAAGGATAATGTTTCTACAAAAAATCAAAATTTCCCGCACGAAACTGCCAAAGTTATGGCCAAAAAGCGTTTTTCTCTCTGACCGCTCTCCACGTTTAGCGTGCTCTCTCGGCGGCAGAAATCGATCGATATCTCGGCGACGCCCGCAAAGCGCGAGCTAAAACTTTCAGGAATTGATATTTAGTCTATACCCGACGTGTGTGCAAAATTTAAAGAAAATCTGAGCGTCGCACTTGGAGTACTTCCCCTGTGAGTTAAGTACGGACAAATACCCCATTTTTTGCCCACCAAATATGACGGCTTCAAGAACTTACAATCGCATTATGAGTATTAGAATTAGCGACTCGATCAATCAAAGGTTTCGCGCGTTCATAACTCTTCTCGAACATGTAGATCGTACCACACAAAAACGCGCCACGATCATGCGATTTGGCCCACGCATTCTGCGCCTTTTCTTCGGCATTTCGAACCGAGTCTTTGTCTGAAAAATTATTAAAAATAGAATTTCCTAACTCTTCATAGTATGAATAAGACACTATTACATACGAATTTTACTTACCGACCACCGATTCCGAGTTATACGCGATTTTCAGAGCATTATAAACAGCCAACTCCAGGTCGGGCTCGTCCGTTAGCCCGTTTAGAATCCGTATAGCGTCCGCAACTTTTCCTAAAATAAATTTACATTGCAATAGCTAATCGAAAAAGCTTCCCATACCAATCTTCGTCAGACAATAGGCCTTCAGAATCTGAATTTGCCGCTGATCTTTGACCCGCTTCAACGAGTCATCGCATAAAGTCGCCGCACTTCCGAAAAAGTTATTTCTGATGTAGTAATTGATCATACAAAAAATCTCCGGGTCAATATCCATTTTTTGAATGTATTTAGAGAGAATTTACTTTGCTTTGAAGTGCTTTTTCAGGTTCTTTTCCTTATACGGCCTGTAAATTTCCCGGTTGTCATGGTGATGTTTTGATGGCTAAAATAAGGTCCTTAAAATTAGCATTTTTGAAAAATTAACTTAGAACGTTGAATATTACCGCCTTCTCTTCAATTTGCATTCATTTTTCACAAAAAATCTCAAATTTCATTCACCCGTCGGAAATGTTTCATCGTATAAAATGGCGCTTGCAGACTGCGCAAGTCACAAAGCGCAGTTCGCGGAAGGGAAAAAAATGAGAAAAATAATTTTTTATGTGCGCAAGTTTCGAAAGTCATCTATCACCATTAGCAACACTTGACAGGACTCTAAATCAATCTTTTTTCAGGTCCAGCATGGACTCTGCACTTGGTTTTCTACCGGATGGGCCGGTTTATTTGCAGATAACGGCCTATTCCTGCTTCGGAATCTCGACTTTCCTTTTTTCTGCAGCGTTCTTCAACTTTTTTGCAGCCTTCCGCTACTTCAAATGGTCCCAGACCCGTGAAATACTGGACGGAGGCGTTGTTTCTTTCGGATTCTTCTTCAGCGCAATTTTTATTATCTTATCCTTGACCACACCATGGATCTACGTTTTCTTTCATTTGGCGGATGCGTTGAGGGTGAAATACCTCTTGAGCGCTGTCCTGATCTCGCACACACTCTTCTGGATGTCAGTTGGAATCAAATTGTTCATTTTCCGCTATGAGAAGACGGAATCAGCGAGTTCTCGGATCTTCCACACCTTGTACATGATGGCGTTGACGATTCCGGTGTTTTTGAGCGGGTATTTCCCAGTTTTGTAAGTTCTTCAGCTACTTTATGACCTTGGCTTTTAGTGACGTCCACAGTGGCTATGGAAAAACGTATATTTTCCAATATGTGATCACGTTTTACCTCCTCCTTGCTGCTCTTTTCGGATGGAATCGACCAAAGCCCGCAGATTCGGTGAGTGACTTACCTATGCTGAGTTTCAATAGTTGTACACTTCCTCTTCCTACTATTTATCATAATATTTCTGTTGAAATTGCAGGGAATTGCCGAGTTTTACAAGAAATCCGAGCTGATTGCCAAGTACATGTGGCCGAAGGGCGCTCACATGGTAAAATGCCGGATCTTCCTTTGTTTCCTGACAATTATCCTCGGCCGAGCCATAAACATTGTTGTTCCATTGTACAGCAAATGGATCGGTAAGTTTTTCCTTCATTTTTATATTGTTCATGTTTAGTTGACGCTTTGACTGGAGAAAACCGTCGTTTCTGCTGGGATTTGATTGGAATTGCTTCTATTTTGAAGTATCTGCAAGGAAATGGCGGTACGTTGAATTTTGAAACTTTTTGCGTTGAATTTTAGTTGCTTCCCGGAGCTTTGACACCTAACCTCAAGTATAATATCGAAAATCTTTTCCAGCAATGGGAGGCTTTCTCAATACCATCCGCTCGATCTTGTGGCTTTCTGTACAGCAATATACGACTATGACGATTGAGACCGAGGTCTACCGACACCTTCTTCATCTACCTTACTCATGGCACATCAACAAAAAGTCAGGTGAAGTCCTAAAAATCATTGATCGTGGGACGGCGTCGATCGACAATTTCCTCAGCTATTTGCTGTTCAATATAGTGCCCACGATTGTGGACGTGGTGTTGGCGATTTTCTTTTTCGTCTCCGTTTTCGACATTTATTTTGGGATTTTGGTGACCGTAACCATGGTGGGTTACATGACGGCGACCGTCTTTGTGACCAGATGGAGGATCAAATTCCGCCGAGCGATGAATGCGGCGAGCAACGAGTGCAGCGCGGTGGCGTTGGATTCGCTGATAAATTATGAGACGGTGAAGTATTTTTGCAACGAAGATTTGGAGCATAAGCGATACAAAACCAGCATAATCAAGTATCAGAGCTGCGAAAAAAAGTCGGTATACTCACTCCAAGCCCTCAACGGACTGCAGAACACCATTTTGGGAGTGGCGATGCTCATCGGATCACTGATGATGGCCTATCAAATCGCTGAGCCCAAGTCGAAACTCTCGGCCGGCGACTTTGTCCTCTTCTCCACCTATCTGCTCCAGCTCAGCGTGCCGCTCAACTTTTTCGGCACCGTCTACAACATGATTCAGCGCAGCTTCACCGACATGGAGAATATGTTCGCGCTGTTGGCCGAGCCGCCAGAGGATTCGGACGAATCGCCGCGCTACAGCATCGAACATTTTGGAGGGTTGAGAATGGACAATGTGAAATTTGGCTATGCGAATGATCGAGTGATCCTCGATAATGTGACGTTCTCCGTGGCGGAAGGGAAGAGCCTGGCGCTGGTGGGAGCTTCGGGAAGTGGGAAATCAACGATTATAAGGCTGTTGTACAGGCTTTACAATGTCAAAGACGGTGAGGATTTTGCGCGATTTTTGTTTTGTTGTTCGTGAAATGAAAAAAAAAATATATGAAAAAAAATTTTTTTTTTATTTTTTTAACCGCGAAAAATATATTTTTCTCACATTCGTATCGATTTTTATTGCTCTAGGCTGCGTTTCCATGGGCGGAATGGATGTAAAAATGCTCGATTTAAAACAACTTCGCATGTCCATGGGAATCGTCCCACAAGATTGCGTGTTATTCAATGAAACCATCGAATACAATATTCGCTATGGCCGTCCGGACGCAACCTTTGAGGAGGTGGAAGATGCAGCCAAGGCCGCACAAATCCACGACTTCATCCTTCAACATCCGGATGGATATAAGTGTTTGGTGGGCGAAAGAGGCCTGAAATTGAGTGGAGGAGAGAAGCAGAGAGTGGCGATTGCAAGAACGATATTGAAACGGCCACACTTCATCTTCTTGGATGAGGTAGGGGAATGGAAAATGCCTTGGTTATTGCCAAATAGGGTAGTTTTTGATCCTGGCCCCGCCGGCGAAAAATGGCTGATAAGAGTTGGAATGGCTGGCCAAAGAGTTTGATTAATCGAAAAATTTAAATGGCTTGTGAAAGGATTGGAAGCCGAGGTATCGAAATGGGTACCGTTCCAATTCTTTGATTACCGATTTGTGTAGTGGACCTGATCCAATGGCAAAAAACGTACCATTTTGCATCCTGGAAGTATCAAAAAATGTGGCAAAATGCTTCCAAGAAAAAAACTCCGCTTTCAAAAGCTCGCTCTTTTTGTGAGGGAAAAAGCCTTTCAAACAGAGTTCTTTTAGTCGGAGTGGGAGACATTTTGCTACATTTTTGATACTTTCCGGATGCAAAATGGTACATTTTTTGCTATTGGATCAGGTCCACCATACAATTCGGTAATCAAAGAATTGGAACGGTACCTATTTCGAAACCTCGGCTTCCAACCCTTTGACTAGCCATTTGGATCAGGTCCGTCACTGTATGGAATTTTCGGGTTAATCTAATTCCTTTGTCCAGCCATTTCAAATCTTATAAAAGCCATTTTTTCGGCGGTGGGTTAGGAATCATGACCACCCTATTTATCACTGATCTGAACCACGTTCACGGCGGTTTTTTAATCGCTATCTGTGGCTTGAAGAATTCAAATTCCGATTTCCAGGCGACCTCCTCACTCGACTCCAAAACCGAGCGACAAATCCAATCGGCCTTGCATGAGCTGTGCCAAGGCAAGACAGCCGTCATAGTCGCACACCGGCTTTCGACCGTGGTAAATGCGGACAAAATCGTGGTGCTGGATAATGGGAAAATCGTCGAAGAAGGAAGTCATTCCGAATTATTGGAACAAAACGGAGTCTATGCGAGAATGTGGGAGCTGCAACAAGCCGGTGATATCTCGTCGCCTCCTTCGACCAACGACTTGACGCACAAGTTACTGAACGGCTCGGATGCGTAGATCTCGACGCATTACAAATGCATGGGCATTTCTTTAGGTTGTACTTTCTATACTTACAAATAGTCTCATTCAATGGGTATTTCAAATTGTTTTCGTGATATTGTTTAATAAATAATGAAGATTGTAAAATACGCATTGCATAATAATTCTTCCGTTAGAGAAATTGAGATAAAATGGAGATGAAATGGAGCTTTCTAACTTACAGTGAGGGAGCGGATCCAATGGCAAAAAACGTCTCATTTTGCATTCCGGGTTTGGACCAAAATGTCTCCAAACCCTTCCCTTCTCTAAGCTAAAAAACCCCGCTTTGAAGAGCCCGCCTTGAAGGAAAGAGCGCGCTTTTCAAAGCGGAGTTTTTTAGCCTAGAGAAGGGAAGGGTTTGGAGTCATTTTGGTCCCTTCCAGGACGCAAAATGACACGTTTTTTGCTATTGGATCAGGCCCCTCAGTGTACGTCTTCCATCAATGACTCACTTTAGTGCACAGTTATTATGCAACAGTTGTTTTCCCTTTTTATAAATTGATCAACGAAACGCGGCTTTTTCCCTCGACCGGATGTACGCATCACGGCCGACAATTTTCGTCGGGCGAATTCCGTTTGCGCCACTTTTTTTACCTCGGAGGTAAATTTTTTGGCCCGGTTGCTAAATTCCATACAATTTTTTTTGTTTTTATTTTACCGCATAACATAAGCATGTATTGCGAATACAAGGAAAAACTGGAGAAAACGCCGATATCTCTGCAAATTTGCATGCCCTTTCATCCGACTTCAACCAACATTGATGTGAAAGTCGTGCAAAAGTCCTTGGATTACAATAAAATTGAGCAGACAGGTGAGTAAATTTACGATTTCCGTAAAATTTTCGAGTTTTCTATATGTTTAGTAACGCATCAAACCGTTGGCCAACTAATCCGTTTGGAGCGCAAGAAAAATAAACGAAGAAAAGAGCCGGTCTTCGACGACTTTATGAACATTCAAGGATGGAAAGTAAAGCAAGAAGACAAAAGCTGGAGTCCGATTAGTGATCGGAAATTCAAATTGACTGAACGAAGGCTTCGGGAGGATGAAATTGATCTGTTGGACACTGAGAGACCACCAGATTTACCGGAAGGAGAACTCAATGAGTTTCCGGCATGGAGTGACATGTTGCAGAGTAAGCGGTAGTTTCCTAAAGGTGATTGCCACAGAAAAATGTCGCTGCAATCGCGCACCAAATCTCTAGCCGTGAAAGCGATGATAAACGATTCCACGCGCGATTAATCCACATTATTTTTCCGACAAACTGATATCCAAAAGTGTCGCTGCGCGGATCCCGTCGCTGAAGTGAAAAGCAATTTGTTTTCTCGGCGACTATGCGATTTTCGATGTATCATTGCGCCGATTATTTTCCCGACATACCGATATCAGAAGAATTTTTTTGATCTAGAATTCGCCTTCGTCAAAAATTCCTTGTAGACGGACTGTATCATAAAGAAGTTAGATTAACCTAGACTCCTCGAATTGGGTCGGAAACTCTTTACACTTTCCCAATTTAGATGTGGAAGTCTATGCGCCGGAATTAATGCTGGTCCAAAATGACGAAATTGCCATGTATTTAATGAAAGAGTTAGAAAAACACTTTTTGATATGGAACTCGGAACCTGTCCTCAATTTCCGCTCGGAATATGAACAACATTTGGTTCGGACACGACAGTAAGTCAGGTGCACGAATAAAAGAAAGAATCAAAATTACAGTATTTACTTTGACAAACGCCCATTCTGGATGTTCGACCAGAATTATCAAAGCGCCAGCCAGAACATCTCGAATACACTGCTGGTCCATCGAGCAATCTCAAATCATTTTTGGACGAAAGTCGTGTCACGTCTAACCTATCCCTGGGATAATTTACTGTTGAATCAATTGACGGTCCAAGACTTGAATGTGAAAATCTCCGAGTATTTGAAAAACGCAATGAAAGTCACGAATTTCGAGTAAGAATCCTGGTCTAGGTAAAAGTTTATTTGCAAATTTAAGTTGGGCCTTGGAGATCTGCGAGATCTTGTTGGAGAAAAAAGAATGCTGGATTGAGGACTTGAGCGATGAACTGAAACGAAACCAGTTCTTCAATTCGATTGCTTCGCTGCAGGCCAAGTTGTTGAGAGACTTGATTTACGATAATGTGGAGATATTGATGAATGAGCTCACTAAACGCAAAAATGTAAGCCAAGTCTGCAAAGAAAAACTTATTTTTTTGCGGCTCTACTCTGGGAGTTGGTTCGAAGAGGGCACCTGGGCGAAGAGGGCACCTTGAGAAAAAATGATATGGTAAAGGGGGACCAAGGAGGATTCCTTAAGAATAATCACAATCCGCCTTGGTCCCCCCTTACCATATCATTTTTTTCTCAGGGTGCCCTTTTCGCTCAGGTGCCCTCTTCACCAAGGTGCCTTCTTCGAACCAACTCCCAGAGCAGAGCCGTGAAAAATACATTCTTTCTAACCCTACAGTGGTTCTCCAATTGTTAAAGTGCTGAAATGCATACCTGTTTTGCACTTTTAGAACAGCACATTTTACGTTAAAGTCGATATGGAGGCCTTGTCAACGGATAGCTACAGTGCCTGGGCGATCGCCAAGCGGCTGATTGAAATCGGCGAGGACATTGTGCGTGTGGAATGCCGTTTGTTTCCGAACATGTACCCGGATGAGAAAACGTTCTCCGTCGCTTCCAGTGTCATAATGGAAAAGTTTTCCATCGAGCCGATAAGACCCTTTCAGAGCGTTTTCGAAGGAAAGCAGCGTCTGGATGAAGCAGTGGCTCATCTGGGAGAAATTGAAGGCGTTGAGGATGTGGCGGAGGCAGTTCGTGTATGTTGCAAAAAATGTTTTTGAAATTTTACACTAACAATTCAGTTAGCCGTTGGGCTACGCAAATTGGCGCAAGAAACCAAGGTGGTTCGTGTTTTCTGGTTCCGAGAGCCCTACGAATTCGATTTCACCGAAGTGAAAAGAAACACGTTGGAGTCGATTAAAGAGATGAGGGATAAATTACACTCCAAGGCCAGCACTTTTCTCTACGATACAATGAAAGAGTGAGCAACTAATATGGCTAAATTTCTTTTTCCTTTTTGTTTCAGTATTGTTGATTTCTACACATGGTCGTCGCGAAAGTTGTATGGCCAAGATCAACTGGTTCAGATGTATAAACTGGTCGAGGTCCGAGACCACGACTTTCCCAAGTTGAAGAAGAAATTGGATATTTTGCATGAGTGTTTCGGCATTTTATTTGAGGAATTTAATTTTAATGGTAAGACTGTAAGATTTGTCTGTGTACCGTGATATTCAGCAGTAGTCGCATCGAGATTTTATGCATTACATTGTATACATATTCGTCGTTTATGGTGATGGCAAATTTTTAGAAATAATGCTTCAAAAGTATTACACGTCCAGCAGAAGCTCTTTCCGCCTTAGTTACTTGATAACGTTGGTCTGGCAAAAGCTCATGGTTGACAAAGCCCGCATTGAGAAAGTTGTATGTCACATTTATCAAGAAAAAAGATGTTTCGATACAATTACAGCTAACCGAAAAGACAAATGCCGTACATTACGAATCAATGATGTTGGACGAAAACCTGCGCCTATGCGTCAAGAAATACCGAGTTTGTCATTCCACATCAGACCTCACGGTGCTGGCCAGCCGCTTCGAAGAGATCCATCAACGCGTTGAGAGGTTGCAAGTCGAATTTCCGATCCTTGCTGCTCAGTTGGAGCTGTTCGAAATGGACCCGCTCAAAGACGATGTGGATGCGCTGGCGTTCCGTGCGAAGGTCATCAGCCACATCGCTGGCTGCCATATCAAAGTGGTGCAGTTTGAAGAGGAATTCGTTAACACCAAAGTCGTCGAAGTCGACGTGCCATCAGTGAATGAGCAGATTGAAACGATGAATACGGATTTTGAAACGTTGAAGAAAGAAATCGGCGAACCAGAAGATGAGCTGGTCTTGGAGAGCGCGCAAATGTTCTTGCAAAAAATTCAAGTCATGATGGATCAATTTAACAAAGTGTTGCCGGTGATTAACGCCTTACGGTCGCGCGGAATTAAGGCTAGACATTGGCATAAGGTGAGCGGCATTGAATGCTATCATTTTCAAGATTTTCCTTATGTCTTATGCTTCTGGCGTGTTGTAAAAGTTGTTTTGTCATCATTTTTGCTGCTGCAGATTCTCGGGGAAACGGATGGCGATGTTCCACAAGACCATGAGAATATGACCGTCCTCGAGCTGACCAAAATCGATTTCCAAGAGAAGGACGCCAAGAAATGCGAAGAAGTCAGTGAATTGGCCAGCAAAGAGCTGGTCCTGGAGGAGAGCTTGACCCAGATGAAGGCTCAACTGGCCGAAGTCACACTGACTCACAACAAAAATCATCTGACTGTGAGTTGGAGGGATTAGCGACAAAAATAAGCAACCTACAACTTGAAGGCTTTTGAACTGTCTTTCATTTTTCAGGGAGTTTTCGAAATGGAGATAAAACCGGAGACGGTTGGACTAGTTGAGGAATTGATCATCAAAACACAAATGAACATCTCCAGCCCATTCGTCACATCCTTACTGCCTTTACTAAAAGAATGGCTGGAGAAGTTACAACGGCTGCAAAACATGATGGATCTCCACCAAAAATGCATGAGCAAATGGATTTATTTGGAGCCATTGTTTGCCGCCGAAGATATTGCCTATCAAATGCCGGAAGAATGGCGGAAATTCCAAGACATCCGAGAACGGTGGAAGTACTTGACTGAGCAATTGGTGAGCATCAGAAATAAAAAAAAAAACAGAATTAAAACAACGCTGGACTGTCAATTTTTTCAGAGCCGAGTACGCAAGTTGGCGGATCTGAGCGAAATCAACTGTCCACCAGAAATTATGCAGTTGTTGGACATGTTCAAAGTCATCCAAAAGGGCTTTGATGTGTACTTACAAAAGAGGAAATTCAACTATCCGAGGTGAGAACAGGAACCGCAATGCAATGCGTGTTTCAGGCTCTATTTTCTATCGAATAACGAGCTGCTGGAAATGTTGAGCCGTGCTCGGAATCCGGAGAAAGTCCAGCCGTATCTTTGCAAAATGTTTGCTTCAGTGTATGGACTTGAGGTCCGGAATCAATGCGAAATTGTCGCTGTGCTAAGTCAACGGGGCGAGCGCTTGAAACTTTCAAAGGCTATCAATATTCATCATTTCAAGGTGAGAATTTCTTTCACAAATTGAAATATGAGCGTCGCACTTCGAGCACTTCTCCTGCTAATTTTTTCAGCGACACGTCGACAAATGGCTGGCCGAGCTGGAGAGAGAGATAAAAAACACAGTGAAAAATAAGTTGAAAAACGTGATGCGCATGTGTGGCGAGGATTTGCCTTCGATTTTCGATCTGACTGGCGACTTTACCGCGCAGTCAGTGATCCTGCATTGTCGGTTAGTTGCGACGAAAAAAATCGAAAATGGAATTGTCACCGGAAAATTGCCCACATTGTTAGACTACTTCGACTTGTACATTGAGAAGTTGATCAAAGGACGAAGCGACAGTGAGGAAGAGAAGTTGCTCATCGACAACCTGCTCATTGAATACAACGATCAAAAAGGCATTGTCAACCGGTTGATCAAGGCCAATTGCAAATCGATCCACAATTTCGAGTGGACCTCGCAAATCCGTCATTACTGGATGAACGATGACTTGTATGTTAGGGTCTATAATTTGAATGTCCTGTATGGATACGAATACATTTCGAGCTCAACGCCATTCGTGATGACGCCGATTATACGGAAGGTTCATCGGGAGCTAATGACTTTCCAGACGCAAGGCTACGCTGGAATGCTGAAGGGTCCTGCGGCGACTGGAAAGAGCGAAAGCATCAAAGAGTTGGCTAAAATTTTGGGTGAGCCTATCGGTTCGTACAGTGACGGACCTGATCCAAGGTGGCAGAAAACATACCATTTTACATCCGATAAGTATCAAAAAAATGTGGCAAAATGCCTCCCTCTGCAACTATAATAAAAAACTCCGTTTTGAAGGGCGCGCCCTTTCCCTCACAACAAGAGCGGACGCACTTTTGAAATCGGAGTTTTTCACTTGAAGAGGGAGGTGTTTTGCTACATTTTTTGATACTTCCCGGAAGCAAAATGGTACGTCTTTTGCCACTGGATCAGACTGCCACTGTAAAATCGCTGAAGTGATTCTTGACGTTTGCAATGTGCAAAGCAGAAAACTTTTGTTTTTTCACTGTGCATGTCGCCGAAAAATCACTTCAGCGACTTTGCGAACAGACTAGTAAGACTAGTATGTTACATTTGTTCAGGAAAATTCAACCTGGTCTTCAACTGCTCACCCAACGTTGATCGCCATCAGCTCGAGGACCTGATGTGTGGCACAATTTTGTCGGGAACCACTCTATGCTTGGATGAGTTCAATCGACTCTCGGAGAAGGACATGGCCTGGTTTTCGTCCCATTTGTTGGGAATTTACCAAGCCATGACAACTAGTAAGCGATTTACTGACTTTCAGTCTGTCCGGAAAATAATGTGGATTCGTAGCGCCTTGGAATCGCCAATCATTACCTTTTGCGACGGCTTGCCACGGCTGAAGGTTTGATGCGCGATGGCGGCGAGACATTTTGCTGCGACAAATCCACATTATTTTCCCGAAAAACTGGTATACGATTTTCCAGAAAACGCGAAATACCGCGTCCGCAATCTGCAAATCCCTGTGTCGCCGTCGGCCGCGTTCTATCTCACAATTAACCCGAAATTCTTGGCTAGATCCAATCTCCCGGCCAATATTTACTCTATTGTCAGAGGAATCTCTATGAATTTTGCTGACATCAGATCCATCGCCAACGCCTTCCTATTGCTAGCGGGGTTTCAAAATTCAGAGAAAGAAACGAACTTACTTTGCTCCGTTTTTGAGCAGTGTCAAACTCTGTTGGCACCAATGCATCATTACGATTTTCAGGTAGGTTGAAGTGCTCAAATAGCACTTCCCTGGCAAATCACTGCGAATTTATTACGCGCTGATTTTAGCTGCGAACAGCGCTAGCAACAATAAATGAGACTTTGGAACTAATGAAAGGCCAGAAACGCGGCAAAGTTGATGTGAGAGTTATCGGGAAAGCCCTCCGAAACGTGTTGGAGCCCTATATTGTGCACTCTGACGTGTCATCGTTCGAGAAAATTATGGGATCGGCGTTTGAGAAGCCGAATTTCGAAAAGCAAAAGGATGAAATCAAAGCGAAGGAGGTGATAAAAGAGACAATCGAACAATTGGGGCTGATTGCGACGGAAAAGTTTGTGGACTGCTGTTATAGTGTAAGCTGGGGGTTATGCAACTTCAAGACGGCGTAGAAAAACAATAAAGCATCTGTATAGTAGCAAGTGACCAAAATTTGCTCGTTATATCAATTTGTCGGGAAAATAATGTGGATTTGTCACAGCAAAAGTCTTGACTTGTCGCAGTAGCTTGATTTTGCCGCGACACAATTCTTTTTCTCGGCGACGATGCGATTTTCGATGCAACGGTTGTGCTCATTATTTTCCCGACAGACTGACAGTGTGTTTCAAACTAGTTGTTTACGCCTTTAGATCCTCCACCTCTCCCGCCAACGTCAAGCGTTCATTCTGCTTGGGCCAACAATGAGCGGAAAGTCGACCGCGTTGAAGGTTCTTCGTAGAGTCATGAAACCGCTGCTCGAAATAAACTGTAAAATGTTTCGAATGAATCCCAGCCAGAATGACTCCCATTATCTCTATGGGTATTACGACTCCAATCGTTTCGATTGGATGACCGGCATTTTGACAATGAAATTGGAGACCAAACTAGAAAAGGACGAAGAGGGATGGCTGGTGTTGGACGGCGTTCTGGATTCGGTTTGGGTGGAGTCGCTGAACTCGTTGTTTGACAGCAATCAGAAGGTAGGAAACGTGGAAAGAACACACGAATTGCCTTCAATTTCTTACAAATCAGCAATCGACGTTAAAACTTTATTGCTTCTTTTTCAAAACAGTTCAATTTGTAAGCTGTATGAAGGGCGACGTTCAGATTTTCTTTAAGCTTTGCGCACGCGTTAGGCATGGTCCGCATATCAACTCCTGAAAATCTTAGCTCGTGCTTTGCAAGGGCAGTCGAGATATTCAACGATCTTTGCGGGCAAGAGAGTACGCAAAACGCGGAGAGCGGTCAGAGAAAAACTTTTCTTTGACTATATCTTTGGCAGTTTCGCGCGGAGGAAAAATTTGATTTTTCATAGAAACATTACCTTCTACGGTAGAAATCGACATGAAACTTTTCAAGCCCAAATTTGCAAAAAAACTCACATTTTTTTCAAAAAAAATGTCGGATGTTTCTGCAAAGCGCGAACTAGAAATCTCGGATATCTTTTATAAAAAAATTATCGAAATTTGTGCCAAGTTTCATCGAAATCTGGGCGTCGCACTTGGAGTACTTACCTTGTTAAAAATGCTTACATATCATTATGAAGCATAATGTGAAAGATACTCTACTCTATGGAGTATTCTCTCATTTTTAGCTCTGTCTTGCGAATGGGGAAAATGTCCCGCTGAATCCGGGAATCAGAGTCGTCTTCGAATGCGACTCCTTGGATAAGGTTGCACCCAGCACCGTCAGCCGATGCCAAGTCATATATTTTGACGAGGAAACGGTAGCTTTACATTTCCTATTAATATTTTTTTTTCGATTTGGACGGTGTATCAAAAAGATACATAAATTACAGGTGCCTCTATCCGCATTTCTGTCTTCAATTTCTCCGGTAATCTACCAAAAAGTGGTCGACGCGATGCCACATCTGAGTATATTGCGAAAACTGAATAGAAAGTTGCTGTACGACCGGATTGGTCATTTATCCAAAATGTTCTCCAAGAACAAGGAGATTGAGGAAAGTATTTGGACATTCCTTTCGTTCATCGCTGCCCGAACCGTCAAGGAAGAGGAGCATGTGGACAAATGGCTGCAAGGGGTGAGGATTTCGCGTCGTTGATACGGGATTGCATATGTGGCGCCTGTTAAGCTCTAGGACTTTTCGGGTCAGCGACAGTTAGGGTCGACGATATTTTGGGTCACACAGATCCGTTTTTGTATGCATGGGGAGGCTTGGAAAAGCCTCAGTTTATAGAAATAATAAGATTGGATCCTAGGATAGCTTATCGCCTGTTTTGGGGTATTTTACACGTATTACTGCAATAATATCACGATAAAACTTACGGTTTTCTTTTTTTGGAGCAAGGTTTTGTCTTTCCTATGTAACAATAGCACAGGATGAAGGCGACCCGCAATATGGTTAGCAATAGCTAAACTTTGAAAAAGTGGTCGTATTGTAAGTCTCCGCAGATCATCCAACGGCTTTGCCAGGCTCTCGACCGGTAACTCCATACCCCATAGAAGTACTTTCCTTGTTAGATATTTCCAACCTTAGTTTTCCTAGCCCTGAGAGTTTGCAACGTTGAAAAGACCAAGACCTGCTCAAAAAAGGTACCCCCATATGTTATATCTTGATTTTATTGCAGTAATGCGTGTAAAGTAACAAACTGCCATAGACCTGGTCAATTGTATTATTATATTTTTAAGTCTAAATCACCTCCTAGCCGCCCCCATGCATCGAGGCAACCCAAAGTATCGTCGACCCGAAACGTCGGCCGCTGAATAAGATTTGTAATCGAAAAAAAGTCTGAGAATTTTGTCTTCCAGCTCGAGGTGGACACACACTCCCTTATCTGGAAAGTTCCAATGGTTTTTGGTGGAGCAAAAACAGTGCGGGACGAGGAAAACGAACACCTCACCAATTACAATTTCAAAAGGGAGATTATCAAACAAATGGTCATGTTCAGCAAGTATTTGGTGGTCATTTACGGCCTAAGCGGGTCCGGAAAAGACGAATTTGTCGAGCAAGTTATTGGAGGTTTTGAACCGGCACGGTAATTATTGCGCGATAATTTTTTTATTTCTTTTTGATCCTTTAGGTGGGACATTCATTATCTGAACTTGTCCAGCGATTTGGTCCCGGTGGATCTGTATAATTCCATTATGAATTGCAATTTGGTTAGGTAAGGTGGAGAAAAAAATTGCGTGGAATGTAAGGCGCTTTTTGGTTTAACTACAGTTCGGGTCGACAATGCTTTGGGTCGCATCGATTCGTCGTTGTTTGCATGGGGAATGCTAGGAACAGGCTCAGTTAATAGAAATAATAATATTGACCAAGCCTTAAAAATAGTTTATCACCTACAGTGACGGACCTGATCCAGTGGCAAAAAATGTGCTATTTTGCATCCGCGAAGTATCAAAAAATGTAGCAAAATGCCTCCCTCTCCAACTAAAAAAAAACTTCGTGGCGCGCCCTATCCCTCACAAAAAGAGTGGGCGCGTTTTTGAAATCGAAGTTTTTTTCACTTGGAGAGGGAGGCATTTTGTCACATTTTTTGATACTTCCCGGATGCAAAATGGTACGTTTTTTGCCACTGGATCAGGTCCACCACTGTGTTTTGAGTTATGGGAATTTTACGTGTATCACTCACTCCTATACATAATATCCAAATAAAACTTACGGATTTTTTTTGGAACAATTGGTCCTTTCTATGTTACAATAGGTCGAGTCAAAAAAACCCAAGGTTAATGTGAGGCGGAACGACCGAGCTTCGAGGATTTTCCCACGAGGAAAGATCTACATTTATTCAAATTTTATTATACTTTCCTACGTGGGGCTTCCCTATAAAAGGCCTCCTTTCCACTGAATAAATCACTTGACTCTTGAGCTCTCGTCTTGTCTCGTTACTGGGTTGTCGGGCCTCTCGACAGTTACAAATAGTTAAAATTATAAAAAGTCTTTGCTTAGTCACCGCCGACCAACCAGCGGCTTTGCCAGGCCTCTCGTAGGCACCTATTACAATACAATCTTTTTTGGGTCTCCGCCTGTACTACCCTTCTTATCGACCGATTTTCTGTTGACCCGAACTGTAGCTGACCTAAAACGCCGATTATACAATTGTCTGTAAAATCCTTGAATATGCAGACTAGGCCCCAATCACTATACCGGCGCCGGTGACAAGTCCGTTCTTGTTGTTCTTCAAGGCTTTGAACGGTTGCCAGTTCTCTCCAACAACAGTGTAATGGAGTTCCTCCGGTCCTTGTTTGACTTTGGCCGTGTCTTGAATCCGGCAAAAGAGACAGTTCGGTTTACGTCGGTCTATTTTCTGATCGACTACACGACAGAGATTGTGGGGCCTCAGCATTTGCCCATACCGGATCGATTGCGAAGGCATATGTTTCCGGTTTTATTCCACCAAACTGTAAGGTTGTTTCGAACGTTGCAACGCGTTGTCCATTAAGGAGAAAGACGATTCGGGAAACTGGAAAATATTGTTTATCTTGGGTCGTCCAGAAAGTTCGTTCGTTTTTTTCATTGCTTTGTTTTGCAAGGATAAGTGTCGAGATTAGGGTAATCAGTGGCGTAGATTTCAAAAATCATGCTCATTTTTTGTGATCGTTACTTTTTTTTCTTAAGTAGTACTGTAAAGTTGTAATTTTTTGATTTTTTTGCGAATTCTTAATTTAGGGGTTCTCGAGGGTTTTGATTTCGAAAATGGCATCTAATTTTCCTGATTATTACCTTTTCTTAAGTAGTAATGTCAAAATAATGATTTTTTTTTGTGATTTCTTTGATTATTTATAAAAAATGTAATTTTTTGACGTTAGTCTGTAAGAATCAGAAAAAATGGATGTCATTTTTGAAACCAGCACCCTTGAAAACCCCCAAATCAAGAATTCGCGAAAAAAATCAAAAAATTACAACTTTACAGTACTACCTAAGAAAAAAAGTAACTATCACAGAAATGAACATAATTTTTAAAATCTACGCCATTGATTACCCTAATTTTGACACTTATATACGAGAAAAAAATATGTTTCAGTTCCCTCAATTGTCATTCCCCAGTAGATTCCTGGTCGCTTGCTTATTCGCACTTTCAGAACAAAACCCTCCCCTACGAAGTGGGCTTCAACTTTCTCCAAGTCTATCGCACCGAATCACAAGAGCCCGAGCAAATCGACGCCTTCAAAGAGTGCTTAATGAAGGAGCTGGTCACGGCGACCTCTGATATTCCACATCACATTGTCCCGTTGTGTCACAAACTCATGACTTGTCTTGAAGACATGATTGACGAGACTTTTTTCCAATCCAACGAGTCTTTTCCGTTCACTCTGTTGCAGTTGCCGGATGACGAAGTACCCTCGATTTTCGACTACCCCACCCTCGAGAACCGAATCAGCGAGTATTTGAGGAAGAAGGGGAAAACCGAAGTGCTCCATAGCTATCTGATCCGGCAGTTTGGGTTCCTATACAAGATTGCGCAACTCCCCATTGACGGACACTGCGTTTTGATTGGCGAGCCGGAGAATGAGCCAGCCAAGATGATCGAGCTGGTGGCCGATGTGTCGGATATCTATTTGGAGGCAGCGCCAAGTCAGATGACGGAGATTTACTGGAAGGAGACGATGGTTAAGGTACGATGGGAGGGATTGAATTGGGCGTGATGGGGAAAAGCTTGGCAGATTGGCACCTCCCAAAAATGAAAAAGAAGTCAATACGAGCTGCGCCTATTAAATAAAAATCAAATGCGAGCTGCGCCCTAGAAAATGAAATGTCGATGTGAGCTGGGGCCAATGTGCTAACTGAAAGTTTGCTGAAAATCATAGGGCGCAGTCGGAGAACTTGCACGGGCGCAGCCCGCGTCTTGGGCGCAGCTCGAAAACAAGCTGCAACTTAGCTCCGGCGAGCTGCGAAAGTTTGTTTTCCGAGCTGCCCCGAGATGCGAGCTGCGCCCATTCCATTTTTCCGAGCTGCACCCTACCATCTTCAGCTAACTTTTAGCAAACTTCCCCTAGATAAAAATGTGGTGCGAGCTGCGCCCGGTAAATATAAAGTCAACGCGAGCTGCGCTAAGAAAATGAAAAGTCAATGCGAGGTGCGCCCAGGAAATGAAATGTTAATGCGAGCTGCGCCCTGGGAATAGGAAGTCCGTGCGAGCTGCGCCCAGTAAATAGAAGACCGTGAGTTTCGCGCACGGTCACTATAAGTTTTAGCGCTAACCTAAGCCTATGCTAAGCCTAAACTAAGCTTTGGCTGAACCGGCTGACTTTTCATTGCAAGACATCTCCTCCGCATGTCGCGCCTTTTCACTTTCCCAGATTTTTTCGGGGTGGTGGCCAGTCTGCGGAACTTTCAAGGCGCATCCGTTTAGGTGATTCAAATGTGCACCAAAGAGAACCGAAAGGTTCTTCTCCATGTCACTGACGACATGCCCTCGCACGACTGCCTCGATCGAGTTTTTGCCGATCTTTCGGTCATTCTAAGCGGCGGGTTTCCCATGCGGCTTTTCCAACAACAAGCCTCGGGCAATGCGATGGCCTCAATTTCATCGATTGCGTCGGAATGGGATAAACGAAAGGTGTTGACCCGAAAAATGCGAGAAAATTTGCATGTAATCATCACGGTGAATCGGCGGACGGTCGGCCATCATCGCAGTGTGTTCTACGAGCTATTCCACTTTTGTATGATGGTTAATTTGGATAATTGGACGAACGATGACATGTTGTCGTATGCTTCGATGAACTTGGCGCAGCTGAATTTGCCCGCCGAACAGGTCAGACGTTCCGTGGCGGATCTGATGAAAATTCATAAATTGATGGTGGAGTTACAGTAGGTGTCTTTCGGAAATATTTATAAAGCTTATCGCAGTGTAAGAATTGATTTAGCGATTACTTTACAGCCCGAAATTTGAGCACAGTGAGTTCGTCTCATTCATCCAAACCTACTGCCACATGGTGACAAGAAAGAAGGAAAAACTCAACGCACTTATGACTAGATATCAGACCGGAATTGAAAAGCTGAATAAGGCTGACGAACAGATGAATTACATGCAAGAAGAGTTGGTCCGCCTTCAGCCGGAACTCGTGAGAACTTCGTTGGAAACTACGTAGGTTCAACGAGAGTTTTCTATAGAGTGGCGGACCTGATCCAGTCACAAAAACGGACAATTTTGCATCCGGGAAGTATCAAAAATGTAGCAAAATACCTCCCTCTTCAAAACGAATTTTTTTTTATTTGGCGAGGGAGGCATTTTACCACATTTTTTGACACTTTCCGGAAGCAAAATGGTAAGTTTTTTGCCACTCGACCAGGTCCGTCACTGTATTCTATCTATAGTTGCATAAAGAGTGCACTGAAAGTGCAACAAATGGTATGATTTTTTGGGTATGGTGTTAGATTGCCCCTGATGTTTCTATGTCGAATTTTGAGGTTCTAGGCCCAGCGGTTCCCGAGATACGCGGTCGAAAGAAATTTTTGTCAACCAGTATAGGTTCTGTCTAACGAGGGCTTTTGGGGAGCTGTTTGATTTTAAAGACAGCTCGAATTAACAGGGGAAATACCTCGAGTGCGACGCTCAGATTTTGATGGAACTTGGCACAAATTTAGATAAATCTTTTCTATGATATATGCTAGACTTCTAACTCACGGTTTGCAGAAACGATCGAGATTTTTAGATCAAAAGTTAAAAAAAAAATTTGACACTTTTTTGCAAATTTTGGCGTGAAAAGTTTCGTACTATAGAGGGTAATGTTTGCACAAAAGAATTGATTTTTTCCGCCCGAAACTTTCAAAGATACAGCCAAAAAATGTTTTTTCTCTTGCTCTCCTCATTTCGTGTACTCTCTCGGCAGCAAATATCGATGAATATCTCGGATGCGCCTGCAAAACGTGAGCTAAAACTTCCAAAAATTGATATGTGGCCTACACAGGCGTGTTAGAAAAATGTAAAGAAAATCTGAGCGTCTCACTTGTAAGCCTTCCTTTATAAAGTCTCTCGGCTACCAAACCCAGCTACCCATAACATCGAGCTCATTACAGCATGTTGATGAGTCAGATCGAACGAGAAACGATCGAAATCGAGAATGCGAGGGAAATTGTGGCCGCGAATGAGTTCAAAGCCAACGAAGCCGCGACGAAAGCGCAAGCGTTGAAAGTTGAGTGCGAGGCCGAGCTGGCCGAAGCCATTCCGGCGTTGGAAGCGTCTGTGCAAGCGCTGGAGGTGCTGAGTCAGCGCGATATTAGTATGCTGAAGACGATGAAGAATCCTCCACAAGCCGTGAGGTTGTGCATGGAAGCTGTGTGCATTTTGTTGGGAGAACAACCGGTCAAAGTGAAACATGTAGGCGAAAGGGTCAAGGGCTGAGGTTGTTTTAAATGGCGCTACGACTTTTCGGGTCAGCCACAGTTCGAATCAAAGATACTATGGATCGCGTCGGTTCGTCGTTGTATGCATGGGGCAGGCTAGGAGAAGGCTTAGTTAGCATAAATAATAGGATTCGGATCTTCATTTTTGCCACAAATTTTGGTCTTTTATATGCTACAATAACTCAGGGCAAAGAAAACTAACGTTAGTAAAATCTAAGGTTAGAAGAAGTAGGCATATTGCAAGTCTTGGCCAAGCCTTTGCCGACCATCCAACGGCTTTTCCCGGCTTTACTTTTGACAATCTTTTTTTGGGTATCCGTCTGCCCTACGCCCCGTTTTGATTGATTTTGTGCTGACCTGAACTGTCGTCGACTCGAAAAGTCGGGACGCGTTTCAAATCGTTTTTTAGGAACGAAAATCGAAGCTAGACTATTGGCCGACCGCCTTGAAATGTCTTGCCGACATGCAATTCCTGCGACGAATTCGTCTCTTCGCTAGAGAAAAAGTTCCTCCCAATGTCATGAACATTATCAGAAAGTAAGTCGCTATATAGGACATCAGTAATAACCCATTCGGCTTCAGGAATTACATCTCGCTGGAAGAGTTCTCACCTGCGGTTATTCGAGCGGTAATTTTGGAGTTTTGTATTCTTTTTTTCGGCCTTCTGTATAGCGTAAATATTCAATTTTTAGACCTCTGTAGCAGCTGAAGGGCTATGTTTATGGGTTCGAGCCATCGAATCGTACGACACAATCTCCAAACAAGTTGAACCGAAGAAACAACGGCTGAAGAACGCGGAAATGATGGTCAAAAGCAACATGAAGGCCTTGGATGCGAAACGGAAAGCGCTGGCGGTGAGAAATACTCGTTGTTTTGAAAGGTGACATGTTATACGATAAAACAATTTAAAAAATGAAAAAATGGGGGTGACACCTTATACGGTGAAAAAAATTAGAAAAATTTTCGAAATGAGTGGTGACATGTTATACGAAGGATTTTTTTCGTATAACATGTCACATTTCTCCAATTTTTTTCGTCGTATAACACGTCCCACCCTATTTTTTTCATTTTCAAAATTTTTTCATCGTATAACATGTCACCTCCTATTTTTTCATTTTCAAAATTTTTTCATCATATAACTTGTCACCCCTATTTTTTGTTTTAAGAAATTTCATTATCAATTTCTCAATAATTTGCCCCTTCAGGACGTAACGGAGCGTCTTCAACACCTCTCCGACGTCTTCAGTCAGCAAAGTCAGAAGAAACAAGACCTCCAGAACCAAATCCAAGCCTGCGAGCAGCGCGTCGGCCGCGCCGCCCATCTGTTGGCGGCGTTGGGCGGCGAACGCTCGCGTTGGGAGAAGAACATCCGTGAGCTGGAAAAGGAGCTGCAGATCTATCGGAAGACGGTGCTGATCGCGGCGGCCATCATCACGTACTTGGGGAATGTGGAGGATACGATACGGAAGAAGGCGGTCTCGTTAACCGCTGCGGCTGTGCGCTACGAGAAGGCGTTTACGATGAGGGTGATTCTGGACCACACTTCGATTCTGTATGATGAGAAGGTAAACAGTTTACGCAAGGAAGGGCGTCTGTATATTAGTCTGTCGGAAAAATAATGTGGATCGTTGTGCTTTGAAATCGCTGCCACAAATGCTCGGTTTGCGACGGCTAGCCGTGGCTGAAAATTTGATGTTCCACTGCGACAAGACAGTACATTTTCCTGCGACAAATTCATATTATTTTCCCGACAGACTTACATTTCTGCCACTTTCCTTTGCTGTAGCGAAACGTGGGAAGTACCCCATGCACGACGCTCAGATCCTAATACAGTGGGGGACCTCATCCAGTGGCAAAAAACGTACCATTTTGCATCCGCGAGGTATCAAAGATGTGGCAAAATGCTTCCTTCTCAAAGTGAAAAAACTTCGATTTCAAAAGCGCGCCTGCAGAGGGAAGCATTTTGCCACATTTTGATGCTTCCCGGATGCAAAATGGTACGTTTTTTGCCACTCGATCAGGTCCCTCACTGTAAAACGTGGCTCAAGTTTAGAGTCACTTTATCATTGACATGCACGAGAGGACTAGCCTGCGCTTTGTAGAAACGCCCGAGATCTATTGGTCGAAAGTGGGCAAGAATAGGAATTTTTGCAGCGGATTTTATCATGGCATAAAGAGCATGATATAGTACCTAGTCCTACCGTAGAGACTAATGTTTCAAAACAAAGTTTTTCTTTACTCTCTCAGCCGCAAAGACTGTTGAATACTAGTCGCGGCAAAAAGATCTCGTCGCACCCCGAAAAGTCGATTTGTCGCTGAGAAAAATGGGAATCGCCCGCGACAATAAGGCAAAAACAAGAAAATTGCACTGTGCAAAAGCACTTTTCAGGTTCATGCACAGTGCGGAGTCGCAGAAAATTCTAAGGACTTTTTGCCGCGACTAGTATCTCGGCTGCCCTCGCAAAGGGCGAGGTAAAATTTTCAGGAATTTATATGCGTCCTATATCCGACTTAAAAAAAAAATTTTGGGGCTTCGGTAGTTCAGCCCCCCACGAAAGGTAGTTCAAACCCCCACTGTTTTGCCCGTTTCACACCCCACATAATGAACAAATTAGAATAATACAAAAAATGTAAGTGGGGTTTGATCTACTACGTTGGGGGTTTGATCTAAAACGTAGGGGGCTTGACCTAAAACGTGTGGGGCTTTATCTAAAACGGAGGGGCTTCATCTAAAATGTAGGGGGCTTGATCTAAAACGTAGGGGGCTTGTGCTGGACCATACAACTTGGATTAATTCTTTGAAATAAATTTTGGGGTTCAGAATGGACGAGGGGGGTTGTACTGGGTCATGGGGGGCTAAACTGGACTGGGGGGCTGTACTACCTTAGCCCCAAAATTTTTTTAAAGAAAATCTAAGCGTCGCACCTTAAGCCCTTCCCTTGGGACTTCAAGCTACCATTTTCAGAAAGAAAAACTGGTCGAAAACTACACCATCATCGACTACTCTCGCAAGCCGCCATTCATCATCGACCCGCACGGGGAGTCGCATCGGATGTTGCCGCGCTTACTCGGCGACAACATGGCCATTGTCGACCTGATCAAGCCCAATATCGCTGAGGGCATTAAGGAAGCCGTGGAGCAGGGAAAGACCCTGATCATAGACAATGTCAGCGCTCCTCCGCCGTTGTGTGTGACGCAGCTGGTGAAGCCGAAGTTTGTGCATGATGACGAGAAAAAAGTGGGGATTAATTGACTTTTTAGCATTGTATTTTTGACTCATTTTAGTATCTGCAAGTGGAGAGTCATCTACTGGAATGTCATCCGCACTTCAGGGTCTATTTACGGTCGGATCGGCTGGACAAATTTACCGTCGACTTTTTGAAGAATGTAAGCTTGAGTGTTGCGCTGGCAACTTGCAGTAGGGGTCCTGATCCAGTGGCAAAAAACGTATCATTTCGCATCCGGGAAGTATCAAAAATGTGGCAAAATGCCTCCTTCTCCAAGTGAAAAACTCCCATTTCAAAAGCGCGCGCGCTCTTTTTGTAAGCCCTTCAAAACGAAGTTTTTTCACTTGGACAGGGAAGCAGTTTGCCGCATTTTTGATACTTCCCGGATGCAAAATGGTACGTTTTTTGCCACTGGATCAGGCACCCCACTGTATTCTTTAGGTATGTGTTGTGAACGTTTCGCTCGGCCGGAATGTGATCCAAGAAAACGTCATGAATCTCTTCCTCAGCGTGAACGTCGCCGAGATGACGCAAAAACGCGACGAACTCAGCGACGAAAAGACCTCATTTCTCATCCAATTGGACGCGCTGGAAGAGCGGATCATGGATGTGCTCGGAAAGTCGAAGGATTTGGACAATGACAGAGTTATGGACATGTTGGGAGGAGTCCGTGAGCTCAGCCAGAGCTACGAAAGCCGCAGCTTCGAGCTGAACTCCCTAGAGGAGAGGCTGGACAGGCTCTCCAAGAAGTTCCGAGATCTCGCGGTGTTTGCGTCAAGACTTATTTTCATCTCGATGAACCTCTCCAAACTGTCGCCGTTCTATTTGAGGACGTTGAAATTCTACTTCAACGTCTTTCGCGAGGCCGTTCAGTCGGACGCGGCGACGCTGAACGAGGGCAAAGTGGAGGAAGTCAAGGCTAAAGTCTTGAAAGCGTTCAACGAAAAGATTACGAACTCTCTGTTCGCTCAGCATCGCGCAGTGTTCGAGTTCTTGACAAAACATGATATCGGATACGATGAGTAGGTTTTAGATTCCAAAAACGATTTTTTATCTCATGCGCAAGAGTTGTTGTACAGTGTGTCGGGAAAATAATGAGAACTCTGTCGCCAATCCCGTCGCTGAAGTGAAAAGCAATTTGATTTTACCACGACACAATTGATTTTCTCGGCGGCGATGCGATTTTCGATGCGACAGATTCCTCATTATTTTCCCGACAGACTGAAATAACCCACTCAATTTTTAGGCTAAAGGACATGTCCGAAAAGGAGTTTCTCGCCAAATATATGAAGTATATGGACCCTACCGACCTAAATCTCCGCCAGACCATCATCGAACATGACTCCAGAGTTCCAATCGCGATCCTGCTGAATGCTCAATCGACCTATGTGGTGCGCAATTTGTACTCGATTTCGCGGCAGGTCGAACGAATTGAGCCGAAAAATAGTATGGACCCGAACCACAACCCAACAAGGATTCAGATGGCTCCGATCGAGAATCTCAAGAGTTTTGATTGGAAAACATGCTTGCTGGATGATCAATGGATCATGGTGCAGGTATAGTTACATTTGCTAGTTTGTAAAATCAATCAGACAAAGTCAAAAGGTAAATTGCCAGTAGTAAGCGCTTTTTATTTTTAACAAGTTGGACGTCAACGCAATGGATCTTTTAAAATTTTTAAATAATTGGAACGTAGTTGTAGTCAGCGACCAACAGGCTGTTGACGCCGCGACGAACTCTGAAGTATCCAGCTTCTCCGTAGTCCTCTCCCCATTGGTTCTTCATCACCCAGAAGTCCTTTCCACCCTCGTTACCGTAGCCAACAGTCACGACGGCATGGGTGATGACCCAACCGCCAGATGGCTCTGGAGCGTCAATGATGCCACCGGTATAATCCATGATCTGGTGAGCATCAAGGTCTAGAAAAAGGGCTGATATTAGTGAGATTAAACTTACAAGTAACAATCGGACCAACGTTGTAGATGTAGTCGGCCATGGCGTCTTCGTCCCCAGATGGAAGGGTTTCTTCGTCAGAGATATAGATAACGGGGCTCTTGGATTTGCAGCTAGGAATTTTCCCGCTGGATCCAGAGGTGTAGGGGTAGCTGGCTTCGGAAGTAATTCCCTTATCTCTGATGTAGTTCATGACCTTATCTGACTGTCCGCCATTACATCCATTATTGTTACCGTAGCTGGGGTTCTGGTAAGTACAGGAAACCATTTGCTGTTCACTCAGATCCAGCTCATCATCTCCCGTGTAGAGCTTGTGATTAGCCTCGACGGCGCCGACCGCAGCGAAGGCGTAACAACATCCACAGTTTCCTTGGTCCTTGATGGATGAAATGATACCCCAATCTTTCCAGTCAAAAGCTGAAGGAGGGGTGTCACGCTTGACGCGGGAGTGGTTAGCAGGCTTGGCCGTGGAATGGAGACGTTGTACATGCTCAATGCCCTTGATACCAGTCTTTTGGGCAATGAACTCTTCCTTGGTGAGGTCAGAGAACTTGTTGGTCCCGTATGTGGCACTGGGATCTAGTTTTTGATGCTGTTCAGCACGTCTTTTGGATTCGCGGAAGTTTTGGAAGCGCTCCAAGGTTGCGGTTTCATTGTCATATTCCTTCTTGTGTCTAGATGAGACAATATAGCAGCTATATAGAGGACTTACTTGATGATGAATTGGAAGAATTCGTTCAAGGGTTTCTTTTCAGTGCTATTCAGCTGCTTGTGGAGGTTGGAGGCAAACTTCAGCGAGTTCTTGGTTCTGTCGCCGACATTCTTCAAGTTTCCAAGGAGATCGTCGATCTTGCCTCCTTTCAGTATGTCCTCGAACTTGTTCTGATCCAGGAGATCCTCGAATCCCTTTCCGAATTTCTTTGAATCCAGATGATGAGCGGATGACACAGCGCAGATTACAGCGATGATTACAATCGAACGCATGGTGAGAAGACAGGCCAGCTACCGGTGTTGTAACTGGATGAGTATGAGGTTGGAGTGAATGGATTGGGCCTTTATACCATACCGATACATGCCTTGTTAAAGAGATGATAGAAATGTTGGAAGTAAAAACGTGGTTTTACTGGGAAAAGCCTGCTTGTTTTAGGATTTGCATTAATCCCCATACTACAAATCAGCGAACAAGGCAATAAGAATAATTCAGTTTCTTTTAGGAATAATAGCATGTTTTCCGAACGCCCCTGAGTTTATCAAAATGTAGAGCCCCTGAGGGCAACCAGACTTAGCAGTCCAACTATCTATTGTTTGCTTTTTCCAGCCATTCATCGAAATTTCTAACCGTTCTCGCTAAAGCTATAATTTTTACTTGCATTATTTGCAATTTCTACTTCACAAGTCATGTATCGCTATGGTATAAAAGCCCAAGCCGTTCACTCCCCAACCTCATACTCATCCAGTTACAACACCGGTAGCTGGCCTGTCTTCTCACCATGCGTTCGATTGTAATCATCGCTGTAATCTGTGCTGTGTCATCCGCTCATCATCTGGATTCAAAGAAATTCGGAAAGGGATTCGAGGATCTCCTGGATCAGAACAAGTTCGAGGACATACTGCAAGGAGGCAAGATCGACGATCTCCTTGGAAACTTGAAGAATGTCGGCGATAGAACCAAGAACTCGCTCAAGTTTGCCTCCAACCTCCACAAGCAGCTGAATAGCACTGAAAAGAAACCCTTGAACGAATTCTTCCAGTTCATCATCAAGTAAGTCCTCTATACATACTTTATACCGTCTCAACTAGACACAACAAGGAATACGACAATGAAACCGCAACCTCGGAGCGCTTCCAAAACTTCCGCGAATCCAAAAGACGTGCTGAACAGCATCAAAAACTAGATCCCAGTGCCACATACGGGACCAACAAGTTCTCCGACCTGACCAAGGAAGAGTTCATTGCCCAAAAGACTGGTATCAAGGGCATTGAGCATGTACAGCGTCTCCATTCCACAGCCAAACCTGCTAACCACTCCCGCGTTAAGCGTGACACCCCTCCTTCAGCTTTTGACTGGAGAGATTGGGGTATCATTTCATCCATCAAGGACCAAGGAAACTGTGGATGTTGCTACGCTTTTGCTGCGGTCGGCGCCGTCGAAGCTAATCACAAGCTTTACACGGGAGATGATGAGCTGGATCTGAGTGAACAGCAAATGGTTTCCTGTACTTACCAGAACCCCAGCTACGGTAACAATAATGGATGTAATGGCGGACAGTCAGATAAGGTCATGAACTACATCAGAGATAAGGGAATTACTTCCGAAGCCAGCTACCCCTACACCTCTGGATCCAGCGGGAAAATTCCTAGCTGCAAATCCAAGAGCCCCGTTATCTATATCTCTGACGAAGAAACCCTTCCAGCTGGGGATGAAGACGTCATGGCCGACTACATCTACAACGTTGGTCCGATTGTTACTTGTAAGTGTAATCTCACTCGTATCAGCCCTTTTTCTAGACCTTGATGCTCACCAGATCATGGATTATACCGGTGGAATCATTGACGCTCCAGAGCCGTCTGGCGGTTGGGTCATCACCCATGCCGTCGTGACTGTTGGCTACGGTAACGAGGATGGAAAGGACTTCTGGGTGATGAAGAACCAATGGGGAGAGGACTACGGAGAAGCTGGATACTTCAGAGTTCGTCGCGGCGTCAACAGCCTGTTGGTCGCTGACTACAACTACGTTCCTATTATCTAAGTCTGTATTTTTTGTCATCTGCCCTGTTAAAAATAAAAAGCGCTGATAAAATAACTTGCGGTAGGTAAAGTTGTGAGACCGGGCAAACAGAGACCAAGTAAAGGGTCTATTTATCATAGTACGGGTTGAAGCGTCTATAGAACCACAAAGAATTCATTTACTTTCGAAACAACAGGTCAACACATGTTAAAAAAATCGGGATTTCGGCGAAGCTGTGACGATTCGCAAGCTAATGATTTCCCATCTTTCTCTGCCTTGATTTCGAAGGAAATCGGGCTCTCCGTGTCAACCTAGCGAATTTGCTCAACCATTTAGAGGGTTCGTCACACACCCATCGACTGGATAACAGATTTAGGTAACAAAATTCTTTCGGAAGAATTTTTGGAGGACAGAATTGGTGTTAGAAAATCAAGAACAATTTGGAGCGCTATTTATATCTTGTCCTGGCTAATCAAGAAACAAAAACAGCCAAAGATTTTCTCCTGAATTCTGGAGAAAGGACAAACTGGGCACATCACGGAAACGCGAAAAAGAAGAAAATGCTTCCCGCCCATTGTTGAATTTCGTCCAAACGAAGTGTCAAAATTGACAAGAGAAATAAAATAATTCCGAGAAAAACATTTTTGGTGGAAAATCTCACGAAAATGTTTTTTCTTGGAAACAATGTCTTGGAAAAGATGTTTCTCTACAACTCCGCACTTGAGCTTCGCTTATGCTGGAGTAACTGTTTTAGAGGGTAATTTTACCCAACGCCTATCCAAGGGAAAGATAAAAAATTCATGGGAAACTAGCCACGCGTTTTTTTGGCACTTTGTTGCTTCCTTTCTGCAATTGTACCAGGAAAATTAGCAGTTATTTATGAACGGTTTATTGCTAGAAATTCCGTTGTAACAAGGAGGGATAATTTAAATAATTGGAACGTAGTTGAAGTCAGCGATCCGCAGGCTGTTGACGCCGCGACGAACTCTGAAGTATCCAGCTTCTCCGTAGTCCTCTCCCCATTGGTTCTTCATCACCCAGAAGTCCTTTCCACCCTCGTTACCGTAGCCAACAGTCACGACAGCGTGGGTAATGACCCAACCGCCAGATGGCTCTGGAGCGTCAATGATGCCACCGGTATAATCCATGATCTGGTGAGCATCAAGGTCTAGAAAAAGAGCTGATAATAGTGGGATTACACCTACACGTAACAATGGGACCAACATTGTAGATGTAGTCGGCCATGGCGTCTTCATCCCCAGATGGAAGGGTTTCTTCGTCAGAGATGTAGATAACGGGGCTCTTGGATTTGCAGCTAGGAATTTTCCCACTGGATCCAGAGGTGTAGGGGTAGCTGGCTTCGGAAGTAATTCCCTTGTCTCTGATGTAGTTCATGACCTTATCTGACTGTCCGCCATTACATCCATTATTGTTACCGTAGTTGGGGTTCTGGTAAGTACAGGAAACCATTTGCTGTTCACTCAGATCCAGCTCATCATCTCCCGTGTAAAGCTTGTGATTAGCTTCGACGGCGCCGACCGCAGCGAAGGCGTAACAACATCCACAGTTTCCTTGGTCTTTGATGGATGAAATGATACCCCAATCTCTCCAGTCAAAAGCTGAAGGAGGGGTGTCACGCTTAACGCGGGAGTGGTTAGCAGGTTTGGCTGTGGAATGGAGACGCTGTACATGCTCAATGCCCTTGATACCAGTCTTTTGGGCAATGAACTCTTCCTTGGTCAGGTCGGAGAACTTGTTGGTCCCATAAGTGGCGCTGGGATCTAGTTTTTGGTGCTGTTCAGCACGTCTTTTGGATTCACGGAAGTTTTGGAAGCGCTCCGAGGTTGCGGTTTCATTGTCATATTCCTTCTTGTGTCTAGATGAGACAATATAGCAGCTATATAGAGGACTTACTTGATGATGAATTGGAAGAATTCGTTCAAGGGTTTCTTTTCAGTGCTATTCAGCTGCTTGTGGAGGTTGGAGGCAAACTTGAGCGAGTTCTTGGTTCTATCGCCGACATTCTTCAAGTTTCCAAGGAGATCGTCGATCTTGCCTCCTTTCAGTATGTTCTCGAACTTGTTCTGGTCCAGGAGATCCTCGAATCCCTTTCCGAATTTCTTCGAATCCAGATGATGAGCGGATGACAGAGCGCAGATTACAGCGATGATTACAATCGAACGCATGGTGAGAAGACAGGCCAGCTGCCGGTGTTGTAACTGGATGAGTATGAGGTTGGAGTGAATGGATTGGGCTTTTATACCATACCGATACATGCCTTGTTAAAGAGATGATAGAAATGTTGGAAGTAAAAACGTGGTTTTACTGGGAAGAGCCTGCTTGTTTCAGGATTTGCATTAATCACCATACTACAAATCAGCGAACAAGACAATAAGAATAATTCAGTTTCTTTTAGGAATAATAGCATGTTTTCCGAACGCCCCTAAGCTTATCAAAATGTAGAGCCCCTGAGGGCAACCAGACTTAGCAGTCCAACTATCTATTGTTTGCTGAGAAAGTTTTTCCAGCCATTCATGGAAATTTCTAACCGTTCTTGCTAAAGCTATAATTTTTACATCCATTATTTGCAATTTCTACTTCACAAGTCATGTATTGCCATGGTATAAATGCCCAAGCCGTTCACTCCAACCTCATACTCATCCAGTTACAACACCGGTAGCTGGCCTGTCTTCTCACCATGCGTTCGATTGTAATCATCGCTGTAATCTGTGCTGTGTCATCCGCTCATCATCTGGATTCAAAGAAATTCGGAAAGGGATTCGAGGATCTCCTGGATCAGAACAAGTTCGAGGACATACTGCAAGGAGGCAAGATCGACGATCTCCTTGGAAACTTGAAGAATGTCGGCGATAGAACCAAGAACTCGCTCAAGTTTGCCTCCAACCTCCACAAGCAGCTGAATAGCACTGAAAAGAAACCCTTGAACGAATTCTTCCAGTTCATCATCAAGTAAGTCCTCTATACTTCCCTTATACCGTCTCATCTAGGCACAAGAAGGAATATGACAATGAAACCGCAACCTCGGAGCGCTTCCAAAACTTCCGCGAATCCAAAAGACGTGCTGAACAGCATCAAAAACTAGATCCCAGCGCTAGTTATGGCACCAACAAGTTCTCCGACCTGACCAAGGAAGAGTTCATTGCCCAAAAGACTGGTATCAAGGGCATTGAGCATGTACAGCGTCTCCATTCCACAGCCAAACCTGCTAACCACTCCCGCGTTAAGCGTGACACCCCTCCTTCAGTTTTTGACTGGAGAGATTGGGGTATCATTTCATCCATCAAGGACCAAGGAAACTGTGGATGTTGTTACGCCTTCGCTGCGGTCGGCGCCGTCGAAGCTAATCACAAGCTTTACACGGGAGATGATGAGCTGGATCTGAGTGAACAGCAAATGGTTTCCTGTACTTACCAGAACCCCAACTACGGTAACAATAATGGATGTAATGGCGGACAGTCAGATAAGGTCATGAACTACATCAGAGATAAGGGAATTACTTCCGAAGCCAGCTACCCCTACACCTCTGGATCCAGCGGGAAAATTCCTAGCTGCAAATCCAAGAGCCCCGTTATCTATATCTCTGACGAAGAAACCCTTCCAGCTGGGGATGAAGACGCCATGGCCGACTACATCTACAACGTTGGTCCGATTGTTACTTGTAAGTGTAATCTCACTCGTATCAGCCCTTTTTCTAGACCTTGATGCTCACCAGATCATGGATTATACCGGTGGAATCATTGACGCTCCAGAGCCGTCTGGCGGTTGGGTCATCACCCATGCCGTCGTGACTGTTGGCTACGGTAACGAGGATGGAAAGGACTTCTGGGTGATGAAGAACCAATGGGGAGAGGACTACGGAGAAGCTGGATACTTCAGAGTTCGTCGCGGCGTCAACAGCCTGTTGGTCGCTGACTACAACTACGTTCCAATTATCTAAGTCTGTATTTTTTGTCATCTGCCCTGTTAAAAATAAAAAGCGCTGATAAAATAACTGACGGTAGTGGAAAGTTGTGAGACCGGGCAAACCGAGACCAAGTAAAGGGTCTATTTATCATATTACGGGTTGAAGCGTCTATGGAACCACAAAGAATTCATTTACTGTCGGAACTACAGGTCAACGCATGTCGAAAAAATCGGAATTTCGTTGAAACTGTGGCGATTGGCAAGGTAACGATTTCCCGTCTTTTTCTGACTTGATTTCGAAGGAAATCGGGCCCTCCATGTCAACCTAGCGAATTTGCTCAACCATTTAGAGGGTTCGTCATATACCCATCGACTGGCCAACAGATTTAGGTAACAAAATTCTTTCGGAAAAATTTTTGCAGGACAGAATTGGTGTTAGAAAATCAAGAACAAAAAAAAACGCTATTTAGATCGTGTCATGGGTAGTCCAGAAACAAAAACAACCAAAGATTTTCTCCAGAATTCTGGAGAAAGGACAAACTGGGCACATCACGGAAACGCGAAAAATAAGAAAATGCTTCCCGCCCATTGTTGAATTTCGTCCAAACGAAGTGTCAAAATTGACAAGAGAAATAAAATAATTCCGAGAAAAATATTTTTGGTGGAAAATCTCACGAAAATGTTTTTTCTTTAAAACAATGTCTTGGAAAAGATGTTTCTCTACAACTCCGCACTTGAGCTTCGCTTATGCTGGAGTAACTGTTTTAGAGGGTAATTTTACCCAACGCCTATCCAAGGGAAAGATAAAAAATTCATGGGAAACTAGCCACGCGTTTTTTTGGCACTTTGTTGCTTCCTTTCTGCAATTGTACCAGGAAAATTAGCAGTTATTTATGAACGGTTTATTGCTAGAAATTCCGTTGTAACAAGGAGGGATAATTTAAATAATTGGAACGTAGTTGAAGTCAGCGATCCGCAGGCTGTTGACGCCGCGACGAACTCTGAAGTATCCAGCTTCTCCGTAGTCCTCTCCCCATTGGTTCTTCATCACCCAGAAGTCCTTTCCACCCTCGTTACCGTAGCCAACAGTCACGACAGCGTGGGTAATGACCCAACCGCCAGATGGCTCTGGAGCGTCAATGATTCCACCGGTATAATCCATGATCTGGTGAGCATCAAGGTCTAGAAAAAGAGCTGATAATAGTGGGATTACACTTACACGTAACAATGGGACCAACATTGTAGATGTAGTCGGCCATGGCGTCTTCATCCCCAGATGGAAGGGTTTCTTCGTCAGAGATGTAGATAACGGGGCTCTTGGATTTGCAGCTAGGAATTTTCCCACTGGATCCAGAGGTGTAGGGGTAGCTGGCTTCGGAAGTAATTCCCTTATCTCTAATGTAGTCCATGACCTTATCTGACCATCCGCCATTACATCCATTATTGTTACCGTAGTTGGGGTTCTGGTAAGTACAGGAAACCATTTGCTGTTCACTCAGATCCAGCTCATCATCTCCCGTGTAAAGCTTGTGATTAGCTTCGACGGCGCCGACCGCAGCAAAAGCGTAGCAACATCCACAGCTTCCTTGGTCCTTGATGGATGAAATGATACCCCAATCTCTCCAGTCAAAAGCAGAAGGAGGGGTGTCACGCTTGACGCGGGAGTGGTTAGCAGGCTTGGCCGTGGAATGGAGACGTAGTACGTGCTCAATGCCGTTGATTCCAGTCTTTTGGGCAATGAACTCTTCCTTGGTCAGGTCGGAGAACTTGTTGGTGCCATAAGTGGCGCTGGGATCTAGTTTCTGGTGCTGTTCAGCACGTCTTTTGGATTCGCGGAAGTTTTGGAAACGCTCCGAGGTTGCGGTTTCATTGTCATATTCCTTCTTGTGCCTAGATGAGACGGTATAAGGGAAGTATAGAGCACTTACTTGATGATGAATTGGAAGAATTCGTTCAAGGGTTTCTTTTCAGTGCTATTCAGCTGCTTGTGGAGGTTGGAGGCAAACTTCAGCGAGTTCTTGGTTCTGTCGCCGACATTCTTCAAGTTTCCAAGGAGATCGTCGATCTTGCCTCCTTTCAGTATGTCCTCGAACTTGTTCTGATCCAGGAGATCCTCGAATCCCTTTCCGAATTTCTTTGAATCCAGATGATGAGCGGATGACACAGCGCAGATTACAGCGATGACTAAAATCGAACGCATGGTGAGAAGACAGGCCAGCTACCGGTGTTGTAACTGGATGAGTATGAGGTTGGAGTGAATGGCTTGGGCTTTTATACCATACCGATACATGACTTGTGAATTAGAAATTGCAAATAATGGAAGTAAAAATTATAGCTTTAGCGAGAACGGTTAGAAATTTCCATGAATGGCTGGAAAAACTTTATCAGCAAACAATAGATAGTTGGACTGCTAAGTCTGGTTGCCCTCAGGGGCTCTACATTTTGATAAGCTTAGGGGCGTTCGGAAAACATGCTATTATTCCTAAAAGAAACTAAATTATTCTTATTGTCTTGTTCGCTGATTTGTAGTATGTGGATTAATGCAAATCCTAAAACAAGCAGGCTTTTCCCAGTAAAACCATGTTTTTACTTCCAACATTTCTATGATACGTTTAACAAGGCATGTATCGGTATCGTATAAAAGCCCAAGCCGTTTACTCCAACCTCATACTCATCCAGTTACAACACCGGTAGCTGGCCTGTCTTCTCACCATGCGTTCGATTTTAATCATCGCTGTAATCTGCGCTGTGTCATCCGCTCATCATCTGGATTCAAAGAAATTCGGAAAGGGATTCGAGGATCTCCTGGATCAGAACAAGTTCGAGGACATACTGAAAGGAGGCAAGATCGACGATCTCCTTGGAAACTTGAAGAATGTCGGCGATAGAACCAAGAACTCGCTCAAGTTTGCCTCCAACCTCCACAAGCAGCTGAATAGCACGGAAAAGAAACCCTTGAACGAGTTCTTCCAATTCATCATCAAGTAAGTCCCCCATACCACCTTTTAAATCGTCTCATCTAGGCATAAGAAGGAATATGACAATGAAACCGCAACCTCGGAGCGCTTCCAAAACTTCCGTGAATCCAAAAGACGTGCTGAACAGCACCAAAAGCTAGATCCCAGCGCCACTTATGGGACCAACAAGTTCTCCGACCTGACCAAGGAAGAGTTCATTGCCCAAAAGACTGGAATCAACGGCATTGAGCACGTACTACGTCTCCATTCCACGGCCAAGCCTGCTAACCACTCCCGCGTTAAGCGTGACACCCCTCCTTCAGCTTTTGACTGGAGAGATTGGGGTATCATTTCATCCATCAAGGACCAAGGAAGCTGTGGATGTTGCTACGCTTTTGCTGCGGTCGGCGCCGTCGAAGCTAATCACAAGCTTTACACGGGAGATGATGAGCTGGATCTGAGTGAACAGCAAATGGTTTCCTGTACTTACCAGAACCCCAACTACGGTAACAATAACGGATGTAATGGCGGGTGGTCAGATAAGGTCATGGACTACATTAGAGATAAGGGAATTACTTCCGAAGCCAGCTACCCCTACACCTCTGGATCCAGTGGGAAAATTCCTAGCTGCAAATCCAAGAGCCCCGTTATCTATATCTCTGACGAAGAAACCGTTCCAGCTGGGGATGAAGACGCCATGGCCGACTACATCTACAACGTTGGTCCGATTGTTACTTGTAAGTTTAATCTCACTCGTATCAGCCCTTTTTCTAGACCTTGATGCTCACCAGATCATGGACTATACCGGTGGAATCATTGACGCTCCAAAGCCTTCTGGCGGTTGGGTCATCACCCATGCCGTCGTGACGGTTGGCTACGGTAACGAGGGTGGAAAAGACTTCTGGGTGATGAAGAACCAATGGGGAGAGGACTACGGAGAAGCTGGATACTTCAGAGTTCGTCGCGGCGTCAACAGCCTGCGCATCGCTGACTTCAACTACGTTCCAATTATTTAAAAATTTCAAAAGCATACATTGCGTTGACGTCCAACTTGTTAAAAATAAAAAGCGCTGAACAAAAATTGACTCGTATTGTGTGTAAATAAGGCGAAACGTTTCTGTTCCGTTTCAGAACTGCCAACATTTGAATGGTAATCAAATCCTGGCGTTGGAGTCGCTGATTGATCAGATTGCGAACACTGAGGAGCGTCTTGAGACCTTCCGCATGTTCCTGATCATCTACCCGGAGAAAGGAGAGGCTCAGTATTCGCTGATGGGCAAGTGTAAAGTCATTACGTTGGACGATGACTACAGTCTGAAAGGATTCTTACAGTACTGTTATTCCACGATCTCGCCCAGCTGGCTTCATGAGCAGCTAGATACGGTCGGTTTAGGCCATTGGCGTGTTGTAAGCGTTGCTTGATTTCAGCCGCAACGTCGTGAGATGTTGTATCGATTGTCCTGTTTCCACTTTTGTATCGTCGAGCGATGCAAATACGGAATTTTTGGGTGGATCACAGACTTTTCGGTGTCCACAGTCAACTTTGAGTCTGCTGCGAATTTGTTCAAGGTAATATGACGTGGATGGTGAGCTCAATTTCAGGACCTCTGCGACCGATGGGCGGAGATTTCGTTCAACTCCCTCTTCTCCAACGTCCTGGAAATCGCCTACTTGGCTGACATGTCAGACAAGTACGATCTGCTGGTCTTTCGCACAATCGCTCAATGGATCTTCTCCGGCTTGAACAAGCATGACAACGGAGTGGTGGACAACCTGCATCTGAAGACCTATAATGTTGCGCCAGCTCTAATCTTGGAGCAGATAAAGAAAACGAAATTTCCAAAAGATACGGCGATGAGTGGTTTGAATGAAGCCGTGATCCGAAGCTGCAAACGGCGACAAGTTTTGGCGATAAAAAAGTCGGTCTTGGAGATGTTGAAGGAAGACCAAGAGGAGATTTTTGAAGTCGATGAGGACTTCAACGAAGCCTCAAATGAATTTGTCTATTCGGTTAGTGCGACACAAACTGAGGAAGTTACAGGCGTGGAGTATTGCGTGAGGAATGAGATCAGAGCAATCGAAGAGGCTGGGATTCCTTCCAAAAGGCAAGCTTTGCTTTGAGTTTTTCGGAAACTTGAAAATGATGAAATTTTCGCTTTTTCTACATATCAGTCTGTCGGGAAAATATTGAGCCCTCTGTAGCATTAAAATTCACATCACCGCCAAGAAAATGAATTGTGTCGCGGCAAAATCAAATTGCTTTTCACTTTAGCGACGCAATTTTCAATGCGACCCTGCGCTCATTATTTTCCCGACAGACTGATTTTAGTACTACTTTCATGAAATGCATGGACATTTTTTCTTTATCGCACAGTGCATTTTGAACTTACTCCGACTCTTGTCGTAACGCACAGTGCCATAACCGACAATCTTAGAGGTCACAAGAGCAAATTGTAGGCCAAAAAAGCACCGCTTTATAACGAACCCCTTCTAAAACAAATTTGTTTTTTGGGTCCTTGTTGCTCATGGGCTGACTGTAACATTTTTTTAATTATTAGAGCTCTCTTACAGGCTTGCCTACCTCAAGACGCTCCTCGAACAGAGCGATGGAATTCATCGTGTTGAAATCAGGAATTTCCAACGGCCACAAGCTATTTTGGAACAGCTAAAACAAGACTACGCCAAACGGCAGAAATTGCCGTTGGATGAGGTGAGTAACTCTTGGCAAAACGCTATCAAATACTAGTTGCTGAAGCTCCATTGACTTTCTTATTTCCGTTCAATAAACAACAATAATAAAAAAATAATGATATTTCCAGTTGATCGTCTTCGGAACTCTCCGTCTTCCCGTCTCAACGGATTTTGTCGAATTCTCCGGCTGCTGTATGCTTGGCGCCGGCTACGATAAGGATTACAACTGCCTTCAGGAGGCTCGGACTCCGATTCAGTCCATCGACACGGTCTATGTGCTGGTGAAGCGCAAGAACCTGCCAGTCAAGCCGGAATCGCTGAATGTGCCGTTGTATTACAAGCAGCTGAACGGAGGCTTTGTCCATTTGTTGGACATTGAAGTCGAGTCCAATATCCCGTCGAATCATTGGCTTCTTCGAGGAGCGAAATTATGTACGGCTAGCCCGATCAAATTGGAGGCAATGGAAGAGGAAACTGCCGGTTCCAATAGGTAGAACTTGTGTCGCAAATCTCATAATGAGGAATAGAGAAGACATATAAATTACATTTTGAAATAAATGAATCACAAAACAGCAGTTTCATAATACACTAAAAAATTCTTTTTTTTCAACCCAAAACTGGAAAGATATGGCCAAAAATGCGTTTTATTCCTAACCACTCTCCGCGCTTCGCGTTCTCTCTCGGCCTCAAAGATCGTTGAATACTTCGGTTGTGACTGCAACGTGCATCCCAATTTACCAATTTCATAACGGCTAAGAGCCTTGAAATTACAACAAGACCTCTGTACAACAACCTTTCGTACAACAAAACCTTTCTATAACGAACAATTTCAAAAATTTGGAGAGTCAATTTTATGGCTAAATAATGCTCTTTACAATGAAACCCCTCCATAACGAATCCATTTTTTTCTTTCTTGCCAGAACATATCAGAAAAATCAGTCTGTCGGGAAAATAATGAGTGCTCTGTCGCTGCACCAGTCGTGTCATTAAACCGGGAAGCAACTTGATTTTGCCGCGACACAATTCTTTTTCTCGATTTTGGATGCGACAGAGTGCTCATTATTTTCCCGACAGACTGATAAAGACCCAATCTTTCGCTGAGCCAGACTCAAAGCAAAGCTTGCCTTTTGGAAGGAATCCCAGCCTCCTCGATTGCTCTGATCTCATTCCTTACGCAATACTCTGCACCAGTAAGCTTTTTGTACGCAAATTTGTTGTTCCAAATTTTAAAAATGTTGCCACCGGCCGAGAACATTGTCTTTTGAAACCTGTGCATACCCAAACTCTCAAACGTCAATGTCGCATACTACAGAATGGGAAATTCGCGGGATTGTCGACGCATTCTTGTGTGAAAGTCATTCGAAATTTTCACCTTTTTATGGCGGGGGTTTTTAATGGCAAATATTAATATTCGATCCGTTTGAGGAAGTTATTAGAAGTGAAGTTTTCTTATTTAAATTAACACTTCATTTGCTTCGTTGTGTACAATTTTACGGGCCTTCTAGAAAACTGTAGAGTTTCCTTGTCGGTGTGAATTCTTAATAGCTATGTAATTTTTGAAAGCTCAGATTTTGTTTGCTCAAATTTCGTTCAAATTTCGCACTATGCTTTGCAGGTTGCGTATCAAATTCTGAAAGTTTTCTGTAGTGCTTTACAGTACTTGTCGAGACGTTCAAGGAACTTTGCAAGGGGTATAGTAGGCAGTCTCTCGAGTCCGTTGCAAAATTATAACAAGTGATGCTTTCGACGTGTGATGTTGAGATTTTTACTGACAGGGGAAGGGCTCAAATAGCGACACTCAGATTTTGATGTCAATTGGCTCAAATTTTAAATTAAACATTTCCATCAGTCTGTCGGGAAAATAATGGGCACTCCGTCGCTGCCAAAATCGCATCGCCGCCGAGAAAATGAATTGTGTCGCGAAAAATCAAATGGAGCAACGCGATCGGCGCAGCGACATACTAGTCCGTCCGTAAAGTCGCTGGAATGATTTCGGCGACGCGCACTGTGCAAGAAAACTCAGGGTGCAAGCGACAGCTCGAAAAAGCCTATTGCGCTGTGCAAAAAGCCAAAAATTGCACAGTGCAAAGTGAACTTTCGGTTTCGCGGGGTGAATGTCGCCGAAAACATTCCAGCGACTTTACGGACGGACTAGTAGTGCTCATTATTTTCCCGACAGACTGATATTTACTCAGCTTACGAGAAATGCGTTCCACCCTGCCTTTGATAGAAGTGGGCACCTACGTTTGGTCTAAGCCTACAGTGACGGACCTGATCCAGTGGCAAAAAACGTAGCATTTTGCATCCGGGAATTATCATCAAAAAATATCGCAAAATACCTCCTCTCAAAGAGCGCGCCGCCTCCCTCACAAAAACAGGGGCGCGCTTTTGAAATCGGTGTTTTTTCACTTGGACCCTCCGCCTGCAAAATGGTATGTTTTTTGCCACTGGATCAGGTCCCACTGTAGGCTTAGACCAAACGTAGGTGCCCACTTCTATTAAAGGCAGGGTGGAACGTATTTCCCGTAAGCTGAGTAAATATCAGTCTGTCGGGAAAATAACGGGCACTATGTCGCTGCGCCGATCGCGTCGCTGAAGTGAAAAGCAATTTCACTTTGTTGCGACACAATTCATTTTCTCGGCGGCGATGCGATTTTGGATGCGACTGAATGCTCATTATTTTCCCGACATACCGATGGAAACGTATTCTTGGTTTTCCTCCAAAGTCCGCGAAAACTTGGGTTCCAGTTACCTGGACCCAACCTCCACTAATCGCATATTCATTGTATTCGGAGAGGTAATGGAATAACAGATGAGCGGCTTTTATTCCCTGCGGCAATTAATCAAATTTGCCGCTTTCTCGGAATAATGAAATCTGGCCAAAGGTTTGCTCGACTGCACCGTGCAGTCTGGCGAACTTTGCACTCCGTCGCAGAAGGAGACCTTTTTATAACGAATGATTCGTTCAAGGGGGTCAAATTTCTGAACTTGGGATTACAAAGGGCCAAAAGTTTGGTTATACAGAGGTTTTGTTGTAGGGAGGTTGCTTCTGGCCAAAAATTTGCCTACATCTGATCTGAAATTGTTTGTTATACAGAGGTGTCGTTGTAGAGAGGTTCATTTTGGCTTAAAATTGGCCCAAAGGAGTTTTGAAATTGTTTGTTATAGAGAGGTTTCGTTGTACGGAGGTTCCTTTTGGCCTAGAAATTGCCTAACTAGAGTTCTGAAATTGTTTGTTATACAGAGGTTTCGTTGTAGGGAGGTCTATTTTTGCCTAAGCTTGGCTCACATGAGTTCTGAAATCGTTTGTTATAGAGAGGTTTCGTTTTACAGAGGCTCCTTTGGGCCTTTAATTGGCTCAAAAAAAAACTCTGAAATTGTTTGTTATACAAAGGTTTCACTATACCACATTTTTTCCCAACACTTTGGCCATTACAACATTTACTGAACTCGTTTAAAATTTGCATAAATTATCGAATTCCGCACCGTGCAACACCTTCAACTTCCCCCAATTAATTAGTCCCTAAGGCAATTTCCCGCATTCCCCGTCATCCCCCGTTGGCACAACTATAATCGAGTTCCCAGGTGCGGCTAATCGAATTGCGCCACCGCTGCGGGCCCCCTTGGCAACGGCGCCCCCCGACTTCAGATGCCGGCAATGGAGAAGCGAGGACCAGGTAGGGCTGAATTGTATAATATCACATCTGCTCGCGCCCTAATCAACGTTATTATTCCGAATTTTTTCAGCTGCCTGCCTGGAGTGCATAAAAGTCGGGGAGCCGTTCGTTTACCGGCAGTCCGAGAATGCGACCCCCATCCGCAAATTGCGGAACCCCGACTATCGCCGGCAGGAGTCGGAGGAGTTCAGCGAGGACAGCAAGGTGAGTTCTCCGGCAACAGACAATGTTTGTATTAATATGTTATAAAACTTGGAGCTAGAAGTAGGCTCAAACGTGAACAGCCACGTATTTATCTTGTTTTTTACCTCTTGCTTTTCAACGGCGATCAAGAAATGCCGCATCCCGACTTTTCGGCTCAAAGACAGTTCAGGCTGTTGGAATCTTTATGCACTCTCGGCGATGGCTTACTTAGGCTGGTCCAGCCGAAGCTTCCACTTTTATTTCAAGTATTAGGTTGGAGCGAAAGTTTTCCCCTTTTTTTGCTTCTTTTTTAAACAAATTTATTTTGACAGTTGTAACGTTAAACCGAACATAGTATCCACCGTCGGTATCCACTACGTATTGCCAACGTTCCGACAAAGATTCAATTGGCGAGCTTAAAAACTGGGCTATTTATAATCAAAAATGTCAGAAAGACCTGTTTTGAGGTCCCCACAAACAATCGAACCGCGCATCTCCCAAACGGTAGCTTAGTGATCTGAGCAAATGTTAATCATAAGGTGCCAAGACTGGGGTGTAGTGTGGGTGGGGCAGCAAAGTCCATACATTCTCCCTGAATTTTTTGCGCGCGATTTTCACAAGTTCCACAACTTCCATAACTTTTCCCGAAAATTATGGGGAATACTTTCGTTCCAACCTAATATTTCTCCGCCAATAATGCACCAATTCCTCTAAAATTTATATCAAATTGAAGCTGAGGTGACCTATTTTCGGTCCACCAAATATTACGTGCCCAAGTTCACGGTGGCCTCCGTACTGACCTTTGACATTTTCATTCCAAATTTTGGAGCCCGAAATCGGTGATTTTTTTCGATATTACGTACTAGTCCGTTTGCAAAATCGTCGCAAAAAATGTCAGAGCCGATGCAAAAGTAAAACTATCGAATGCTTAATGCCCGCTTTTCAGAGCTCAAAGTCCACCTCAACTCTGCCAGCGCGAAGCAAAAGCCATCGATGTCTGGGCACAGTGGAAAAGCGGAATGCTCGAGAACGGACTAGAGTCTACGTTGTGAACCAGGCTTTCTCCACGCTACGCAGTCGAATTCCCTCGCTGAAAGGGAGTACGAAACGCGTCTCGAAGCTTCGAATCCTCAAATCAGCGATAAACTACATCTACAACTTGAAAGATCAGCTGGCCGAGGAGGACAGCGACGTCTCCAGCAGTCTATGCAATTCCGAACCCGAATTCAAGACCGCTGACGATCAACCGGCTTATTCGATGGTTGCGAAACCCGCTGAAACCGACGCTGCAGCGGCTCCGAAGAGGTTTCCGAACGCCGCCCCGAACGAAGCCGTTCCGCTGATCATCACGTCGAATAGCACAGCGTTAATTTCGCTGCAATGCTATCCGATTGCATCGTACGTTGTGCCGAATATCATTCAAAACGAGCTCTTCAACCAGCTATAACGAATTACGCATGTTTATCGAATAAAACTCGGATTTCCAGGAGTTCGAACAAAGTTTAAGGGGGGAGTTGAAAAGCTTTGGGTCAGTCGTAACTAGTACTTGAAGAGGGAAAAAAGACGGTAAAGCAACAAAATCACTAGATGTCATGTGGTGATGGTAATACTGGTTATAGAAATTGGAGAAATATACAGGTCAAAGGGAGGGAATTTTAATAAACAGAGTGTAACGGACTCTTAACTGGTCATAATGTCAACGAAATCGATACAAAATACTTTAGATTTTGGACGGCAAACAGGATTTTTTAGAGAAAATTGCAAAAAATAAATAAAAGTAAAAACGAAAATAGAAAATCGTTCAAATTACAGTAAGAAAATTTGAAATTACAGTAAGACAAAGTCAGTTTGCAGTGTAGAAAATTGCTTAGGAAGAGCCACTGCCCTCCAGTTGGGTCATAAAGGCGGGTGCTTTGAAGAAATCGGGGATATGTTCGTCGTATTGCGCGATCACCTTGTAGATCGCCTTCTTCCACGAGGGCTCGGCGTCGCGACCGTCGCGCAACGCCTTGAAGAACTCTCGGAGCGTGACTTCCACTACGTGAGCAAGGCCTTCAGGCGGCTGAAAAGGAGAGATTAGAAAATGGTTTGAAAATTGGATAATGCATCTATTTGCGAAAACAGTTACTCCCTTGTTACATATACATACAGGCACTTAAAACTTCCAAAAAACTCGCTCTTACCGGAATAAAATTGTTCTTGTTGTAATGGACGTTCAGGATCTTGAACAGCTCCGACTCGGTGGTGACTTTGATCTGCTCCGGCTCCGTAATTCCCTCCGCCAGGTACTGTTTCGCGAACTTCTCCATGTTCATGTAGTAGAACTCGCGAAAGTTGGAGAACCATTTCACCAACTGCGCCGTGTTGTTCTTGTGGAACTGGATGTCCGGGAAATAGTTCTTCAGCACACTGGACGGCGGGTATCTCGTGTAGAAGAACATCAGCTTCGCCTTGCGCAGATGGATGTGGGTGAGGGTGGTGCTTTGGCCCATCCCGTCAAAGTATTCGGAGTCGTCGTTGGAGAAGGGCGACGCGGCGCCGCCGCTGTTCCCATCGAAGCGCCCGTTGTAGAGGGGATGCGGCACCATGGTGGGAGGGAAGTAGCTGTTCGCCGAGGGAGAGGATCGTGCCGACGCCGGCAGACTCTGGCCGTTGTCGCGAACGGCCATGGATCGAGGGCCACGCACTGAGTCCGTGACTTTGGAGCGCTTCTTGCGAGGGGAGCCGCTGAAAAATGAAGGTTGAATGAGAAATCGATTATCATCCGCACTTTTTTATACCAAAAAAATTCCAAAAAAATCAAACTCACTCTTCATTCTTGACCCTGTTCATCTGATGGTTCAGGAATCCATTCAAGTTGGCAAAAGCGGGCTGATTCGGGAAGATCCCGCCGTTCTGCATCTTGGCCATTGCCATGGCCGGATTGGGGAAGCTCATTCCATTCGCCGCGCTGGACGTCGCTTGACTCAGCGAGTTCAACGGATTGGCCAACGCCATCAGCGGGTTGGCCGCATTGTAGGGCATGCCCATCGGGTTGAACATGGGGTTCAAGTTGAAGGGGAGTCGATTCTGCTGCATGGATTCTTGTTTTTGCTTCTCCAACTGTTGCTGTCGGATCTGCTGGATTTGGCGCGCCTGCTGCAGGATCTTCTCCATTTCGTTGGCGTTGAAGCTGGCGATGACTTTCTCGAAGGAGTTTTGCACCGAGTTCAGAAGTTCGTCCTTTAGGGCCTGCGTGAATTTGCCCAGCATTCGAACGCAGAGTTCCTTCTGCAGCTCGGAGTCTTGTTGATTGCCGAGCGCGGTGTAGATGCGTTTCTGCGCTTCGACGAACTCTCGGAACTTGTTCATGTTCATGTTGTTGGCTTGGGCGGCCAGATGAGCGGCCGCCATTCCAAAATTGAATTCCGAAGGGTTTCCGTTTGTTGAATTTTGCGCTGATTGATTGGAAGAGCAGCGTTTCTCTTCTTTAATGTCGTCATCGGAATCTAAAATCGGAAATTCAGTCTTTTCGTCGAGTTTTTTGATGTTTTGCTAAAATAGCGGGTATCTTCAAGGGTAACAAATATAATTTTCAAAAATTTTGGAGCAAGTGTTATAAATAGATACTATTAGATCGTTTTTCTTCCCAAAACTACACATTAACTTACCCTGATTATCCTGAGGCTCTTCTTCGTCGATCACCGGAGGGCCCTCATCAAAGTCGTCGACATCATGCTCTTCCACTGCCATATTCCGTTGCGGATGGAACCTTTTTCGCTTCGACGATGAACTGGACATTGCTGAGTGCCTTTCACCGTTATTTGTCTCTGCTTTTGTGGGAACATCTTGGCTTTCAACGGAGTCGTTGTTCTTCTCCGAGATTTCGTAGTCTTCCAGTGATTCGAGGTCCTGGAAATGGATCATTGAGAAATTCAGGCTTTTTAGGACTTGAATTTTGATTTTCAAAAATGTTTTGAGATTTTTTGAGCTTATATGAGTCTGTCGGGAAAATAATGAGCACAGTTTCGCAGCACCGATCACGTCGCTGAATTGAAAAGAAATTGGATTTTTCCGCGACACAATTCGTTTTCTCGGCTGCAATACGTCTTTCGCTGCGACAGAGTGCTCATTATTTTCCCGACAGACTGATTCAGCCAAATATATCAAGAATATTGTAGGTTCTTACATTCTGCTCTTCGTTATTTCCCCCGTCATCATCCGGTTCGTTTTTGAAGCCCTCGCTGAAGTCGGGTGAGCCATCTTTTTTGGATTTCTGCTGAAACGAAAAATTTAGTGAATAAAAATTTTAAAAAAAATTAATTTTTAAGTCCAAGGCTCCCTTACCATCAACTCATTCCGCGCCATCAATGCCGCAAAGATATTCTCGTTCTGTCCTTGAGTGGGGCTGCTGAACAGGCTGGACAACCCGTTGGCGGGGAAGTTGTTGGCTTGAGAGAACTGCATCACGGGTGATGGGGGGATCGGACCACCAGAGGACATCTAAAGTAAGGTGTTTTTTGTTCGAAATCGCAAGGTAAAATACGTGGGAATATAACTGAAAAAAATTATCAAAAGTGTCAAAAAATAAACTCTTTTTCCGCGGAGGACATAAAAAAAATGAAAAAAAATATAACTGAAGATGGTATATGGCCAAGAAATTACATTTAAAACATCCAGCCCAAAATTTTCCAAGTTTCAAGTCGATTCAGCCCCTCTAAACACCTTTTTCGAGCCCCTTACGAACCTCTTGCCCTTCTCAACCCCTTCAATAAGCCGAAAAAAACTCGCCGGGTCACCGAAACCACTCATCGCTTCATTGTTCATCCCCTCCTAATACCATCTTCCTTCGACACGCACCAATGATGTGCGCTTCCGCCGAGAACATAAGCCCGGAGAAGAAGAAAAGGCGTGCATGGAGAGGCGGCGGCAGCGGCGGTTTTGCATATTTAAGCACGATCGTCTTGCCCGATTCGTTCAGTTCTCGACGAAATTTCGTCAAGAGGAGCGTCGGAAAGTGGGAAGACGAGGGATTAGGGGCAGAGAGTGGGCCTGTCGATTGATCATAAGATCGGGGAAGAACCGAACAAGGGTTTTGAAATGGAAGCGTTTGGACTGAAGGGGTGATAAACAAGTGGGGAGAAGTTTTTGGGGAAGTTGTTCAACTTGTTTAAAGAGAATCGTGAGATATGAAAAATTGAAAAATTCAGCAAACTAAGACAGTGGTTGTTTGAGCAGATGCAGAGTAGACTCCATCTTGTAGCTGATAAAGTCATCTAGAGTAAATTTAAGTCAAGTAAAACAAGGTATAATAGAACACATTTCTTGAAACATGAGTAAATACTAATCTGTCGGGAAAATAATGAGGCTCAATGTCTGTCGGTAAAATGATGAAGCTCAATGTGTGAAGTGAAGAGAAATCTGATTTTTCCGCGACACAATTCAGTTTCTCAGCGGCAATGCGATTTTTGATGCGACAAAATGCTCATTATTTTCCCGACAGATTGATATCAAGGATTCAACAAGTTATGATATCAGTTGTCTATACAGAGGTATAACTTAGTCCGTCTTGTAGCTGAGTTCAGGTCAAGTCCCATTTCTCGTAATATGAGTAAATATCCTATCTATACTCATACCTGACTAGCAAGAAACAAAGTTTTCATCAGAAGCATGACTCATGAACACAAGGAGATTTAAAGACATACTTTCTCTATAGTAAGCAAAAGTTTGAAGGCAAGAAACTTTAGAAAACAAAAGAAGGAGCCTCTCAGAAGATTCTGGAGATTATCTTGTCCTTTTTTTGGTCATGCCTACCCCCACAAGCCCCACAACTCAAACCCAATTGCCCTGCAGGCCTTGAAACTCTCAATTCCCAATATTCTTCCGCTACCGTACCCTTTCGCGCACCGCTACCTTCCTCGTCATCCCCACCTCTCCAATGAAAATGAGGTCCGCCACGGAGCTGCTGATCGAAGGCAGCGAAATGAAACGAGAGCAGCGAAGGCGCTGATCTTTTCATGAGTTCTTCCGTTAGAGACGGTCTTCTCGCCGGGTGCGTCCAACCGAGACCAAGGCCTCTCCCCCAACCATCCCGTCGCCGACTCGTTTCTCGATTCAGGTGGAGCGTGAGGAGAAGACCGCCTTCTTCTCGATTGGCTGTCGCCGTTACTCCGAAAGAGGTGGAGGGGATGTGCAGGTAATGGGGCCGCGCTTCACGGGTAATAATCTCCGCGCTGTCTACTGGACGGAACTTGGCGGCGAGGGATGGTACAAGAAATACGAGGCTTTGGAGGGGATTTTGAAGGTAGTATGTATATAGGTCTAGCAATATTTAGCAGATTTGAGACAAGCAACAAATACTTTTTTGGGCCAAAAAAATGCTGACAAATCGGTCGTTATGAAGATAAAGCTCTAATAAAACAGTCCAAAAGAAACTGTAGACAACAGACTTCTGGAAAAGTAAAAAATCAATTGTCTATCAAGCATATCAGCTGTAGAAACTACTATTTGATCCGCAAAGCGCCTCTAGAAGCCGCTAAGATCATATGCCGCTAAAAATGCTTGCTTTTCATGGCCTTGCTACAAAAAAATGGTCATCAAATTGACTTTCAGTCTGTTGGGAAAATAATGAGCACTCTGTTGCATCGAAAATCATATTGCCGCCGAGAAAACGAATTGTGTCGCGGCAAAATCAAATTTCTTTTTATTTCAGAGACGCCATTGGCATTTTGCTTATTATTTTCCCGACAGGCCGATAACAGAAGACAGCAGACAACGAATCAGGAAGCAATCAGTCGTTTATCAAACATATCAGCGCTAGAAAAGCCTGCTTTCTCTGGAGATTTCCTTTAGAAGCCGCTAAAATCATTCCTCACAAAAGGCTTTCCTTTCATAGCCTTGCTGCGGCCAATGGTAATCAAACAGACTACTACTAGCCCTAGTTTCAAACTGCTTTCCCATCTTTCCCAACCTTTCTTCTCGCCCGACTACAGTCCCTGCGAAAGCCCCCTCTTCATTCCTTTTCCGGTTATACTCATAACTCTTCCCGCAAATCCCAACTCCTCGCTTCTCGCCAATTATTCCGTTTTTTACTACCTGTTTATTCTGGTATTACTCTCGAGGGCGCTCTTTTTATGATCTTCAGCCCTATAACGATCTTCCACTCGTCTAATCCAGCCCCACAGCGGATCCCATCGCTTTCGGGGTGGGGAGAGAGGGGGGAAGAGAGGGATCGGGGGGAGAGTTGCTCATCGAGTTCCTCTCGTCTAATATGGGTGTTGTACTTTGATGATCGGGAAGATATTGGGGGATAATATAGCTTTGGGATGGCTAGAGAGGATAGAGCAAAACTTTTGGAAAAATAGGGTAAGAGGGGACCAAAAAGTTGAAAATAGCTCATTGAGTTTCTCTCGTCTAATATGGGTGTTGTACTTTGATGATCGGGAAGATATTGGGGGATAATATAGATTTAGGATAGCTATAGAAGATAAAGCAAAAATTTTGTAAAAATGGGGTAAGAGGGGACCAAAAAATTTAAAATAGCTCATTGAGTTTCTCTCGTTTAATATGGGTGTTGTACTTTGATGATCGGGAAGATATTGGGGGATAATATAGATTTAGGATGGCTAGAGAGGATAAACCAAAAAAATTGGAAAAATAGAGCAAGACGGGACCAAAATGAAAATGCTAATGAAAATGAGGTCATCTTCAAAAAAATGTAAAATACGATCAATTTAAATACATTAAGATTTTTTAAAATAGTTGTAACTACAGTAACGCAAATTTTTTGTTGCCTTTTCATCGAAAAAAGTCAAAAAAATCTGCAAACGGCCTAAAAATGATAAATAACATCATTATCCACTTGTCAAGTCGTTTGCAAGATTTACAATTTTGTCGAAACCAAGACCGGCTCTAAGTACGCTAATTGGGATCTTAGACCGAGATTAGTTGTATGGCAATATTTTCTGCCCATGTTAATCCAATAGATGATTAAAACAAAGTGCAGTTAAGTGGCTTTTTCAGTGTGGCCTGAGGGGATGATGCGGGAAAAATTGAAAAAATCGAATGTTGCATCCGAGATCTATGAATAATTTGAGGTCTAAATTAGGTTTCAAATATAATGATGACATGGTAATTACAAGAATTATATCGAATATATTGTCCAAAGTACAAGAAAGAACAGTTTTATTCGGCTCCCCCTCCTTCCCAGCAGCTTTAAACAAACTGCCCAAGTCAGCAAATTTAATAATCTCCGGAACGGGGGGCTACTGTAGCCGTCACGACGGCGTCTCACCGATTCGAAAGGAAGATATGTCGTCTCAGTCCCCCCAAATTTCTATGGCCACACCAAGCACTTTCCGGTTTTTATTCATTCTCAGAAAAGTTTTGCCCCGCTTTCCGACGTTTTGTTTTTATAACGGTGACGGCCCAGTGGCGGAGAAAAAACATATCATCATCTTCTGGGTGGGGAGATGAAGAAGGAGACTTATGAGCTGGGTTGGGGTGGAAAAAAAGAAATTTCTGGGGAATTAAAGGGGGTCACGTAGCAGTAGAGACTGTAGAGAGAGTATTAGGGCTTGAGGCGATGAGATAGATAATAAAAAAAATGAAATTTTAAGAGGGTTCTTCAAATATTTCGAGGAAAAAAGAGGTCATACCGTAAGAAAAGACGCTTTAAAAGCTTCTCTAGTAAATTTGAAGATAAGCTCGCTGAATCTGGCTATACTCAAGCGGCTAGAAATGCCTTGGCCAGCTCAGAACGTATGCATAATACAAAAGCTAGGGAAAGTTAGACGAGTCCTTGGAAGACTTGGACGAAAAAAGAAGAAAAATAAAGTTGAGCTGTAAAAAATGAACTTCTGAAGCTTCCTTAATAAATTTGCGGCGCTTTTCTTTCAATCTAAATGACCTTCTGGTCAACGGATTTCTTTTCCGGATCAAAATTGCTACAAATTTCCAAGCAAACATTTTAAAAAGCTTTTGAATAATTTCGAAGAAAAAACTGTAATTCTGTAAAGGCGACTATCTCAAAAGTAACTCCAATAAATTCCGAGGTCCCGGCTTTCTTCCTGGCCCACTAGTTTGCCTTCAAATAGCTTCGCCAGCTCCTAAAAGGTCTAAACAAAACTTTCTTACACATAAAATTGGAGAAAAAATTCGAATTGTTGACAGTAAAGATTACCCTAAGAACTATTAGATAAGATAATGACCACTCAAGAATAGCTTCAAGGATCCATTTAGCCTTCTGAAGGCCCTTATTTGAACTCATGATCAGTACTTTTTGGACGCTTAAAACTCGGTAGCCGGCTCGAAATCTCCAAAACTAAACTTATGTTTTTGGGGCACCTCTTTAGCCCAAGATATCAAAGCTATCATGTTAAATCTACCCTAAATGGAACGGCTTTTCAAAACGTAGCCAGACCAAACTTAAGGCAGCTTATTTGAATTCAGCAATCTTGGTGATCAAAAACTTCGTTAGCCTACTCAAAATAATCGCAACAAATTTTTCGCACAGCAAGTCGCCCATAAAATAAAAAAAATGCCTACAACATAGACGGATCGCTATAAACAGTCCTAAAGTGATTGCCGCGCAAACAATGGCACTCCAATAAAGGCTACTAAGAAACCGATTCAGCCATCCGACTAATTGTTTAGCCAATAAAAGTCATTATTCTTTCGTTGCAAACAAAAAAAAGGAATCAGTCTCCATTTCTTTTCGATTCTTTTCTCCGTTCGAAAAACGGTCGCCATAAGAAATGGAGACAACTTGGGAGGGCGTTAAAACAAGCACCGGAGAAGGGGGTTCGGTAATTTGCATAAAAACGAAGGAAACAACTGAAAGTCGCAAAAAGTGAGCGATAAAAATATTCAAATTCTAGCATTTGGAGGAAGTTGGAGGTTGGAGAAAGGGTTTTTGGTGATGTAAAATTACTGTAGAAGAAAAATGAGTTGGTTTTTTTGACTAGGGTTGACTGCTTATGGCATTAGAAATGGCCTAAAAAAGGATGATTTTAGTAATAGTTATCATCAAAATTTTTAGCTTTGAAGTAGAAGGGGAAATTTTTTGACTAGAGTCAAGACCTTATGGCATTAGAAATGACTAAAAAAAAGATGATTTTAGTAATAGTTCTCATCAAAATTTTTGAGCAAAATCAAAATAATAGTCTTCAGTAATGTCTATAGACTAAAATACAAAGACTTTTCAGCTTGATACTAATTCCTATACAAAGATATAACAATAAAATTCAATATACCCTCAATATTTTTGGCTAGAAAGTCTTCTTTTCACTTTTTCCCCGCAAAAATCTCAGTTCCATTCGAAATCTCCAGATGGCTAATGTTTCAACCGCTCCCAACGAACCTATAAATAAGAAACTTCCAGATTAAAACCCCACCGTCCCACTCTTTCAAGAAGAAAAACGGAATAAACGGAGTGGGGGGACTGCGGCCCTCCTTAGACGTCGAGATTGGCTGAAATTGGACTCCGCCCCCTTCCTTTCCGCTTTCTTAAGGCTCCTGAGCGCGCGCTGAGACGAGGGGAGAAGGAGGAGGGGTTTTCTGGAGATACTGTAATTTGAGAGACAAGCAGTTTAAAGGGGGGAACTTAGGAAACAAGTGGAAATTTTGAAAACTCAATAAAAAATAGACAGTAGAAAGTAGTAATGGATATAAAATCCATCTCTAATTATGCTATTACGTAGAATAAGACCATTTCATCACGAAAGATTGGACGTTTCCGCTTCAAAGCACACAAAAATCGTATTCTTGGACCATTCTCGGTCCTTCCACCGAAGATTAGCGGTTCGCGAAATTCGCAGGGACTAAGGCAACTAATCAGGTGTCTTATACCCCGCACAAGTGCCGACGTCAGCGGCCTCAAAGTACCGTGGAGTCGGCGGTTCGTCTGGATTTGCAATTTTGGACGTTTGTCATCAAAATTTTCATTGCAAAAATTTTAAAAAAATAAAAAAAAAATGAAAATTACTCTTGCAATTGTCATCAAAGTTTTCATTGAAGGAGAATTCAAAAAAAAATGAAAAAAAACGAAAATTGGCCCTCTGAAAAGCGCATCCCAGCCGAGAAAATGTCGCCGAAATGCCTGAGGCGCGAGAAACAGGAGCCGCGACTTCTTACCCTCCCAAGAAAATACGACACCCATGAAATTCAAGTGGCTCGTCTTTTGGGTGAAATTGAAAAAAAATTTTTTTGTGTCCTCAAACAGGTGGCCGGCAAGATGGGCGGCTCCTTTGCGCCTTTCCCTTTTTTGTTTCGATTTTCTTTCGACTAATTTGGCCGCCCTGATCCGCTAAATCGCCGGGGCACGTTAATTACCGGTGAATTTGGGGCCAAGGAAAGGCTCAAGATCGAGAAATTGGCGGATGTGGGAAAGATCTGAGGTCCAAATGGCTAAGAAATTAAAGTTTTTGGAGTCTGGAGCCTTCTAAAATTGCTATATCAGTCTGTCGGGAAAATAATGAGCATTCGCTGAAGTGAAAAAAAATGATTTTTCCACGACACAGTTCATTTTCTCCCGAAATTTTCGCTGCTACAGAGTGCTCATGATTTTTCCGACAGACTTAGAAATAAATTTCAAGGCATCTCCAAGGCTTTCGAAGATTTTTCTCCCCATTTTCAGCCGAATTATACGTTGATTACTTGGTCATTTGGAGCTCAAAACCCCTTTTTCACGTCTAAAGTATAACGTTTAATGTCCACACTGCCTTATTTTGCCCTCAAAACATCCAACACCTCCGTTATATTCGACTAATCAGCAACAAGAACTTGTGCTCTTTGTTCGCACTAAGTTCTGCCCTTTGCGGCGGCAACACCTCCCGCCTGATTTCCCAAGTGCCGCACACAATACAACAACCTCCTCAACTGCCCTGTAAACCATCTCCTCGAAAACCCCGTGTGGCAATTAGCACGCAAAAGACAGTGCTCTCGAAGCGATTAACGTCTCAACCCGAGGGCCGTCCAATTAAGGTGCTTGAAAGCCGAGACGTTCCCGGCCCTGAGGGGATTCGAGGGGGGCCCCCAGTAATTGACGACGGAATTTATTGCCTTGGCCATCTGTGGCATTTCTTAAGCGTCAAATTCCGCGGGGCCTCGCCGGAAAAACTTTTGGCGCTCTTAATAAGGCTAAGGCCTTTAATGGGCGCGATGGGGGTCTTGGGTAAACGAGTCCGTCGAGAAAACGGGAGGGCATGCGAGAGCCGGCTTCGCGAAAGAAATTGGAAGATCCGGAAGCTGCAAGGCTTGGGCGTGATGAGATGGCTGAGAAAGTAAAGAAATATAGTTTAACGGACGTTACAAGTAAGAAGAGTTAGATTCTCCCTTTTTTCTATAAGTTACAAGGGTCTAACGGTAATTTGCTGCAGTTAGAGACTAAATAAATATGTTGTAATAGACAGATCTTGCCTTACAAAGGCTATATTTGAATATAAACCAAATATAAGTGACTCATCTTATCCACAAAAGCAAATACATCAACTAAAATCAAGCTCAAACCCTCATTTGACCCAAGCTCAACCCGCCAGCCCCCTAATCCAACCTCCTCCCACTACGGTACGAGGATCCCAAATCTCTCCGTTTAAGGGCGAGACGAGAGCGGTCTTGTGAGGAGGGGACGGTGTCTTGTTGGCCAAGTCTTCGCCCCTCGGGCCCTCTCCGTGGTCTATTCTTTTTTTTTTGTCAATACCTGTGCAAATAACACTCACACCAGCGGCGGACCCGGTCCTCGCCTCGCATCTCCTGCCTTGGACGGGGATTGGAGAAAAGAAAAGAGGCCGATATTTTCATAAGGCCGAAGATAAAGGAAGCGTCCTCCGAAGGGATGGATGTACAGATGCAGGAGGACACAAAGAGGCAGGACGCCCCTCAGGCGATATTATGGATGCACATCCGGACTTGGTTTCCCTTCACAAATCCTTATGATCGAGGAAGGGCCAGATGCAAGAGTTGGGAAGATTGTGGCCTAAGGCAAAGTTAAAACGAACAAAAATTGAAGAATTTATCAGTGTGTCGGGAAAATAATGAGCAAGGTCGCTGGCTGAAGTAAAAAACAGTTTGATTTTGCCGTGACGCAATTTGAAAAATCTCATTTTCGATGCGATTTTCGATGCGACAGAGTGCTCATTATTTTCCCGACAGAGTGATAGAAGAATCTTTGATACTTAAAGATCAAAATTTTACTATCCTACAGCGACATCAAAGTTGAAACCCTCAAAAAATCTCGTTTTAAAAACCTATCACCACTTTTAATGTCATCATCGTACAAAAACCCAACTCTATCTTCAATTTCCTACCGTACCCCTCTAATTAGTTTACCCTCAGCGCCCCCTAGCCATATTAAAATAACCTCGACCTGGCAGGCGCTAAAATCCCTCCTCAAGGGCGCCAAATCCTTGCGCATTTCGCCTGCATAAATGCCCATACCGTATAGTCATTGTTTTTACAACGGTCTCCCTGCGATAATGACACCTCCCCGGTTCGTCAAGGCCATCGCAGTAAATTAGAATCCGCGACTGCCTCCTTATAAGCGTGCGATAATTTTGTGGAAGCCAAATTACGGTGCACGGAACGGAAGGGAGACAATTATAGGGCGAGGTGCGCGAAAATGTGGTCAAGTCGGTGTAAGCGAGGGCTTTGTTGTGTTTGAAGGGGCTTTGGAGATGCCGAATGAGGGAAAGGTGTTGAGCTTTAGAGTTATCTTATAGAACAAGTACCCCAAGTGTAATGCTCAGATTTTGACACAAATTTTGGAATATTTCTTTCCAAGACATATGCGAGGCCTACCGAGATTTTTAGGCCAAAGGTTGTACAAAAACTACACCTCTTTTTGCGAATTTTAGCATGAAAAGTTTCATACCTAATTCTGACCGAGAAGGCAACATTTCAACAAAAAATCATTTTTTCCGCATGAAACTGGCAAAGAGATGGCCAAAAAAATTTTCTCTTTGAAAAAACTTAACCCAGGCTTCACTAAACCTTATCTAAAAGTGATGGTTTTTGAAGAAAAAAGATCATATTTTCTTGAAATTTTGCCTACAAACTATGGCTTGGCCCTATATGGATTGCTGAATATTCTAACAACCAATTTGAAAGTACAGCCAAGATATTATATAAACCACATTTACCAACAAGAGAGCATGTAAAGTGAGGAGAACCTCATTGAATTCCTAAACTATCCAAAAATTTATCCCCCCATCCAACCGCGCTAGCCAAGAAAACCTTGGAGTATGAAGCCGGAGTCATCTCTTCTCCTTTCTTTTATCCTCCAAGCTCCTTCTTACCGTACCCGTCCCCTAGAAAACCCCCACGACTTCCTCGCCGCCTCTCGATCGCAACAAACGCGGGGCTAAGGCATTTCGAAGATCCTACATCCCTCCTCCTTGATTGATGGCTGTTTTTGCGGTGGCCAAATGCCCCAAGACGACTTAATTGCACACTTAATCTATTTACGTCCATAAATAATCAGACACAGCCCCGGCATTCCTTATATAAATTCATCTTTCCGACTGTAGAAATCATGATTTTTCATGATTTTCCTCTGATGAAATTTGACGCCAAAAATCATAAGATTTTTGCGCGATTCATCGGATTGAAGTCCCCTAATCCCGGCTCTGTAGTCTCTTATTTTCCAATAAAAACAACAACAAAGGAACGGCGTTTGCGCCAAGGTCCCCACAACACCTTCAATTATTAGCCAGTGCCGGAATTAGCGGCCCGATTTGAAAGGCCATGACACGGTTGTTTCCCGCTGTGCCGACAAATCAGGCAATTTGGGGCGAGTTTTTTGGTCTATGGAGAAGAAAAGGAGGAGGTAGCAAGAAGTAAGGTCTGTAAAATTGAAACCAGTGATGGGTGAGGCTTGAAATTTTGAAGGTTGAGAGTGCATGGCCTGAGGGCAAATTTTTGTAAAAGGCATCAAACTGTCATAGTTTTTAAGCAACTTATATAAAGCAAGATTTTTAAGCCAAAAACGACTTAAGACCCCGCTAGAATCGATTTTTAGAGCACGTATTTGCGACATATTGATCTCATTTTGCTCTAGATCAATTCTTGGCAGCCCTGAGGTAATAAAAAACCAAAGGATTGTGATAGTTTTTGAGTAAGATAAAGTGATATTTTTAGGCTAAAAACTGACTTAAAACCCCGCTAAAATCGATTTTTACAGTATCTATTTGTGATATACCGACGTCATCTTATCCTAGATCATATCTAGACAGCTCTGAGATAGTACTAAAGTCAATTACTCCCTCCAAAAAAACAGAGACTCCCAGGTTCGTATTATAAAATCCCGTCTCCTATCGCGATTCTTTCCCAATCTTCCGCCGTTGTTTATATCACTTGTCTAAACAGCCTTCTGAAGTTGTTTAATTCTGAATCACCAAGAGATCGATGTCGCCCCACCATATCATCTCCTTGGTTTGTTTATCGAGACACCTGACCTTAAACAAACCGCGGTGATTGACAACGGGGCCCTTCGCGCACCGTTGAAATGGGATCCGAGGCGGATTCGAAAATCGTTGGAGGACATGTCCCGATTAAGATGGGCCATAAATACGCGTCAACAGCGGAAATTAAGATGGATAAACATTGAGAGGGAACGGGAGTTCGGAGAGGTCATGGGAGATTACAGTAATTTTTGAATATTTTGAGAAAAGGAGATGACAATTAATGGTGGATATCTCAATAATCCGAGCAAATAGCAGGCTGAATCTTTCAGGAATTAAACGATAGCCTAGGTAGATGATTTACAAAAAGTTTCAAGCAAATCCGAAAAGCCTAGAAACACAATTTCGGCCCTTTATTTCGTTGGATGAACAAAAACTTATAAGGGAAGTAACCCCAAGTGCGACGCTCAAATTTTCTTTATATTTTGCCCACAAGTCAGGCATAGGCCAAGTACCAATTCCTAAAAGTTTTAGTTCGCGCTTTGCAGGCACCGCCGAGATATTGAACGATCTTTGCGGCCGAGAGAGTGCGCAAAACGCGCAAAGCGGAAAGAAAAACACTTCTTGGCTGTATCTTTGTAAGTTTCGGATGGAAAATGTTCATTTTTTGTGAAAACATTATTCTCTACCGTAGGAATAGGCAAGAAACTTCTCAAGCCTAAATTCGCAAAAAAAAATTAAATTTTTTTTCGAAAGTTTGACTTAAAAATCTCGGACATTTCTGCAAAGCGCGCTAGGAGTCTCGCATATGCCTTATAAAAATTATTCTAAATTTGTGCCAAGTTTTACCAAAAACTGATAGGTACTTTCCCAGTTACTTGGAAAAAAATTCGACTAACGTCACCGCCATTACGCCCCAAAAATGATTCCAAGACCTTCCCAGCCGTGCACACCGTACCCTGCCCACTTCTGCTCAACCTTCAACCCCTCCGAAAGCCGGCAAAATTGGGCGAAAAGTTGAAGCGGAAAATTCTCATTTCGATTATTCCTTTAATCCGAATTCGCCCACCTTTCGGCCGAAGAAGCGTTAAAATTGAATTAAACGCCCGACGGTTACTATAGCGAGTCGAAGGCAATAAGACTAAGCGACGCCTGCGGCTCGAGAAGTCATTCGGTATGCATCGTTGGACGGGGCGCGCCGCCGCACCGTGCACCTCCAAGGAAGGGCCCAATGGCCAAGAAGGGCCTTTGAATGGGGAAAGGAGATAGATGAGGGGCGTTGTGAGGGTCTTTGAAAGAGATATTATAGCTTTGAAAGACATTATGAATCCATAAAAGGTCTGGAAAATATGCGGGAAAATTTGCACAGCGCAAAGCAAAAATTTCATTCTTTAGACATTTTACAAACTTTAGCTACCTTGATAGCATTTTTTTAAGATGCTAGAGCCTTAAAAAAGTTGCATTAAACATAAAATTACTTCATCCAAAAAACCGGCAAAATTATGCAAATTTTTTTGAAAATCAAAAATTATGCAAATTATACAAAATTACCAAAAAAATTATTAACAAGGGAAGTACTTGAAGTGTGACGCTCAGATTTTGATGAAACTTGGCATAAATTTAGAATAATTTTTTCTAAGATATATGCGAGAATTCTAGCTCGCGCTTTACAGAAACAACCGAGATTTTTAGATCAAAAGTCGGCGAAAATTTAGGACTTTTTGCCGAATTTCGGATCGAAAAGTTTCATGCCTATTTTAATCGTAAAGGAGAATGTTTCTACAAAAAATCAAATTTTTCCGCACGAAACTGCCAAAGTTATGGCCAAAAAGCGCTTTTCTCTCTGACCGCTCTCCACGTTTAGCGTGCTCTCTCGGCGGCAAAAATCGTTCGATATCTCGGCGGCGCCCGCAAAGCGCGAGCTAAAACTTTCAGGAATTGATATTTAGTCCATACCCGATGTGTGTGCAAAATTTAAAGAAAATCTGAGCGTCACACTTGAAGTACTTCCCCTGTAAGTAAAAATCTATAAAAAAGAAAACCCTTTCATTATCGAGACTTTAAATTTAAAAAATCACCGATTTTTTGCCTGAAATTTTGAGATTTTTCAATTTTTCCAAATTTTCCAAAATTTTTTTGCGATCTAAAATTAAGCTATCTACAAGATTATCAAAGCCATATAACCTAAAAAAAAGTGAATTTCAGCCTCCAGACAGTTCAATTCCCTCTTGATCCCCTCTCAAATTCCCCGGCTATATCCGTATTATAACATAGTAAAAAACGGATATGACCGGCGCATAATCGGTTGCGCAATCGCTTTCATTTTCCCTCCTAAACTGTCAATCGGAGTGAAAAGAAGGATCGGCCCAATTACGGGCCCCTCTCTCTCCATAATGTTGCTTTCGCTTTCATCCCCCACGCTCCGTCGGGAATTCTTTGCTGATCCCGCTGCAAAGGAACGGGAAATGTTGGCCGGATATAATGGAATCGGATACAGCAATTACCGCTTTGTATTCGGAAGGGGGGAACCGCAATCTCGACGGTGAAACAAAAAGGGGTTCCAAACTTTTTTTGGGGGCGAAAGTTCGGCGACATGTAGATAGATAATTGAGAGAAGGGCGGAGGTACCGATTTGAAAGGAAAAGATTAGCCGTGTCCACGAAGCTAATGACAATAGGAGTTTGAAGGGGGAAATGAGAATGCCATAAGCCTAATAACAGGTAGTTTAAACCGTATTTTTCTGGAAAAAATTGATTATGATGACGTAAAGATATAGTAAATCACCAGGGACCCCATCATAAGAAGAATTAATTCTCAGGGTACCCTAAGGTAAAGCTACATTTTTCTGATTTTCAAATTCTCTTTGGACCAAAATTGATTATGATGACGTAAAGATATAGTGAATCGCCAGAATAACACATAATAAAAAGAAACTAATGACAATAGGAGTTTGGAGGGGGGAAATGAGAATACCATAAGCCTAATAACAGGTAGTATAAACCATATTTTTTGGAAAAAAATTGATTATGATGACGTAAAGATATAGTAAATCACCAGGGACCCCATCATAAGAAGAATTAATTCTGGGTGTACCCCAAGGAAAAGCTACATTTTTCTGATCTTCAAATTCTCTTTGGACCAACATTGATTATGATGACATAAAGATATAGTGAATCGCCAGAATAACACATAATAAAAATAAAATCGCTTCTTTGATTCTAGCCATCTAAACTGTTTCTAATGGCAGCAAAAACATTTCATACAGAAATGAAACGGGCTTTTGGAAAATCAGGAAGGAACGCGGGTTGTACTGTAAAAAGAGTCGCCCTAGAACCCATCTAGTAAAACTTACGGCCATTTTTTTACACTCAGCCCGGCAACAACAATTCGTTGGCCAGCCCGAGATTTTAGACCAAAATATAAAAACAACCACCTCGAACCTACTGTAAACGGAATGGCTTCCAAAGCCTACCCTGATAAGATTGAAGGTCCCTTGTTTGATCGAAACTTCTTTTAGCAGCTAAAAATTCGATGTCCGGCTCAAAGTAATCGAAACAAATTCGTCGCACGGCAAATCGCCCATAAAATGAAAGGTGAGCGCAACCGAGAGGCTCTTTATAAATAGGGCCTAAAGTGATTACCCCGCAAACAATGGCACTCCAATAAAGCCAACTAAGATCGGTTCAGCCATCTCAGCTAGTGTTCGAGCCAATAAAACTAATTCTTCTTTCTTTCCAAACAAAAAAAGAATTAGAATAGTCTTCATTTCTTTGCGATTCTTTTTTCCGTTCGAAAACGGTCGCCAAAAGAAATGGAAACAACTTGTGAGGGCGTTAAAACAAAAATCGGAAAAGGCTTCGGTAATTTGCATAAAAACGAAGGAAACAACTGAACCAGAGTTGGCAAAAGCAGTCTTTCTACGAAAGGTCGAGGGGCGACGTTGAGATTTCCGTGCCATAAAACCCACATTTTTCGAATCCCTACAATATTCATCCAACCTCTCCGTTAACCCGCCAGATCTTCGTTTCCTTCTGTCCCACCTCGATTATGCCCCTACATTTTGTCGATTCACGTTTGACCGACCACAGGTGTCATTGTCAACCAATGATCCCATCTTTGGACGGGCTAATTACGCTGACCCTCTTAACCTGTACGCTCCGATACTAATTTAAATTACACACTTGAATTATGCGAATTGCATAATGTCTTGGCTGCGAACAAGAGGTTGCGCAACCTTATTAGAGACGTATAATAATACAGGTGAGATCTAAGATTATGTGTGTTTAGCGATGGTAATATGGTGAGAAGGATATTATATGTATAAGGTTCTCAAAGTGCGACGCTCGGATTTCGATGAAACTTCGAGAATGGCTCACATTTAGACTAACTTTTGTTGAAGCATATACGGGATTGCTAGCTAGCGTTACGCAGAAAAACCCGAGATTTTTAGAGCAAAATTTGTCCAAAATCCGACAAAATTTTTCTTGCAAAAAATTGGCCAAGACTCGTTGCTTTTATACCTGTCTTTGAACCGTAAATTTCAGCATTATTTCTGCCAAATACGACAACGTTTCCACAAAAAATCACTTCTTTCCATTCGAAATTGGCAAAAGAAATGACCGAAAAGCCTTTTTCTCTGACGGCTCTCCGGGTTTCGCCTACTCTCTCGGCGGAAAATATCGTTGAATATCTCGGCACGCCCTGCAAAACAAGAGCTAAAATCTTCAGGAATTGATATGTGACCCATTCACGATTAGTGTGCAAAACTCACAGAAAATCTGAGTGTCGCACTTCGAGATCTTGCCATGACAAAAAAAACGTTTTCGGATTTTAATCGTACCCAAATTTGGCTCCAAAATTACAAAATTTCCAAATCAGCGGTCAGATTGGGAAAGTCAGGCATCCAATTAAAGTATTACACCACCACTTTCCTGCACATAGTCAATGCGAGGGTGGAGGAATTAAGCCCCAAGGCAATGTCTCCAGAGACTTATAATCTTACAAAAATATTATACTCGCTAATTACCGGATTTAGTGCATAGTCGCAGCTAGACTTTTTTTGGCGCTAAACCCATTGGAATACGGGTAATTGGTAAGAATTTTGAGGTTAATTGCAAACGGATTGGGAGTCGAAATGATGACATTACGGAGATTGCGGCTATTTTAGGGAAGATTATTGTGGTTTGGACAGTATCAGACTGTCGGGAAAATAATGAGGACAATGTCGCTGAAATGAAAAGCAATTTTATTTTGCCGCAACACAATTCATTTTCTCGGCGGCATTGCGATTTTTGATGCGACAGAGTGATCAGTATTTTCCCGACAGACTTCCAAAATCATCATTTCACTGACAAGGGAAGTCTTGAAATGCGACGCTCAGATTTTCTTTAAATTTTGAATACACTTCGGGTATAGTCCACAAATCAATGCCTGAAAATTTTAGCTCGCGCTTTGCAGAGGCAGCCGAGATATTCAACAATCTTTTCGGCCAAGTGAGTATGCGGAACACGGAGGGCGGCCAGAGAGAAAACACTTTTTTAGCCGTATCCTTGACGGTTTCGGACGGAGAAAGTTTCTTTTTTTTTTGAGGAAACGTTACTCTCTACGGTAGACAAACTTTCCAGACTTTTCATGCCAAATTTCGCCAAAAAGTTTCACATTTTTGACAACTTTCAACCGATAAATCTCGGACGTTCCTACAAAAAGCGCGAGCTGGAAATCGCACAAATGTCATGAAAAAGCATTCTCTGTCACGAGTTCAGTGAGAGCACGTGTATAAAGGTTCCCAATCTAGTTGCTATTTCTGATCCCAAGCCTATGCGAATACAAAGACAACGACTATTCAAACCAGCGACAATACAACTAACTATGCCCTAGGTAACAACTTCACAAATGAACTCACAATACTTGAGGAACCAACTTCACAAGAGCTGACCATAGAGCAATCAATAATAGACAATAGTAAATACAGTAGACTTTATTGGACACAACCGCATAAGCGGGAAAAGACGAAACACAAAATAATACTAATAACTGGCGATTTCTCTTCCTTTTATACCAACTTGTCGGTCATTCCGTGGGAATATGCAAATTCGCACGCGAAGTCGTGACATCTCCTAGCTTCTGTCATGCATCAAGCGGCAGATTGAGGTAAGCCAAAGTATCGTCGAACCGAACACAACCCTAAAAGTCATAGCACCCGCTTTCAAGACCACAAACTCTTACTAAGAAACCGAATTTCCCCCAGCTTCTTAGCTAGCCTCCGCAGATCCGAAACTCCTCCAAACCGGCCCCAAATTAATTGGACAATTCCTCGACGATTCGGGAAAAGCGCCGCCGTTTTTCAAGCCGAATAAAATGGAAATCCGCTGTTTAACTTATACAACCCAAGGGGGAATTGCGCGTGAGATTAATTGGGCCGGCTGCTCAAGACGTTTACACGCAATTTCCAAGGAATTTGAAGGCCAATTTTGGCAATTGACACACTTCTTCAAGAGTGTCAATTGGGCCGGGCTTTGCAAAATTTTCCGGCCCGGGCCGGGCCGACTAATTTCTCGGCCCGTCTCCGGGCTTCCATTTTTAGGCCCGGCCCGGCCCGGTTTTTTTGAAATCTGAGTTTTTCCCGGAAAAAAGGAAAAAATAAGCTTTTTCGACAGAATTTTTCATTTTTTCGAACACACTGCTGATAGCGAACGTAAAGTGACCTTATGTACCTAGGTTTTGCTAAATTTTTCTTTACATTTTGCCATAATTTTTTTTTTCATTTCCCGATTTCTTTCTTTCCAACCTAGTATAAAAATTTTCCGGGCCGAACCGGGCCGGGCTTTCCAAATTTTCCAAGCCCGGGCCGGGCTTGGAGATTTAAGCCCGGGCCTGCGGCCCGGGCCGGTCCGGGCTGCCCCGGTTTGCAGCCATGCTTAATAGTACCTAGGTTTTGCTAAATTTTTCTTTACATTTTGCGAAAATTTACCATAATTTTCCTTTCATTTCCCGCTTTCTTTCTTTACAACCTAGTATAAAAAAATTCCGGGCCGGGCTTTCCAAATTTTCGAAGCCCGGGCCCGGGCCGGGCTTGGAGATTTAAGCCCGGGTCTGCGGCCCGGGCCGGGCTAGCCCGGTTTGCAGCCATGCTTAATTGAGGCATTAAAAAAATATTTATGACTTTTAAAATACGACGATGTAAAATTTCCCAGTAGATACAAGAAAAATTTTTTGATGTTTTTCAAACTCAAAATTTTTTTTTTTTTTTAATTTCGAATTACTCCGCCTTCTGAAACGATATACCACTTTATTTCCTTTGTGAGAAAGCGTCTATAAATTAGACATTTATCATTGAGATCATACAAAACTTGGAAAGCGAACAACAAAATTCTTCATGGAAGATGATTTTAATCTTATATACATAGTATTGCACACACTCCATGGGAGCAAACTTCAACAAAGCAAGGCTTCAGAAGCTCATTTCCAGACCTTATGTGCTATTATATACATTTAGAAAATCAAAAAAAAAATCCAAAAAAAATCACTCGGATTTCGCGGTGAACAAGTTGATGTTGAAGGTTTGTTGAGGATGATGGGAGGTCACAGTGAATGTGCAGAGACTGCCTTCCTGTTGGGACTCCACCGGGGCTTTGGCCGTGTTCTCGGTCACATGTTTTCGGATGTTGAGGCCGTGGCGTTGGCATTCGGCTTCAAACTCGTCTTCGGACATGTTGGGGCAGTCGCTGAGGGTCAACGAATGGGATTTGAGGGCTTCTGTTTCGGCGACTTTGTTCAGCCACTCCTGAAAAATTCGATTTTTAGTCAGAAATTATCAGAAAAGGTACCAAAATTTTTGAAATTTTTTGAAAAAAAAATCAAAAAAAATCTCGTTAATAAAATTTTATGCAAAACTTCGGTGCTCAGGACATGTTCTAGACGTCCAAAATTAACTTTGAGCCAATTTCCAAAAAATTCCAAAAAATGTGTCATGATGACGTATTATTTGGAAATTCTCAAACAGTCTCAAAATGACATTTATAACCTCAATTTAACTCCTGATTCTATTTTTCCACCTCTTATTTGCCTAAAACCCAAAAAAAATCAAAAAAACTTACTGTAACATAACTACAAACTGCCGGTACCGTAACCATGCATCGACTAATTGTGAACGCCGGGAAGATCCCTCGCTCCGTAAACGTCTCCAGACTAGTGTCAGTCAGCTGAATTTCATCGTGCTCCATGTTCTCCTCGTCCTTGAATTGAATGCTCAACCTCCGGACCTTATTACTGCCGAGGAGCAAAACATGCTCGTCCGTGATCAAGTCCGGCGCCACATTATCGATGCCATAGAACTCCAGGACCTCCAGCTTGACGGCGCACGCCGTCAGCAAGCTCTTCATCACGTCCGAGGACAACTTTCCCAGGTCCACATTCTTCAGACTCAGCTGGATTGGCTCAAATTTCCGGCAATTCTCGAATTGCTGGCACAAAAAGCGCACAAAGCGATCGGTCAACGCTCCCTTCGGGAAGTTCTCAATAAAAAGCCGTTGGAAGTTCAGTTGGTTGAAGGCGAATTTGAAGGACACGTTCTGATTTATGTCGTTCTTGGTGAGGAACAGCTCGCGAACGGCGGGCTCGTCATTCGAGCCGGCGTATTGGCACCAGGCCAGTTTATATTGAGCCGATTCTTTGATATAGGTGATTGTGAGTCGAGAGACCTGAAGATTAAAGCAAATATTATCAATTTTTTTGGTTCCTGATATTACACTAGAGATCATGTGGAAAGAGTGCTTTTGCGTTTCAGTTTTAATGTCTGGTCGCTTCATAAATCATTTCTAAAGGATTGAAAAGCACAGGAAAGAAGACTGAATTGATGTACGTCAATACCGTGCGACTTTTTATATTACACTTGACCTCAAATCGAGATCTTTGAATTTCCGTACTTTCCACGCTTAAAACCATCAAGAAACCCCTCAGTTCATTCGCATTACACTAATCCTCAACTGATTTTATTACTCCACCCGTAATTGGTCAATAAACAATTCTGTTTATCTTAACATTCCTCCGGTACCTAGTGTAATGTCCGCCTTCGTCGATAAGAACCGAAAACAACCCTCCAATCAAAAGTAATTGTTTCTAGACGCGTGAAGAGCCCCGGAGATTCTTTGGAAATCGAGAAAGTCGTGGAAAAGAGAAGTGATCGAAGGCTTCGCTCAAAACTTGTAACAGACAGCTATGGATAATATTTTCGGATACATTTTTCTAGACCTGAAAGACCTAAAGACGGAGACAAGCAAACAGAAGCCAACTTACATTTACAACAGGCAACAAGTCTCTGATCTGCTTCTTTTCCACCAGATTTGCCCATCTTGAACAGGTTTCACGGGTGTTCAACAAACTCTTCTTGTCCAGGTTCCCAAAAACCATTTCCAACATCTCGTTGGGTAAATTATTAATGCCTAAAGCCTTGTTCGTTGCGGATTCTTCTTTGTTTTCAATGCTAAGTCGAGATCGTTTGCATGGGAGATCAATTAATCGAGATCGGAGTTTCGCCAACCTAAAACAATATCGGATCATTAAAAGTCGCTGATCTTCGAAATGATCTTCAAAAACTCTCATCCATGTCACATGAAAATCGAGTGATGTGCACTTACATTTGTGTTCCGAACAGTTTTCGGACGGTGTAGACGGCGTTGGCCTCTTCGATCTCGGTCTTTTGCGAATGGACGAACATTTTGAAGGGTTTTAACGTTTTTGGAGACAGCCTGCAGGTTTATATAATGTTAGTGACGTGAGACGGCGAACAAAACACATTATTCGAGGCACGTGAACCGCAGCGGAAGAAAGTGAAAAAAAGAAAAGGCGGATTTCCAGAAATGTGACGAAATGTCACGAAATTATTGGAAAATTGAAAAGATGTACTTTTGACAGGAAAACTGTAAATTCAAATGGTAAAATGAGTTGTGCAAGAGGTAAGAGGACTTAGGAAGAAGCTTACATGAAATTGAAGTGTCTTATTATATCTTATATTACTTTAGGCACTTCCAATAACTCCAAACTCTAAAAGTAACGAAGTGTCACAAAAAATTTGAATGGTAAAACGCAAAATAAATACTATACAAAGCTTTCAGGCACTTATAAAGGACTACTAAGCAAAATTCGATACAAAAATCCGCCCATTTCTACAGCTATCGTAGCTTTATTATGCCTGATCAAGTGTAATATAAAACCCTAAACTCGTATCTTTCTCAGCGACGATACGAAAACCGCCCGCTATCTTTAAAGACCTCTCTTCTTATCTGACCCGATTCAGATCACTTTTAAAGGACGCGCCTCTCTCAAACTGATGGGCATGCGTTTTTAAAAGCGAAGGTCCAGCCCCCCGCTCTCCCCGCCCGTCGCCCGAGAAGGAGAGAAAAGTTCGCGTCTAGGAGTGCATACTCTTATCATTTGAATACGCATCAACGATCCTCTCAAAACGGCGGTTCCGACGGGGGGATGGGCGATGATTTGGTGGGAGGGTTCCTTCAGAAAGATTGCGAGAAATAGGCTAGAATACGAAAAGAGACATGTGAATATCATGTTGAATATGAGAGACAAGGTGAAGCAGGATGTTGCCAGCTGTTAAGAGAGAAAAAGAAGTGAACTGGAAGGCAGACAGAGCCAAAATCGAAGAAACATTATGTTAAGAATAGTCATCATTTTTCTCATTGGAGAAAAACGGTCATAGAGAAAAATTCCAAAATAGGAGAGTGATCTCACCACATTCGTAGACTCCCAGACAGACTAGAGAACAAAGTCCACCACTCAAAAGCAAAAGGAAACGTTAAACCAAAGATCCATTTGCACCTTATCTTCAAACATCAATTTCAATACGTACAAGTCATAGATTTGCTCGTCGTACGGCGAAGACAGACATAAACATTGTGATGTTTACACTATATAGTATTTTGACGGGCACATGTTTTTGTCCGCATGTTTTTCAGGCTCAATTGGGCGTCAGAAGCACTTAATGTCAAAGGTCAAGGAAATGATCCTAAATTTAATTTTTTGAAAAGAAATCCCGTATAAAATGTCACCAAAATATGGAAGATGACAAAGGACATTCTACACAACAAATGACAATATTTTTACAAAATTTCAGTTATTTTTAGCCCGGAATTTTATCGATTTTCAACACTTATTCAGCTCAAAAAAAATTCTGCTCAAAAATTTTCATTTCTAAATTTTCCCGCTACCGTAACTCCTCTAGCTTCAGTGTAACTTCTAGTTGTAACTTCCGAATGTTCTTTCATTTCAATAAAATTTTTTTACACTGCCCTCACCGAAAAAGCGCTTCTCCCGTCTTTAAAAGTTGATATCTTCGTCTCCTCTCCCTCGCCGACTCCGTTTCAAAGACAGCGCCTATCTTATATTTACGATGGTCACAGACTACTGTAGAATTGACTGCGACGCACGTGAAGAGGAAGTGGGAGATTTGTCATCTTCAATGAACTAATAGAAGATGACAAATCAAGGACTTGAAATTCAATTCTTGGTATATGGCATGGAAATGATGACAAAATAGACATGTTTTAACATTAAAATGACGATGCAAATTGCATATTAGTTCTTCTGGAAAGTCATTGGACTGATTTTTAGCGCTTGCACTGTGCGAAAAAGTAAGAGTTCAAGCCACAGCCCAAAAGCCTATTGCACTGTGCAAAAGCAAGAAATTGCACAGTGCAAAGAAAAACTATGGTTTTCGCAAGTGCATGTCGTCAATTTCATGCCTAAAAGGTTTGGTAAATGCGATTAAACTAGCTGTGGAATGTCTGAACTCTTGGAAACAACAGATTTTATCATTACAAATGGTCTTGAAGGCCATCCTCAGCGATAACAAGTCTAATCAACCCTTCAAGACGCATTATTTTGATTGCAAAAACTTTTCAGCCCCTTAACATTCGATTTCATATCGATTTGAACCTCAAAAAGCTTTAAAATCACGCTGTCATTTTCTCTATACCGCACTAGTCCATTCGTAAAGTCGCTGGAGTAATTTGTGGCGTTTGCACTGTGCAGAAAACGTCAGGGTGTCAGCGACAAAAGAAGCCTGTTGCACGGTGCAAAAAGCGAGAAATTGCACAGTGCAAAGTAAAAATTTTTTCACACAGTGCATGTCGCCATTAATGGCAGTAAATATAACCTACAAAAGTTGTAAAATACTAGACAAATAAATATATAAAAAAATCACATTTTTTTTTTTTTTTTTTTTTTTTGAGATTACGGTGCCCAAAATTCGGCAAATTTTGATGAAACTAAACATATTTTAAGGCCACAATATTCTAACGATAAGTTCTTTGCAAAATTCTTAGCGTTTCCTTTGCAAAATTCATTGAGATTTTTCGCACAGTGCCAGCCGAAAAATCACTCCAGCGACTTTGCTAACGGAGATTTTTTTATTTTTTCTCTCGTATTTTACTCCACAGTACCATTAGCCCCCTCATAACTCAAAATAATGACTAATTCTACCATCCAAGATCTATATCCAGCCAACAAAAAACGTATTTTCGATCACCAACTTCGCTGGAAGATTGATTCCACCACCAAAAATAGAAACCCATCGTTCGGTTGACTTTTAAAAACGACTGCGAACTGGTTTCAAGACAAAAGAGTCGGGCAATTCGTTGAGCAAAGTACGACGTTAATGTGGGACACGTGAAGGGCAGGGGCCCAAGGACACTTGGCAAAACGAGACGGCGGGGATCTCCTGAGATCATTTGATTCGACTAGAGCGATCGTTATGATTGAAGAAACAACAGGGAAAGCAGAGAGTGATGGAATTCGGCTGGAAATCAAACATTGGCCCGTGACAAGCGAGGGAACACCTGATAAACAACAAGAAAGATAGCACAAGTCCGACCAAAACGAAGAATCAAAGGTGAAGGGTAAACAGGACCACAAGGTATCGTCATGAGGTGAAAGAGGACTTATGGAGATTGTGCAGGCTTCTATGCAAAATCATATCAATTTTTTTGCTCTAAAAAGACCATGAGATATCATCTTGCGGAAAAAAGCCATTTGAAGATGGTCCAGGCTTCAGGAGGAGAGCAGAGATATTTTTAAGTCATCACCGATTTTTTGAAGGTATATACAAAGCTTTGACTATTTTTTAAAACCAATTTTTAAGTCATCATTTTTAAGAATTTTTATATAAATTATAATTCAAACTTCAAAGCTGTATTTACCATCACTAGACAGGTAATAACTTGCCACATCTACGTAGCCAACTTCGAAAAGGACGGCTACTAAATCGATAATTCTTTAGGCGTATATGAGCTATGTTAACGTCTTGGGTCACAAGCTACGGTGACGGACCCGAGCCTGTGAGAAAAAACGTACCATTTTGCATCCAGGAGGTATCAAAAAAAGTGGCAAAATACCTCCCTCTCCAAGTGAAAAAACTTCGTTTTGAAGAGCGCGCCCTTTCCCTCACAAAAAAGCCGCGCTTTTGAAATCGGAGTTTTTTCACTTTATAGAGGGAAGCACTTTGCCACATTTTTGATACTTCCCTGATGCAAAATGGTACATTTTTTGCCACTGGTTCAGGTCCCCCACTCTATGAGCCATTTCCAAACCGAGCGTGATAAGAAACGGCACCATACTTTTGCATTTTCCGTTTTTTAAGAAGGCACTTTTAAATTACGGTTTTTACGATTAGGAAACGAGATGTCAAAAAAAGTTTGTTTATGTTCTGCGGCGAGCACAAAGACTGAAAAAATGCAGACAGTAAAATAAAAAAGTTATTTGTAAGCATGTGCAATTTCACCATAATTTTTTTTATTGTATTATTAGTGCAGCAGACATGGACTAAGTTTTTTTGGGAGCTTCGTTTCTCAAGCCGTCAAATGCGCAATTCAAAAATAGCTGCACTTTCCCGTTGATCAACATTTTTTAAGGGCATTTTTGAACATTTTGAAGCGTAGCACTTTCCTGGCTAGCCTCAAAAATGCTATACAACAGAGTAAAGCACTTCGCAAAGCCTGTCTATAACAAAAAATTACAATCTTACAAGGGAAGTACTTGAAGTGCGACGCTCAGGTTTTGATAAAAATTGGCGCATGTGAAGTTTGGAATTTTCTTATTGATTTGCGAGAATTCCAGCTCGCGCTTTGCAGAAGCCGCCGTGCAAAAGTGCCTCCAAAGAACAAAACTCTTCAATAACGAATATTTATATGGCCACTTGTTATGCCAGCCCTTCTTGAAACTCACCAGACTGAAATCAGCGACGTGCACTGTGCGAAAACAAAAGATCTCTTTGCACTGTGCCATTTCTTGCTTTTTGCACCGTGCAATAGGTTCTTTTCGGCTGTCGCTCGCCCCTGTCTTTTTTTGCGTGGTGCAAAAGCCTAAAATCAGTCGGGCGACTTTCCGGAAAACAGGGCAAAAAGTCCTGGGAATTTGCATTGCAAGGTTTTTTCGGGTCACTGCAAAAATCAAGAAACAAGTGCTTTGCACAATGCGGTTTTACCCAAAGACATCATTTTCAAATAAGTGCAAAAATTTTTGAATTTGTGAAAAAAATACAAAAATAAAAAAAAAATTTTTTGAATTTTTTGCACTAAAAATTTTTTACACTAATGTCGAGCGCAATATCCATTTTTCGCTGCGAAAAATCTTTTTTTTCAGAGGGCGACGGGATTCTGGACCTCGATTTTTCTCACAATCAGGACTTTTTGCCGAGGGATATTGGTAATACGGAGCACTGAATGTACATATTGCTTCTTTATTTCCATTCTTCAACACTTATTTTTTACTTTCTCAAAGTCCAATCCACAGTAACCCTTCCTTTCCCAATCCACAACTTTTCGCAATCAACACAACGCGGTGTAACTTTGGGCGCCCACACTCTTATCACTGGTCAGCCGTATGCTTTGGATGGGGGGCTTTCAACGAAACCAAAAAACGGAAAAGTAATCTTTAAAATGCGTTCCCCGCTCTTCACAGTGATGAACGACCGTCTTCGCCGCTATTTTCATCACCCATCTGATTCAGCGGCGCTTTACAGTGGGCTGTGAAGACGGCTTTCTGTTGAAGCGTTGGTTTTTCACGTGAACCGAAGGGAATGTGATGAGAGAAGTGGCGATTACATGACTCTGCAAGGGTCTACGGTGATTTTTAAAGGCGGCTTGGAGATAACGAATCGATCGTGAGATCGGGGAGTAAAGAACGTGTGGGCTGCAAGGAAAGGAAACATTTGATTGACAGAAAAGCTGCAGATCATGATTGCGAAATGCTACTATAAGGAAAGCCACTTTTTTCGCAGATCGATCGATACTTGTGGCCTGTTAGTCCTTCCAAAAAGTGCGTAGACTTTTGTCATGGGCCGTTCACAAAGCTCTTTTTGAGGGGTACATTTGATCTTCTGCACCGTCGCAGCGACGCAAGCTTTTCTAAACGGAGCCGGCATTTTAGATGCGCGAAAAGAAATTGCACTGTGAAAAATGTTCTGAAAGTGATCGCATCGCGCAACATGCACAATGCGGTGCGGAAAAAAGCCGCAAAAAGTCTACGAACTTTATAGAACGACTAGTAGTGGATCCTGAAGGAAGGCCTCAGGCAGTGTAAAAGGTATCTACAGGGTGTTTCAAGAAATTTGGAACAAATGACTTGCTTATATCTTTTTGTTCTTTGCAGCTATCAACAAATTTCTTTTTGCTTCTAAAAATTGACAGCGTGCGTTTTTAGAATCTTAAAAAAATTTTTTTTTTGTCGGCGGAGGGCCCATTTCTCGGCGTAGAAAGTTAGGGCCTTTTTTAAAAATCACAGCGTATTACGTGGCGGAAACGCCGTTGCAACGGCTGAAATCAAGTTTACGTTACACCTCCTTCGATTTTACGGTATGCATTTTTTTGTTTTCGATTTTACGCGCACCGCGAAGGCGCGGCGGAGACTTCAGATTTCGGCGGACGTTGTTTTGGGCCTTCGGCTGTTGCAATTCATGTTGGAAAAGAGGTTGGGGTGATTTTTTGTTGTCATCCGATGCACAGGTGGCAAAAATTTCGTGCTTTTTATCCCCGGCGGAGGAGTCGGCGGAGGCTTTATCAAAGGCTAAAAACAAAACTCCGCCGATTTGTCCGCCGGACCAAAAAAATCAAAAATCTTTGAAAGACAATGCTGCTCTGATGGATTCTTGTAGCTGAGATTTTTCCCGGACTCGTAAGACAGCTTTGACCCTTTGATAAAGCCTCCGCCGAATCCTCCGCCGGGGAAAAGAAGCACGAAATTTTTGCCATCTGTGCATCGGATGACAACAAAAAATCACCCCAACCTCTTTTCCAACATGAATTGCAACAGCCGAAGGCCCAAAACAACGTCCGCCGAAATCTGAAGTCTCCGCCGCGCCTTCGCGGTGCGCGTAAAATCGAAAACAAAAAAATGCATACCGTAAAATCGAAGGAGGTGTAACGTAAACTTGATTTCAGCCGTTGCAACGGCGTTTCCGCCACGTAATACGCTGTGATTTTTAAAAAAGGCCCTAACTTTCTACGCCGAGAAATGGGCCCTCCGCCGACAAAAAAAAAATTTTTTTAAGATTCTAAAAACGCACGCTGTCAATTTTTAGAAGCAAAAAGAAATTTGTTGATAGCTGCAAAGAACACAAAGATATAAGCAAGTCATTTGTTCCAAATTTCTTGAAACACCCTGTAGAAAATAGTGTTTATGGGCCCTGAGGACTAAGTTGTGGCTAATCAAAATTTGCTAGAAATTTCCGAAAGGTCAGTTCAGCTACGATTTTCCACTCAACGGGTTCTCTTTCAACACGAAATTGGCATTCCGTTTTGCTCTTATCATCGAGTCCAGAAAATCACCACAATGACGGTCTTTGTGGACGAGGCTCTGACTCCGTTGCGTTTTTCCGTTTGAGGCTCATAAGTAGAGAAAAATCAATTTTTTGTTAGCCGTAGCGCTAGCACAGTGTTGATATCATTATTCGAAGCACTTCTGCCGCCAAAACAGCTTGGAAAACAACAATTTCGAAGCACATATCAGGCTGCCGGGAAAATAATGAGCACCCTGTCGCAGCGAAAATCGCATCGCCGCCGGGAAGATGAATTGTGTCGCGGCAAAAACAAATTGCTTCTGGCGCAGCGACATTGCGGTCATTACTTTCCCGACAGGTTGTTATTTTATGTAAGATACGTACTTAGTCTTCTCTCCTGCCAGCTGATTTTCTACAGTAACCTCCTACGTATTTTCCGACCTTTTTGAGCTCTCCAAACTTTATTGTAACCAAAGCTTAAAATAATTATATTATAAACACTACCATCTAATTCATCATGCCCGTCTACTTTCGATCTATTTTTAAACGCAAAGAAGACGGTCCGTAACCTGTGTTCCGCGCTTTATTTTCGGATCCGATCGGCTGGCAGTAACCGGTAAACTTTAAAAAACGCATTCCTTTGCTTGATCATGTTTGCGATCAAAAATTTGCTGAAAAACAGTGGTCGGTGACCCTGATCGGAGAGCAAGGGTGATGACAATTTTTATCAGTCTGTCGGGAAAATAATGAGCGCTCTGTCGCATCGAAAATCGCATCGCCGCAAAAGAAAGTAATTGTGTCGCGGCAAAATAAAATTGCTTTTTATTTAAGGCAACACTGTGTTCATTATTTTCCCGACAGACTGATAGGCTAGCTGGAAAAAAGATTGGTCATAAATTCTACGCTTTGGATGATATTATAAAGTAGTACAGGTCCAGCAACATCCATTAGACTTTATAATAGGCAGTAAATAAGTTTTTTGGATCAAAAAAATGCTGACAAATTGATCTTCATGTAGAATAAGGCCACCTAATAAGGTAGCCGACAGCGAACTGCAGACAACAGATAGTAGGAAAATTTCAAAAAATTGTTTATCATGGTCTTGCTGTGGCGAATGGTCATCAAACCGACTATCGGTCTGTCGGGAAAATAATGAGCCCTTTGTCGCATAGAAAATCGCATTGCCGCAGAGAAAATAAATTGTCTCGCGACAAAATCGAATTATTTTTCACTTTAGCGACCCGATTGGCGCAGCGACATTGTGCTTATTATTTTCCCGACAGACTGATCTTTGGTTATGGAACGAATTACAACACTTTTTGATCGTATTGCTATGCTTACAGTGCTGTAAACCCTCTAATTCAATCAAATAAGACTTAAAATTTATTATTGTTTATTTACAAAAGCTTTGGCAGTATTTTCTTAAAGTAAATGTCGTAAAAATCAATAAAAATCTTACAAGGGAAGTAGGCGCTAGTGCGACGCTCAGATTTTCTTTAAATTTTTCACACACGACGGGAATGGGCAATGCATCAATTTTTGAAAGTTTTAGCTCACGTTTTTCAGGGACAGCCGAGAAATTCAACGATCTTTGTGGCCGAGAGTGTGCGAAAAGCGGAGAGTCACAGAGAAAGACTTTTTGGCCATTTTTTTCCAGTTTCGCGCGGAAAAAATTGATTTTTTGTCAAAATATTATTCTGTGTAATAGAAATAAGTGTACAACTTTTGATCCCAAAATGAACAAAAATTTGCAAAAAAACAAAATTTTTTTGCCAACTTTTGAATTAAAAATATCGGTAATTTCAGCAAAACGCGAGCTAGAAGTCTCGCATTTGCTCTAAAAAAACTATTCCAAATTTGTGCCAAGTTTCTTTCAAAATCTGAACGTTCCACTTCAGCTAATTCCCCTGTGAATTAACGCTCTTTTAAGCTCTTTTAAAAATCATCATTCACACCACTTGTTCAAGCCTCCTCCTTCTCTGAGGAGGCGGCAAAATCGTGCTGACCGCATATGGCCGCTGCTCTCGATGGAAGGGCAAGTAGTCCATGGTAGAACTCTCATCATCGTCCTCCTGGAACACCGGCTTTCGACGTTTCCTTTCCGGCGTCGGCGATTGTAGAGGGTCTTTTTTGCGGCGCAACGACCGATCGTATTGGTCGATATTCAGGTTGGATCGGTTCGTGTCGTTATTCAAATTGCTGACGGCTTGCGGATAGGTCCGGTCTTCTTCGTAATAGTCACGGTTTATTATGAACTCCTTGGATTCTTCATATTTGCTGAAATAAAAGAGTTTTTCCGATATGTATACTATCAGTATGTCGGGAAAATAATAAGCACGATGTCACTGCGCCAATCGTGTCGCTGAAGTGAAAAGAAATTTGATTTTGCCGCGACACAATTCATTTTCTCGGCGGCGATGCGATTTTCGATGCAACAGAGCGCTCATTATTTTCCCGACAGACTGTTAGGCGCATTGCGGGTCGGGTCAAGTTTTTCTCATATTAGGATGGTCAAGTCTTCCCGCCTAAACCAGACCAAAAAAGTCTTGACGATTTTGCACTGTGCACCAACACGCGGAAACCTTGTCGCAAATCTTCAAAAGGCGACAAAGAAAAAATTCAGAGTGCACAGTGCAAAATGGACTTACTGGACCGGAAAATGAAAGCTTTTGTCGCGCGCTGAAACTGGACAGTGCGTTTTTCATTCGCACCGTGCCGATTTTTTGGTCGTTTTTTGCCGCGAAAAGCCACTTTGCAACGTTGACCGCATCGTGCAAAAAGCATTTCAAGACTTCTTGGACCGCCTAGACATGGCTCGTCGGCCGGCCCGGCCCGTTTCAAATTTTCCGTCGGCCCGGCCCGTTTTAAATTTGCTTCGGCCCGGCCCGGGCCGGCCCATTGAAACGAAAGTCTCCCCAAGTTTAACTCCTTATCACAAATTTTTTTTTCTATCATCATGTAAATGGATAAATACTTGTGTGTGCCATAGCTATCTAAAAACAAAAATACCTTTGAAAAAACCAATTGTGTCTTGACATTGTGTTTATTTTCATTATCAAACCCAATTTTCGCTTCGAGATTCTGGATTTAAATATCCCGGGCCGGCCCACGGCCCGGCCGGGAGCCATGTCTAGGACCGCCCATAACTCTGTCGGGAAAATAATGAGCACAAAGTCGCTGCACCAATCGCGTCGCTGAAGTGAAATGAAATTTGATTTTGCCGCGACACAATTCATTTTCCCGGCGGCGATGCGATTTTCCATGCGACAGAGGGCTCATTATTTTCCCGACAGAATGATTGCACATGAATTTTGCTTTTTTTCCTCTCAACGATATTGAACTTACCGTTTGTTGCTGAAGGCCCAAATGATCGCCATTATAAGCAATAGTAATACCAAAACAAACAACAAAATGAAGGCCAACATCAGCCAGAAGAAGAGATCTCTTCGAGCTGTCGCTTTGTCATACTCTACTCCGAGGAATTTCAATCGCTCATCGCAATTTCGGCCCGGAGGGATGACTCCATTCTTGTACAGGCAAGTATCTGAAAAATCAATTTTTATCCAACCTTTGTGCAGGGTTTTCAGAACACAAGTTTTCGTTGGATTATCGGTCGCATGTAGCTGAATGGGCCATTTGGAAAGACGGTTAACAAGGAAAAATGCTCCAAGTGCAACTTGATAAAACTAGACACAAAATTAGAAAACATGAACCCGCGTATTGCAGACCTTATTTCTGTCGTAGAGTATAATGCCTTCAAAAAAAAATAATTTTTTTCCGCGCGAAGCTGGCAAAAATAGGGTCAAAGAATGTTTCCTTTCTGACCGCTCTGTGCTTTTCTCGTGCTCTTTCGGCCGCAAAGATCATTTGAATATCTCAGCCTTCACTGCAAAGCAGGAGCTAAAAGTTTCAGGAATTGATGTGTGGCTGCTTATCTAGACGTTTGTTCAAAACTTCATGAAAATCTGTGCGTTGCACTTGGACCTTCTCTTGAAAAAAGAACAGTCAACCTCTGTAGTAGGAGCCACTAGATTTCGGTTTGGAGTTGCGAAGGTCGCATTATCAGTTTGTCGGGGAAATAGCGAGCACAATGTCGCTTTGCCACTCGCTTGAAAAGTCATTTGATTTTGGCGCGACACAGTTCATTTTCCCGGCGGCGATACGATTTTGGACGCTACAGTGTGCTCATTATTTTCCCGACAGACTTAAAATATTGAGAATTCTGCACTATGTTTTGCAGTGCTACTTTCAAGCTCACCTTGATCCACATCCGTGTTATTACAACAGATCTTCGCTCCAGTGACTGCATTGCACTCGTAGCACTCGTTTTCGCGTGGTTGAAAGCACTGAACATTGCATTGAAAGCCATAATAATGCTCATCACTGCAGCCTTTGCGGTAATTGAGAGTGATCGGCCTAAAAATAATGGCTTTGAAACAGCTACAATCCTACCAGCTCCTAGAATTCAACACGGTTTGCACTTGGGTCGGCGTTGTTTGATTGAAAGTTTCGTTTCGAATATTGAACAACGGCGTTGCCGTCAGGTTTTCAACGTCCTTAGTTTTGTCGTAGAAGGTCAGCGACGGCAAGGCCTCAATGTAAAGTGCGTTCTGAAAGCGGATACGAAAAGACATGAAAACATACGACTGGGTTCTCGATCATGAATGCCACTTGACTGATACGGCAAGTGATCGGCTTGCTCGACTCCATCAATTGGCATTGCTCTCTTCCATGGACTACAACACTTCCGCTGGAAAAAGAATTTTTAAAAGCGCCATCTTAATTCTTTAGTTGTATTGAAAATGAGGAAGGATGATAGGAGAAAATAGGATTTTGGCGGTATAGAAGATTATTTAGCCTAGCGGATTTTACCTCGCATTTAAAAAATACGGCGCCGCGACACTTGCGGGCAACCACTTTGCGGGCAACCAGTTTGCGGGCAAACTTTTTGCGGGCAACCTCTTTGCGGGCAAAATTTGGGGGGTCACATTTGCGGGCAGCTGAGACACTTGCGGGCAGCCGACATTTGCGGGCAACCGGCACCTGAGGGTTACAGGGTGGAGGTGGAAATATTACTGCGATATTTTGGAAATTTGCCGACATTTGCGGGCAGCCGACACTTGCGGGCAGACGACATTTGCGGGCAACAGGAAAAAACAATCACACAGACTGTATAGGAACTTTTGGAACTGTTGCCCGCAAATGTCGGCTTCCCGCAAGTATTGCCTGCCCGCAAATGTCGGAAAACTTCCAAAATATCGAAGTAATTTTTCCACCTCTACCTTGTTATCATAAAGTGCCGGTTGCTCGCAAATGTCGGCTGCCCGCAAATCTTCCAGGCTGCCCGCAACTGTCGACCCTGCCCGCAAATGTCCCAGGCTGCCCGCAAATGCCGGTGATGGCCGCAAATGTCGGCTGCCCGCAAAGTGGCTGCCCGCAAAAAATTTGCCCGCAAAGTGGTGGCCCGCAAGTGTGCGCCCGCCATCCGCATGATCAAAGGGCCAGTCTAAAGTCTTTTGAACGATACAAAATACCCGAAAATTTTCTTTGTCTGCTGTACAGGGAAAAGATCTGAGGTCTGAATAACATGGAAATCGGAACCCCTGGAGTCTAGTGCCTTCTAAAATCAATATATCAGTCTGTCGGGAAAATAATGATCACACCGTCGCTGTACCAATCGAACAAGTCGCTGAAGTGAAAAGCAATTTGATTTTGCCGCGACACAGTTCATTTTCTCGGCGGCGATGCGATTTTCGATGCGCAAGAGTGCTCATTATTTTCCCAACAGGCTAATAGACGGGCCAAAAAGTCTCGGCATGTTTGAATGGTGCACCGTCAAAAACTTGTCAAGCTTTACGCAAAAAAAATTTAAGACTTTTTGCCCCGCAAAGTGGCCACATAAGCGCTACAAATAACGATGAGAAAAAAATCATGGTGAAATTGACTATTAATATTAATTTTACTGTGTTTCCCGTTAGTCACGCTTACCGTAGATCGCCAAAAGTCGCCTTGAAGTCCATGATGAGGTATGCTTGATTTTGTTTTTCGAAATCTCCATTTACCGTGACCTCAATGTCATTTACGTAAAGTATTGAAGTGCTGTAGGTCCGTGGAGTCTGGGCATGGGCCTAAACTTGCTTTATAATATAAACATTTGACATCAAATTTTTTTTTTAATTTTTTTGAAAAAAATCAGTTTTTGCAAGGCTAAAAACTTCTCGGATGCCTTCAAAAACTTTATTGATTTGATTATATCCCCTCAGGCAATAAAATTTTCAAAATTTTTTAAAATTGAAAGATTTTTGCCATAAAAGAAAATTGATCAACTTACCCTCCAAAAAGCCAAATAGATCAAGAAAAATCTCCCAAAAGGCGGGAAACCCATTGCCCTCCGGGGCAAACGAATTTCCAGATTATGAGTATTTCTGAGGAGAGACGCATTCTTCCCCCCATTTTTATTCCCCTCCTTACTGATAAAACGCGCTCAGAATGCGCCATATTGTTTGTCCACAGGCGTTTTAATGTTTCATTTTCCCAAAACGAAGTGCTATTGTCTTGGGAATTAAGTGCTGAGCCAGCGGGGGTTCGATTTCGACAATTGGGACCTTATTTTAGGCAAATTTGGAGATCTGACCAAAATTTTTGAAAAAAATGATTGTAAATCTTACGAATTTAAATGAAATGGACAAAAAACATGATAAGCGTGGTTGATAGATTACGCACAAAGTCAACAAACACAAAACTTGACAACTTTTATATTGTTTTAGGCCATCAGGTGGAGAAAAGTCAGAAACGTAAGTTTCTGATCTCCATAAACGGCAAAAACGTTCAAAATAATTTAATTCACATCTAAATAACCTAAATTTTTTAATTTTCAAATTCCTGTTCATCATTTCAAAAATCCAATAATTTTGTGACATTCCGCAACAAAAATCAATAAGTTGACATTTCGTTTCTTGACGAAATTTATTTTATTTTTGAGAATGTTGCAACTGATTAGGTAGTGATGTAAACAATGTCTTCTCCAAACGGCTGGCAAAAGGATGTTTCCGCAATTTTGACAACGATCCAGCTGCTCCTAAAGAGTCAAGTGGGATATGAAGGTCGAAAATTTGGTGAGACGCTCTCGAAAAAGAGTCTTGAGGCCATAATCGCTGCCGGGAAAGTTCAACGACCATTCGACGACCCGAATTATGGAAGAAATCAGTAAGTTTGCGTGTTTTCAATTAGTTTTTTCCCTTTAGATTCGATTTTGAGAAAGAAACACGCACCTTTTTGAAGCAGACTCGGGAAATCATCGATAAAGAAGTGAAGCCCATCTTGGATCAGACCAAAATCAATCTAGAAAAGGTTGCCACACCTCTGGCCACGTCGAGCAATTTGAAAATTCAAGATAAAGTCGAGGCAACTATCTTCAATCCAATTCCGGAGGGACTAACACCTGAAGAAGAAGAGGTTTTGATCAGAGAGGCTCAAAGAGTTGGTGTTACAATCAAAAAACCCCCACCGATAGCTGAAGTACCTCTAGCAACAAAGGATAGACATCAACAAGTCTATCGGCCATCACTTCCAAAGGTAGAAATTGCTGTTTTTATCTTATTCTTTAGGACTACAGAGTTGATCTCAATTACAACAACAAAAACCTCTCCAAATCGCAGGAACGGAAGGTGCCATCTAGTCGAATAGCACGAGTAGCGAATTTCGGTGCTTTGGCATTTGGTTTGGGATCAGGAGCGGTGGCGGAGGTTGGGCGCAGGACGATTGGGATCAACGATGCTAATTTTCAAGCTCAAAATCCTTTTTTGACTTCTGCAAATGCTGAAAGAGTTGTTGAGACACTGTGTAGAGTTCGTGGGGCTGCTCTGAAATTAGGGCAGATGTTGAGTATTCAAGGTAAGAATTTTTTTATATTATACTTGGTCTTTAGGTCAAAAAGTGAACGTTTATATTCAAAATTTTGAGTTTGATGTTTAAAATGTCTCAGCATCTCTAAATGAGCTGTCTTTGATGAATACTTATCCTTTTTAAGTTTGATTTAAAAAATATTTATATTACACTTGACATCAAGATAAAATATTTTGATGTTTTATGCCCAAATGATGTTTGCTGATCTTATTGGACTTTACAAAATACATTTTTAACATTTTTTAGATGAGACGTTAATCCCCAAGTATTGGCTTGATATTTTTGATCGAGTTCGGCACAGTGCGGATTTCATGCCAATAAAGCAAGTAAAACAGCAACTTTCTGCCGAGCTCGGTCCAGAGTGGCGCCAACTTTTTGCCGAGTTTGATGAGAAACCATTTGCAGCCGCTTCCATTGGTCAAGTAAGTCATTTTCAACATTATTTTTTCTGATCTTTAGGTTCATAAAGCAACATCACTGGATGGGAAAAAGCTCGCTGTCAAGGTTCAATACCCCGGTGTAGCGGACGGAATAGATGCGGATATTCAAAATCTCGTCTCGATCTTGCGCTTTGGCGGGTTCTTCCCTAAGGGCATGTATTTGGAGGAGTTCGTTAAAGTGGCTCGAAGAGAACTCAAATTGGAATGCGATTATATCCGAGAAGCCGAAGCCATCGGGCGAATGAGAGAGTATTTGGCCAAAGATGACAGCTTCTTCATCCCAGGAGTGTTTCCAAACTTGTCGTCGAAGAAGGTTTTGACAACAGAGTTTATCGACGGGAAACCCGTCGATGAATGTGTTAATGAACCGCAAGAAGTCCGAGATTATATCGCAGCAAAGTTCATGGAATTATGCTTGAGGGAAGTGTTTTTGTTCAGATTTATGCAGGTGAGAAGGTTGAGAATTTTGCGATATTGTACTTGATATGTGGATATTGAACTTGATTTTTTTCTTTTGAATTTGATGTTTTATAGTCAAGAATAGTCCATTGGAGCTTAGATGTGATTTTCTTGGCGTTGATTTGTTAGTTTTAGGGTTTTTTCAGATTTTGGGACATTATTTTAGATATCGACCTTGTTTTAGATAGATTTGGGGAAAAAATTGGGCTGATCTTTGATAAATACGGCTAATATTGTATTCTGTGCTCCATAGTTTGTGTAGAGAAAAATTTCGGATGATTAAAATTTTTTTCTGACGATTTGCGATATTATACTAGCATTGTTACCTAAATTTTTGAAATTCTCTTTAATTTTTGACGTTTTTTTAGTTTCTATAGTTGTCAAATGGATCATAAAGCTGTCTGATTCTATTGAAGTATTTTTTAGATCTAATTTGAACTATTTTTTATCCAAAATGAGCTAAAATTTTTAGTTCAAGATCAAAAAAAAATTTTTTTTTTCAGACCGACCCCAACTGGTCCAACTTTTACTTCGGAATCCACCCACAAACTGGCGAGAACCGCCTAATTCTCCTTGATTTTGGCGCTGCACGAGAATATCCGAAGGAATTTGTGGACAAATACATGAAAATCCTTCAAGGAGCATATAATGAAGACCGCGAAGCAATGCTAAAATACTCAAGAGAGATTGGATTCCTCACTGGATTTGAAGATAAACTAATGGAGAAGGCCCATGTGGACTCGATTAGCATCTTGGCGGAGACTTTGGTTGCTGATGAACCATACGATTTTGGACGGCAGGTGGGTGATTTTTGAGTTTTTTCTTTGGTGTTTAGGGTAAAATACGAATGGAAATTGGGATAAATTTGATATTCAATCAAGTTGTTTGGAAAAATTGGCGGAGTTCAAATGATTTTTCGATTTTTTTGTCAAAAGTTGAGATTTTCGTTGATTTTTGGAAAAACGTTAGTGTTTTCTTCAAATTTCTGACGGTGAAAGGTTGAGATAAACTTCAGAATTTCAAAGAGGATCTATTTATATAAAAAGTCGGGAGTTTAAAGCAGTGAAACTGTCCAAAAATCGAAAATTTATCTGAACTATCTAGTATAATATAATTTTTGCCGAAAAAGTTAGAAATTTATTTGTATTGCCTAAATTTTTGCAATCATTAGTTCTCTTTTTTTAGGATGTCACAGCCCGAGTCCAAAAATTGGTCCCCATCATGCTGGAACATCGACTAAAAGCACCCCCGGAAGAGATCTACTCCCTCCATCGAAAGCTCTCCGGCGCGTATTTATTGGCCACGAAACTCAAAGCCAAAGTGTCATGTGGCCCACTGTTTAAGGAGATCTGCGATCAGTACCAATTTGGAGAAAAAAGGAGAAGAGAAAACAGTGTGTGAACAGATTTATATTAGCCATCATGGATAATATAAAAAGTGATGGTTCGACGACTGGAAGCTAAAATATTAGGAATTTTTGAGATATTTGTTATCTTTAGGCCATTTGTTACTTATTTTTATTGTTGACATGAAGTAAAGAAAAATTTTTTGATATTGATTATATTATACTTGATGTTTTTGCTCAAAAAAATCGGTTAAAACCCGAGATTATTTGATGATTAGAGCGTTTTTTTTTGGATTTATTGAGACAGGAGAGTCTGGTTTGTTTTTTTAACTGATTTTAAGGCGTAGTTTAGCTGCCTTATGCTTCAACGAGCCGGAATTCGGGTCCTCAGATGCTCAAACTGCCGATTCATCCGACATAGCACGGCGCTACCAGCTGGAAAGCCCAAGGATGTTGTGGAAAAAGAGTCAAAAACCAAGAAGGATAAAATTTCCGCGACTCGGCTGGAATGGGAACAGAAAATTGCGGATTTTTTGAGCACCGAACTGAAAAAAGAGCATAAAAGATATTCGAATGAGAAAAAGAGGAAACGAATTGAACATATTGTGATTTGGTGAGGAATTTTGAACATTTTGAGTGCGGTTGGACCAGGAAAAAAAATTTTTTTTAAAGGATTTTGGACCTTACTTTAGATAGAGGTGATATTTTTTGAAATTTTAGCCATATTCGAGACGAAAAATTGGTCCCATTGCTGGGATTCCTCGCCAGATTGACGCAATCCAAAGAAGTGATCGATGGCTCGGCCGATTATGGAGAGGTGGGCTCGTTTTTATTTGAATTTTTATTGTTTTAGATATTCACATCGGCCCTAAAACATGTCTCCCATTTTTTGTCCACAAAATCCTCGGATTTCGAGTTTTTACGCTCTCAAGAAGCGATTCCATTCTTCCACAACCTTTTTGAAGTCCTGCCCGGCATCCCATTGACCTCGAATGACGTCACCGGAGCTGTCGCGTTTTGCTTGGCCAAGCTGGATGAAGTGAAAATTTTGCCGGAAGAGGTGAAAGAACAGAGAGAACGAGTGGTACCGGGCATACAGAGACGGTTGACGATGGTGGTGAGTTGGTTTGGAAAGAATTGGAGGAGATTTTTTGAGCGGAGGTTAGGTGTGTTATCCATGAAAAAAATTTGATGATTTATGGTGGAATATGAGTGTCAAAGGTTTATAGAAGATGTAAGATTAAATTACTGGGCTTCTTTGAGGATTTTAGTGGGTATTGGAGCTTCTCGACCCGAAAAAAATAGGTTTTCCTTCAATTTTTATATTATCCATGACGATTTTTGATAAATTTTGGTGAATTGTCATGCTTAACTTATAATTTTTGTCCGGTAAATTAAATTTTAGACTTAATCAGGCATCCTGGTTGTATTTCCAAAAGATTTTTAACTCATTTTGACTATAACATCAAATTTTTATATTACTTTAGACCACCTCCCACCTCCCAAAACAGAACCGAATCTTCTTCAACGACCCTGAATTTGACATCATCAAGGAGTACATTCAACGGGGATTTGATCGTATCCCCCGCGAAGAGCCGGAAGAATCCATAAAATACGGTAATTGCCCTCTGGCGGAGAGCCTTAATGCACCGTGCAGTGAAGAGGAATATCAAGGAAACCCGTTCATAACACAAAGTTGGACCAAACAGGAATTGAAACAAAGGATCAGAGAGCTCCTCCTGAGAGAGCAGAATTATTGTATCGCGGTGGAAAATTTCGCAAGAAACTCGATTGAACGGCCAATGGAAGTTTTGCTGAAAGAATGGCAATGGAAGGAGGCGATTCAAAATACATTTGAAGTTATGCGAGGAAAAGTCTCACAGGTTAATGGTAAGGAGTTTTGGAATGATTGGTTGGGATTATTGGACTTTTTTTTTGAAAAAAATTGGATTTGATGGGTAGTGTAATATAATTTTTGAAATTTTTGGTTCGAAAGGTAAAGTTTTTGCTTTGGAATTTAAAATGGACCCTTTTGAAGGAAAATTAGGGCATTTGACAGCCAGTTTGGATAAGAAAATTTTTGATTTTTGATCAAATTTATATTGATCTTGTCCTAAACCTAGTGTAAAGAAATTTTCTTTAAAAAAATTTTTTTATTACTTTAATTTTTTTTTATAAAGGTGTCAAACTTTATGTGGCGTATTTTACATTTTTACACTTTATTCATTCAGAGAATTTTTTTTTGTTACAGTACCTAGTGTAATATAATTTTTGAAATTTTTGGTTCGAAAGGCAAATTTTTTTCTTTGGAATTAAAAATTTACCCTTTTTAAGGAAAATTAGGGCATTTGACAGCCAGGTTGGATAAGAAAATTTTAGATTTTTGATCAAATTTATATTGATCTTGTCCTAAACCTTGTGTAAAAAATTTCTTTAAAAAAATTTTTTTGTTGCCTTAAATTTTTTTTGATAACGGTGTGACACTTATCATGGCGTATTTTACATTTTTACACTTTATTTTATTCATTCTGAGAAATTTTTTTATTACAGTACCTAGTGTAATATAATTTTTTTCAGTTACCCTCTTCATCAACGGTCTGAACCCGGAGAAAGTCTCGGAGCGCCTTTTCGAAGTCATGAATGTAGCTCTCTGCACTGGCCAGAAAGTCCTGGCCATCCCGGAGCTCGAAACCGCCTTGGCGCATTCGATTCTGGACTTGGCGCACTCCGAATTCACCTCAAATGTCCTCAAAAATTCGTCGGAAATATTCGCCGAGGTCTTTGAGGAGTTTCTCAGGTACTTTGAGAGAGATTCGGAGTTGCCGCGAACCTATAGCCTCAGGGAATGGTGGCATAAAAGTGCTGCGAAGGCAAGAGTTGACCCAAATTTCCATGTCCCTCTTGGAGGCGTCTCAAAAGCAAGCACAGAGGAACTGGGAAGCTTTTTATTGTCGGTGGTGATGAACTCTTGCTTCGTACCGCCGAATAAATTGAGGAGAAGTGAGTTGAGAATTTTTGGGAATTTTGATTTTTTTTTTTTTTTGAGTTTATATTGTTTTAGGTGATTTTGAGGGAAAATGTGGGTAATTTCAAGATTTTTGTTGATTTTGTGGGAGAATGAGCTATTTGAAAACAAAATTTTAGGGTTTTATTAGGTATAAAATGGTGTTTGAATATTGTTTTTGACGATTTTGATATTATTTTAAGGAATTTTGAGGAATGGATTTGAAAATGATGAAAATTGTGGAATAGAGTATTTTTTTATATTTTTTCGGTTTTGATTTTGGACTTTTATCCAAATTTTTGAGCGATTTTTGGATATTATTTTAGGTAACTTTGATTAGTTTAGGTTATTTTAGGGCTTTAGAAGGGTAAAATACGTTTTGGCTAGGCTTTATAATATAAGAAAATTATCCTTAGCATATTATTTGAGTATTGTGATACGTTGAGTTTGAGATTTGAGAATTTTTTTTATTGTCCATGACATACAGTGACGGACCTGATCCCGTGGCAAAAAACGTATCATTTTGCATCCCCGAAGTATGAAAAAATGTAGCAAACGCCTCCCTCACTCCGTTTTGAAGAGCGCGCTTTTGAAATCGGAGTTTTTTCACTTGGAGAGGGAGGTATTTTGCCACATTTTTTATACTTCCTGGATTCAAAATGGTACTTTTTTTGCCACTGGATCAGATCCGCCAATGTAAAAAATTTTTTTAAAAATTTTTTTTTGAAAATTTATGTTTTACTTTGTAGGAAAAAGAGGAAATGTGAAAGCATTTTCCTTCCGCAACGTCAACATTGAAGAGAAGTCGGAGTGGCTGGAGAATTCGTACAAAATCAATGTCAACAAAATGCTGGAAGTCCACCCAATTCTAGTCGAATTAATCGAACAGCATCAATTCAAAAAATTGCTTTTCCCCTTCCATGAGCTGCCTACTACTGTAAGAGAGATTTTGCAAAAAAAATTTGGATTTTTGAACCATTTTTATTTATTTTTTGGACAAAATTTTACAGTTTTTTTAATTTTAGCTACCACCTCGACCCTGGATGGATAAAGGGCAATGTGGACCAATGTATACGAAAGAATCGGAACCCCTGAGGAATCTGTATGACTTCAAGGACGTAAATGTGAATGTGGAGATGAGGAAGAGGATCAGAGATGGGTAAGAGGGGACCTGGGATATTGTAGTAGGTAGAGGTGGGATTTTTGGTGATTTTTTGGGGTTTTGCTGAGAAAGGAAGGGCGAGATGGGTGTTTTTGGAAGCTTAAGAGTGTTGAGGACCCTGCGGAGGAGATTTGAAAGATTGGCGATATTGTAGTAGATATGGTGGAGGTATAAATTGATATTTTGAAAAATCATTTTTTTTTTATTTTGTTGATTTAGATTGAAGAATCAGGTGGTAAGAGATGTTACGGGGTGGTTTGTGAGGTGTCAGGGCTTTAGAAAAGATATTTATTACGATTTTTAAATTGTAGTAGGTGTAAAAGGGTAAATTTGCGAATTTTGTTTAGTTTTCAAGTAAAATATAAACTAGAATTGATGATAAACAGATTATTACAGGGTAAAATACGTTTCCAATGGTTTCCAATTGTTTATTTAGGTTTGGATTGATGATTTTTACCTTATTTTTGCCTTCAGGTCCCAAGCCCGTCCAGTTTTCGACGCGTTGAATGATTTGGGCTCAACGCCATGGATCCTGAACCAAGCGACTCTTCAGGAACTGACCCACGCTTTTGATTTGTCATTCAACAAAGAACAAAAAGAAGTCCTCCACAATTTGGCGATCCCAATGCACCCCAGCACAGTTCAAGTCCCGAGTTTCGAAGAGGAATTTGGAGCCCATCGAAAAGTGGCCGACGTACCGAGTGTTGAATTTATCGAGTTCTCGAAGAAACAATACGAGGCTAGCAAGGAAAGGTAGGATTTTTTTTTAAATTTTTGGGAATTTTTCGATTTTTTTGGGATTTTTGAATTTTTTTTGTAAGAGTACCCCAAGTGTAAATTTTCGATTTGCCTCAAATTTGGCAGATGGAGTCTGTGTAGGCCGCAGATGAATCCCTGAAAATTTTAGCGCGTGATTTGCAAGAAGGGTTGAGATATTCAGCGATTTTTTTGGGATTTTTTGAGAGAGTACAGAAATTGAGGAGACGGTCAAAGAAAAATTGTTTTTTTTGACTGTAATTTTATGGATTTTTCGATAGAAAAAATTGGTTTTAGGTAGAATTGGGGTAGTATTTACTAAAAATAGAACAAATTTTTTGAGTTTGATTTTTTTTTTTTTTTTTTTTTTTTGAAAATTCGAAATTTGACCGAAGCTCGGCTAAAAATTTTTGTTTATGTCTTGGAAAAATTTTATCTGTAGTTTTATGTCAAGTGTCAAAGAAAATTTGAAAAAAAAAATTTTTTTTTACCTAGTACAATATAATTTTTTCACTGAAAAAATTTCTTTTCCAGAAATGAAACAAATTCTCTCTGGTACTGGCTAATGTACCGACTAGTCTTGGCGCGCCACTTCCGCGACGAAATCCTCTACTTCCCGCATAATATGGACTTCCGCGGCCGCGTCTACCCGATCTCCCCGCACCTGAATCACATGGGAGACGATATAAATCGATCGCTCCTGAAATTCGCCCGCGGCAAGGAGATGGGAAAGAGCGGTTTCGACTGGCTCAAAATCCACTGCATCAACTTGACAGGCTTGCTGAAACGAGAGTCAATCGAGAGCCGGCTAGCGTACGCCACAACGAATTTGGGCCTGATTTGCGATTCGGCCGAGAATCCCTGGACCGGCCGAAAGTGGTGGATGCAGTCGGAGGAGCCGTGGCAAACTCTCGCCGCTTGCATAGAAATTCGAGATGTTTTACAGAGCGGAATCGACCCACGAAGATTTGTTTCCCACCTCCCAATTCATCAGGATGGAAGCTGCAACGGATTTCAGCACTACGCAGCCATGGGAAGGGACTTGAAAGGCGCCGCTGAAGTGAATTTGATCCCAAGTGAGAAGCCGGCGGATATTTATAGCAGTGTCGCAAGCAGGTGGGGATTTTTGAGGATTTTTTTTGAGTTGAAGAGGGCATTTTTTGTCATGGATAACATCAAAAAAAAAATTTTTTTTTTTTTTTTTTTTGAGTATTAGTTAAAATTTTGGTTAATAATGATGAAAAACGGTTTTGGATTTGATTTGTAATTCTTTTTTGATTTCGCTTATTATTTTTTGAAATAATTCTAAACGCAGGGGCCAATGCGCTATCTGAAAGTTTGCTGAAAGTTAGCTGAAAATGGTAGGGCGCAGCTCGGAAAACAACGTTTCGCAGCTCGCCGGAGCTAAGTTTCGGCTTGTTTTCGAGCTGCGCCCAAGACGCGAGCTGCGCCCGTGCAAATTCTCCGAGCTGCGCCCTATGATTTTCAGCAAACTTTCAGATAGCGCATTGGCCCCAGTTGACAAAATGTGTGAAGTAAAATACGTTGAATAGTATCTTGATTAAAAATTTGCAGAGCTTTTAGTAATTATTTTTGGAAAATACCGTAGTTTTCAGTTTAAAAAATCTTGTCCTTGGCTGAAAACGAAAAAAAATAGTTTTTTTTTTTTTTGATAGTGATTGGTAAAATACGCATTTTTTAGATTTGGCATTCTAAGAAATGGTTTATATTAAATTGCACGGTGCGAAATGAGGGCTTTTTTGCACGGTGCGGGCCGCAAAAAAAATGTCCGAGCACTTTATGAGGATTCTGATAGCTGTGATTTTCGTGTTTCATTGTATATCTTTTTACAGGGGAAGTACTCCAAGTGCGACGCTCAGATTTTCTTTAAATCTTGCACACACGTCGGGTATGGACTAAATATCAATTCCTGAAAGTTTTAGCTCGCGCTTTGCGGGTGCCGCCGAGATATCGAACGATTTTTTACCGCCGAGAGAGCACGCTAAACGTGGAGAGCGGTCAGAGAGAAAAACGCTTTTTGGCCATAACTTTGGCAGTTTCGTGCGGAAAACTTTGATTTTTTGTAGAAACATTATTCTTTACGGTGGAAATAGGCATGAAACTTTGCGTGCCGAAATTCGGCAAAAATTCCAAAATTTTCGCCGACTTTCGATCTAAAAATCTCGGTCGTTTCTGCAAAACGCGAGCTAGGGTTCTCGCATATATCTTAGAAAAAATTATTCTAAATTTGTGCCAAGTTTCATCAAAATCTGAGCGTCGCACTTGGACTACTTCCCCTGTTAATAAAATTTTTCGATTTTTCAGAGTGGAAGAAAAACGCCAAGCCCACGAAAATTGCGATGACGAAAAGACCCGAGAACTCGCCCAAGATCTCCGCAATTATCTCCATGATTCCATGCCCAGAAAAGTCATCAAACAAACGGTTATGACCACTGTCTACGGAGTGACAAGATTTGGCGCGGTTCTGCAAATCAAAAAACAGCTGAAAGCACTGGGAATCCCAGGCGAAAAAGTGAGATTTTTTGAAAATTTTTGAAATTTTTTGGCTCAAAGATAGTTGTAAATGACCTGATTTGTCATTTTTTAGCTGGGAAAGTTCTCCTCGTACATATCGGACCTCACTCTGGACAGTTTGAACGAAAGTTTTCAGGCCTCAATGTAAGTGGAATATAATTTTTGTGGAATTTTTGCGAAATTTAGAGCTTGATTGACGGTTTATGTTCCAGGCAGATGAAAGATTGGTTCAGAAGCTGTGTTTCGGTCTCAACGAAACTCATGAGACCGATTGAATGGACCACTCCGTTGGGCTTGCCAGTAGCTCAACCGTATGTTAAAGCGGCCAAAAAACACAATAAATTGTGTTTAGTACCTATACTCAGCAAACAGGTAGGATTTTTGGAGCATTTGAGGGGTTTTGAAGGGGAAATTGGAGGTTTTGGAAGTTAAAATTGCCATGGATAATATAATTTTTTTTTGGAAAATAGCTTTAATTTAGAAGGTTTTAAGTGTGCTGATGACTGTTAGAGGCTTTTGAAAGGTTTGAGAGGTAGAGAGTTTGAGTTTTGATATAAAATTTTCCCATGGATAATATAAATTTTGTCATGGATAATATAATTTGTGAAAAAAATAACTGTATTTTAGAAGATTTTAGGTATACTGATGACTGTTAGAGGCTTCTGAAAGCGTTGAGAGGTCGAGGGTTTAAGTTTTGATATAAAATTTTATCATGGATAATATAATTTCTATCGAAAAAGTGCTTTTAATGGTCTTTATTACTTAGATTATGCCTATTTTTAAATCTAGAAAGCATTTAGATGACAGAAAATTAAGTTTGACATCAACTTTTACCGTGAAGAATATAAGTTTTGTCATGGATAATATAAATTTTCTCAAAATTTGCAGACAAATGCCTTCCCTCCGAACTTTGTGCACTCCCTAGACTCCACTCACATGATGCTGACCGCCTTGAACTGCAAAAAGTATGGGTTAACATTCGCCGCAGTTCACGATTGCTTCTGGACGCACTCGTGTGATGTGGAAAAGATGAACGAAATCTGCAGAGAACAGTTCATCGCGCTGCATTCTAGTCCAATCGTGGAGGATTTGGCGAGAGTGAGTGGGATTTTGAAAGTTTTTTTTGGGAAATTTTTTCAAAAATTTAATTTTTTTTATTTTTTTTTTTTTTTAATTTTTTCAGGACCTCCGACAAACATTCGTCCCGCCAAGTCTGGCCCGACTTCTCGACCCAAACACCCTCAGGGAAATTGATGAAAAGTTGACTCCCAACATTGAAAAAGGAGAGCTGGACCTCAATTGTATCAAGGATTCGGTCTACTTTTTCAGCTGAGATTTTAAAGATTTTTTGATTTTTTTTGCCATCAGTCTGTCGGAAAAATAATGTGGACTATGTCGCATCGAAAATCGCATCGCCGAAAATGATTTGTGTCGCGAGAAAATCAAATTGCTTTTCACTTCATCGACGCGATTGGCGCAGCGACTTTGTGCTCATTATTTTCCCGACAGGCCGACACCACGCCCGTTTCAAAAGTGCGTAGACTTTTTGTCGCAACCTTTCCGCACTGTGCACTTGACCTTTTGCACCGTGCAATTGAAAAAAAAAATTTTTTGCACCGTGCAATGCGAATTTTAATCCCGCGACAGATTGCACAGTGCAAAAAGAAACAAAATGCACTGTGCAGCGCGAAAAAAGCTCCACACAGTTTTGAAACGGCGAAAAAGGGTCGTAAAGTCTTGGCATGTCTGCACGGTGCGAAGACATTGTCGCAACTCTCCGAACGGCGATGAGGCAAAATGCACAGTGCGTCTCGCACAGTGCAAAACGAACTCTCCGAAAGTGCAGTCGCCATTTATGTCGCGCGATGGAACCGCACAGTGCGTTTTTATCGCTTTTATTTGCACCGTGCAGGTTGTTTATCGCGAAAAGCACTGTGGGGAAAAAATCCGCACGGTGCAAACTTCAAGATTTCCGGTTCAATTACTGTTACAACTTGTTGATTTTTTTTTTGTTTTTTTTTACAATTAGTCGATTGGCATCACATATTATGTCGAAAATTTCGATAAAATGAGTCGTTTTATTCGATAAATTAGGCGCTATTTACATTAAATGTTGTGAATATTTACACTGTCGTCCGCAGAAACATACCTCAACTTTTGGAGCGATATGCAACTCAATTTCCTCGTTTTGGGGAGAAGTATTTTTGAGGCCAATCATTTCCCAATGGGCCTTCGTTTCACTGGGGATCGATCGAAGAAGCCGATGTGCGCATTTCGCAACGCTTTGATCAGGTCATTGAAGCCGTTGGAACTGCTCAGTCGGTAACGGTAGTCCTCGACGAGGTGCTCGAACTCGGTTTTTGGGGGATGTCGAGTGGTAGGCTGAAAATTGAGGGGTGAATTGTAGATATTGAAATAGCAGAATTTAAAAAAAATAAGATTTTTTTATTAAATTGAACGTTGTTTTTAGATATGGTGCCAAATTAAGGCCAGATATATATACCAGCAACAATAAAGAGCCAAAAAATACGGTAATACATAACGATTTAAAAAAAAATCGTTTACGCAAAATCGATCCAAAAATACGGTGCTCGACAGGTTTTATTGGTCAAAAGCGCTTCCCATTGCGTCTTGGAAGCATTCGGAATACCGCCCAAATGAAAATTTTCTTATCAAAATAAACGTTGTTTTCAAACACAGTGCCAAATTAAGGTCAGATATCTATACTAGCAACAAAAAACAGCCAAAAAATGCGATAATACATAAGGATTTTTAAAAAAATTCCGATTACGCAAGGTCGATTCTAAAATACGGTGCATAACAGGTTCCATTCATCAAAAGGGCTTCCCATTGCATCTAGAAAGCATTCCGAATACCGACAAATACCTCATTATCCGACGGAAAACAGTGCTGTTTTGAAGAGAGAAAGCTGAAAGTTGTCCCCTTGGAAAAAGGGGAAAGAAATTGGCGAGCAACAAAAACGCAACTTTCAGCTTTCTCTCTTCGAAAGCAGGCTACTTTCGGTCAGACAATGAGGTATTTGGCGGTATTCGGAAAGCTTCCAGGACGAAATGGGAAGCCCTTTTGTTCAATGGAACCTGTTATGCACCTTATTTTAGAATCGACCTTGCGTAAACGAAATTTTTTGAAAATCCTTGTGTATTATCGTATTTTTTGGCTCTTTTTTGTTGCTAGAATAGATATTTGGCCTTAATTTGGCACTGTGTTTGAAAACAACGTTCATTTTGATAACAAAATCTTCATTTTGATAAAAAAAATCTTCATTTTTTTTTTGATTTTTCTGGGTTACGGTTTTTTATCACTAATGTGACAGATCCCTGACCTTAATTAGGCCTCTAGATACTTACTCTGAAATTGTTGCGCGGTGTGACCGCCGGTTTCTCCCCATTTGCACTCAGTAATAGGTCGTCATCCTCGTTCTCGTCATTGTCGTCCTTTGTCTCGAGGACAATTTGCCCCAGCAATCTGTCGAACTCTTCCTGTTCTCGTTTCCTAACGTCTTCCAGCGAATGAATCGCCACCGTTGAGCCAGTCAATTTTTCGCTGGGTCCGGACTTTTGCGATAAAGCCGCTACGATCACTGGGGTTCCTGTTGTTGTCGAAGGCTTCGGTGCTGACGTCGCTGACGGTGAAACCGTTGGCAGATCGGCTTCATCAAATTTCAAATGAGTATCCACTGTTTTCACCTCGTGATTGTCGGTCTGAAATTTGAAAGCCAGTTTATCAGACATCGACATCAATTTGGTGAAAAATAAGACCAATTTACTTACAGTATCCCCATCGAGTGTTTTATTGTGCAGTCGTTTTGAGAGTTCTTCCTCGAGAACCTAAAGAACAAGTAATCATAGGCAGTTAGCCTACTTTTTCGACCAGCTTCAGGAATCGCTGCGCTTCCTTGGTCGTCAAATTGGCTGACTGAAGGAAGTTCTCCAAGTCCGAGGAGTTCAAGTGCTTAATTAGGTCGAGGGTCTCCTGAAAATCGAATTACAGTGAGAGCCGTTTATAGGAAAGCTGCTTATAGAGAAGTCTGTCTATCATGAAGGGTCTAGTAATCAGATTTCCTTCAAACTTTTCATGAAGACTCTAAATAGACCGTCCTTTTGTCCGTAAAAGTTTTAGCTAACGATTGGCAGGTACACACGAGATATTCAACAGTCCTTCCGTTAGGTTTAATTGCAGTACAATGACGGACCTGATCCAGTGGCAAGAAACGTACCATTTTGCATCCGGGAAGTATCAAAAAATGTGGCAAAATGCCTCCCTCTCCAACTAAAAAAACTCCGATTTCTAAAGCGCGCCCTTCAAAACGGAGTTTTTTCACTTGGAGAGGGAGGTATTTTGCTGCATTTTTGATACTTCCCGGAAGCAAAATGACACGTTTTCTGCCACGGGATTAGGTACGGGACTGCAGTTCACTTACCCCATTCTTCTCCGCATTCTGCCGGTCCTCCTCGATTTTCTGCGGTAAATTCGTTGTGCTAGGCTCACTCGTCGTTGTTGTAGTGGCCATCCGAGTTGCTGTTGTCGTTAAAATAATCGTTTGAGTAGTTGTTACAAGAGGTTCTAACACATGCTCAACCGGGACAATCTCCACTTTCCTCAACTCTTTGGCTGGCGAATACGCCAACGGCGATCGGACCTCCGCCGAGACGGTCTGCAGTTTCTCCACACTCCGATCGATCGGTCGATTCTTCTCGGTGAACGCTTTTACGTCCGATTGGATCGACGGTTTCACGGCCTGCGGCGGAATGTTGGCTCGTCCAGTCGTCGTGGCCATCAATGAGGGCGGCGCGGTCGCAGCGACCAGCTGATGTTGTAGGAAAGCGGGGTGATTAAAGAAGAACGGGTGAGACATGAAATGATGAGGCGGTAGGGTTGGGATGGCGCCAGCGCTGAGTGGATGCTGAAGCATGGGATGAGGTGGGAGTTGAGGTGGAAGCTGGTGTTGGGGAAGACTAAATTGGGCAGGTTTTGAGGAGTTGATGAATAAAAAAAAGAAAAGAGTTTAAAATACGCCATATTTTCACGCAATATTAGTCTGTCGGGAAAATAATGTGGATTTTTCGCAGCCGAATGTCAAGCCTCGCCACAGTCGTGTACCATGTACCCAGCTGTCGCAAAGCGATGTCCAACGATTCCAAGGCTCGACAAATCCACATTATTTTCCCGACAGACTGATATTCTGTTTAAAGCTCAAGGACAAAAATTAGGTAAAAATAAAAATTACCTTACCCTAAAGCCAGCTGTTGCTGCTGGAACTGATGATGATGCTGGAAGAGATTCTGCAGAGGGTCAGGGTGTTCAAAACCTGCGGCAGTCTGAAATACACAGCATTTCTAATGAAATTCGTAGAGAATTCATATAACAGAGAAGAGAATTCTCACCTGAACCACATTCTGCGCATTTATCACCCCACAAATTAGCCAGGGTATAAGGAAATGTCGTGCCCGAGGCATTGTGTCCTGTTTTGTGCCGAAATTTTTGAAAACAACGTGAAAAGCCGGCTCGTCGAAATAAAGCCTCCCAAACGGCGAAAATCACGGCGATCTCGGCTAAATGATGAGTTTTGGTTGAGTCGTTCGCTGCGCGCGTTTCGTAAGGAAATGAGTCAAGGGGATGTCGCGGGTTTATAGCCTCCGATGTGATTGCGAAATTCGGAGTGAATATGAGCAATGGTCAGCCGAGGAGCTGAGGTGATGAATTGAATTCATCTGAGGTGGGGAGAGTAAGGCTGTTGACGGAGGACATGAGAAAGTTTGCGAAATTTGATGGATGAGGAGGATGTGGGTTAGATAAGGATGGCAAATAAGTGTTAGTCATTGGTGATTAAAAAGTGAAAAGTACAAAATTTCAACGCTAGAAACAAGGGCAAGTCTAGGTTTAGCGACATCTCAATACTAGAAAAAGTGGCGTTTTTGGGCAAATTTGTTCTTCATGAAGTTTGTCGTTATGTTAGAAAAAAACTCCTACTATTAGAGATGCTTGTATAAAACGACAGGGGTTTTAGGTAGGGAAATTGACAAAGAAGTTGCCTGGTTTGGTGATTTCATCCATAGAGTGTTTCCCTGACTTTATTTCCTCCATTTTTTGTAGTATTAGCCTGTCTGGAAAATGTTGTGGATTTGTCTCAGCAAAATATTATATAATATCTTGTCGAATTGCCCATCAAATCCCTTGGCGCGGCTAGCCATCGAAAAGCGATGATGGACGATTCCAAGGCGACAAGTCCATATTATTTTCCCGAGAAACTGATACTACAAAGATTGGGAAAATAAAGTCACGGAAACCCCCTATCGATGAAATCGCAAAACCGGACAAGTTCTTGGCAAAAAAGGATGCTTTTTCTGCCGAATAAAATCCTTAGCATGACCATAAAACAGTTGATAACTCGACTGTTGTTTGAAACGTAGTTAGTCAACAATTTCCGCATGCTTGACAGAAAATTCAAAGAAAACCTCATGGAAATCATTTCTTCGAGTAATTTCCAGACTAGCAACGAAAACATAGTCTTGCAGAAGCAACAAAGTTGGATCAAAAGATTCGATTTTGCCTCCTCCTTGGTTAACCTCCCTTCTCTAGACTCACGTAGCTCTTCCCCAAAGTCCATTAATCCCCCCGCTACCTGGTTTTTTTACAAGTGTTTTTATCTTCGAATCCAGTGTTATAAACAGCATGAATCTGCGCGCCTTCAAGTCTGCGTAGAAGCGGGGAAGAGCCGCAGGGCAAGATTGATGGATCGGATTAAGCGCTCAGCCGGGGAGGGTGGTGTAAAACAAGCTGTTAGCGGCGATAAATCTCACACTGCGATTGCGTAATCAATTGCATAAACGAGGGAGGAGGGGTGTGAGAAAATCAATTTAAATCGATTAAAGATTTAAATGCGAGAAGATGGGAGATTTTCGAAAATTTAAAATTCGACGAAAAGCAATGTGCATCGTTAAGAAGTTTCCTCAAATTTTTATGGCTTGCTCTGTCTAGGCCGTGGATAAAATTCTGAAAATTTCATCTCACGCTTTGAGGTCGCAGCTGAGATATTTAACAATAATTATAGACGAGTGAGTACGGAAAATAAAGAGAGCGGGTCAAAGAAAAAATTCTTTTTTGACTATGTCTTTGTGAATTTTTCGTCGCAAAGTTGTAGATGTTGCACATCAAACACTTTGACTATCAGTCTGTCGGGAAAATAATGAGCGCAATGTCGCTGCGCCGATCGCGTCGCTGAGGTGAAAAGCGATTGTGTCGCGGTAAAGGCAAATTGCTTTTTCAGTTCAGCAACGCAATTGGAGCAGCAGCATTGCACTCATTATTTTCCCGACAGACTGATAGTCACAGTGTTTGATGTACAACATGTACAACTTTACGGCGGGAAATTCACCAAGACATAGTAAAAAACTTTTTTGTCTGACCCACTCTCTTTATTTTCCGTACTCACTCGTCTACAAAGATTGTAGAATATCTTGGCTGCGACCTCAAAGCGTGAGCTGAAATTTTCAGAAATTTATGGTCGAGACAGAGCAAGCCATAAAAATTACTGAAATTTTCGTCACGTTGCGCTCATTATTTTCCCGACAGACTGATAGTACAAAATTTGTATTGAGGCTCTCCCCTCACAACAAATACCAATAGGTGCGAAAATGCCGAACTGAGTTTGTGGGCGAACGGAAAACCAGTCCAGCCACACGGAGGAGTCGGATCTCTCTTCAGCGCCCAAGTGTTTTTGGCGAAAGTCGAAACGAAAGTCGGACGGCACAATCCCTCCGCTTCTCCCAGCAGATCTCCCTCCCCCCAAAAAAACACGTAGCGCTCGGCTAGGCGGCGGATATTCGAACTCACGCTGCTCCGACCGTCGGGCGCGTGAAACTGTACGAAATGTGTCGGTTCATTAGCGTCAAAGATTGATTGAAGGGCGGAGGAAGTGGCTACGATTGGGTTGCACTTTTGTACTCGGAGTGGCTTAGTTTCGCTGAGGAGGGCTAATCCAGTTAGGGGGAGACCGGAAATTTTGAAAAAAATCAAAGATTCTTTATGGAAAGTTGGTTCGTATAATTTTAGCCATGTAAAGGTGCGCTATCAGTCCGCCGGGAGAATTATGAGCACTCTGTCGCTTCGAAAATCGCATTGCCGCCGAGAAAATCGATTGTGTCGCACGGCATTCTGTGTACTTTTGGGACACGACCGATCTCCGCGGATTTTCTGTTTTTTTTCGGAATGCACTTGCTTTCTCCCTCCATATCTCGCCGTTTGAGCTAGAAGGCTAAAATTTGGCATGCCAGTAGAGTAAAAAGCCGGCTTTCAGACAATATAAATATTGTAAGTAACCCCATCGCATAAACTTCGCAATGAAGAAAAGAATAGAAAAAGTCGCGGAGATCGGTTGTGTTCCAAAAGTACAGAATGCCGTATGTCACTGCAAAATCAAATTGCTTTTCACTTCAGCGACATGGTCGGCACAGCGACGATTTACTCATTATTTTCCCGACAGATTAATATTAAATATGCAAAAGTTGCATGGTGAAAAAGTGGCATAGTATGTAATGGGACTTGGTAGAAATTTGCAGAAACAAAAAGTTATGAGGCGCAAAATGTTGTTTGTTTGGTGGGATCTCCTCATTTTGCGTGTCCTCTCGGAAAGCAGACCGTTGAATATCTCGGCTGTGTCTGCAAAGCGTAAGCTAAAGCTACAGAAGTCGAAGCGCATCTTTTCTGTCTGTCGGAAAAATAATGAGCACTCTGACGCGTCGAAAATCGTATCGCCGCCGAGAAAATGAATTATGTCGTGGCAAAATCCGATTGCTTTTCAATTCATCGACGCCATCGGAGCATTTGTGCTCTAATTTGGCAAAAAATTTAGCCTAAGGATCTTTGCTTTAATAGCAAGGGGCATGTCGCACTTTTTTAGAGATTTAAGATCGGAAATGGGCAGAAATTCGAAGTTTTTTGCTTGATCTTTGACTTAAAATTTGCAAGACCTCTTATAAGTCACGCACTATGTACAGTGAGGGACCGGATCCAGTGGCAAAAAACGTCCCACTTTGCATCCCGGAAGGGACCAAAACGTCTCCAAACCCTTCCCTTCTCTAAGCTAAAAAACTCCGTTTTGAAAAGCGCGCCCTTTCCTTCAAGGCGGGCTTTTCAAAGCGGAGTTTTTTAGTTTAGAGAAGGGAAGGGTTTGGAGACGTTTTTTGCCACTGGATCCGGCCCCTCACTGTATAGTTTTTATACCAAAAAAATACAAAATAACAAGATCCGAGGCGTCAGCTATAACCATTTCTTATTTAAAATTGGGCCCACAAGATCTCTCCTTCTACAAACATTTCTCTGTCCACTACATTCGCTATGCAGAGACAATATTATTACAACAAAAATTCCGCTCAAAACCACCTCCAACCGCACGCTATTAATGAAGTGCGAAAGCATTCAACAAATTATCCGCAAGTCCGGCGCGATTTCCCTCCACCGACCTCAAGAAGGCCCTTCGAAATTAAGGTCAGTATGCTAACTTGAGGGGAGCGGAGAACGAGTTGTGACCCTTCAGCAGCCTCCTCCTCCAAGTAATGAGCAAAAAACAAAGAATCCCGTTCCGTTTCGCTATCTGCAGTGACGTGAAATGGACGCGTTTTAATGGTGCAGATGATGGGGCAGATAAACGATGGCTTCACAGGGCTGCAGTCGCCTAGAATTAGACTTCAAATGGTTGACGATTGCGCTACGAAGCGTAGTCGGCGTGTAGCGGAAGTGCTTGCTTTGCGATTGCTGCGATAAATTGGACACTTTAACTATGATGAGTTGAGTTTATTATTTACCAAAATTCTGTACAATTTCGAGGTTAATTTTTAAATTTTTAGTCATCGTCAAAGCCGAAAAACCCCCGAATTTGTCGTTGATATATGATTGTGAGCGAGGTGAGAGCGGTGCCGGCGGCGAAGAAGATGAACAGGAAGCGGTCCAGCACCAACGCCACTTGTTGCCATTCCTTTTTCGTGGCGTTGCGGCGGTCCTTCTCCGCCTGGCGCATTTCGTTCCTGAAACGGCGGAGGTTTAACCAAAAAATAGGAGTTCCGATAATGGCCAAAGTTCGGCAAATTTTTGGGCAAATACCTAACGCTCTGTAGAATGGAGCGCTTTTATCAGCGTGTCGGGAAAATACTGAGCTGCCTGTCGCAGGGAAAATCGCATCGCCGCCGAGAAAATGAATTGTATCGGGGCCAAATCAAACTGCTTTTCGCTTCAGCGATGCGATTGCGACGTTGCGCTCATTATTTTCCCGACAGACTGATGTGAAATTTTTTTTATATCAATTTTGGCTGTTTTTAAGACCAGGGGCCAATGCGCTATCTGAAAGTTAGCTGAAAATGGTAGGGCGCAGCTCGGAAAATCGGCGCGGGCGCAGCTCGCATCGCGGAAGCAGCTCGGAAAACAAGCTTTCGCAGCTCGCCGGAGCTAACTTTTAGTTTGTTTTCGAGCTGCCCGCAAGACGCGAGCTGCGCCCGTGCAAGTTCTTCGAGCTGCGCCCTACAGTGGGGGACCTGATCCAGTGGCAGAAAACGTACCATTTTTCATCCGGGAAGTATCAAAAATGTGGCAAAATGCTTCCCTCTCCAAGTGAAAACACTCCGATTTCAAAAGCGCGCCCGCTCTTTTTGTGAGGGAAACTTCAAAATGAGGTTTTTTTACTTGGAGAGGGAAGCATTTTGCCACCTTTTTGATGCTTCCCGGATACAAAATGGTACGTTTTTTGCCACTGGATCATGTCCCCCACTGTATAATTTTCAACAAACTTTCAGTCATCGCATTGGCCCCACTCCTCTGTTAACTCTACAAAAATTCTTACCGTTCAATCGTCCCATGAACCCGTGCCAAAACCCGTAGAAATTCGTCCTCGAACATGTCCTCCGTCGAAGCTGTGTGGCCGTGCGGCTCGGCCAAGCTGCGCGTGCGTTTCAACGAAACGTAGCGTGTCGCCAGACTCGTTGTCGTCGTGGTCAGAGTGGTTGTTTGCATCCTCTCAACCAATGGTATCGTATCATCGGCTCCGGTTTTGACGGATCCATTAGTTGTGATTCCGTTGAGCTCAACGGATTCGTTATAGGAGAGGGTCTCATCCACATGATTTACATCGCCGTTAGTTGTGGCGTGTTGTAGAGCGTCGTTGGACCAGGAAACGCGTTTTTTCACCATCTGAAAGGGTTTTTTTTGTAGTGTATTACAAAAAAATGTAAATTTTAAAAAAAGGATATAGCTCAAGTGCGACGCTCAGATTTTCTTTAAATATTACCGACATGTCGGGCATAGGCCACGTATCAATTGCTGAAAGTTTCAGCTCCCGCTTTACAGGGGCGGCCAAGATATTGAACGATCTTTGCGGCCGAGAGAGCACGCGAAACGCGGAGAGCGGTCAGAGAAAAGTCCTTTTTGGCCGTATCTTTGCTGGTTTCGTGCGGAAAAAATTGATTTTTTGTGGAAACATTACTCTCTACATTAGAAATACGTATGAAACTTTTCATGCCAAGAATTCGCAAAAAAGTGTCGCATTTTTGCCAACTTTCGTCCTAAAAATCTGAGTCGTTTCTGCAAAGCGCAGGCTAGGAGTGTACAAGGTGGCACAGAAAATAGAGACTTTTTTCGTGGGTCCTGCCACGAAAACGTTTAGGTTTAGCCAACCAATTTTTCTACCGTTAAATTCTCCGTGTTTTTCAGCACTAGGCCTTTGATTTTCACGCCCATATCTATTGGTTAACACGCTTGTTTTGCATGACAAACTGGGAGACTTATTCTAAACTTGCGTCAATTTTCATCAAAATCTAAGCGTCGCATAAGCCAAATTCCCTATCGACTTACATTGTTCTCCTTCTTATGCCTTGGAGGTTGCGTGATCACTGGCGCCGATGCTCTCGGGCTGACCGATTTTTTGACATGGAAGCCCTTCATTAGCCATGACGAGCATAGCCTTTCCTCTCGATCTTTCCCATGCTCCTTTGAATAGAAATAGTCGACATGCTCATTGATACTGTGATAGTAGCCGGGGTTCATCAGCAACATTTTGGCCAAGTATCCCATTACAACCCGTTGAACGACGGCTGGCACCGCACAACCCGTAGTTCCTTGATGGTGAACGTTCAGCTGGAATTTGAATAAATTTGAATATGCAAATTTTTGAGGGTGTAATTTTCCGAAATTTGAATAAATTTGAATATGCAAATTTTTGAGGGTGTAGTTTTCCGAAATTTGAATAAATTTGAGTATGCAAATTTTTGAGGGTGTAATTTTCCGAAACTTGAATAAATTTGAATATGCAAATTTTTGAAATTTCAATATTCAAACTTCTGAAAAAATATATAACAAAAAATTGGTAAAATACGTTGACAGAAAATAGGAATGAATATTAAATTTTAAAATTAAAAAATCTAAATATTCAAAAATTTTTAAATTTGAATATTCAAATTTGTCAATTTTTTACTCACCGTCAGAACAGTCATTGCGGTAGCTAACGACACAATGAAGATCGTGGCTCCATAATAGACCCCAAGCAGAGGAAGCGCATCCGAAGTTGGCGGCATTCCCTCAGCTACCAGCATTAGGAACACAGTTGTCGAAAGAAGCGAGGTAATACCTAAAATACGAAAAAATATTATTCGAAATTAGAAAAAAAACAAGTTTCAATCAAGGCCATCTACAATTTAGGCGGATTTCAGTTCAAAATACAGTGAAAATTTTTAATTTCAAATTTCCCGCCAATTTTGGCATTCTGTTTCAAGCCTTGAAATCGATGTGAAATTGTAATTACAAGGCTGTAGGATGATAAAAATATTTATTTTTGCAAGATTTTACTTTGAAAAGGCGCTATATTAGACCATTTTTTCTCTGAAAAAGGCCAAATTTTAAGGCTTTTGCAGTCCTCAGAATTTTTTTGATACTATTAAAAAATTGATCCCAATTACTCCCAAATCCCTCCACCTACCCAATGAAACCTTCTCTCCAGCGCCGGAGGGCATGTAGAACCCGAGCAACGCGATTCCGCTGATCATTACGCACGGCAAAATCAGGTTGAACACATAAAACATGGGCCTGCGCTGGATGGTGATGAAAATATCCACGAATGGATAGGGCTCGGGACAACAGCTGTAGATGATCGAGTTCTTCTCCGCGCGAATGCTCTTCAAATGCCATTCGGTGCTGGTCATGTAGTTGGATTCGTCGCCGAGCTGCGACGAGAGGAGAATATCGATTTTGGTCCCATCGTAGGCCCAAGAAGCGAACTTGAGAATGCAGCTTTGGCTGTCGAAGGGATAGTAGCGGACGTCCATTCTGAAAAAAATGTGGAGGGTAAAATACGGGTATATTTTGTTCTGATAAAAAAATTGCATAGCAAATATCAGTCTGTCGGGAAAAAAATGAAGCAATGTCGCGGCGCCAATATCGTTGAAGTGTAAAACAATTTGACTTTTCCGCGACACAATTCATTTTCTCTGCGGTGATGCGATTTTCATTGCAACAGAGTGCTCATTATTTTCCCGACGGACCTAAAAAAAGAAAAAGAAAACGTACCATTTTGCATCCGGGAAGTATAAAAAATGTAGCAAAATACCTCCCTTTCCAAATGAAAAACTTCGATTTCAAAAACTCGCCCGTATTTTTGTGAGGGAAAATGTCTTCAAAACGGAGTTTTTTAATTGGAGAAGGAGACATTTTGCTACATTTTTTGATACTTCCCGGATGCAAAATGGTACGTTTTTTTGCCACTGGATCAGGTCCGCCACTGTATGTCACGTATTAGATAACCTACCCACAACTGGATTGAAAAATCCCCGCCATTGTCCACGAGACGTTCCCATCGAAACTGACAATCACATCCGTCGACATCACCGACTTGTCATATGCGGGAGCGGCGTTGTTGTACAGTCTAAATAAAAGAAAAGTAAATGTAAAGTATTTTGTTGTTAAACCCACATGATATCCGGCTTCCAGATGCGATCAAAGGGGATGTGAATCGTGGTGACATTGTCAAACTCCAACGGGTTCCAAATCAATTTGTAGTCGATCCAGCTCTGTCGAATCCACGCGTTCGTGGTCATGATTTCTTTTCGCTCGTCCTGAAGTTGAAAAAAATGAAAATTTATTAGGAAGCGTTGCAGACGGCGTATTTTACAACAAAAAACGAATTTTTATTTTTTTTTTTATTTTTTTTTTTTGAATTTCTCAAAGTGAAATTTTCTGATGATCCTTAAATTTCGTTCAAATATTGGGCCTAGAACACATATCAATTCCTCGAAATTTTAGCTCGCCCTTTGCATAACAGGCCGAGATATTCAACGATCTTTGTGGCCGAGAGAGCACACGAAATGCGGAGAGTGGAAACAGAGAGAACGACACTTTTTGGCGGTATCTCTGCCAATTTCGCGCTAAAAAAGCTGTTTTTTAGTCAAAAAGTTGCTCTCTCATGCAAAAATAAGGCTGAAAAAATAAGATTTTTCATGCGTTTTATTGACTATCAGTCTGTCGGGAAAGTAATGTGGATTCGTCAAGCTAAAACCTAGAAAAAAATAATTTAAATTCGTGTTAATTTTTCGATTTTTTCAAATTTTATTCAAAAAAAAATTTAAATTTTTCAAATTTTTTTGTCCCAAAAAAAATTTTTTTTTTAATTTTTCACTTACCACATCAATGATCTGAATTAACGCAAAGGAAAAGGTGACATTGACCGGGTGAACGTAGTTTAGCGCCGGCCGGACCTCACTTTCGTAATTCCGGAGGAGCGTTCGATAAAGGCGGACCAAGTTGTCATCTGTTTTTACGAACCCTGCAATTCAAATTATGCAAATTGTTTTTTCCGTATTTGATTTTTTTGGCCGTGTGGTCCAAGTTTTGAAGTCGATGTAACTTCAAGTGGATTTCCGAGGTTTTTCGGACAAATTTTTTTTAACTTTTTTTTTGAATTTGTACTATGTATTATATTATAAAAGCACAGAATGTACGAAAAATGTTGTTTGAAAAAGAAGACAACACATTTTTTTTGGTTTTTTGATGTAATCTTTCACGAATTTTTCGGGTTATTTTCCTCGAAATTCGCTATTCTTTTTAGGCTTCTCGAAAACCCCGAATTTTCTTTAAAGGCGGGCCAGCCCGGTCCTGAAAATCAAAGCCCGGGGCTGGGCCGCAAAATTTAAAAAGTATTTTACATGGTACTCACTTCAATAATATCTAGACTAATTTTTCAATTTAAAAAAAAATTCCAGCGTATAGCATGTCACACCTCATTTTTCTCAATTTGAAAAACAACTTCATCGTATAACATGTCACACCTCATTTTTTCAATTTGAAAAAATCTTTTCATCGTATAACATGTCACACTTCATTTTTCTCAGTTCGAAAAAAACTTTTCATCCTATAACATGTCACACCTAATTTTTCAATTTGAAAAAAACTTCCAGCGTATAACATGTCACACCTAATTTTTCTCAATTTGAAAAAAAACTTTTCATCGTATAACATGTCACACCTCATTTTTTCAATTTGAAAAAAACTTTTCATCGTATAACATGTCACACCTCATTTTTCTCAATTTGAAAAAAAACTTTTCATCGTATAACATGTCACACCTCATTTTTTCAATTTGAAAAAATCTTTTCATCGTATAACATGTCACGCTTAATCTTTCTCAATTCGAAAAAAACTTTTCATCCTATAACATGTCACACCTAATTTTTCAATTTGAAAAGAACTTCCAGCGTATAACATGTCACACCTAATTTTTCTCAATTTGAAAAAAACACTTTTCATCGTATAACATGTCACACCTAATTTTTCAATTTGAAAAAAAACTTCCAGCGTATAACATGCCACACCTCATTTTTCTCAATTTGAAAAAAAAACTTTTCATCGTATAACATGTCACACCTCATTTTTCTCAATTTGAAAAAAAACTTTTCATCGTATAACATGTCACACCTCATTTTTCTCAATTTGAAAAAATCTTTTCATCGTATAACATGTCACACCTCATTTTCTCAATTTGAAAAAATCTTTTCATCGTATAACATGTCACACCTCATTTTCTCAATTTGAAAAAATCTTTTCATCGTATAACATGTCACAGCTCATTTTCTCAATTTGAAAAAATCTTTTCATCGTATAACATGTCACACCTCATTTTCTCAATTTGAAAAAATGTTTTCATCGTATAACATGTCACACCTCATTTTTCTCAATTTGAAAAAAACTTTTCATCGTATAACATGTCACACCTCATTTTTTCAATTTGAAAAAATCTTTTCATCGTATAACATGTCACACCTCATTTTTTCAATTTTCAAAATTAGGGGGAGTGCACTTTTTCACTCGAGTATTCAAAAAGGAGGAGGGTTCATTCAAAGGGGAGTATTCAAAAAGGGGGAGAGTTCAGATTGGGGGAGAGTTCTGATAAGGGAAGAGTTCAGATTGGGGGAAGGTTCAGAAAAGGGAAGAGTTCAGATTGGGGGAGAGTTCAGAAAAGGGGGAGAGTTCAGAGAAGGGGGAGAGTTCAGAAAAGGGGGAGAGTCCAGAAAAGGGGGAGAGTTCAGAAAAGGGGGAGAGTTCAGAACAGTTCTGCCGCAACGACTCTGTTCACTCTTACCGATCAACTGCAGAAGGCAGATGGCCCAAATCGGGACCGCGCGAACCATCTCAGCCGGGCCGCCGCCTCTCGATTTTCTCCATAACCGGGCGCGATTACGGTGGCTTCTCTCGGTGTTCCGGTGACTCTATGGTGAACTGCAATTAGGCAAATAATACTTGGGAAACCGACAATGAAAACACGGGAATTTCGCAAAACTTTTTTCGACTCCCAATGAAGTCATGTTTTAGTTGAAATGCCAAAAATAAATGGTGAAAAAATCGAATTAGAAATTCACACCTTCCCTTCTAACGGGGAAAAATGAATTTTTAATAAACTTCTTGAATGTCTTGGAGGCTGAATTTTGAAAATAATTGAATCTTTTTTTCCTTGTTAAATATCCAAAATAAAATTTGTCTATGAAGGCCAAAAGTTGGTCGTTTAGGTAGGATTGAAAGTCTCATTCAAGGTAAAAAATGAAAAGTGGAAATTGAGTGGGCAGAAAGGGTAAATGAAGACGTTTGATGAAGTAGAGCGGGTCATAAGACGGCATAATTTTTGAAGAAAAAAAATTTTTGAAAGAAAATGTAAATTTTGCGGGTTGAATTGCTGCTTGATATGTGTATGCATACACATATCAAACATCATTTCCTGAAATTTTTAGCTCATTCTTTGCAAGCCCGCAAAAAAAATCAAATTCAACGATCTTTGCAGACAAGGAATGCCTGACCGAACCCCCCTTAACGCGTTATGGCTTAATTTTCATCTCGTGCTATATAGTACCGCTTAGTACTATACAGTACCAAGTGCTAAAAACGCATTTTTTGATAAGTACTGGGCTTCAAACCAACGGCATTAACGCGTTATAGCTTAATTTTTATCTCGTGCTATATAGTACCACTTAGTACTATACAGTACCAAGTGCTAAAAACATATTGTTTGAACAGTACTGGGCACCAAACTAACAGCATTAACATCTGAATGCATAATTTTTAATTGTACTGTATAGTATTATCAAGCGTTAATATGTAGTACCTCAATTACTCAGGGGGGGGGGGTTCAGTCAGGGGGGTTCGGTCATGGGGGGTTCAGTCTCCTAACGGCAGACAAGACATTGTGGAAAATTAGGAGAGAGGGAGAAAAATATTTTTTTATCAGTCTGTCGGGAAAATAATGTGGATCTCCCAGAGCCCAATCTCTCGCCTTGTCGCAGTCCCGCCACAAATTTCCAGCCGCGGCAAGCCGTCGCAAAACGATGAGGAACGAGTTGAAGGCGTAAAAAATCCACATTATTTTCCCGACAGACTGATATGTACTTTTGTAAAATGCCAATTCTCGATTTCGAAATAGAAAAAAAAATAAAATAAAAATTTTGTTTTAAAAAATTAAAACAAAAAAAAACTTGAACACCTGTTTTTGTCACATAAAAATTATGACGATCCTTTTCCAAAAATGCTAACTAAAGGCTCTACAATTATAGGAACTTTTATATACTTTTAGTAAAACGAAGTTTCATACAACAAAACCTCTCTATAACGGACAATTTAAGAGGCTCCAGGGGTCAATTTCGGAGAAAAATAAACCTCGATATAACAACATCTATCAACAATTTTTTATGTCAAACAATTTTTTAGTCCCCTGCGATTCGTTGCTCAAAGGTTTTGACGGTATTTACTACCAGTCTGTCGCGAAAATAATGAGCACAATGTCGCTGCGCCAACTGCGTTGGTAAAGTGAAAATTTTGATTTTGCCGTGACACAGTCCATTTTCTCTGCGGCGATGCGATTTTCCATGCGACAGAGCGCTCATTATTTTCCCGACAGACTAATACATAAAAAGACAAAATTTCTTTTTTTTTCAATTTCAAAAAAACTGCCAAAAAATCCATATTCCCCTGCTCTTCATGACCCCTTTGACACATCTTTGGACCGTAAAAACAACAATGTCCGGCGGTTTAAGAAACCCCCCGACCCACCGCCATGGCCCGGGGCGGTAATTTGTTTAGGCCGAACCGAAAACAAAATCCGCGAAGATCTGAACCCTGCTTTTGTCCGGCTTCTGACCCGACGTTTCGCTGCGGGATTCGGGCTCGAAACGTGGAATTTGATTACTGCAGAAACGCGTACTCTTTCCGCCAACTTTTAACAAAGAAATAAAAGGGCAACAAGCGGCTGAGATGTAACGGAAATTGTGTTTGAAAAAGAGAGCAAAGGAGATCAAAATTACATACTAAAGGATGTCGTTGTCTACATGTTTAAGTATGTTTCGATTGTCTTTAAATTTCGAAATTGGATTGCACTTTGACCATAGATCAAACGTGCACTTAGAAATTCAACGATCTTCGCGGCCGAGAGAGCACGTGAAACGCGGAGAGCGAAGAAAAAATAAAAATTTTAGAGCATCTTTGAGAGTTCCGAGAAGAAAAATTTGATTTTTTTTTGAAAACATTACTCTCTACGGTAGAAATAGGCGTGACACTTTTCACTAAAAATCTTCGCCGTTTTTGCGAAGCGTGAGCTACAGTGGCGCACCTGATCCAGTGGCAAAAAACGTACCATTTTGCAACCGGGAAACATCAAAAAATGTAGCAAGATCTCTCTTCAAAGCGGAGGTTTTTAGTCGAAGAGGGAGGCATTTTGCCACACTTTCTGATACGCCACTTTCGCGATTTGAATTTTTGTGGAAACTTCTACGGCAGAAATAGGCGTGCAACTTTTCATGCTAAAATTTACATAAAAACAGTCACATTTTTACTTTCGAAGTAAAAACCTCGGTCGTTTCTTCAAAGCGCAAGCTATCAGTCTGTCGGGAAAATAACGGAGGATCGTCGGGCCTCGGAATCGCCCATCATCGCTTTGCGATGGCTGCCGAAGCTGGAGATTTGGCGCGCGACAGCGGTGAGGCGAGACATTTTGATGCGACGATCCGCCGTTATTTTCCCGACAGACTGATCTAAATTTGTGCCAAGTTTCGTAAAAATCTGAGCGCCTCACTTGGAGGACTTCCCTTGTAAGCCTGTCCTAAAATTTGATATAACGTAAATTTCAGATTTTAGGCCCTTCCACAACTCATGTAAAAACATATTCCACACCTACGTGGAGCCCTTTCCTGATGTACAGCATTCCGATGTTGATGTTATTTTGCACCGCTTTTGTAGGCCTAAAATCTCGGTGATTTTTGCAAAGCGCGAGCTAGAAGTCTCACATATGTTTCACAAAAGCTCAATCTATATTTGTGCCATGTTTAATAAAAAAAAGCACCAAACTTTAAACATCTTCATTATGAACAACTGAGTTCAAACATCCAAAATAAAATTGGCTTTTCAACCAAATCTCCTGTTCAAATCTGCAACTTTAAACGTTTTTCTCTCAAAAAGTGTCAGTCAAATGAAACGCAATCTCTCAAAATCTCCAAAAATCTCGTTGGTTTTTGGAATTTTATGAATAAGAAACAAGACTGCCAATAAATGGGCCGAAATAAAAATGCGGCAGTCCTTTTACTAGTGACGTCTTACAGTAAAAATAAAACTTTTTGAACTCGAGCCATCCACTAAAAGTTTCGGCTTTTGTTTGTCGCATAAACTTTGTAAAGTTTACTTAGTTTTATAGCCGAATAAAACGTTGGGACATTTGTTGGACTAATGGAAATGGGAGAAGCCGGAATTCCCTGGAATGCGTGGTTTATGGTAACGGAGGAAAAAATGATAAAATTTTGCAAGCATTGCAATTTGGGGATGCAATATAAATTTTCTCTTTCCAAAAAATGATTTATCGATTAAAACTACAGTAATCGGCGTACATAAGTAAAATTGATGACTTTTCCATAGTTTTTGGGCGAAATGGTGCCTAAATGACTTGTAGGTACAGTAATATCCATAAAATCTCGGAAATATTTTATCAGTCAGCTCATTATTTTCCCGACAGACAGATTACATGGAGGGTGTCTGAAGTGCGACGCTCAGATTTTCTTTTAATTTTGCTTACAAATCGGATGTGGGCCACATACCAATTTCTGGAAACCTTAGTTCTCGCTTTGCAAACACAACCAAGACATTCAACGATCTTTGTCGACGAGAGAGAACGGGAAATGCGGAGAGCGGTCAGAGGAGAAAAACACTTTTTAGCCCTATTTTTGTCAGTTTCTTGGGGACAAAATTGATTTTAGGGGAAACATTACTCTGGCTCGCTAATCCAGATTTTTGGCTATCCGTTAAAAAATTTGGCCGTGATTCCTACTTTTTGAAAAAAGACTGCTTTTCGGGGCAAAAATTCTCCTACTCTAAAACGGCGTGGCGACCTCAGCTTGCACTTTAAAATTCTTGTTATTTTATAGACAAGATTTTTAAAGTGTTTTTGCACGGATCTTGTTATTTCATAGACGCTTAAAAATAGATGTTCCAAAAACGAAGTCTATATTTATAGGCTGCGCGTCGCACTTGAGGCACTTCCCATTGTCAAGACCTTGGTATAGGTCAAGTAATAAGGGTCCCTAATCTAGTTCTACCTAAGATCCCTAGCCCTATGCGAATACAACGACAACAGAAACAAGCGACAATACAACTAATTATGCCCTAGGCAACAACTTCACAAATGAACTCACAATACTTGAGGAAACAACTTCACCAGAGCTGACCATAGACCAATCAAATAGACAATACAATTTATTCCAACATCCAACCGGGAAAAACAAACACAAAAATAAATACAATCATAATTGGCGATTTCTCTTCCTTTTATACCAATTCGTCGGTCATTCCGTGGGAATATGCAAATCCGCACGCGAAGTCGTGACACCATGTAAATGTAGAAAAGTTTGAGAATTGCACCTTTCCTTTTTTCCTGGTATTATTATATGCATCTAATTGCCCGGTAATCTCATTTTCACGTCCTTAAATAGCCATAAACAACACTTCTCCCTCCAAACACAAGACATCAGCTGCGCTACAAACCGGAGAATTCCAGCAACTATAAAACGGTTTTTATGAAAAATTAGATTTACAATTTCCAGCGCCCCCGAATGCGTCATCAGACGGAGCGGCGCGTTCAGCTGTGAAATGTCGAGAAAACATT